CCGAACACCCAGTCTTGCTATGCACAAATCGTGGTTGTCCTTGGATGTGGAGGAACAACGTCGGCGAGGCGAACGATTCCACGGTGTTCACCACATTCATACAGCGAACACCCGGGAATTCGGGCAGTTCACACATTTCGGGGCCCTAGAAGAAGCCGTTTATTGAGAAAGGAAAATCCCAACCTTGCAAGTGGCGTGTGCCTGGCCATTGTAGAAGATGCGATCGTAGCATTTTTCTATCAGCGGGTAGTAGATCGAGAATTTTGGTAGACGCTCGTAGATTTCAGAGAGTTCGCCGGTGATCTCGCTAGAATACGTTACGGTTTTATCTTTGTTTTAATAGAGATGCTTTAAAAAATATAACTTTTAACGAGCAGAATAACGTTTGTATAAGTTATATTTCATCGCCTTATTATTTTTAAGCTCGTATAATTAAAGTTTAACATTTTATAAAAAGCTATATAGCTTTTCTAAGGTATAAACTTTTTATAAATTGATTGATCCTTAATTCCATAACCACCAAGTGATAGAACTGACCTAAACCCTTCCTGGATATGTTCCAAATCATGTTCGGTGAAGAGTGGACGATGCGAACGTCGATTCTTCGGACTTTGAAGTAGCGGATCATAGACGGGGATTCTTGAGTCTTCCACCGAGAGTTTCGACTAAACGTTGTATACTTTTAACGCTAGTTTTTAGAGTCAATTAACCCTAAAATCCAAAAAATCACTTTCCCTATCATTTTTTGCAAAATCGCTGTAGAATTTTACATTTTTATCATGATTTCGGAGAAAGTAGCATCTATTTAAAGTTTTTGGACTATGTTGCCGCATAGAAAATTGTTTTTTTTTGCCTTATAGTTCGGTTTAAAGGAAGGCGAGAAGAGACCATGAACACTGACTAAACTATAAGCTACAAAAAGCGGAATTATCATCGAGGTATCTCATACCAAATTTAACCTACAAAATTCCAGAATCGCAGATGCAACGCGCAGTTCAACTCGACGGGCAGAGTTATCTAGAGAATCACACTGTAAAAATAGTAATTTCATTTATACTACCTGCTCATATCCATCACGTATCCCATACGACCTATGGATCCACACCGAGTCCGTTCGCTCCGGCCTTACCACCAGCTTCCCCCAGCGCGTTTCCCCGCGGAATCGGATGCTCCGCAGGCTCCTCTCCACGGAAAAACGTTCGGGGTTGTTTGCTGGAAATATTTAAAACTTTTAATTTTAGTACTTTTTTTATTGCTAGACTTTTATAAAAATCTTTTAAAAATCGGCAACATTCCAAATTCGTAACTTATTTGTCATAAATTTTTGACCAAAAAGCCAACATTTTCCAAAATTTTATAATTATTTTTTTATCTAAAAAATTAAAAACTACTAAAAAAATTAGTTTAAAAATATTTATACTTTGTTATAGGATTTACTTGAAAAAATTTGTTCCCCCCCCCGCCCCGCTAACAGTCCAGTACCATTTTAACTTACTGGCGTGTATTTCCGTTTGGCTCATATTATAAGCAATAGCCGCGGCTTCCGGAAATAGCGCAAATACCTGCGCGAATTCCTAGAGAGTCCTATTTATGTAACCTTTTAGCCTTTCCTACCGAATGATAGGTCCCATCGAGTCTGGGAATAATAATATCATCCGGATCTGGGAACATGATGAATTGCGCTGATTCCTTGAGGTATTGAGATTAAATTAAAGTATTAACTATACCTTATACATCAACAAACAATCCGTCATTGCGCCTGCCTGATTTCTAAACACAATTTAGTACAAAAAAAGGAATATTTTACCGAAATTCCAGCTCCAAATCCGGCTTGAAATCCGGGCCGCTGGCAGATGAATTGCCAAGTCGTATTCCGGCCCATGGTGTCACTCGGATATCATCGTAGTTCTAGAATTTGACAATTAAACCGCGCATTTTAATTGAGCTTAGGATACGAAAAAAGCCTTAGCCTACGCCTAAGCTAAAGCCAAAACTAAGCCTAAGCCAAGCCTAATCCAAGCCAAAGCCAAACCGAAGCCTAAGCCAAGCCCAAGCCTAAGCCAAGCCTAAGCCTAAGCCTAACTTAAGTCTATGCCTATCCTAAGCCAAGCCTAGGAGATAAAATTGTTACTAACGAGAAAACTATAATAAAAATCACAAGCAATTATGCACCTTTGTGACTTAATTTCTGTTCCGCTTAAAACTTTACTGAAACAAATGATACCTTGCCACATTACCTCGAGCAGATCGAACAAATCCGCAATCATGCTCCGCACGTAGAAGTGGAGAAAGGCCCCGTAGTGTGTATATACCTAAAAAATGGAGTAGCCTTTAGAGGAACCCAAAAAACGCTCGATAAAGCTACAAGAAAGAATAAACTCTTTTAAAAGGTAACGTGGTGTCAAAAAATCGGAAAATTTCGAGCAAAAATGGTCATGAAATTTATACTTATCTTACTTTAGGCTAATAATCATACCTGCGCGGTAAGAAGCAAAAGCTGCCAGCGCTCGTTGAGAAAAAGTGGCGAGAAGCAGCTGACAACCGGATGCTTTTGTGCGTATGGGAGGCGAGTTGGCAGCTAAAAACGATGAAATATACTTAAAAATTCGTATTTCTTCATATCTCTATCCGTTACCTCGACCTCCGTTCCACCCCATAATAATCGGACACTCGTCGCTGACTCGGCCACCTGAAAGAGGGTTGTAAAATCTAGCAAAACCAGCTTACCTGGCCAATTGCGATAAATGGGACCCATTTACAGTAGAAGGGCATTTGCCCGATGACTGGCATCACTCTGGAATCTTTTTTTGGTACTGGACTTTTAAGAGGGGGGCGGGGAACTTTGGCCTATCGCCCCGTAGGGCATCAATGCTGAAATAAAACCCCTTTAGAGATAACTTCGCAAGGCAGTTTTTAAGTTGAAAAAAAAGTTTATAAAAATTCTTAAAACTCTCAAAAACACGATATTTGTTCAAAAATTATGAGAATGCCGAGAAACATGACATTTTCAAAACTTCAGAAAAAAATGCTATGGCTTTTTATGGCTCTTTATGAAACAAACACCACTAAAGACTATAAAAATGCAGCACAAAACGCAAATTTTTGCTAAATAGGTTCCCTCCGCTAACAGTCCAGTACCAGTAGTTTTATAGCTCGCGAACCTGAGCGTCGTCTGCGTACTGCCCGACGAATTTGTGGATATGGCCCGGAAGGCAGAATGTTTGTAGTGGAAGACTTGATGCGCAACAAAAAGCATCACGATCGTGTTATTTGCAAAACTATAAGAAATTAGCCTTAATAACAGCTAATATATATAAAAAAATAGTGTTTGTGTGTGTGTCTGTGCCACTTTGCATGTAACTTCCGTCATTCTGTCCGGAGGATACCTCAAGAGGGGAAGGGTATTAGGCTACATAAGATACGTCATTAGGTGCGTAATGGCCCTGAGATGACTGCACGCAGATCAGATTTATCAAAATTGCCTATTTTCGACATTAAAATTAAGTTTTTGTTGGAAAATCGGCGATCCTCTTTGTTAGGAAAAAAATTAGCATGCGCCGGAAGTTCCGGTAGCCTATATAATGGGCTAGCGAGCGCGGTTTTCTTTTTGTCATCGGAAATCCAAGAATTATGCAAAGTGAGGTACGTCATGCGATCAGACGGGGCCAGGGTTGAAAAGTCGCGAAGCGGCTTTTCAACCCTGGTAACAGCTAAAAAAGTTACCTTTTTGACCTGTTATACATGGTCGTTGATAGTAGCGCAACGTCGTCTTCTAAAAAGTGCAGTTCTGAAGCTAAAAAATTTCTACGTACGGCGCTGGACGTAGTGATAGACGATATGATTGTGCTGACGGTCAAAAACAGAAAGTGCCGTCAGAGCAGAAAAAATGAAGAGGCAACCGGTGAAAACGGCTGACCACGCCGCGACTCTGCTCAGCCTTCTGCCTAAAAAGTTTTACAAAACCTTTTTAGGTTCTTTCGCATTAACGGGGGGGGGGCAAGGATCAGCAAATTGTTTTTTATTAATCTAGAAATTCCGAAGTGCCTAGTAACTTAATAGGAAGCATGTTCATAATGTTTTTGGCGAAACGAAAAAAAATTTCAAAAACGGCGAATTTTGGTCGAACAATCCCGGTTTTGGTATTTTTAGAAAAAGTATCAAGTTTCACGTTTATAAATAGTAAAAAACCATGTAGCAACATTTCCACTATCCATATTTGCAAAAAAAAATTAGAAGAAAAGAAATTTGGTCCCCCGCCCCCGATAATGCCGAAAGAACCAGAAAATGCTACCATGAAAACTGTCTAATTGCCTAAATTCCAAAAATTAAAAAAGCTTAAACGTACCTCCAACAAATATCCGCAACCGCAGCTGCCATGCCGGCAAATTGGCCATCAGCTCTTCGTCCTCCTCGTTGGCGTCCAGTTGCGCTGCTTGGTGATGAGGGCCCAGCCGGAAAGTGCCCACACGCCTTCTTGCCGTGAAAATAATGAATTGCCGGGATGAAATAGGGTGCTCACGTCACAGGGGATGGGGGTGAATCTTTTTGGCTGGCCTGGGGCTTGAGGTGCACGACGATTTTTGCGATTCGGTGGGTAGATAGGGGGTGAACAGGCCACGACATTCATTCCACCACACACATCTCAACACGGCAGAGAGGAGACCGCAAAGCTGAGCCCACGAAAATGAAAGTGTACACCCATTTTTCTGGCAAAGCGCGTCAGGTCTTTTTAAAACCACAAAAAAACTTCTATTTCTTCCAACAAGCATCCAGATATGATACAAATACAACAAACGGCTAAATCATTATTAGCAGTAGAGACTAGGCAGGAGGGAGGCACGATGCGAATGGGATCTTCTACCGGCAACAATTCGAAGTATATTATGAGCATCCTACATGAATTGAAAAAGAGTACCGGTGCTGGACTAGTTTTGAAAGAATTCGAGAGCTAATAAGGCGAAATAAAAAAAAATAACTAGAAAAAGACTGGTGATGTTTTAGTCTTGTTGGGTGGGTCGGTAGTGGGTCGGGTGATCGCTGCTCACCATCGGCAAGTTGGGGGAGTGTAGATTCAGCCGCACCTGGAAGAGAATACTTTGAAATTATGAGCAGAACAAATACCGGGAACTTTTTGCCGGCAATGTCGAGTTCGTAGCGTCCCTTCAGCACGTATTCGGGGTCATGCCGAACTTCCTTGTTCTCGACGACGGCAATACATACCTGGACAATCCAAAATTTATCGGAATTGAAACGCTTGATACCTGACAGCCCAGGGTGAAGCCGTAGGCAGCACTTGTCGTGTAGCCGACCGGCTTTCCGTCTCTAGAATATGGGATCATCGAGGGCTAGTGAGTCCGAGAGAGAGAGAGAGAGAGAGAGAGAGAGAGAAAGCGGAAACCCGTACCTGAAAAGCGTTTCTCCTCCCTGCGGCCACGGATCCGTCTCCATATCATGGCGATCGACCAGCAGCTGCACGAAGCGCTTGTTCACGCCGCGTTCGCGTTGCTCGACGAGGGCGGCACGGCCGATGAAGTCTTTCTAAAATCGAGAGTTTTATATGTTTAGACCACTTCATGATTTTTTTAAAGTTTTAACGGGCAAATGTCCCTTTTATGGCTATAGATTCGGAATTTTTCCGCGGCAGCGACACACAACGCATGCGCACAAATCGCTAATGGAATGGAATTTGGCCTGAGCCGCGACCTTACACTTCGAAAAGGATCTAATCTAATCCGTAATCACGTCTAGGCTAAACCCAAAACCAAGCCTAAGCCTAAACCTAAGCTTAGAATAAGCTAAGCCTATGCAAAGGTTAAGCTAACCCTAAAACCAAGCCTGGGTCCATCCCCCCACTTCAATAACTCCTCCCTTCCAGCTGTGGAGCGAAAAGTTAAAAACTACAAACTTTCTATTTTCTAAATCTAAGCAAATTGAGCGGTTTTTCAAGCGGCAATAGCGGTTTGTACGAATCTATTTTTGTGCTTTACATATTTCCACTCCGATATTTATATTTATCTATTTATTTGCCCGTATATACCGCTCATTTTCGCACAATATATCACTGTTAAAATTTCAGAGAACAATTTCCCGCAATGACTCACTCACTACGAGGTTGACCTATGCACCCAAAATACAATGTATTCCGGAAAAACCCCGCCCAGCCACGGCTTCTCGGCAAATACATAGCATTCAGCCATGTGTGGCCAGGCCCGAACAGCCCGCCATAAAATCGCCTCCCCCTAATACAAATAGGCCATTTTCTACGCGCCGAATACACTCACGCCGCCCCGATAATTGACTCTACAAAAAAATACGGGTCACCCCAGCTGACGGTTTACCCACTTCTCTACGATCAATGCAAATAGAGCCGACGCTCTTTTGACCGTTGTGTTTTCACAGAGCGGATGACTGACGGTCGTCGAGCGGCCAGGAAAATAATTGCGAGGCCCCGGCCACTTTCGCCTATTTCACGTCCCGTTGTGTACACGCGCGAGCGTGGGTGACGAATTTAATTTACCGTATTAAAGCTCACGTTCAGGGAGGGGCCGTGTACTCGTCCCAACGTGTACACCCTATGGACGTAGGGACCGCGCGCACTGCCTGCCCGTGCTGTGACAGGCCATTCCCCTCCTTTGCGGCCTGGGGCGCCCCCTCACCCCTCGCCAGGTTTTAGCTGCGGCTGACTGAGATCCATCCGCGCCTCCCGAGCGCGGGGCCCGGGTTCGACCCCCGGCCGCGGCAAAAATCTTTGCTTTTTCCCAAAAAAAGTCCCTGAACGTGCCCTTTAACGGTGAAATTCGCTTAACAACCAATTGTCCGAGAATTAGCAGTATCATATTGTTAACGTAGCCTAACATAATTTCTAGGGCAATTTAGTCTTATTTATCTTCATCGTATTAACCTAATTTCCGGCCACGATCTAAATAAATACAAAAATTCCGCCGAGAATTTTTGTATTAAGTATTTAATTATTTTGTCAATTAAGGCGCGTTCAGGTCATCCTAGGGGTCTCCCGTCACTTCCGCTCCATTTTTTCCAGCCATTTCCTAGGTTGATAAGCCGCTTCTGCCCCTTTTCATCACCCAGCAAAAACCCTCTACCATTTTGCCAGGCCAATAAACGCGGTCATATGCACTTTACGGCCCTTGGAATTCGGCTATTTATTCGCGGGGTATTGCCCGTGATTCAGCGTCACACGCAAAACATTTCCCAGCACTGATTTCAGCTTGACCGGTTTTCATTTTTTCCTTATAGTTTTATTTCGTCCATTTCTAGACAGATTTCTAGTTTTCCATTCATTTTAAGATGAGATTCCTGGCGCTTTTGCTGAGCCTATTTGTGCTGATGGTTTCGGTGCCGCTGGCGGTAAGTGGGGGGGATTTTCGAATTTTTAGCGTGAACGGAATGACCGGAATCGTAAAAAGGTATAGGTAGGAACTTTAGCATTATCGGGGGGATACCGAAATTTTGTAAAACTTCAAGACTATGGGTCAAAAAAGATCCATTCCGTCGAGCATTTTTTAAACTCTTCTAATTCTATACTAATAATTTGTCAAGTTTTTATGTTTAAAAATAGTAGAAAAGAGGATATACAGGGTGTCCCAATAAAAAAGGTCACGCTGGCATTTTGCTATTTCAAATCCGATCGACTTGAAATTTTGCACAGAGGTGCGGAGGGGAATTTAAAATGTTCACAGAAACTTTCAGCCCGATCGGTACAGTAGTTTTCGAGTTATTGTAAAAATACTGTTTTTACCACACTTTAGCTTCTTTTTTTTCGGCTATCTTTTTGGACTTTGCATCAATTAACATAAATTTCCGGCTCTAAATCCCTTATTCTTCTTAACATCGGCGTCGTTAGCCCTTGTTAAAAAATACTTAAATAGCCTATTTTCGACCCGAATTTTGCGAAATAAAAAATTCCTAGGATAAAAAAGGGTCGGCGCTTCATTTTCTCCATACATTCCAGGGCTCAATTCCGGCGGAATCCAGGTTAAAACCGTAAAATTAAGTTTATTTTTGCTATAACTCGAAAACTACTGTACCGATCGGGCTGAAAGTTTCTGTGAACATTTTGAATTCCCTTCCGCACCTCTGTGCAAAATTTCGCGTCGATCGGATTTGAAATAGCAAAATGCCAGCGTGACCTTTTTTATTGGGACACCCTGTAAATACGCTAATTAAAATTTAAAACCTGGGAACCCGCGGAAGAGCTTTTGTCCCCCTCGATAATGCAAAAGCACCAAAACCAAAAAACTTTAAGCCTCTCAATTCGAAATTTGATAAAATCATAAAATCATTGCATAATTCTAGGCCGGCTTCAACGTCCCGCCAACCGGAATGTGCCTCGTCAATCAAGGTGGTGACTGCTACCGTTGTGAGTGCCAGAAGCCGTCATTCTGCGTGAAGGGAAAGTGCAAATAAGCGCGCCTTCGAATTTGTTGCGTTATGGATTACCGGGCACAATAAACGGCTTTAATCTGTACGCTACAATCCGCGTAAAAAAACGCAACAAATAATAATCTAAAAGCTACAGTATGCCGAAAAAATGGGTATTTTTGGTAGCATTACGTTTCACTGCCCAAAACCGGTTGTAATTATCTTTCCCAACTATCCAAAAACTCGCAAAACACGAGTTCCGCCACGCTCACAGATCACAATTGTCGATATTTTCCAGCGGGGAGCACGAGAACAAAAAAATCCGAAAGCGGAAACCTCAAGTAAACATAGCAAATGTATGTTTTGTAACGTTAGCTTTCACAAAGTCTCCTTAAAACGAGAACTAAGAAAATACGCTTTCCACCCGCTCTCATAGATCACAATTGCCTACATTTTCTAGCCGAGCGCCCTGGAGCCAAAAATCACGAGCGTTATATATCGGTAATGTTTGTAACATGACAATTCTATTTTAAAACCTGTCCTAATTATCGTTCCCAACTATCAAAAAACTACAAAAATACGATTTCTACCCCCCTCCCCGCCACAGATCACAATTGCCTACATTTTCTAGCCGTCAGCGCGGCGAGTGTGCACAGAAATCACGCATGCCGCCTGGGCTCTCCCGAAAAAAACCGCACTCTCTCCCGAACATCAGCCGAGCCCTGGCTGGCCCCCTTTTTGCCCCGCAAAATATGGCGAGCGAATGAAGGGCAAAATGCGACCCCTTTTTCTCTATTCCATCTTTCACATCCCCCTTATCGCCTCCTCTCTACTGCAAGAACACGCCACACTCTCGCCAATCCCAACCAATCAACCTCAAAAATTTCCAATACATTTTTCACTTTCTAGAATCGTTATCGGGGGGGATCTTTCGCATTATCGGGTGGACCAACTCTTTTCTTCGGATCTAATTTTCAATTATAAATGGTTAATGTGTTTCTAAATAGTTTTTTACTAACAACATTTGTTTAAAAGGAAAAAATTTCCGAGCAAAAAAGGGCACTTTTTTGACCAATCTCGAATTTAGCACAACTTTTTAGATAGTTTTTCTAGTTAAATATAGTTATTTTATTGATTTTTTTAATGTTATCTATTAAAACGCTTCTATCCAGTTACTAGACATCTCTAGACTCATACGAAACGTACGCCCCCCCCCCCCCGATAATGCGAAAGAACCCGCCGAGCACTTAACGAATTGCTATAAAAACATGGCCTTGCTTTTCGTGCTCTTGTCTTCGGATTGGGATGGCCTAGTTTCTATCGATTCCCCAGGCGCAGGAAGATACTAATCTACGTGGTAGCGCTGGCCGGTCGTCAGCCTTTATGGATTTTCTGGTCTGGCTACCGGCTAAAATCTATTTGTATTACTTGCAAAGTTCCCGGGAATTCCGGGTAGCACTCATGCCTTTCTTTTGACGCGCTTTAAATTTAATTAGCAAATTAGCAAAACTCACAAAATAAAAAGCTTCTTTTAGTGCTTAAAAAAGAACTTCCATTGATCACTACGTTGCTCGCAATGATAATTGCTACAATTGCGATTTCTGACGGTTAAGAAAAACCAACATTTTCGTGTTTATTTTTATTTGGCCTCTAAGGCTGTTTTCTGCTTTTCAATCACCAGGGTTAACAATTTTTGTGGCAAAAGCCGTTCAAAACGGTGAAAAAAACGCCCTGTTAATTTTCCGGCTACAAAACTAGAACTTTTAGTCCGGATCCTTCCAATAAGGCACGAAATTGCAGAAGAGAATTGGCCGATGCCCCCACCTAACCGCTTTTTCTGTCTCTTTCTCTTTCTCTTTCTCTCTCTCTCTCTCTCTCTCTCTCTCTCTCTACCGGACCTTATCATCCGGGTGTGGGTTGTGAGGGGGGAAAGTGGTAGTCGTGTAGTCTGGGCCCTAGAATGTCTAGATCCACTCCCCTTCCCGCACACATTGATTCGTTTTCTTCTCTTATTTGTCTTGCAGCGCCATTACTTTGCTAGAATCTAGAATATAATACTTTTTAATAAAAATTAAATCCCGCCACAATCCTTTTCAATCCCGAAAACTTCTAAATTTCTGAAAATCAAAAATTGATTCGTTCCGGCCAACTTCTTTTTTGTGGCTTCCTAGAAAATGGAAAAAAAGGGTATTTTTTGAAAATTACTCCGGCTTCTCCTTTTGAGGCCTTTTTCGTCTTTGAGCACCAGCTATTGTTTAATGTCCAAAATTTCTAGGTAAAAAATGCCGCAACGATTGACGCGAAAAGAGGTGGAGGAGCACAACAGCAACCGCACCTGCTGGTTTATCATCGGCAACAAGGTGTATGATGTTACGAAGTTTTTGGATGAGGTGAGAAAATTTAAGCAGCCGGCCTTGCGATGAAAAGCCCACCCGGCAGATCCTAAAATTCCTTGGAAAAAATGAAACTATTAAAAACATTCAATGCTTCCCCGGATTAAAGGGATGCCGACGGCATAGTCAATCGATTACGCGCGGAAAAAGAAAATGTCTCTGCGCCTCTCCCCAGGGCGCGCTCTCTCCCCTGTTGGCTACTTGCCAATTTGTTGATGAGGGGGGGATCGACACATGCCGTCGGCAGCCCTTTAAGGGGATAGCCGGTCCTCAACCACCTTTTAAAGCCCTATCAACTCTCCAAATGAGTACCGAAATTGTTATAGTAAGTTACAGATAGTATCATGGCAAAGGCAGCGAAAAAACGTCGGAGAAAGTATTGTAGTAGTTTAATTAAGAGAAAAGCCGACCAAACACTCTTTTAAAATGTAAGGTTTGAAACCATCCAAATTCAAAAGCTATCAAGCCAAGTTTAACTAAAGTAAAGTCCATTAATAAGTCCAAAAGAATTAATAAGGGAAAAAATTATAATACGGGATAAATAAAAATTTCGTGAATCACTAACAAAAATAAATAGACTACTTTAGCATCCGGGAGGCTGCGAGGTTCTCCTCGAGCAAGCCGGCCAAGACGCCACTGAAGTTTTCGAAGATGTCGGCCATTCAACGGATGCCCGGCAAATGAAGGAGGAATATCTTATTGGAGAGCTTGTTGAGGTCGGAAATTCAAAAAATAAAAATGACCCGATTTTTAGGAGGATATTCGACAATATTCATACGATAAGAAAGCGTCAACCAGTGCAGCTAATGTCCAGAAAAAGTAAGTTTCACCAGAAAGCCAGAAATAAGCAAAAGAAACCCCCCTTCGTAGTCTCATTAAAAAGATCAAAATAGCGAAATAATACTTCCAGAGACGCCCAACCGGTCCAAGACAAACTGATTATGGGTGGACTGCTCGCCGTCATCGTCGCGTTAATCTACTATCTATTCACGGCTCATTAACCAACAACAACAAAAAAGTAATATTCCTGCCCCCGCTCAACGGTATTGTTATGCGCCAAGTGTGTGCTCCCTATCTACCAGTTAATACGATGGAAAATAAACGGATATGACTGATGGCTACAGAATTCCAGGGCGCTCGAAAATAATACCCGCTTTTCCCCTCCAGCGGTTCGTAGGAGTGCCCGATTTTTAGGATTTAGGTATCAATCGAAAGCTCACGACGAGACGAGCAGATATTTCTACAAACATTTTCGAAATACTGGCATTTTTGCGCGATTTTCACCATGTTATCGGCGGGATGCCCGAAAAAGCAGCAATTTAAAATTAAAATTTTAAAATTAAATAATATACCACAACACAATAATATATATCAAATATTCGGACCCTGTCCGTTTTACAAAAATCGTCGTAAATAGGAAAATTAGGAGAACCTTTGCGTAAAAAAAACCAAACATCTAGAAAAATTCGGAACTTTTAACAATCCGTAGAGTAGATATCTGCTCGCCGCGTCGCTAAAGCTAACGATAAATACCGATATCATCAAGTCCGGCGCTACTATGAAACGATAAAGCGGCGGGGGGGGGTGATTTTTTGCGACGCCCTGAAGCAGTACAAGTCCAAATTCTCTGCCCATATTGACTAGAAGCTAAAGATAAAGCGTAAGCGGTCAAAAGCGGTATTCAAAGTGATACCCGCCAGCCGCTAGCATTACTTGACAAAATCGCAGAGACTTGCCTCGCCTCCCACGGAGTGCTGAAAAACGACAAATTTTGGATTGCTTTTCCCGAAAATGCTTTCAAATTTTGGGACCGAAAAATCAGCAAAAAAAAAGTCTAAAACACACCTTAAAATCAACGCGGAATGCGCGGCCACACTCCATGGGTGTCACGGTGGCGTTGATGTCCTGGCCCCAGTAGACGTAGAACTTTTCGATGCGCAGTTGACGCAGCGTGTAGTAGCTGAAATGTCAAAAAAAAATAGAATTTTCACAAAAATAGTTAGATTACCCAGCGTGAAGCATGCTGTATTCCTTTCCGGCTTCAACGAGTCGTTCATAGACGTTTTGAGCTACCTCGAATCGAGAAAATTGGGCAAATAAAAGCTGTTTTACCTCGTTCGGGATATAGATGACCCAGCCGAGCTCGCCGCAATGAGTGACGCTGATCGCCCGGATTCCGGTCGCCATCCCGATGTTCATTTCCTAAAAATAGCGGAATATGCCGAAGACCGAAACCGACAGGCCAAAATATCGACAGGAAAAATCGAGAAAATCCCGACACGCGTAAACCAATCGAAATAGCGAAAATGTTTCCGCTACTTTGAATTTAATTTTGTTTTAAACAGCTGTTTTTCCAGGCCGAATTAAAAGTCAACCAATTCTCTAAAATCCCACCTGGCATCTAAAAGCCGGAAATTCACGATTGCCCATCGGCAAACCCGTCAGATCGGTCATCAGATACCTAGAGGACGGCCCGACGACGTCGAGTGCCGTGTACATTCCGGTCACATCCTGGTTTCACGTTAAAAAATAAAAAGCCACGTTTAAACCTGGATATGGACATTTTTCTTCAACTCTGTGGCCCAGTTTCGCATCCAGGATAGGCAGCGGTCTTGTTGAATGGTAGGTGCGACCATGAAGAAGCTAAAAGCAGAAATTATAAGTAAAAATAATTTCTGCAAAAATTAAAAATCGTCAAAATCAGGAAAAACCAACCATTTATCACGAATCCGACTGATCGTGCAATCCGTCACATAACCGCCCTTGTCATTCTGCATTCCCGTGTAGATGGTCGTCCCGATTGGCCGCTCAATGTCAGCCGAGCAGAGATATTGTAGGAAAGAGACGCAATCATCGCCCTAAAATTCTCACCATATCCTGTGTCATTTTCCCTGACCGTGATCTCAAACTTGGAGAAGCTGCTCATGTCGATGAGGCCGACGCGTTCACGGCAAGCCTCGTACTCGGCTCGGACCCTAAAAGTAAGAATGGTTACGTCTGAAAAGGAGGGAAGGGTCTGACCTATCAAACCAGACGGGTTTTCCGATGAGGACATCTTGGCCTTGTAGCAGAGCATTCCGCTCTTTTGGGGCGTTGGGCTCGAACCAGAGCGGCCTTTCGTAGCCCATGATTTCACCGAACACAGCGCCAGCATCCCTGCAAAGCATTTTTAACGGGTAAAAGCCTAAATATCTTCTCTACCATTTCTCTCTCTCTCCAACTCTCTAAATCTCGCTCTTTTTACCATTAAATTTCATTTTTTTCAATAAAATTCAATTTCCTATTGATACAAAGTTTTTAGTCAAACAAATCTATATTTCAACTTGAGAACTATCCAAAAATGTTCAAAAAGTCGACATTTTTGTCAAAAAGGCCGTTTTTTGGGCGCAAAATCGGTGCTTTTTGTGTTTTGTGATGAAAATTTGTTACATTTTTACCTTTAGGAGTATAGTAAAAAAGGAGTTTACAAACAATTCCGCGATTTAGGTTTGAAAAACTGGATCCTAAGAAAAAAGTTCGATAATGCCCCCCACCTCGATAATGCGAAAGAACCATGAAATCTGTTGTACCTTAATTGATGGTAGATGGGAGACATGCGCAGATTTCGGGCTGTGTGGCATTGATGCGAATTGTACATGTTGATGTACGTCATAGCTAGCAAAAAAAAAAACAATTTGAAAAATTCAATCCCAAGCTACCGGCAATTTCCGGGGTACGTTCGATGAGGTACTGTGAATTGGCGTGCAATTCGACGAAGCGACCGACGTCTATCCGCGCAACATCCACAGATACCTAAAGAACAAAAAAAAAATAGCCCGAAATAATCAAACTGACGTCGCGGTCAATAATCCATTCAGCGAGGAACTTCCCGACACCACCAGCCAGCGACAGGCCCTGTCCGTTGAAGCCCGAAGCGACGTAGTATCCTTTTGCCTGAAAGGATATAATATAGTCGCTGATTTTTTTGTTTTCTTTTTGGTATTTAATTTCTAGAATGTTTTTCCGCCACGTGTTTTCGTAAACGTAAAGGTTCTGGGCTGCTAGTGGGGAGGAGGACTTTTTGCTGGGGGCGGCGGGGGCGGGGGGGCGAAACAAAATTTTCCCAGTAATCCTGCACGACCCTATAACAAAATATAATCCATCTTTATAGCAATTTACACTGTTTTTAGATATCAAAATCTAAAAAAACTTCTAAAAATGTGTGGCTTTTTGGTCAAAAATATATGAATAATGAAAGAAAACGGTTAAAATTGGCGCATTTCCAAAAATGCTTAAAATATTTTGGTTTTTATACGGAAAAATTTGTTTTCCCGCCCTGCTAACAGTCCAGTACTAAAGTAAAAACTGTCTAAATTTCTTTGAAAATTCGAAAACTTCGACATAAAATCGAGATTTAAAATATTTTTTGTTTTGTATATTTTTTGACTTGAAATAAAGCTAAAGCAAAACCTATGCTATGAGGCATATCTAGACATTCAGAAAAAATCCCCCCCCGATATCGCCAAAATACCAGCTTTTGGCATACCTGGCTGCTCTCGCCGATCGTACACGCTTTATCTGGTGTATAGGCTTCCATGCCGCACATCAAATCCCCATGGTCGATCTCGCCGGCTATCGGTATGCGGTGGATCAGGCGAGACAGGGAAGAGCCTAGAAGCCACGAGTTTAAGCCGAAAACCCGTAACTATACCAAATTTATCCCAGTCGGCTTCAGGTTGTGCCCAGTCTCCAGTTCCGGATGGGCGGGCCAGCGGCCGGATGCCGTCTTCCTAACAAAAACCTCCAATAAAACCGCAAATTCCAACCTGAAAACCAGCACACAACGTCTTGAAACCGGTCAGCCGCATCATCACGTTGCCGTCCAAATCGTTGATTACTGAAAAGAGGGGGTACTTTCGATTACCATAAACGGTTACTGGGCGTAGTGTCACAGACGGAGCTGCTCGGCAATTTGGTGGAGTGTAGATAGGTGTATGTACCTGGAAACGGACGGTAAAGGAGAAAATAAACCGGAAACTTACAGGGATGGTGCGCCGTCTGGATTTTGCGATGTGGTAGATGTTTGCAGAGAACGCTGCCGGTCCACTAAATAGAACTCGCTGAATTCTTCGGAAATTTAACGAAGCAAGGAAAAATAAAGAAAAAGAGAGAGGGAGGGAGAGAGAAATTAACGAAAAAAAAAACGCACAACGCCTGCCGCATCAACGAAAGCCGGCGTCTCCACAATTCCATTGGAAGTACGGACCGCGTATACCTGAAATTCGAAATAAAAAAAATAAACATTTCGTTTCTACCTGTTTCTCGTCCCCGAGCAGCACCTCCTTGACTTCGACGCCCTCATAGATTTTCGCCCCTAAATTTCCCTCAATTTCCCATAAATTTATGTACCCAACGCCTTCGCCCGTGCGGCCAATTCTTGCACCATCGCCGGTGTATCCAATGCAACGTCTTCTGGTGAGAACAGGGCGAGCTAAAAATATTACGAGCATAGTTTTCCGAATCACCTGGATATCCTCGGTTTGCAGATACGGCCACCGGGCCAGCATGTCGCTTTGATCGTCCAGCAGTTCGACGTCTTCTTTGTGCAGGATGCCTAGAAGAGGAAAATCCCGAAAAGTTTTATTTGAAGCTACCTCGGCTGTACATCCGCCTTAACAATATTTCACTGGCCAGGGAGGAGGCGAGAAATACTCTGCCACACTTGACGTATCCTAAAAATTCATAAACTATCGCATTCCAAAAAACTTACTGAACTTCCCGCTGCTTGCCAATTCATTGTAGAGCTTCAGGGAGGTCTCGGCGAGGATTTGGTTTGTCGTGTCCTGCCAATAGATCGGGGCCGAGACCAACCCGGCTGACATTCCTGTAGCACCACCGCATCCGACGCTAAAAAATTCTACCTTTTAGCAGTTTAAAAACTTACGCATCTCGTTCGTACAGCGAAACTCGTTTCCCCTTGAGCGCCAGGTGATAAGCCACTGATGTTCCGGCAATTCCGCCTCCGCAAACCACGACATCTGTCGATTCACTGAGCCCGTTTGTAAAGTTTCTGAACGAAAACTTTAGAAAAAGCCAGTTTATTCACCTTCTGCCTTCGAAGGCTATCAAAAGGGAGCGAAATTTTCGAGGGCGAATGTGTCGGCAGCCATGGCAGAGCATCACATTCACTGAAAAGAAGATTTTGCAGTGGAAAAAATAGTCAAAATGGTGTTTAGAGCATGGAAAACAATAGAAGTATCGAAAAGCCATTTCTAAGGGTGATGAGAAGCATTTCCCCTGGCAAGACGATCAAATATTTTTGATACAACTCGCGTAACAGGCGCGGTTTCCCGGGTTGTTGTTTGGTTTTCGACTCGGAGGGACGGGAAAGATGCACAAAAATAGCCTGGAAAAGAGAGATTAGCCTTCCCGTTTTCAGCGAGTAAGACCATGATTAGAAACATCTAGGAAAACATGTATAAAAATCGGGGCTTAATCAACCATAATAATTTGGCGTATTCTATATAAAGGCTAGTTGCTGTCTTGGCTTGCTTGCCCTCGTAAAAATTATAGATCAGAGAAAGTGGGGAGGGCCTAGACATGCCAAGTGATCGCTCGCTGAGCGCCAGTGCCCCCAATTTGTTGACGGCTGCCTTTAGCAGCAATAAGAATCTATAAATTTCCATCCGGAATCACTTGGCTTCAATGTAAATATATCCAACGGCTCCTATAAAAAGAAAAAGCCCAAAAAACCAAGGACTTTTTCTACTTGTTCTAAATTCTATCTAGTGAGTTGGTCATGGCTGTCGCGGTGAGTTTTGGTGAGTCAAGTTAATGGAACTGGCTCTTCTTCAGAAACAATTCCGGAGCCGCTGCTTCGCCATCTGGAGAGCCTGATGCGGGCCGGCGGGTCGGACATCATCTCGGTGACGGTGCGAGGGACCGGAACATCGACGAGTCGCTCGAATTCGGTGGCGCCTCCCTCTTCGCGGCCTCGGAAGAATTCTTCGGCTGGATCGCGCGGTCCCGTGCTGAGGAAGCCGAATGGGAAGCCGTGCTCGGAGACGAGCGTCGAGCCGGGTTTCCGTGGCCGCTCAAAGTTGGTGTTGTTTGCTTCTGATTTGGTGGAACGGAGGGGGGGGGGGGGTAACTTTCGTTTATCGCCCCGTAAGCTAGCTTTTTATGCCGTTTTGAGGCCTAGAAATCTCATAAAAAATTGGCTAAATTTTTGACAATTTTATTTCTGATCAAAAACAAGGAAAATGCTGCGAAGTTTTTGGCAGTTTCCGTAATAAAAATTTTTAGCCTCCCCCGTTAACAACCCAGTACCAAAGAGACGATACCGGTCAAACGGAAACCTGAAAACCCTCAATTTTAGAGGGCTGAAGCAGTCGACTGGGCTGAAGCCGTACCAGGTGTCGAGCGTGTTGTCGCTGAACGGGCTGGCTTCGATGAGCAGCCGCAGCCCCGACTGTGCCACCGAGGTCATGTTCCCGCCGGCGGCCAAGATGAGCGGGCACAGCCTCAGCAATGCGGTGATCGATTGTATCCGGCCTAAGAACTGTTGGGTTGCAGAGTACCCAGTTGAACATCCTGGAAGAGTCGTACAGAAGCCCGAAGTTGGATAGCCAGAAGGTTGGCGGTGATCACCTGAGCTACATGAGCTGCCCGTCGATGCTGTTCAGCCCCGGAGATTTCTCAAATCTCAGCGACAACGAGGAGACAGACAAACGAGTGCGCCATTAATTGGCTTTGTGTATAAAGATTGTTCGAAATACACAGCTATTGTTGCAAAACTTGATATTGTTGTTGACAAAGGCAAGGATATACCAGCCCCTTCAAAAGAGTCACATTGCTTGCCAAAGCGGGTTAAAAAAACCCGGATCAAACCGAATGAAAAACCGCTTCGCGGTGTTTTGGCTTTGGTCCCGCCCCATCCCTATAAAATTCAAGACTTCGCACCATTGTTGCCGAATTCCTATGACAAAAAACCTGAAGCTCCCTTTTAGCCGTTGTGAACATTTGAACATCTTGATATTGTCGTTGATGTGGACGAAAAACGAAAAGATACTACAAAAATCCCACTTTTATTCCGAAAAAAGGCACACATATTCGAAACGGTACATTGCAACAAATACAAATATTCGATCACGAAATACAAAACTATTTTAGCGGATGGATGCGGTTAGAGTTGGCTCAGGAGAAGATGGGCTGGCGCTTCTCGATGGTCTTGCGGCAGATATGGCAAATGGAGAGAGCCGAGGCACAGCCCTGGCAAGCCGTGTGCCCGCAGCCGAACACCATATCCGGCTTACTGTCAAGGCATATGGCACACTAAACGATGTGAAGTTTTTGGGGGCTCGGGGCGAAGGTCACCTGGAAGGCCATCTCGAGCTCATCGAGGCGATCACGCAACGCGCGTAGCTCGATATGTTTCTCTGACGAAGAGCAAAGTTGGAATTGCTCAAAAACGATACCATGCTCTGCCTGTTGCTTGGCCTGCGCGGCGGCCTCTTCAGCAATGCGACGAGCCTCATCCTCGCTCAGGCCGCCACCGGAGGGCACTGAAAAGAGGAAAAGTGGTAATAGATAGTTAGAGAACCCCTAGACACATTCGGTTGCACGCGCACGACGCCAATCTCCACGGTACTACCGTCTAAAATCAAAATAATTGTTAAACGCCTTGAAAAAATGGCAGCAACCAAGCGTCGAAGCCGACTGGATCGTCAAGTAGCACAGGGGGCATCGGCGCAACGGCGTCGTGCGCACACACTCACGGCATACCACGCGGTGCTCGCATGGGCTAAAAATGGTCTCAAAAATCGGTTAGATTTTATTGGTTAGCAGGACTGTTAGCAGGGGGGGGGACTAATCTTTCCCAGTAATTCCGGGTCCCTTTGATGAAGAATAAACCATTTACGTTGCATCCGCACAGTTCTCAGCTTTAAAAAGTTCAGGCAAAAAAAAACATAAAAAAGTTCGAATGTTTTGACTTTTTTGTCAAAATGCATGGAAAAGCCACAAAAGTCAAATTTTTGATTTCGTAAAGATATTTTTGATAAATTTCTAGCAATCAAAACGTGCTAAAAACCTATAAAACTACAATGGATATTATCAAAAATTAGTTTTCCCACCCTTCAACCCCCCCGGCCCCCTACTAACAGTCCCATACCATTTTATTTACCTAAAAATGACATCAGCCACATTGTCCTCACAGTTGAAGGTGCACATCGTGACGCCCGACGAGTCAAACTCGGTGGCTGCCAGCATCGATTCCGGGAGGCGGGGCCTGCAAAAGTAATGGCGTAAGAATAACCCTTAAATTCCCTACTTTGAGCGGTAGCCGGCAAACTCGACCAACATCTCGGCCACCACCGGCCATTTGCAAAGGTTGACCGGCGTCGCGCTAAAAATATAATTTTTGGTGGTCGACGTGAGCGAACCCGTCCTCCGTGGTGGCGGCAATGTCGGCGCCCCTGATGCAGAAATAGGCCGCGACGGAAAGGGCCCAATGCGGGCGCAGCTTGGCCGCCAGCTCATCCAGCTTCTACAAAACGAAAAAAAGGTGAGGCAACGCTAGAAAAATTCGAACCGAATTCATGAGGCCGATGGCGCGGAAACTTTTGATGATCTCTTCGGGCGGCTAGAACCATATGTATTGAATTGAAGGAACGAGATAAAAGGTACCTGCGGCATGTTGTTGAGCTCCTTGACGATTAGGTGCAGCGGGGTGGCCCCATCGACGTCCGGGATGTTCAGGTTGCAGCCAGCGTTGATCAGCGCCTAAATGAGCTTGAGTAAAAGTCAGGAAACACCACGGACTTGAATACAGGCCAGCCGCTCGAGGATGCGGTCGGCCGAGCCGGACCAAGTGAGCACCGAGAAATGTAGAGGAGTACGACCGCCGCGTGAGGCGCGGTTGACATCAGCGCCCAACTAAAATAGAAGCTTTTGTCTTTAATAAAAGCTAACTACATTTCAACTAAAAAAACTAGCTAAAAACGAAAAGACGAAAATCTAAAATTTTTGTCAGAAATCGGCCATTTTTGACCCGGAAAACCGATAATTTTGGTGTTTTTAATAACATTTTTTACAGTTTTACGTTTGGGAATCGTAAAAAGAAAACTTTAAAAACATGGCAGCTATTTAAATTAAACCAATTTGGATCCCTAGAGAAAAGTTGCCCCCTCCCCCGAACATGCGAAAGAACCGAAAAAAATTCCGGGAAAAAAGAACGGTCTTCTTTCAAGGCGATACCTCAATGATGCTCTCAAGGATACGACGACGGGCGAAGAGGGCGGCGGAGTGAAGCGGGGGCAGCATAGCCGTCGGGCAGATGGCCGTCGTCCCCATAGTGCCGGGGAGGAGGGCAGGGCGAGCTTGCAGGAATTCCATCGTAGAACTGGAAAAAATTTCACATTGGAAAACTGAACAAACGCGTGATATCCCTTGACGATGCCGTTCTGCAGGGCCGTCAGATCGTCGACGTTGCGAAGGTGGACGGTGACGCGGATGCACGACAATAGGCGGCCCAGGATGGCCTAAAAGGAGAGATAAAGACAGCGGGATCAAAACCATACTCGTTTGTTCTCGCTTTCTGGCATTCCAGTCACGACGTGGAGTGGAGTGTCGCCGTTCTTATTCTAAAAGAATAGAAAAGAGCAAAGGTGGATTCACCTGTATATTTGGCTGAATGTGGTCGAGGGAGAGTAACCGCTCGACACAAGCCGCATGGAGTCCCCGGGTGGCGAGATGGACGGCCGTGTCGCCGTCGCCGTTGGGGCGGTTGAGTTCTTGCGGGATGAAGAGGAGCAGACCTTCCACGGTGCCGACATGGCCACTAAAACGAGAGGTACTGGACTATAAGTGGGGGCATAGCTAGCGACGTACGTACGTACTAAATTTTTTTAAGCATTTTCTAATGTATTTCCATAGTTTTCAGTAGCTTCGATGAAGCCACAAAAATTCCTCATTTTGACGCATTTGACGCGCTTTTTTGACGCATGTGGAAAAAAAAACGGTTTCCTATCCCAAAACCTCCCATAACTTTGAAAGATAGCGCCAAATTTGATTGACAACATTCTACCCCTTAGCGGCAAGATGCAGAAGCGTGTTGCCCATCGAATCGAGGCCTTCACGGTCGCCACCCATGGCAATCAGGGCGACACAGGCGGGCCAGTTGCCCAGTTCGGCAGCCAATTGAAGGGGCGAACGGTCTTCCACGGCAATATTCACCTAAAGTGAAACCTAACACAACTAAACAACAGGAATCACCTGTTCCGGGAATTTCTGAGTGCATCGCATGAATTGCTGTGAGCGCCGCGTCAGGGTGTAGTGACGAACAGCTTCCAACAACTCGGATCCGCTAAGAAAAAAGTGAAAATTATCCGAATTTCGTCCTACTCGATAGATGGCAACGGTCCATGGATGAGACGGCGTGGCGACCTGTCATTCCGCACCGTTGGCCCACTGCGCTCCTTCAACACCATGTTCAGCGTTTTTCCTAGCAAGCAACGTCAGCAGAAACGAAACGACATACCGACATAGACCGGCAGCAGCACATCTTCTAGCTGCTCCAGCGGCAAATAGGGCTGTTGCCCAGTTGCGCTGATCAGCGTCAAACCACCGACACTATCTTGGACGGTGACGGTTTGGAGGCGTTCCATGTTCTAAGCAGACATTTATCGAATCGCTAGTCAATACTTACATTGACATTCACCCAAACGCATTGATCGCCATGGGAAAAGTGTGGATTCGGGCAGGGGTTGATAGCTCGAGTCGACCATTCCACGTCGAGGGCATTCTGACAAGAGGTCCATTTTTTCTAGTTTTCTAGAAATTGGCTGCCTGGAGAATTCAAAACGGGGTAAGAGTCTAGAGGCCCCAGCCGGCACCAACTTTTGAATCTCGGCCCCTTTTGTGCTAGCGAGCTCTAAAGTATACCAAAATGTTCGCCGTAGGCTAATTAGTAAGACTACATTGCAGTTTAGTCGAAAAAAGTAGCGAAAAATAAAAATAAGGAAGGTAGAAAAGTTGAAAAGTCGGCTGAGGGGCTTCCTAGACTTGAGCCCAGCACGGAACCAAGCCTATCTAGTGCAGAACTTTTTGGTTGATCGTTGTTGAACTTATAGACGCTGCGACAAGAGCGAAAATACAGGCGAAGCCCTACGAATTTCGGTCTCTTTTTCTCAGATCAATGCGGCCTTTCGCACACTTTAAAACTACCTAATCTTTTAAATCCGGTCGTTTCCCAAGTTCTACAAAGTAGATTCTAATCATCGAAAAATTTTGCGCAAGCTAGGCTTCGTACCTTTTTGAAATGCCACAGGCACAACGATATATCAGTATTACCAGCTGGGTCTTCCCAACGCTTTTCGTCTGCCCCGCTTCGTCGGCTGGGCCACAGGTGTAGAATCGGGTGGTGATTTTCTCGCCGTCGTTGCTGACGGTCGTCACGATGCCCACATGACCAATCAGCTAAAAGGCGTTGATTCGTAAGGGAGGGAAATCCTTGCACCTGTGCCATCCGTTTCGGAGGGTTAATATTGTTGTAGATGTGGAGCTTCTCCAAGGCCTTCGCCTCACATTCCGCAACCGAAATCCGCATTCCGACACCGACACGCCGGAACTCGACATCACCGCCCGCTGCCATGTTTGTAATGGGTAATGAGGTCTTCTGTTGTATTTTCTTTGGCTTTGCTTCCGTGATTCAAATCTCGGATGTAAACTTGATATATTAATTATTTATTACGCTACGCACATTCACAAATTCTATCAATCTCACAAGAGGGAATGGATATGGGGGGATTCGATCGATTTTGTTGGCGCGGTTCAAAGGTGCTTCTTGATCACTTCCTCGAGTAGACGGGCATCCTAGAATAAGGAATTAACGAAAAAAATTGATACAAAAAATACCCTGGCAAAGAAGCGGATCCCCTCCGAAAGTTTGTCGCTGGACATGGGATCTTCGTTCAGGGCCCAGCGATATGCGGCCTCGCTGACTGTGATGCGATCGACGGAAGCGTCGCTAGCTGTAAAAAAAACTATAAAAACCCATAACGTATAAACTCACCCTTACTCTTTTCGAGTACGACCTTCAGCTCTTCACTATCCCCGTCCAGTTCCTTGAGCAGTGATGGACTGAAAAACAACATACCACAAGAAAAAAAAGGTTGATTTAGCTTTACGTTCCTTTCTTAAACTGGGTCTTTATGCTGCAAACTCCAAAAATAACATACAGGCTTAGATTTTGAAATGGGTGACCGGACTGTCTTTTTAATAAGAGTTTTATACCCGGAAAAACGATACTAACCTGATGGTCAACAGATCGCAGCCAGCGAGCCCCTTGATCTGCTCGGTGTTGCGGAACGAGGCGGCCATCACCTGCGTCGGGTAGCCGAATTTCTTGTAGTACGTGTAGATGCGTTGCACGCTCTAGACAGACACAATAATGCTAGAAAAATAGACGCACCTTGACTCCCGGATCGGAAACACGGTCAAAGGACTTTTGGTCCGTATTCTTGACATACCTAAAAGGTAAGCGTTTAATATGTAGGAAAAACATTTCATTACCAGTCCATGATTCGGCCGACGAATGGCGAGACGAGCGTGGCACCGGCTTCAGCACACGCAACAGCCTAAAAAAGGAGTAATTTTCGCGAAAATATATCTAAAATCTGGCTAGAAAATCCACCGCCTATGCCGTTCGTGGCAGTTTTTCAACGCCGACTGTGCGCTTATGCGTACGTTCCTCCAAATTGAAACAAATTCTCTAATACCTGTTCGAAATTGAAGAGCAACGTCATATTGCAGTGAATTCCCTCCTTCTCCAGCTCCCTCGCCGTCTCGATCCCTTCCCACGTGGAGGCCAGCTTGATCAGGATGCGCTCTTTGTCGATGCCCTCATCTTTGAACAGCGAAATAAAACGCTTCGCCTTCTCGAGAGAAGCTGCCTTGTCGAACGAAAGCCTAAAAAAATGTTTACGTCGCGAAGAAAGCTTCACCTAGCATCCACTTCAACGGACACTCTTCCAGGAATGAGCTTCAAGATTTCCTTGGCGAAGACGACGAACAAACGATCCATCGCATTTCCCACGATCTAGAAAAGTGAGTTCATTAGCTTAATAAAGAAAGTTTTTACCTCGCATTTGTCACCGCCCTTCGCCTTGGCCCATTCGATCGCTTCCTTCACTAGTGGTTGATAATCTTCCATTTTGGCGGCCGCCAGGATCAGCGATGGATTCGTGGTGGCATCGGTCGGGTGGAAGCGGGCGATTGCTAAAAAGAATATTCCCGAATATATTCAAAAATTTACCGTTAAAATCCCCGGAGTCGGCTACAACTGTCGTAATCTTCTTGAGTTGTTCCAGAGTGGAGGGCATTTCAGCTAATCTGCAAAATCAAACTTTAAATACTAAATTGCTTAATTTTATTGAAAACAGCGAGAAAGGCATAATCTGATTTGATAAGGTGGACAAGGAATGCAGCCCATTTGACTAGGAACTGAAGAGCGGCGCGCAGTCGTATCCGTCAACACAGAGCAGAGACAAGCAGAAAGGGCACACCGCCCCGCCCCTTCACCCTCTTTCCAGTCCGACAACAACCCAGACCTATTTTTATAAGGTGTGCAATGATGTCGCGTAAAGAATGGGGCCCGTTCAATCGATATTCTGCGAGGGTGTTTTGCCTCTTCCGATCTAGATGCCGCCGCGAGACAATCAGGCCATCCCAGCAAAAGAAAGTGGTTCGACGCAAAGAGAGAATTCCGGCTCAGTTCCTTTTCGATCTACAGGGTGGGCAAAAAAAAAAAGATCCGAGTTTGGGTCGAAATATCTCGCTTATCTTTGAGAATCGAAGGTACGTTACCATGCCAGAATGCTTAAATATGCTGGGTATGAAGATTTAACACAACTTGATTTTTTCGATTTTTGGGTACGCAACTGTACTATTGACGCTGGTTACGACCGAAAATTGTGCGTTCTTGAACGGGTGGTGGAAAAATTCTGATTTTTGTCCCAAAAAAATAGTATAAATTTGTAGAAAGATAATAGCAAAGTCTTAGAATTTTTCGAGGTCTATTTCATTTTTTAGAAACAAAACAATTTTCGCGATTTTGCCTTATTTTCTTCTTTAAGTGATAACTCGCTTCTAACTCACTGCCCATGGCTGCTTTTTTGCCAATGGCTTATCCAAATATTAATCTCGGGTCACGCACCAGAACCCACCACAATCTATGGTATTTTTGTATTGCTTGCTAAAACGTGCCCCAGTGGGGTACTGTAGGTTTGGTTTTTCCCGCTTTTCTCGGCTCCCCTAGCTTCGATCCGGCTGAAAATTTCTGGGTTGTAGGGCAATAAGTAGGGACACCTTGCTGCCAAATACGAGAGCGTACTATCCACAAACGTTCATGAAAAAGACTAAAAACTGATTTTTTAATTCTGCGGCAGAATTTTGTAAATTTTTCGGTCAATTGGTCCAAAAACTGCTACTATTGGTTTTCCGAAAAGATCGAAGCGATTCCATGGCAAAAACACCACGAAAATCTCAAATTTCGGTTTTCTACAGTAACCCACGTGGAGCGCGTTTTAGCATGCCATCACAAAATTCCATAAACTGACGATTTTTCAGGTCGAGGGCCTTCTAGAGTTGATTGTAAGATAGCCTGTCAAAAATTACTGAGTTTTGGTGGTGAATAACAAAGTTACAAGGCCAAGTGCAAAACAAGGCCAGAGAGCCGATTTTGGGTCCGAGTAGCCGGGGTCAATTTTCGAATTTTTAAAAATAAAAAAACCACCTGGATCTTAGGGATACGATTAAAGATTTGATGTTTTTATTTACGCTCGTCGAATTCCGGAGCAATCTGATTCAAAATTATGGTGACTTCCAGCCAAAATTGGAAAATCACCTTGTTCTAAAACCGAAGTATAGAATTCTTCGTAAAATTTTTTCGACGCTAAATTGTTTTAATCTTTGCATAGTTTTATTTAACTAATACTACAGATTTATTGGTCAGAAGTTCCTGGCGATTTCACCTTCCAAAAATTTTTTACGCCCCCTCGAATTCGGTTTATTTCGGGTTTTGATGAATTTCCTTGTCGCCAACGGCTGGTCAAATAAATTCAAGAATTTGGCATTAGGATGCGCTATTCCAATAATATCTGATAAAATTTAAATGACAATTTTCATAGCACTGTTAAAATTTAAAATTGTTAGCGGGTTTTGGAAAAAAGCACGAATCAACCGTTTTGGAGGCCCTAAAAGGCGCCCTTCCAAAGGGGTACGGTAGCTCGGAATTTTGGAGATGATGGATAAACCCCAGTCCTACATAGCTAAGTAAAAAAAATAGCTGCGTCCCCTTTGGCAATTTATCAATATTTTTCCAAAGTCCGGTTTCGAGACCTCGAAAAATCCACGACCCGGGGGTCGTTGAAAAACTCGAAAATTCATCGATCTCGAAAATTTTTTAAGTGTATTTAAGCGGTTTTATAGGGTCCGTAGTTATTCTACAACAACTTATTCTGATGTTTTGGCCATAGGTTTTTGTAATTTTCGAAATTTACGAAATTTCTCCATACAAAATTTCATTCCTCTATAACTTGTCAACCAGACCCTCAAAAATTCTTAAATTTTGTAGGTGCATATCTACTGCCGACATTAACTTAAATAGGAAAAATTAGAACCCAGCCACCACAGGAAACTGAGAAAAATGCAAATGAAGTTTTGCGGAACGCACATTTTCCGGGTGTAATTTGTATTGATACGTCGCCAAAAATCGAAAAAATCAAGTTGTGTTAAATCTTCATACCCAGCATATTTAAGCATTCTGGCATGGTAACGTACCTTCGATTCTCAAAGATAAGCGAGATATTTCGACCCAAACTCGGATCTTTTTTTTTTGCCCACCCTGTACAAATAACATGGTATCGCAGGTGTTCTCAACCTAGAGTCGTAAAGTTCTCCGAGATGTTCTGTAGCACCATGTTTTTATCACGTATCACGTAAAGGGCAAAGTAGGAACATATCACAATATATACAATTTGAGAATGGACTAAAGATAAGGTTGGTCGTATATACACACTAGCAGACACAGAAAATACACCAGCACTATTCACCAAGAAAGAAATAGAAATGACAACGATAGATTATTGAAGGTTCAACAACAAGCATTTGTTTGCTTCCTTCCTCTTCATACGGAACTCCTCCTCGAATGGCCTCAGAGGACTCTTCTCAGCTAAAGAATGGGGGATCTAACTTCTCCGTTAAATCCGTACACTGCTTGTTAGCTCCTTGTCGAAGAGCTGCTTGGGGGACATACTCCTGACGGACTCTGGGGCGCGATTCACGATAAACGGGTGCCGAGTTTTGTGCAGAATTCGATTGCTAAAAAACCTTTTTGAAAATATACAACCTTTACCTTTCTAACAAAGTGTTGAACAAGGAAACAGATGGTAGCCGCCATGCCGATGCCCACAACGTAGAGGAGGTACGTCAGGGCGGACGAGCCATAGTTATCGCCAACGACAAAGATAGTCCCGTTCACGACATCAGAGATGAAGTGGCGGTCGCCCCGCTAAACAACAGATATAAATTATATGCAAGATCGAACCTCCTCCCTGTAGTGAAGACGGATCTTAAGTCCGGGCATTTGGTCGTAAAATCGGGTAGGCACATAGAAACTATCTCCAACAGTGACCTCATCCTTCGGCGGCACCCGAACATTGTACTCCATTTTGCTGACCTAAACGCGAAAATGAAACGTAAAAGTAATTATACTGCTCCCAACGTTTCGCTATCTTGGGGGCTGAACGAGACATCGGACCATTTCACACGGAGTTCGATATTTCCTCGATTCTGGAAACCGATGAGGTACTTGATACGCTGCCCGGGGGACAGTTCTGAAATGGTAGAATTAGGTGACGGGCGAGAGAAAGGTCCGGACCAGAGATGTTATGTCCTTCATCGTAGCTGCTGAGACGGAAAGTGAGGGCGACGTCCGAACTGGATCCCAACTAAAGCAGAAATCGTCAAGAATAGAAACAAAAACGAACCAAACGTACATCAACTTCCGTGATGTTTAGCGCACGGGTGAAGTCATAATCATACCATTTGCCCTGAACATAGTTCGAAGCTAGCCATAGAAAACAAGCGACGAAAAGCGCGTTTTTCAGCATCGCGGTGTTAAAAGTTTGAATAAACCGAGAGGAGCCGAAATACCACGAAAATTCGGGTCCCGAAGGAGTAGCTTGCGTTTCCATCGGCTACGGTAACGTGGCGCGATGGCGTGGCATAGCAATTAGGTTATTGCTATCAGTGCGCCTGTAAAAGTCGAAAACTAAAAAACTTCTGGATGTGGTGCAGTTGATTTTACACGAAGTTGGCTTAAAAATTATATTTCCCGTTCACGATTCAGTGGTTTCAGACGGAAAAGGGTAATCAAACAAGCAACGATGCGGAAATTGAGGAACCACTCACAATAAATAAAAGTCGCCAAGGTGCCGGCGCGGCAGCAATGAACGTGTACCCATGAGCAGACAAAAAGAAATCTATACAACAACGACGAATACCCAGCCTCAATGAGAAGAGAATGATGTTTGAAGGTTGGAGAGGTAACTCGCTAGACACAAAACAAAATCACAATCGGCGGACCGTTGATTATGATGCCCTTGTGGGTGGTAATGGTGTTATCTATCTATTCGGCCTTCTGGGCCTTGCGCTGCTTGGGTGAGCCGGGCTTGGGAGACTTCTTTTCGGCTGAAAAAGAGGATTATTGCAGTGATAGGAGCAAAATCACTTACCGGCCTTGATGACGTCCCTGGGGATCCATTCGTAGTCGACCTCAGAACGGGAAGAAGTGCCAGTCTCGACGGGAGCCGAACGCTTCTTGGTGATACCGGCCTTGCGGCTCAGCTAAAAAATATTTAAAGGTAAATAATAAAATGGATACCTTTCCAAAGTAGTGCTGTCCAACGAAATAGGCGGCGACGGCGAGGCCGGCGAAGACAAGGTAGAGGAAGTAGGTCTCGCCAGAGAAGCCAGATTCGTCTTCAATCACGGAGACGGTCTCATTGAAGACGTTCGAGATGAAGTAACGGCCATCCTGAAAAGTATCGATACATTAGATGACGAAAAATAGCAAAAATACAATAGGGTTAATATAGCGGATAGCAATTTTTTTAAATATCAAATTTGAAAGAAAACTGACAGCATCCTCGTAGTGCAGCCTAACGGTGAGTCCCATTGGCCTTCCGGCGAACTGGTCGGAGACAAAGAAGCCGTAGTCAACGGTGACCTCCTCCTTCGGGGCAACGCGGCGGTTGTACTGGCCGTGGGTGAACTAAAAAATGGTATCCCGTAAACAAGCGTTGAAATACGTTCTGGAGGTGGTAGTTGAAGTCCTGGTGGTAGCGGAACGACGTCTCGGAGAACTTGACGGTGAAATCGCGCTCGCCGCGGTTCCGGAAGCCGATGAGGTACTTGACAAGTTTGCCGCCGATCAGTTCTGAAAAAGAATCGAGTTTTACAGGGCGAAAACGATGCAGTAGGATCAAAAAAATCATACGAACCGCGGTTGATGTTAGCTCCATCGGGGGTGGTGAAGAGGAATGAGATGGCGGCATCCGAGCTGGGGCCAACCTAAATGAGAAAATAGAAACCAGTTTTAAAATAAAGGAAAAAAATTAAAAAATAGCGTACCAGGTGCTCGTCTTCCGCCGGGGCGGCCTGAGCTCCCTCGTCACGGACTTCACCGTCAGCCGCATCCTCGCAGAGCACTAAAAAATGGGAAATATACCAAAAACAGAATGAAAACGAACCATAGTTAAAAGCCAGGCATCCGAGTGCGATCAAGAGCAGCGCCTTTCTCAACATCGCTCTGAAATCAAGAAAAGTTTAGTGAGGAAAAATAGCCGAAGAAGTGTTAAGAAGACATAGATTTACGAAAAATCTACTAAATTCTTGGAAAACAATCAAAAGGAACAATAATGGGTCTCCTTAGTTCTATTTCGGGATAGAGGACCCATTTTGATTGTTCGAAAACCAGTTTTCAGGGGTATTTTTGCGCGCTCGTCCCAAAAAACGATATTGTAGCAATTGAAAATGAATAGAAAATGTTCGAGAAAATGTGGCACAAACCGTAGTTTTGTTCAATAAAAGTGAGTCCCTGATTCGAAAAGCACGCAGGCTTCTAAAGAGATACTTCGTTAGCAAATTTTCTTTCTTCTATCTTCTAAAGAGAGCCTTAGAGAAAGAAAGATAAATTTGAGTTAAATAAAGTTCAGAGAAGCTAACCAAAACTGAGAACTACTCGAATGAGATGCCATATTAGGGGTCAGCCGTCGCAGTGCGAGATTCGCGGCTGACAAGGAGGGGTACAGTGCATAGAGGGTCGCACACACAAGGGAATCCTGGCCACATCGTAGCCCGGCGACGGTGGACTGCAAGCCTGAGATCGCGGCGGGACCTCCTCTCTTGAGAGAGCGCCTCAACCAAGAGACGCAGACCGCAGATCAAGATTGGATCGCCAGAAATTACGCGTTTGTAGCTTTTACTACACCAATGTAGCGAAATTTTTGGTTGGTACTGGTTCGTTAGCGGGGGGGGAGGGGGTTTATGATAGCGTGGGCGCCCAATAGTGCAATACAAACTATTTTACCATCAATTGGTACTTTTTTAAATCAAAAAGTGGATAAAAATTATGAAGCTTTCAACAAATCTTTGGATTTTAAGGAAAATCTATAGCAATTCCTAAAATTAGTGCAAAAACTAGCCTGTTAGTTTTAAAAATCCAATACTAGTTTCATTTTTGATTTTACAACGTGTTTCGATATCTTTGTCATTCTTAGCGGGATAAAGCAGAAGGCCGCATTTTCGAAAAATTTATTCTGTACGGACAACTTCCCAAAAATCCCCCAATAAATTATGCACAATGCCTAAAACATCACATTTGCGGGTAGTGTTATCACATTTTCATGAAAAGGCTAGTAATCAAAGAAAAAAGGCACAGGAAAAATTAAGGTCGAGATTAGGCTTTGTTGAGGAGTAGGTGGATGTGTTGTGGCGATGGAATGGCCGTGATCGAGACTCCCTCTTCACCAAGCCAACGTGCCGTCAGTGCGGCCGCGCGGCCGAACAAATCGACGATGCGTTTCTAAAAACAGAATTTGGTCGAGTATTTTTTTTCCTATACGTCCAGCTATGCCTAGCAACGCCATAACGATGGTCTTTTTCCCAAGATTTAGCTTGGTTCACGCAAACAAACAATATAGAAAACTTAGAAAAGCGTTTAAAATTTCATTTGCTAGCAAAATACATTTTTTGGAATTTTTTTATACAGATTTGACGAGCTTTTGCGTTCACGATATGTTGTAAAAACTACCTAAAAATACTACTATTATTTATTTTTTTAGCAATTTAAAAACATCATCATCATCACATGTCCCTGGAAATAGTGAAAACCCCCAGAATTTGATCAAGGTTATTTTACCTTCACTGGCTGCAACAAGATGGCCTCCGTCTCAGCCACGCCAATGTAGAGCGAGAAAGACGCGCGGATCTGTAACAAACGATCTTATAAAATATCGCAAAAAATCTCCCACCACCGGCCATTCTTTCCCCAACCGACGCTGCGTTTCCGCAGCGCAATCCCGGATCTTCTCCGATGAAAATTGAGGGAAGCGAGCGATGGCGAACCCTTCTTTCTTAGCCTAGGAAAAGATTAATTCTGTGCGTAGAAAAATACCTCTTGCTCAAAGTCGGCTACCAATTTCTCAAAATCTCGTGCCAGCAAGCCGGCGCAGCAGTCGATCAGTTGGTTGCACCTAGAGAAAACCATGGTAATTTTGGAGGATATTTACCTTGTTCGTAGGCTGTTGTCGACCACACGACGACTATCACCCACCACCTCACAAACTTGGACTGGAGCCTGAAAAATTCAGTAAGTGCAAAATTTCCTCGATTTTAGGAAGTCCTATCAAAACCAAGACCGCTTATTTTTCAAGTCCAAATTTAAACGGCTTGAACGTTTCCGGCGCGGCCTAAAACGGCTTTGAAAACCTGCCCGAGTGCCAGAAATGGCATAAAAATTAGCATTTTGCTGTTTTAAAAAAATGCCTCGACCGAAAAAAAACCTCAGAAATCCAGTCGGTCTCGCTGAAAAACAACTTAAATACTTTTGTAGCGTATATATTGATGTAGATTAAAATAATCAAAAGACATAGAAAATTAATCTCCCCGCCTTTCCTAGAGCTTTCCATGCATACCTATCTCGTACAAAAATCGTACACTTACCCGGACAGCTAGAAGTTGTCTTTTTCCCGCCACCCTGTAGAAATAGCTAAATCACCCACCGACACGCTAAAAAGCAACTCCAGAAACGCATCGGTGGACATGTTGTAGATGAAGTTCGAGGCCGAGTCGCGCACTTTGGTGAGTGACAACGAGAAATCGCGGGAGTGGATCGTGCTCTGGCCACTTCGGGTAGCTGCTGATCTGTAGGGTGCCGTCTGCTCGCGCAAGATCAGCAGGTGCTTCACCACGAACAGATGAGCATCAAGCGGGCGGCCCTTGCGGCCATCAACACCGTTCTGCAAAAAAAGATATGCAAAATAAAAATAGAAACGAAAATTACCGTGATAAAAAGCGCGGCGGCGTCTAGCGACTCGCAGCAGGCGACAAGTAGTTCTCGGGCGAGCGACTCGAATACGGACAACTAGAAAAAGAGTTACAGTTTTGTTATCGGGGGGGAGTGTTTAGAAGGGACCTTAATTTTGTCCTAGCCCCCCTATAGGATCCCAATAATGAAATATCCACCACTTATATACATTTAGGTATATGAAGTTCATTACAAAATTAGTCAAAACCTGTGGAAATTGTAAAAATCCCAAATTATTAAATTTTATAAAATTGTTTTTTTTTTTTAGATAAGCAAAAGCTACTAAAAATCCTATAACCTTTTTGGGTTGATATAGGGGTTTTAAAAATAGAATGAAGATCCCAAAAAAAAATTAAACACCTCCAAACACTTGAAAAGCTTGGCGAGGCACACGACAGTCCTGCGTACGGTAGGATACCATAGACAATGCAAATCCACAGCAAAGCTAGCCTCCGATCCAGCGTCCGCCTCGCCGTTCTCCCCCTCGCGCCTAAAATATGGTTTTCAGAAAAGAAGTATCTTCCGCTACTTAGCGCGCTGCTCATCCTCAATTTTGCGCATCATTTCCAGACGTTCAGGGTAGGCGAGGTCACCGGAAACGGGCGTGTAGTTGATGATGTCATTTTGGCCGTATTGTGAAGCTCTAAAAAGGACATTGCAAAATTTAGGCTTCGGTTACCTGTAGACAATTCGCTCCTGTACATCACCAATAAGATCCCCTGCAACGATCACAAAGCCCGTGTAGGGGTCGCCAAGTGCCGATTCTGTCTGTTGGGCCATACAGCGTTCTTCGACCATTTCTAGCTATAAAAATCGAAAATAGGTTTTTCGAAATATCGGGGCCATAAAACCCCTTCTTTATTTCTTCATTTTTCATTTTCTTCATCTAAAAATAGAGTGAAAATTTCTACATTCCTAAACGTGACAACTATGCGAACTTTGTTAAAAATAGCGATTTTAGACTAACAATAAAGGATTTTCCACCACAGATTCAAATTTTTAACCCTTGCTCCCAGCTTTCTAAATGGCTTTTCTAATTGCCATCTAGCTAAATTCAAATCTTTAAAATTTTGTCCGGGTGATTGCTTTATAATTTGAAAATTTTGAAAATTTAACACATTTTTAATGTTTTGCGAATAATTTTCCAATTCCAAATATAGATGCATATTATTAAAAAACACTTTTAAAAGAGCAAGTAAGAAAAAATTGGTCCACCCCCCCCGCTAATGTAAATGAACCTGGATTAGCTACCGCTTTACCTTGATAATGGAGCATAATTCAGCCAGTGTCTCCAGATGTGGATTGTGGACAATGATCGGGCGAAGCACGTCGTAAAGTAGCCGGGTGATACTCTCGGAAAAGGCATCAAAAGCCGTTCGCTTTCTGCGTTGGTAGCCGGTGCGCGTCGTGTTCATTGACATGATTGAGGGTGTTGGTGAGGCCCTGGAAAAACGTAGGTAAGAGGTCCATTCCTTTTCTAAAAACTTTTGAAATTTTTCCATACCTCCCAGTAGATCCATTCGATTTTCCGCTCGATTCCAAAGCAAAGAATTGGCGGAAGAGGCGGAACTCGTCTCCACAAACGCCAATCAGGAATAGACAGCCCGTTCTGGCCAATGTGCAACAAGAGTTGATGTATTGACTGAAAAAAAGACACTTTCGTGTAGTAATTTCATCTAATCCGTGCTGAAAAAGAATCTCGATTTCCTTACCCGGTCAGCTTATTCAGCGTGCTCTCAATGATTGGGGCCAGAAGTTGTTGTCGAAGCTAAAAATAATGTTTTTCAGAATACACCCTTGAAAAATACCTGAAAGTATGAGGTGTAGCATTCTGAAACCATCTCCTCAAATTCGGGCACTTGAGCAAATCGTTGTTCAGCCACGCCCAGCGCGCACCTAAAAAAATGGTTAGAAAAAAGATGGATACTATTTACTTGACTGAAGCGGCATTGGATGCAAAAATTCCGTAGAGCAAGGCGCGGGTGTCTTCATCTGAAAAATCCGATGGAAACTAAAGCGAATATGAGAAGAGATAAGGCTAAAAGGCACAAGTTCGGCAAGCGATCCCGAAAATTAAAAAGTTTTAAAGTATTAAAAAATACCTGCGTGATCAACGCGCGCCCAATCTATCGACAACTCGGCTTGCCTAAATAAAAAAATTAGCAAATACAAAAACACCATACTTCTTTTTGACAGTTTCGACACTGGACTCCAGGTCTGCGAGCACTTTGACTCGAATCCACGTCATCGCCCTAAAGCGGAATTTACAAAAAAAAACAAGAAACTTCACCGGCTAAGACACTGTTCATATTTCTGGATGTAGAGCGCGCTCTCTTTATACTCCGGATGGGCACGAAGAAACGATAGCCCATCGTCAATTGAAGACAACAGAGAAGAAAACGATGGGGCCGTCACGGCTACACGGCCTCGGTCCGAAAGCTTCTAGAAAGTTGGAACTAAAAAACCTTGACAATTTATAGAATACCTTCATAATAATATCAGCTTGTTTGAAATAATGCAAGTTTGCGCGGATTTGCTCGGAACCGGCCGCCAGAGATGTCTAAAATGAACTATATTTCTGAAAAGCTTTTGAAAGAGTACCTGATGAGCCATGGAGCGATCACATGCGTCGTGTAGCGCGCTTGTCCTCGATGTAACAGAAGAATACGACCCTCGTAGCTCCACCAAATTCTGAAAAAAGAGCCGGTAAGTCCTAGAAATTACGAACCTCTTGACAAGCCTCGATTCTCTCAGACAGCTCTCGCACGCGTCGCATATTTGCACGCATGGCGGTTACCTTAAAAAATGTCATAAATAGTAACTAAAAGTACGCACCTGGGCAGACTGGCCCTTCTCCAAAAGCTGAAGCTCACTGCTATGCGCCAGGCGAAGGGCGGCTTCGAGGTTTCCGGCGAGCGTGCTGGCCGAGGGGATTTGTTCTAAAGTTTCATTATTGCTAATTTCCTCTCTAATATTAGGTTAGTTCAAGTGTCAATTAATTATACCAGGTTTCTCATCTATCGGCACCTCCTTCGGCAATCCCCAATTTGCGCAGGCCTGGCCAAGCAGCTCCACGGTTTGCATGTGCAGCTGCTCGAGATCCATGACCTGAAATATTCCAATTTTCTACATTTTACTTCCATTGCTTCAAAACTAAATAATAAATAAGATACCCCGTATAGAATTTCCTCACGTAAGTGGTTGGTGCGTGGATTTGGGTATGCATATAACCCCCTTTTACGGTGACTTCGGTGCAAGATAACCGTGTAGGAGTGCCAAACCTTCTGTGCTATTGAGAATGAAAAAGAGTATTCTTTAGGTTTTATTCAGCACAAAAAGTCGTAGTTAGATACCCATCACAACATGTACAAACGAAGGAAGTGAACATTTATAGTTTAATCAAATCTAAAAGGTCGGGTCGAATCGCGGCGCTCAATCGACGTACCGGAATCGGTCGGATAGGATCTAAAAAGATGAACTATTGCCTTCAATATAGCAAATTACCTTTGGTTTCTTGGAATCATCATCAATAACGAGGATCATTGATTGGGTGAAGCCGTGCTCCATGCCGCCCACGTCGACTATGCCGGCAACTAGCGCTGTCTGAAAATCAAAGAATCCTACTATATATAAAAAAAATAGTGTTTGTGTGTGTGTGTGTGTGTGTCTGTGCCACTTTGCATGCAACTTTCGTCATTCTGTCCGGAGGATATCTCAAGAGGGGAAGGGTATTAGGCTACGTACGATACGTCATTAGATGCATAATGGCCCTGAGATGACTGCACGCAGATCAGATTTATCAAAATTTTCTATTTTCGACATTAAACTTTAAGTTTTTGTTGCAAATCGTCGTGCCTCTTTGTTAGGAAAAAATTAGCATGCGCCGGAAGTTCCGGTAGCCTATATAATTGGCTAGCGAGCGCAGTTTTCATTTTTTGTCATCGGAAATGAAAGAATTATGCAAAGTGAAGTATATCATGCGATCAGACGGGGCCAGGGTTGAAAAGTCGCGAAGCGGCTTTTCAACCCTGGTTATATAGTTTAAAAACTAAAATTTAACTCATTTTCATTTTCTAGAATCGGATAGTATGCAAAAACTGCCGCCGGTTCCGAGTGTCTAATTAGTTTTCCGGCCCTATGCATGGTTCTTTTTTAAAATCGGAAAAGGAAACCAAAGTCTCAAAACAAAAGGGGTTGGCGGCGACTTTAATCTTCTAAACCGTGAAAACGTTCGAAATACAGAAATTCAGGAAAATTTAGATAAAAATAGTGGCCAAGTAATTACCAGCGCCTCACTTCCATAGCCTCGAACGGCAACAGGTGACAGCCGTTGCACATCCATAGATTGGACGGTGTGTTGTGTTTCAGGGAGGGCCGTCAAAAATCTAAAAATTCGTGTATTAGGATGGTCACAGCTAAATAATTTATGGTCGTACCTAAAACGGACGCAAAAGGGGTAATTTGAATCTGTGATTCCAAAACGCCAGCCTCCACAATCCCTTTAGGAGCACCTAACAATTGTAAAACTTACTTTCCTATCGCGTCGACTCCATTTGTAGGGTTGCCATTCCAAACGATCGTCGAATCATCCCGATACATAAATCCCAGGCGTTCGCGCCGTCGGTCGATCACCTGAAAAAGAAAAAATCTAACGGTCAAATATATAAAAAATCGATCGAATGCCCTCTGCAACCCCGGTTTTCCAGATATATTCCGTAAGCCTCGAGCAACCCTAAAAATTACCTCGTAATAAAGTTGTAGAAATTCGTTGGCTTGATCACAAGCTTGCTTGTCGAAATTTGCGACATCACCGGCAGACATTCTGCAAAAGTGGAACTCTCAAAAGCTGAACGGGTATACAAAAATATAATGGAAGAGTTTTGAAAGTGAATACGAAACATTCGAGTGCGTAACGCTTTCGAAAAGCATATAACCACCACCAGCTGCCAGAAAAGGCAGCAGCACTAAAGCGTAGAAAAACAAAGATAGGGCGATATCCGGCTGCCTTCTCAAGCTCATTTCTGTTTCATGGAGACGATATACAAATCTGTTTATTGAGAACCATATCTTAAAAACAAGCCCGTTGCAGGAGATGGAAACGAAAAGATGGTACCAGTTCAAATACCGGCCGGAAAACAAAAACACTTTCGACGCTAGCCTATGTCGCAAAATTATACGAGAGGGACGCTTAATTTAGGAGAAGCCTTCATCTCCATATTGGTTTGTCTTGTTGGTCTCCTTGGCGAGTCTGGCGGCCATCGCTGAGGGGTAGGTGGCAGAACCAGCGCCCAGCGAATCGCCGCTAGGGGTGCCCGACATGTAGGCGCCTGCGCTCGCGTCACCATATCTGAAAGGGATGTTTTACAAGAACTGGTACTGGACTGCTAGCGCGGGGCGGGGGATCGGTAGAGTGTCTCCTTTTCTTTTTTCAAGCGTAAAGCTTTTGCGCTTTTTTTAGAAATAGAAAGTTTAAAAACAATGCGAATTTCTGGAATTTTGTGTGATTTCTGGTCAAAAACGTCTGAAAATGGTAAAAAAAGGATTTTTACTATTTTGAAAGAAGTAAGAATTTTTTAGCAACGAAAAACTACTAAGAACACTTAATATCACTATAAAACCCTAAAAATTTTGCTAGCTAGGCTAAATCGGTCCCCCTAATAAATGTCAAGTCTCGAAAATTCAACCCATCACAATGTTGTTCTCCGGCTTCATGGAAACGCATCCAAATTAATCTTACCCGTATGGCTGGCTTCCATATCCGGGAATCGGTCGGGCAGCCTGGGGCTGCGAAGGAGAGATGGGGCGCTGCACACCTTCACCATGCCTCATTTGAGGCGCGTGTTGTTCAGCCTAAAACAATATTTCATTCAAAACCGATCGCCTCTACCTGATGCCCATAATCGATGCCGCGGCGGTTTTGCTGTCTCAATTCATCGTAGGATGTCTTTGCGTGGGTACGGTCTTGGTACTGAAAACATATGATAAATCACGTTTTGAAGGTTACCTTTCGCCACAACTCCTCAACCTTCGGCCGCGTCTGTTCTTGGCATTTGCCGGCTGACAGCACAGTGGCGCCCGTGAACGATGCGATTCCCATCACCACGTAGAAAGGCCATCCCTGAAAGAAAATTAATGAGTGTGGAAAATGATTCGTTTTGACCAAAATTTCGACATTTTAACAATATTTCTAAACATGTTTTCAATGTTTCTTCCCCTCAAATATAGCGAAAATTGAGAAAAATATTAACAAAACACTTCCTATTCGATTACTCGGCATACTTGGTGTTATCGGAAAAAACATTCGCTCTCCCGATAATCCAAAAGCACCCGAAAAGCTCTAACCTTCGGCCCAAAGTGGTATTGTGGTGGCAGGCGACTTCGTGCAAAGGCCAACGACCCTAGGACTACGGCAGTAAATGGTAGAGCGCGGGTGGTCAGTATCTAAAAACATAGAATCACCCAGAAAAAAAACCTTACCTCGCCGCTGCATTTCTTCACGATGGCTTCAAGTTCTGCCTTCTCGTCCGAAGAAATATTTTTCAGTAGATGCTAGAAAAATCCATAAAGAAGCTATAAATAAAAAACTACCTGTAATTGTTCTTGGTTGAGGTTGAAGGCGCCAGCCTGTCCATGCCCGTCCATTTTTTTGTAGACTAAAACAGATTAATAGGGGGTGATTAGGGGATTTGACGCTGATAAAAACTTACAAAAATGTTCTAAAATGACTCAAAAAATTTCCAAAAATGTCTAACAATTTTTTTTGCAACCTTCATTATCAAACCAAAATTAGTTCCCCCACTGCTAACAGTCCAGTACCGTTCTCATGTATCGCAAGGTATCAAAGTACCCGGTGCAAGTTTCGAAAAAAAATTTTCGTAAATTTTTATTCAACCAAAAGCATGCCAGAGAAGACAACAAACTAACAAAGCGGAAACTGCAGGGAGGGGGTTGGTGATGATCAACGGGAGGGAAGGTGCTAAAATAAGGGGAGGGGATACCGGTAATGACCCATAGAGCAACAACAAATCGGGATAAAGAATATCCTCAGAACATGGCCAGCGCCACGGAGATCGGGTTTCGTTTGAAGCGTTTGCCGTCAAGTGTTAGAGCCGCCGAATGCGCTGCCTAAACATATAAACTGGGAAAAATCTGTACAAAACCGACCTCAGGATCGCGCATTGCGAGCATGCAATCGCCGGTCGGCATTCCACGCTCATCCATGCGGATTCGAATAGTGCTGTGATCCAAGGGATAGCCGTCAAAGAAGCCGATTACATCTTCTAGGCACACCTAAAAGAGTTGTTTTTCCGGCTTTTAAAAATTAAAATTAAATACAAGAAAGCGTAATATATATAATCACCAACATCATTGTCGAATCCACGGCTCAGCAGCACTGAACCACAGGGGCCCAGGGCAGATGCCAACGAGCCATCGACTTCAACCTGAAATATTAGATGTTAAAAAGGTGCCAAAAATAAACGACTTTTTGGTTTTATTTTTGCTTATAAGCCTAAATATCCCCAGTAACGTCCTAGCAAGTACTGTAAACTCTATAAAAATAGCGTTTTCAGTAAAAATTTGCTATATCTCGATCGTAAAAATACCTAAAAAACTAAAAAAAGCCGTGACATTTCCCATTTTAGTCTAAACGCAGCCATTCTTGGTTGAAAATGAATATTTTGTGCATAATAAACATTTTTAGGGTTTTTGAGGTTTTAGCTATTCTAAAAAAACTGTCTAGAAACATTGCTTTGGAAAAAAAAACACACTAAAAGACTAGACCCTATGGAAAAAGCACTATAAAAAGGGTAGAACTTTCGTAGCGCAGAATTACAAAGCTCTTCAAAAATAGCAAAACCAACCTTTGCCACCTGCCGATCGCCATGTCCATGATGCGGGCCATTAGGACCCGGACGTCCGATTCCACCGCGAAAGCCGTTCCGTCCTCGTTCCGCGACATCATTCCTTAGCATTGGGGGTCCACCCATTGGCGGTTCATCAAAAGGCCGTCCCGGCATCGGTCCCCGGAATCCGCCACGAGCACCCGGCGGTGGCCCAAAAGACCCACGTCCACGTGGCATACCTAATTTTTGCTATTAGAATCAAGAAAAGGAGCCTCACCTCGACCCGGGCCTCCATGGCCGCCGCGAAAGCCCATATCCATATCCATCATTGGGGGATGACCGCCATTGTTGAAGAAAGGAGTGGGACCTGAAAATGAGGAATTTTCGGGTACTGTTCCCTTAGCGGGGGAGAGCTAATTCCTCTATTAGTCGCAATCCGCATAGTACACAAGTCATAAACCATCATGGTGTTGTTTTTAATAATCTCCCACCAACAAAAGATATAAAATAATGTTGATAACTTTTTTCTAAAAGAGCGCCAAATGGTGCTAAACAGCCTGTTAAAATAGCTGGGATTAAAGCTCCTGCTACGCCACCCCCTTTCCCCGCCCACCGCTAATGAACCACTACCGAATTTGAAGACAGTAAGTTATTTTTCGTTATTAATTCGAAGTTTTCATTCTTACGGAAATTAACGAAATAACGACATACCCTGACCAAAGCCGGGGGGATGAGGGCCAGGCGGTCCGGGTGGGAAGTTACCGCGAACAAACGGCGGCGCGCCAGTCGTCAAGGATGGTGCACTAAATTAATTTTATGAATACTTCAACTAAAAAAACTATTACATACCTGAACGCTCCAAATCTACCGGGATCGGTGTCGACGGTGCCGTCGATGGCCGCCTTGATATTGTATTCTGGAAGGGAATTGTTGCGCCGGGAATTCAGCGCGCTTGTCTCTTTTGATAGGTGTGCTTGCGTGTTTTCTCTTCGTGCGCCGAGAGGCTCAGAATTGCAAGAGCTCGGACCTAGAGCACGAGTCAGGGTGTCTCCAAAAAAACACTGACCGATGGTTTTCTGTTCGCCGAACCGGTCGGGGATTTGTAGGTATCCGTCCGCTTCTTTCGAGCCGATCCATTTGAACCTGGAAAACTATTTTTTGAGGGTGGCCCAAAAAACAAACCCCAGAAAAAGTTCAGAGTGGCCGATTTTTACGAATTAGGTATCTATCGAAAGCTCTCGACGAGCTCAGCAGATAAGTGCACTCCGTTTTTTCCCATTTCGCAAAAAAGCTTAGTAAATCCAAGCAAAATTTCTGAATTTCGAAAATTGGAGAAAGCATATCGCACCAGCTCGTCGAGTGCTTTCGATAGATACCTAAATCGAAAAAATCGGACATCCGGGGCCGGGACGTTAGAAGGGTCATTTTTTGGGACACCTTGTAGAAAATCATTGATACCTGATGCGACGTCCAAGGAAGGGCTGCTTGTCCTTCTGCATGGCTTGCTCGCGTTCAGTCGCGGAATGGAATTCCAAAATCCAGCGGTCACTGGCATTCCCATCCTCGAATGCGGTGCGTTTGGCGAATTTGCATCGAGCTCCGACCCAGCTGAAAAAAAGGTTTTTACGGGGTACAGCAAAATAAAATCGTGACTATTTTGAGGATGATGCGAAAAGCATCAACGGCGCAAGAGAATTTACGCAAAACTTTACTCACTCTTTGAACTCGAAATCCTTGCACTTGAATGGCATATTGTTGGCTTGTAGCATGAAGCGGTTTGGATCGTCTTCAGGATGCGGGCGGCATGGGGTTGGAGTTCGGGAGTTCATCCGTCGGTGCCTGCGGACAGAGCGAGAACGCTGATTTCTTGGTGATCGACTGCGTGATCTGAAAAAATTGGATGTTAAGAAAATACCGTATTTCCGCCAAAAGAAGCCCCATTGTACTTTTCTGAGCCTTTAGACAGAAAGTTTAAAGTGTTAAACTTATTTAAATGGCACAAATTAGTTCAGTTTTCCAAACAATTTCAGCGAAATTTCGATAATTTGAACGATCGAAATCCTCTATAAGCCCCCTTATAACATAATTAGAAGGGTAAATCCAACCTTCTCCTCCCCCGCCGTCCCTGCCGATTCCTTCCACCGCCATCACGACGCGGGCTTCGGCTACGACGGCGCCTTGGGCTCCTTGAGCGTCGCCGCGGGGGTGATGGGAGCATATTCATCGGCATTGTACCACCACCGGGCGGCATCCCGTCGATTGCTTCATCAAAGGCTTTCGCGGTCGTCCGGCGGATCCTAAAAGGACCCATAAAAGCTGAAAATCAAAAACCCACTTAATTCCGAGCTCATTATTCCTGGAAAGCAACTCTTGCGCGTCTCTGAAGCCTTCGATACGCACGATGGAATGAAGATGGATTCCTAAATTTTTCTATACAGTTTTACAGGATACAAACTTTATCGTGAGTTTAAAATGTTCAAAGTCTGAGTTAAACTTTGAGAATGAATTTATATGAGCTTGTAATCCGTAATAAAACCAAAAAAATGGGCATACCGTTCGGATCGTAGACAACCTTGACAGACGAGAGCTTGAAAGGCACGGACGGGCGAATCCATTCCTCGAGAGCGATCGGTTTGTGCATCTCGTTGGGAAGCCGGGTGAGTTCGATGTATTGAGGGCCGGCGGGTGGAGGGCTGGAAAATAAGGGTAGAAAAGGGCTTTCTGATTTTCTTCGTCTATACCTCCAATCAGAAACGTTTTTCTTCTATATTTCATTTTATTTTATGTTTACCCGAGATAAGCGTGATCCTCTTTAAAAAAATTATCCGAGTATGTTTTAATTTTCTTAAAATCCGAAAGTTTTTAGGCTCTAGAATACATACATCATATTAGGGGGCATCTGCGGGGCAGCAGCGACCGGCGGGAAATTTGGTGGCATGGTCGGGGCACCATGATGTGGGGGCATCTCCGGGAAATGCGGGCGAGACGCGTTGAAAGCGGTGGACGACGGCGGTGGTGCTCCTTCGAAACGGTTGGCCCATGGGAATGGAGCATCACCAGCCCCATTTGGGCCATTTGCCAATGGCGGCATCGCAGCGGCGGTCTAAAATAAAGGTTAAAATATGAAAAGTTATAAAAATACCTCATGCTCCGGGCGTTTCCAGCTTTCACCAGCAAAGGGCTGAGTCGGGGGGATTGGTGGTGCTCGATTGGATTCGCGATCGGGGTTGTTGCTAAAATATAAGAATTACTTCTGAAAAAGAGCAATACAATCTTCTTAGTCTGTTAGCGGGGGGATGCAAAACCTAATCTATTTTTGGGTAGCTTTTTCCGCAGTCTCCGATCAGCAAAAAGTGGTGAGTACTTGTCTTCATTATAAAAAACTGAAATTTATCGGCATTTTTGATAATTTTTCGTCCACTCCTGAGCAGAAAGTCCGTTTTTCCGACTTTCTTAAATATTTATGCTGAAGCTGAGCTTTCCATATAAAATACAGCGTAAAGTCTTTTAGAGAAATTGTTTTCCGACCCGAAAATAGTCCAGGACCATAGAAACAACTAGCCAAACGCTCGTTGAAAACTCACAATGGTGGAGGAATCGGCCGAGCTGGTTGCCCACGCGGTTCGCGGTTTCTAAAACTAATTAAAACTCAGAACGCTAAATGTACATTTGTGGAGGTGAGCCGAACGGTTTAACATCTCCCGAAGATCCCCGGTACAATGGCGGAAAGGGATCTCTGGGTGGCTGTTGATAGTCGCCGCCCGGCGGCTTCAACAAGCCGCGTCCATTGGAAATCGGGGCTTGTGGAGGGCTGCCAAATGGAGACCTAAAAAGCGTTCAGTTTATATCGTGTGTAAAGCAACTAACGGTGTTTCCACCTTGGCATTCGACGGGGCCCGTTCGGCGAAATAACCACCAATCTGCGGCGGACCGTCCGACGCAGCCGAGCCATTTCTATCCATCGTTGTGCTAAAACTTGGTATTGAAAATAGCTAGAAAAGTTACTTGGTAGCAGGGGGTACGGAAAGCAACGGGGCCCGCGGCGCGGCTTCATAATGTTGATTGTATTGCGGCTGCTGCGGGGGGTAGCTGCCCGAATTTTCCTGCATGGACGTGAAGGTTTGAACAGTCAAAAATACCTGGTTGTAAACGTTCTTGGTGTGTGGGGCGCCAGAGGAGGCCTGATAACTCGGCAGATCGCGGCGGAAATTGGGCTGATCTTCTAAAAAAGAATTTAATATCGGTTATAAAATAGGCATATGCTAGGCTATTTTCAGGCAGGTCAATTTTTCAAAGAATTATTGCTTAGGTTTCTTTTTTAAAGTTTCGCTGCCATTTCTTTACGTTCTTATGCCGAAAAAACGCTTCAAAACGCAAACCCCTTGACTTATTTTAAGACAGCGCCAACCTTTCAAACAATTATTAAAGTTTCGATGTCGTTTCTTTACGTTTTACTAAAAGTTACTTTTTACTTTACTAGTTTACTTTTTACAAAAAGTTTTTAGACCGTAAAATTCCGGATTTTTGTTTGCATAACTATTGAACCCGGAAGTTATTAACGTTTCAGCCTGCTGGTCATTGAAAAGAGCAGTAAATTAGCCAAACCGGCATTTTCCCAATTCATTTTAAAAGTTTCTCTTGTTATCCTGCACAATTACGGCTTTCCATAACTAAAATAATTACATATAATTGTCAAATAGTGGTAAAATTTTGATAATTTTTCAGGCTTCCTTCAAAAAAATAGCAAAACCGGTCATTTCCAAGAAACAAACTCTACCCTGTTGAAATCTGTGCGCGGTTGTTGCTTGTGGTTGCGACACGGCTTTTGGCGCAGGGGCAGATACGGCAGGGCCGCGTGTATACGCCGGTTCATACGATGGCCTCGCATACGCAGGCGGGCTCTGGGCTCGAGGAGGAGGAGGAGCGGCGGCCACCGGCGCAACGGGCGCTACAGGTGCTGGCTGGGCTCCGGATCGGGCTCTTGCAATCACTTCGTTCATCTCGTTTCGCGAGGAGAACAACAATCGCACCTTAAAAACCACTGTATTTTTGACAGAACAAGGATAAAAGTTATTGTATTCCTACGGAAATACTCCAAAAATCATATTTACTTAATTTTCATTCCCCACCCTTTTCGCCAAAACGACTGCGGGTGCAAAAAAAAAGAGGCTAATATCTGGGGCGCGTTTTTCCCAAATAGAAGCCTTGCAAAAATATAGCTTTCACGGAAATTCGTATAGGAGTGATCTTCAAGCACGCCTGCCAAATGGCGACGACTAAAAACCTATTCGGACGGGAGGTCAGTCCCTCTCGGCGCCACATGGTTTTTAGATAAAAAATATTATAGACTATTTAAAATTTCTTACTTTTTGTCAAAAATTTATGAAAAATGGCCAAAAGGGTCTAAATTTTGATTTTTCCAAATTTTTAAAAAAGTGTATAACTTTCTAGCAATTAGAAACTACTAAAAACATTGTAAAAATACCCTATTAATTATCAACAGTAGGGATAGGCGTAAAAATAAAAAAACCGACAACCCTTTTATTTTTAGGGAAATGCGGGCTTTCAACGTTTCCGTCTCGGGTGGCGTTTCGAGCTGCGAGCAGAGCAAAATGTCCAAGCCAAAGAACAGATTGCGAAAAGAACTTCTGAAATGCTTGCTAAGCATTTGTATTTTCAGAGGACCCGTTTTTTCATAATTTGCAGAGGATGGGCCAGCCCGCGCGAAAAAGGCCTCGCGCTACAAAAGTCAGGCTTAGGCTACAAAAATGTGGGTGCGTAAAGTCATGGCTGTTTTCACGATTTAGAGAAGGGAAACCAAGATTTTAAGAAAGTTGTTTACTAATTTCAGGGAAAGTAGCGACCGAGGCCGCGTTATTTGCCGAGGGGCAAGGAAATGTGAAACAATAGCAAATATTGAACCTAGAAAGTAATAAATTTCTAGTCCAGCTATCCTACATCCACAGCCGGAATCGATTTAAGATTGCAGCACCAGAATACAGCTATTTAGTTCTCCCCGTTTTGTTTTTGTTTCACACGCAAATGCTTTCGAGTTTCGCGGATTTATGTTGCTCGCGGGATCAATGCCGTTTTATGTTTTAGACGCATCTAAGAGTTAGTGTTTTTTTTGGAAGTTTTGCACTTTCATCAGTCGCAGGCTGCATTTTTCGTAATAATAACAAAACAGTTTTCGTCGCCCAGTGTCTTCCAGAACACAGCATTTTCCAAAAAATCGGTGCTGTGAAGCTCAGTACTGCTGACTGAAATTACTGAATTACTCCCCCGCGCTACTCGCAAAAGGCTCTCGTCAAAATGGTGAATAAATTAATTGCTTTACTAAAGATACACGCAAAATCTGCTGCAATATATTTAATTTTACCAAAAGGTTACAGGGATGCTTTTCAGAAGCCCCCGTGTTCGAGGAAGATGTAAAATCTAGAAAGTAGAACCAAAAAAAGTTGGTACCAGGGAGTGGGGAATGAAAGCAACATACGCAAGGGGCTAAAAATGAAACAGCAATATGCCTGGGTTGATTTCGCTCGTATTCCCCCGTAGTATTTTACAGTAAAGTTTCTTGGCCGCTTAGGATTGGCATTTGAAGGTGAAGAATTCAGCAGATGATCGCTAGCACTATTTACAACGTATGCCCACCCCAGTAAATATGCGGTTCCAGCTAATCAACGAGGACCGGATAGCTCACCGGACGTCCCGATGGCTATCTGGGTTGGAAGTAACACTGCAAAGTGCACCGCACCTATAGGCGAATTGCAGATTTACAGGATGGTTGCCATGAATCCGATTTACAGTTCACAACGTTCATAAAACAGCAGGGCAAGTAATTTTTTGATATCTGGGTAGCTGCCCGGAACTTCATGCACAAAACTTCTTTTAAGGTTTTGGCCGATTTAAAGGGTCAGGAAGGCACTATTGCAAATGCTTGTTGATCCCCCTCGGGGAGGGAGGACAACAAGTATTTTCGATTCTGCCTTCTCAGCCCCCTTTAAGTATGTTTTACGAAAATGTTTCTTTTAGGGCACTCGTAGCCATCGGTACCGAAAGATTGGCGCTACTATTAAAATTTAGGTTGTTCGGTAAAAAAACTAAAGGACCAACGTCAATCGTAGCCGGCAAGTGTCATAACACCATCTATGCCTTGCTTCTGACGGTTCGAGACAATCGTTCCGTATTTCGGAACCATTACTCCTTGATGCCCGCCACCAAGGAGAATTGTGCGCCCCTAACAAAACCACTTCTACCCAGGTCCCCTGCTATGGATTTGGTCCTGCCGACCAAAATTTCGCCTCGCCCAACGTATTTACAAAAAGCGGCGAGACAGTCTCCTCTGAATTTGTTTGCAACAACTTCTGTTCGGCGATCTGCTCGATTAAGCAGCCAGAGTTTGTTCGTTTTTTTCCAATTTTTAATAGGTCAATGCCCTGGATTCGGGCCATTGCTCAACACATGCTAAATCAGCACCGGTAGTCGCTCTGCGACAGGTTGGCTATATGCATCTTTTAGATTTCCGCATTTTCTTCCACAATGCCTTGACAATCCTTGCAATGTCTGCTAGGAGGGAGGAGAGTCGATCCATGATCCTATACGACGTTACTGGCGGGACGTATTTGGTGCAGTTGAGGAGACTAATTATCGATCAAGCAAGCGGGCACGGCTGCCAGTATCTCAAGGTGTAGCGTAGAGCGGCCTAGTTCGATAAAGCCCCGAAGTCAGTCTTGGGAAAGGCCAATTTCGGTCTCTCGTATTCACAAGGTTTTTACTAGGGTTGTTTCTCGGAACAGACCGAGATTCGGAACTTTCGGAACAAAGACTGGTCGGAACGTTCCGAGATTCGCGTGTTCCGGCTGTTCCGAGATTCGGAACATTCCGAGATTCAAATGTTGCGGTTGTTCCGAGATTCATAGTGTTCCGACTGTTCCGAGATTCGGAACAGTCCGAGATTGAGCTGTTCCGAGATTCAAATTTTTTCGCATGTAAATTTCGATTTCGTGTAAATTGTGTAGATTGCACGTAACTGTTTCGATTTTGCCGTGACACGGCAGTGTGGGCGCAACTGAACACTTAATTCCGTCGATGGTTAGATATTGAATCTGGAAATTAGGGAAATGAGAACGAATTGGAGATCGAATCGAATCGAAATTCAGTCGTGTTTGGAAATTTACATGCGAAAAAATTTGAATCTCGGAACAGCCGAATCTCGGACTGTTCCGAATCTCGGAACAGTCGGAACAGCCAAATCTCGGAACGTTCCGAATCTCGGAACAGCCGGAACACTATAAATCTCGGAACAACCGCAACATTTGAATCTCGGAATGTTCCGAATCTCGGAACAGCCGGAACACGCGAATCTCGGAACGTTCCGACATTCGGAACAGTCGGAACGGTTGCTGTTCCGAATGTTCCGAATCTCGGCCTGTTCCGAGAAACAACCCTAGTTTTTACTGCATTGTTCCTGAAAACTAGTAAATCCGCACCTTTCTGGCGCAAAGTCCCCAAAACTATCGATAACCGGCGAATCATGAAGTGTCCTCTATCCAGACGAAAGGTCAGTAAATATCACTACTCTTCCTACAAAATTAATCAAATTCTTTGAACGGATTTTCACTCAACGTTATTACCTCGATTTAAAAGGATTTAGATAGTTAAAACTGGGTTTACTAAAGAATAAAATCCCGGTTGTAATAGGGCCACCACGGAAATTCCAGTCGGGAAATCCGGTGTTGTTGTACTCAGGCTGCTAAATGTCTAAAAACACAACTTAAATTTTTTGTAATTTTTGTATATAACCGTTTGTAATTTGGCTCTATCAGCCGAGTACTGATGGGGTGGCGCGCTTCAGTGAAGTAAGGCGGAGGGCACGGTGTGTACACTTGGGAAATTTCAGAGTCGAAATCTAGTGTGTTCCAGTCAGCCTTGAAACCACAACCCCTTTAAAATTGGATAATATCAGCTGAGGGAGTTTCGCGACAAAAACGGCAAAAGGAGAGCCGTAAATACTTTTTAAGCCACTACGTTACGTTTCAGAAAATCACCAAAAATCATAAATTCAGCCTTGCATCATTTTGAAATTTTCAGAAAACAAATCACCTCATCGCCATGTAATGGTTGCCTGTCCTTCTGGAACGCTTGTCGGGCATCTTCATCGTTCGAGAAAGCGATAAAGCAGTCTCCTTCCGGCCCGCCAACAATATGGACACCGCCTTCAGGTATCCGCAGTCCGGTGAAGAATGTTCTGACATCGGCCGCCCTTGCCGACAAGGGCAAGCCTTTCAGCCGCACGATGATGGCCGACGCGGCCATTTGCACTACTCAATTTGGGCTCGAAAATCCACAAATGACCAGTGCTCTCAACGACTATTTCCAGCGCGCTATAGCTATCTAAAGCATAATAAGGTAAATTTAGTCAAAAACGCATAGAATAAACGTAAGAAAACAAGGAATATGACGGTTAGTAAGCGAAATAGGCTTGGGGGATCAATGGAGGAGAGTTGTGGCACTTTTGCGCGGGTTGGCGCGTTGAGGCGGTGGAGAGGCAAAGAAAGAGAGTGAGGTTACGGTGGCAGGGGCGCGATTTTCGGGCACACCACTAAACGATCAAGCGACTTTATCAAATAAAAAAAATTGAAATCGGCAGATGTTAAGGAATGGATCAATACTTTGCGGTCATTCTAGCGTTATGACACACTAATGACATGTGAAAATGCTGATAACGCACCACCGGGACAGCATCTATAGGAATTTACCTGAAGAATAGAGATCAATACGGTTACCGTAACTTTCCGGTTCGTGAAGAAGAAAATTAGGTTTTTAGAGGAATTTTAAAATATTAAAGTTATTATTTTTGTTATTAAAATACAAGGCCCGCCTTGAAGGCAACTTCGTATTGTGCTGTTTGCTGGGGGGCGTTACCAGAGGGAAAATAATTTTTGTTTTTCCGTCTATACGGTACGGTAGTTACCTGCTAATAATAAATAGTGTATTTTATAACGTTTTTACTAGTCTTTGAGACAGAAACTACAAAAAAAATTGTAAGCATTTTTAAATTCCAGAATTTTTATCTTTTTTTTTGGCGATTTTCAGACATTTGTGAGAAAAAGTCAAACATGTTAGGTTCTTTTCTATGGACCTATCTGATCTAAAAACAGCGTAAAATGTTACAAAATTGGTCTAAATTTTGTTACATGACCGTGCAGGATTACTGGGAAAATTTTTCCCCCGCTAATAGCCGAGTATCGCTTTTCGGTGTAATTCCAGAATCCGGCCACGTCTATATGGAGTCGTGCTCAACATCACAGCAAGAGATTGTCCAGAGCTTACCTCGAAACTCGGCTCTCGGATGAGTCACAGCATAATGACTGGTGGGAGAACAAGGATCCATTGTTTCTCTTGGGGGTGACGAAGCGGGGAGGTCGATCAAGGAGGGGAAAAACCAATTTGCCGAAGGTACAAAATGAGAATTATTTACATGCTCCGATAGTAGAGACAGTCATACGCCTTTAGAAGGTATGTTAGTTTATTTCTGCGCCGTCTTGCTCGATTTTCTCTTGTTATTCCGGGGCTGAAGCATGTATCAGGAATGTTGGCAGGAGCACAAGGTTATTTTTTAGTCTGAGAAAGATTCTTTGAAGCAGTATCCTCAGAATTTACCTTGTATAAAAATATTGTGCATGATTGTGGACTCCAGGGCTCCATCGACTACAAATTCTAAAAAAAGCTTGGAAAATAGATGATAAGCCAGTCTTCGCAGTTTTCCATGGTCTTTTTTCGGCTAAAAAAATTCGATAAAGGTAGCAGTTAATTTCTGATGGCCCCGGTAGCAAAAATTAAAAAAAGTTGATTTTCGCCCCCTGCGAGCTGCCAGGACCGAAATAATAAACCCTATTCGCCAAAATCGCTCTCTGGGATCACGGGGGAAAGTGCAATGACTCGAGATAAAAAACAATGCCTTGCACCTTGTAAGAGGAATGTCTCGCAAAAAAGAGCAACCCAACCAACTTTTGCCCGAAATTTTAAATTTTAATTCTCCCGAAAAAGAAACTATCACGTTTTAGCCCGTGTTGCAATATAAATAGTGGCAGTGTTCCTAAACGGTGTTTACTATTCTGAAACGTACAACTTTATAAATCTTTATTAAGAATATATACAAAATTCAAATATCGATTTTTGACCAAATTGCGAGTTTTCAAAAATTTTATATTTGACTAAACCCCTATTCAATTTCCCATCAACTTACTCGACATTTCCAGACTTATGCAAAAAGTTCGGTCCACCCCCCGATGATGCAAAAGAACCGAAAAAGCGGAAAGTTCGATTTTAATACATCGTATTCTCGACAGATTTCGAGGCCATTTTTCTACAGTTGACGATAAAATCTACTCTTTTTGGACAAAATTTTCGCATTTCCGAGAGCATACTTTTCACATTGCTCATCCTCAACCCATTTTGGTTATCAGGCGCGGGTTATTAGTCGGCAAAGATACACGGCAAGGCTGATCCGGCCACCCACCCCCGTTACTGATCAAGGTCCATACTCTGCCAAGATAGATCTCCTCAATTTCCCCCCAATCGCCCCACCCACATCTGTTTTTGTTTACCCCAATTTCTTTCTGCTTTTTTGTCGCGCCGCGCACACGTTTACTTGGGAAATGGTAGTAAGTTCGTAAGCAACATGGCTGGAAATAGGTGCATCTCGTAAAAGGAGCCGAACGTTGATCGTTTGACGGACTGGCTGTTATTCGTTGCTTACGAGACTTTCCTCCTTTTTGCTTTATTATTCGCTTTGGCCTATTGCCAAAAATTTAGGGCCGTATTTTCTGATTATTTCCTGGTCCACAATTCATTTATTGTTATGGTTCTTTTGCATTATCGGAGGGACCAATATTTTAATGAAATTTATCCGAAAAATATGATTTTTCACATAGATTTTTCAAATAATTTTCAAATTTCAAAATACACCTATAACTGTTTTACAATTCTGAAACGTAAAACTTTACAAATTACGGTTAAAAATTACAAATATCGATTCAATTTTTTTTGTAGGGTGAATCTTCAAATATAAATGGCGAAAGCGTTTCTAAGTTCTTTTCCATTCTTAACTGCAAAAATTTTATCAGCTTTTTTAAAAAAATACAAAAATATCGATTTTTCGACGTAAATTTCAAGCAAACCTTTTTTAACGTTTTTACGTGTCACTCGACTTCAAATATAGTTAATAATTACGTAAAACTCTGGTAAAATACTTACTACCATTGCATTACGTTAATACGCATTCCAAAAATTATACAAAAAAAGATTGTTCGCTCCCCCTCCCCCGATAATGCAAAAGAACCCGAAAAAATGACACCTAGGTACCCCTACTATTACCACTATTACCAGTCTCGCCCTGCCCTTTTTACACGGACCGATTGGCGCCTGTAGCCAGGGTACGGGGCCAGAAATCCGGATACCGGTAGTCTGGCATCCAATTTCCAGCCGGGAACCCCGGGTGGTTGCCGATTTGCAAGTATGATTGTATCCAGTCTCGGCCGGTAGCCATCACAAAATAGAAATTGTTTCTTTCAAGGCCGGCTCAAGGCGATCTCTTGATCTTCCCATCTTTATCCAACGCCCCGGAAAAAGGGTTGACGATAAATTTACGAGCTATATACCTATTTATTTAAGTCTAAGCCTGAGCTTAAGCCTAAGCTAAACTAGTCTTTCCAAACATATACCATTCTTTCTAAACGTTTCTTACTATTCCTAAGCGTAAAACTTTACAAATGTTGATACTAGCAAATATCTCGTTTTTTTTACCAATAATGGCCGATTTTTTACTAAATTTCGACTTTTAAAGTTTTTTAATGTTTCTAGATTGATTTTCTGGTTGAAAAAAATAACATTTTGAAGTTGATACTACGTTACTAGACATTTCTGGACTTCAAAAACAAATTTCGTTTCTAAAATTATGCGAAAAACCATATTCCGTAAGACGTGAATGGTTACTTTGTCTATCTGTATCTGACGCTCCAGACAAAAAGGGTAAGTGATAAAAATACATGCTCTATTATTTATTTAATGTGAAATTTAATGCGATTTATCATCATTTTGATCTTACTTGTTTTTCTATAATAAACCATTAATACGAATTTAAATACATTTAGAATGATCCAACCAGTGCTGCAATGGGGATTGGAGGTTATATGCGAAATTGTTATGATAGGTAAGTTTCAAAAAACACCCGAAAAAGTACTAACTTTGACAATTAAATGACATGATGAGCCACAAGCTAAGAGAACGATATGTATGGATTTTTTCCAACGGCCTCGAGCGCTGCGCCATCGGACGCCGCCGCGCTGCGCGGCGCGGTCTAATTTTTTTATGAGAAATTCATCGGAACTCCATAGCCGAAAATCCATAACAGTCCCCTTAAATTTAGAGAAAAGTTAAAACCGTTTAAACTTCGGTCCAAGTAGCCATTTGGCAAGCTGCCAGCTCCAAAACCGGTATAAAAAACAAGACAATTCGTTCAGAACTTCCCGAGTTCCTGCTAGCTATCTCCTCGAAAAATATAATTTTGTTTTTTACAGCAGCCGTCTACAGTCTGTACGTGGCCGGGTGCAGAATGGCGGGAAAACATGGAGGTGAGCACCGTCCTCCTTTTCTGCATATTGTCCTTCTCGAGCACACACAAACAACTCGCCCGCGAAACAAATAAGGAGGCCGATCTGGTTTCGTTTCGCGCGGGCTGGGCCATTTTTGTCCTGTCACGTTATTTTTAAAGCCCGCAGCTGGTCGGGCCTATTTTTAACCACTTTTTAAGGGCAGATTGAATTCGATTTTAGTACCTACACATAAGCTGTCTAACAATTCAAAAATGCGTGAAAAATATAGTAAAATCGCGATTTTTCGGGTTAAAAACACTTTTAAACGTTGTAACTTTTCAAACATTTTTTAGAAGTTTTATAGAGCTTTTATTCTTGAAAAGAGCTAAATTCCACTAATAACACCACTAAACGATAATATTTTTTTATTAATAGCGAAATCTGCACTCGTAAGTAAAACTAGATTTCGTCCCCCAAGAAACGAAATCGGTTATTTTTCAAAACTAGACTATTTCAATATCTATTATTATTCTTATTCTCAATTTTCTAAAATTTTTCGGTATATCTACGACTTTTACGCTAACGATAATCCCTAAATAAAACCGTTTTCACCACCGCCCGGTGCCTAGGGCTGCTAAAACGCCGTGCTGTATAATTTACGCCCACTTTCCGCTCGACGCCGTGTTATCAGAGCACCCAACCAATGCCAGCGGCAAATCTCAGAAGTCGTCAAGCAAACACTCCGCTCATCCCCCCGCGCTAAATTCCCGAATCTTTCATCGTAGCCCCTCGAACGAAGAAATTGAAATCATGACGAGCTCCCGGTTTTACTTTTGATTGAAGTTTTCTAAAATTGCAAATGTCACACGCTTCGCACGGTATTATTAGCTTCAAAAAGTTTTTGGGTAGTACTAAAATCTAAGTTTTATGAATCTGCAAAACCGTGTTTTTATGAGTCATCGTACCAGGACGTACCTTGCCAAAGAATGTAATTTAGAGTTAAAATGGGTTGTTTTAAGGCAAAAGAACGTACTTTATAATAAACGATGATTTAGTTTCAGGCAAAATAACGTATTTTATCGTTAAAAAGAGCATGTTTGAGGCTAAAGAACGTATTTTATCGTCAGAACGAGCATGTTTACGGCTAACGAACGTATTTTTTAGTTAAAATTAGCTAGTTTAAGGTAATTAGAAGGTTTTCCCGGCAAAATTTGCTTGGGTAAAGCTTGAAAAATCATAAAAGGTAAGATTCTAACAAGCCAATCGGACGTAACTAGCAAATTAACGTATCCAAACCAATTTTCACGGTAATAATTAGCTGGAAAAGGCCAAGCTTGTTGAGACCGTTCGTATCGTGCGACTAGCTAATTGCCCATCTCAGCACCTCGCCACTAAACATCAAGACCCGCTTGGTGTCGCGTATTTGAGCCCACTTCTCTGGCCTGTCTGCCGCAAATTGTATCGCCCAGCCCCATACCCTCATAAACCAGACTTTGATCATGTTCCCCTCAATATATAAAACAACCCCATGGTTTCATAGTGGTTTACCCCCTTGTGCCTTCCGGTTGATCCCGCTCCACTCAAAACCCGATCCTCACAAAATCCCACGCCGACCCCCCCAATCTAGATAACATCCTCAAAAAACGTGAGTGATAGCTCGTTGACCCTCAAAAATGGGACGGGAGCCCCAAAACGTCCAAAGAGACCACAACACGTCTTTAGTGCTATTTTATTGACAAAATAGGCCTTTTGATCCTTTCATATTATCGGGGGGGATAACGTTTTTTTCTCATTTCTCAGCAAGCGCGTTTTCTCATCGATAAATATGTTTATTCGTTGCCCTTTTGACTCATCAAAACGCCCATGAACCTCCGAAAACGATGTCATAGCCTTGCAACTTCCAGGAGTCCATTCCTTCTAGTTATTTCGGGGGTCAAAAGATATTCGTGTCTCTGATAAGACTCGAACAGTCGGAGAACCCCTCCTGGGCCATTGACTACAAGACTCCGCTGCCCCGGGCCAATTGACCTGCACTGGGTGATAAACAGGTGTTCGCCCCATAGTCTCCCACGATCAAAAAGGCCTCTTTGCACTTTCGTTTCTGACCCCTGACTTCCTCATCCATCATTTTCTCAACTGAGGGCTACCTTGAATCTCTCTTCTGAATCTGCGTTTCAGAAAGTAGACTTTAACCAGCAAATACCATTTAGTTTACGACGAACCAATGGTGCAACAAGTTATTGACCTTGTCGTCTTGCTATTAAAGGCATGTTAATAATTTTAGAATTGAGTTGGAAAAATTTTCAGGTGCTGGTCGGCTGCATCGTGGGAAGCATCCGCGCCTTCCTTCCAAATGGTATCCTGCCCAGAAAGAAGGTTCAAGGTAAATAATCACGCCCAAACGTCGTAAACTTTAACAGATGACGTCGTACTCATCACAGGCGCCGGAAGTGGACTCGGTCGGCTTCTGGCAGTTGAGGTGAGCAAGCATCTTCCGAACCTCATCGTTGGTTTCCTTCAGTTTGGCAAGCTCGGCGCGCAACTGGTCCTTTGGGACATCAACGAATCTGGGAATCTGGAGACCCAAAAGATGCTGCAGAAGCAAAATGTCAAGGTGGGCACCGGGAATACTTTATCAACATTTAAATACGTCAATGTTGGCCGGGTAAAACAGGACGCATTTAACAAATATGTGAATGTAGCAGTTGCCTAGCTAGGGGAGTAGTAGAGTAACAAAAAAAACACGCTCTTTAATTGACCACGTGGTCACTGGGGGGAGATCGGACGGGGGAATGTACAGATAATTTAGCCGTCGATATTAGTATGGTGCAATGGGGGAATAGATCTGTAAAAATATGGATTGGGGTCGCTGGGATCAGAAAAAAACAACATGAAGACATAATAAAATTCACAGAAGCGGTCTAGAGCCGGCATCAAGATGTTTTTAATCGTTGTGGACTCTCAGGCATCGCAATTACCTCGCAAGTTGCGACAAAAGTCTGCGCACAGGAAGGAGTCGAATGAACGAAGGAGATTTTGGCAGTGCTTAGGGGTCAGTTCTTCGCATGAATGTAGAAGCAAGCATCGCCTTGGGGACAGGTGCCGTACAGGTCGAGAAGACAGGCTTCTAGTTCAGGGCCCAGCCAAGCAGCCAAGTCGTTAGTGACGCCGTTTTTGAGCACCGGTGCCTGAAGCTGCCGTGTAAGAAGCTAGCGAAACCATACCTTATCAAGTTGTGGGAAGATGTGGGTTTCAATTTCATCCTCGAATTGGCGGGGCCATGATGAAGCCCTTCGCACCAGAGGCTCGTGTTTTTGTTGTGATTTGCTCGCTTCCGAGCGTTCATGGCCTACCGGGCTTTGGGCCTAGAACAGAAACGTAGCTAAATTAATGGGAAGGGTATACCGGTAGGGCTGCCCAGATGCTCCGGTCAATCTTCGAATGGTTGTCACGTTTTCCAAACAATTCCTCGACCGAGATATGTAATTGCGGACGACTAAAACATGAACATACAAAACATAAACAAAATAAGAAACCTCGGAGCTTTTTTGTTCTCCACAGCCTTCTTGGCGAATTGGGCCCTCGGGAAGTAGCAAACTTCTTCGCGCTCCTCGCTGGGTGGTGACTGCGTCGGGAAAAGCGGGGTGATTCGTAGAGGAATATGACGCTGTTGCACTTCACGCTGCGAGAACGTCTTGCTCGGCATGACATTGTTGTACATATCGTACTGAAAAAAGGCAAACTAGAATCAAGCCGGTGCGTACCGAGAAGGGGACGTAGCGAGTCTGCACAGAGTCCATGCGCCGTTGGGTGTTATTGCGCCTTGATCGCTGGCTGTAGGCCATTATTCTGGTGGTTATTCCTAAAAAACCATTGTCAAATAGATTTCTAAAATAAGAGAAAAATATGTAGAACAATGTAAAACACGGAAAAGAGGCTTATACGGAATTTTTAGGTCCACGCGTACACGGTGGACCTTTCGGATCGAAAATCAGTCAACGCAACGTCAAAACAGGTTTGTCTTTAACAATTTTAGAAAACTTCGCAACATTTTAAAAAATGGAGGTTCGGCTAAACAAGAAAAAAAGACATTAGACGAAAATCCGAAAATTTTGGCTGGGCTACGTACCGCTGCAAATTACGGTGCATACGGTGTGCTTGGGTGTGCCTCGTACACGGAAAATAGTTTTTCTTCTCTTTCGCTTTTTATTCTTTGTTTTTTTATGAATCCAGCAAAGTTTTATGGATTTTTTTATGAATGATAGATTTTCCGGATTAAAATTCAATTTCAGACACTCGCTGATGTTGGCCGCGTCGACATCCTTATCAACAATGCCGGGATCGTGACGGGGAAGAAGCTTTTCGACTGCCCCGATGAGCTGATGGAAAAGACGGTGGCCGTAAACTCAACAGCCCACTTCTTCACCGCCAAGAACTTTTTGCGAGGAATGCTTGATCGAGACCATGGGCATGTCGTGACACTGGCGTCTATGGCCGGAAAGACTGGTGTCGCAGGATTGGTGGGTATTTATCCGTTTTTATTATATTTTCTCGTTAGGTTGACTATTGCGCCTCGAAACATGCGGCCGTTGGCTTCCACGAATCGCTCACATCCGAGATCCGCCACCTGGGCAAGCAGGGCGTGCAGACGACGTGTGTCTGCCCCTTCTACATTGACACTGGAATGTTTGATGGCGTTGTGTCAAAGTATGTTTATTAGTTTATAGGTCAGAGGATACTCGTTAATTGGACAGTCGCAGGCTCGAGCCAAACTTCGGCCCAGGCATGCAAGCTTTCCAAATATGATGCTTAAATACCTCGTTCTTTAGCTCAAAATTCGAAATTTTGAACCTTTTTGCCTTTACACTTTTCAGATCACCAGTCCTGTTGCCAATCCTACAGCCGGAATACGTCGTCGAATGCATCATGGAGGCCGTGCTCACCGGCCGCGAATATCTCATCCTGCCCCGCTTCTGCTACTTTGCCGTCTTTGCCCACGGGTAAGCCATTGTCTGCTTGTTTGAGATTTCCCCTTTTCTTTCCCGAACCCGTCCGTCAGCTTGAAGACCTCCCCGCATGTGGCTCTTTGCCAATCGAGTCCCGTTTAGCGTTCTCCCCTCCAACGTTTTCTCCATGATCTCCAAATATTTTGGCATCGACGCGGCTATGGATTCGTTCGTTGGCCGACAGCGGGCTTAGATGGCGTCAAAAAAGTTTTTTAATGTTTTGCGTGTTTTGAATGAGCTTTTTCCGCCTGGTGTCCTGCATGTAGTGCTCCTCATAGCATCGGCTAAAAGTTTGAGGCGTGATGACTGTGCTATGTAAATCTCTCATTCGATAGCGTTTTAGATTTTGAACCAGCCACATCTTTTTTTTCATTTTTTTGAAAGCTGTTGCATGGTAACAGCTTTTAAAGGGCTGCCGACGGCATGTGTCGATCCCCCCTCATCAACAAATTGGCAAGTAGCCAACAGGGGAGAGAGCGCGCCCAGGGGAGAGGCGCAGATACATTTTCTTTTCCGCGCGTAATCGATTGTCTATGCCGTCGGCATCCCTTTAAGCGGGGTCAAAAATGGGCAACATCGGGTCTTTCAGAGAAACCTTTGCTCTTTTTCAAATTTTTAAGTATTTTGATAGTTGGTACCTGTTTAGAATAGCTATCTCTATCGAATGTGGTATGTACAGGGGCGTAGCCAGAAAAAAAATTCGGGGGGGGGGCCCAAAAAATTTTCTAAAAAACTCAAAACATTGCCGAAAAAACAGCGCCGCAGGCAAAAATTTTTGAAAAAAAGGTTGCATAGCTCTACAAATAACCGTAAAAACGTGAAAAAAATAGCGCCGCAGGCAGCAAAATTTTTGAGAAAATTAAAATCATAAGGGTCCCCCCCTTATGAAATTTTCAGGCCCCGGCCGATTTCGGGCTGTATTTCCTCCGCATTTCCCGGGCCCCCGGGGCCTGTATTACGCTACTTCCCTGGGTATGTAACATCCCAAAACATCATTATTACCTAAATAAAAATGACTGCGCGTAAGCTTGATCCTTGTGGGTGCTCTTGATCCTTGCTCGTTGTGTAGTGTTTTTTCTCTCCGAATGTGAGCCTTACTCCTTCCCATGTCTCTTGCGCGGATCTCGATTCCTGTATTTCCTCCGCATTTCCCGCCTATTTTGCATTTTATTGATGTTTTTAAGTTTCTTGCCTTCTGCCGCGTACGCCGCTGTGATGGACTACTTCGGCGCCAACGAGACGATGGACCACTTTGTCGGCCGGAACAAGCCGAAGTCCAAGTAATGGCCGCATCTCTCACTTTCGCTAGGATCGACAATTTTTGACTTTTCGACGAGCCTTGCTTCTCAATCCCCATACGCGTCTAGTCATATTGTTGCCCTCCCTGATCTTTTTGTGCTTCATCTAACATGTTTTTGTTGAATAAAAATTTTTATTACACCGATAATATGACACAGTCAAATAGCTTAATATAGCACACATATTTAGAAAAAGCACAGTTGTTATACTCGTAATATTAATTAAATAAAAATGGTGGGGGTGGCGAGCTTTAGTTGTTAGTTGACGCCGTATTTTTCGATGAGCTTCTCGACGTGGGCGATGTATTGCTTCTTGGCGTCTTCACCGTTCAGCCCTGAATGGAAAACAATTGTAGGGGACAGGTACCGGAAGCCAGCGCCCACCCAACCCTGATAAATACCGAACCTTTCTTTGCGTCCCATGCCGACCACTTGGCTTTTCCCTTGAAGTCGAGCATGCCCGGCTTGGCGGTGGTGTTGTCACCGACGGTGCCTTGCTTGAAGAGGGCGTACGTCTCGAGGAGTTCTTCATTGCTAGGTGAAACCTTCAGCTTCTTCACATTTTCGGCGGCTTCATCGAACTAAAAAGCAAAGGATATACTTGCAAATAGCTATCGCCATACCGTGGTCATGATTCCAAAAAAGGGCTCTTCTCGGCAACCTGAACATTGACATTATTAGAGTTAGAAAATTTAATACGTTTGGAGAAAGAGAAGGGTTTTACACAAGCAAACAAGCCAGTGGAGGCCTTTGCCCAGTCTCTGGCAGCCTGCCTCGTCAATTGGAGTCTATCGTTGCTTACGGAGTTTGTTCGCAAATGCACTGTGCTGATCGTTTGGTGCTAACTTTTTTTGATTCTAGGATCATTTGTTTTTTTTAATAAGTATTAAATAGCTTCGCAAGCCTTTTTACCTCCTTCGAATGTTGCACGTAAAGATACTTTATACGCTTCTTGATAAAATTCCTTGGGGTTAAGATAATTTTTATTGTCTGAATTTTTTTGTGTTGTAATGCTTTTTCTGGAGAGCGGATCATCTTTTTCCAGCTTCGAAAGTGGCTTTGAATATACTAACCCAGTCCGTTTACAGGATGTCGTCCACCGAAGCCCTATCCAAGTTCCAAGGCCGTTTCAAGCTCGAACGCAGCGAGAATTTCGACGAGTACCTGGCATCGAAGGGCGTCAACTGGTTCTTGCGCAAAATGATCGGCTTCGCATCCGTCACCAAGGTATTTCGGCCAGAAGATGACGGCCGATGGACGCTGCAGAACTTGTCGTCGAAAAAGAACACAACGCACCAATGGAAACTCGGCGAGGAGTTCGAAGCGGAAGGGCTGGATGGGAAACAACATAGGTAGTTTTTGGTTTTATCGATTTTGCGCTATGGCATCAATTAGTGATTTCATCCTGTTCTTTCTAGGATCCGCTTCGATCTGACTGACGGCGCTCTCAATGAACACCACGTGAGACTCGACGATCCGACCGACAAGGGCGAAACCTACCACTACACCATCGATGGAGATTATCTGGTGCTCGCCATGCAAAACGACGTCGTCGCCTGCAAACGATGGTTCAAGCGCGAACCCGAGACGAGCAACATTTCGCAATAAGACAAGAAACCCTGATTATCTCGCCGCATTTCTGCCTTTTTTGCCATGCTTTTCGGTCAACATTTACGTGTCATGCTCACTTTCGCGCTGTCTTGACAATTCCGACTGTGTCTTCTCGCTTTACGATCTGTGCCTTACCTCTGCCCTTGTGATCAACGTTTCGTGTCCTTCGCTTTCAATTTTTGACCCAGCTTCCGCTGGTCTACTATAAATTATAATTCCAGGGATGGCGGAGACGGGCTTCCGTCAGGAGATGCCTCCCCAAGGCGGGTACCGCAAGTTCAACTTCGCCCGCACTTTCCCTCGGATGGTCTGGCGGCGTGAGTTTTTTAGTTTACAAGGACTTATAATGGTGTTTTTGTGATGTGACACCGCTCATTCGATAAAACTTTAAATTCTGAACAAGTCTGGGCTTTAAAAAGCTGCTGATCGCTAACGATCTTTCTGAAGAAAATGAGCTGTGAAGTGGCCGATTTGGCTTCTTATGGGCCGCATATAACAAAATGTTAATCACAAAATTTTTCGAGAGTACCGTTATTGCGCAGCAGCTTCAAAGAACTACCAGATCTATCTATTGAGTTACGTCACATACAAAACGCTCCATTATCACCGGAAAACGGACCCTGATTAGTTTCAGTTTTCGAAATGAGCCGTAGTTATTTGTATAATGTCTCTTTTTCAGCTTACCTCGCGCTCGGCATCGGGACAGCGATAACGATCGTCGGAAGCACATATGCCGTGTGGAGGAAAAAGTGGTACATGTGGGTGGATCGAGTCTGGCGCGAGTTCCCTTTTTTCAGCACCGAGAAATTCGAGGATGTTGAGCTGAACACCGCACTTCAGCCGTTTTTGACGGCCGAACGAGATCGATAGTGGGTTTTTTTGTCTAAAATGGACCCTTTTGTTTCCAGTTGGCTGAAAATTCTGAAGAAGAACCGCGAGCTGGAGGCTGAGATTATGAAAGACGTCCCCGGGTGGCAGGCATGTTTAGTAGCGTTTTATCAAATTGGATTTTTAGGTTGGAACATGGTACGGCGAGCCGGTCTACTTTACGTTGGGCGAGAAATGGTGGGACCCGACCCATGTTGAGGTGAATTTTGGTTTTCCTTTCCTTGGTGCTAGAGAAAAAAACAACTTTGTTTTCTGTGGGACTCAGGCAAAAAAAACGAAATACCACGATTTTTATAGGATTGTTTTAAGCAAAACTTCGGTCATTTTAAATCCATAAAATCAGCAAAACTGTTTATAGACATCAAAATTTTTCATAGTGTTGTATTGATTTGGCAATACTAAAACACTAAAATACGGAAATTAGTAGGAAATTAAAAGGTAGAAAGTTAGCTAGAAAGTGAAGAGAGAAACGTTTTTCACTGTTCAATAATCATCCTGTTTCAGGTGTTGGCCCACTCGGACCCCCGTGCCGCTGAATGGGAAGTGCTGTGGCGACACCACGCCGAGTACGCGGCCCCTCATTTCTGGGACAAGCTCATCCCCAACTTCATCGCCAAGCGCTTCTGGGATATCAAGAAGGAATGAACCGTCTTTTAGGGCCATATCCTTAGTTATAGGATCAAAATTATACTATTTCCGGAATTCATGTTCCCCCCGTTTTTTACTTGATGATGGGTGTGTCTTTGCGCTATTTCGTTTCTTTTTATGGCTCATAAGTGTTGACTGTATCGAACATTTGCTAGTGTGTAACTTCTTGTAAATAAATACGAGCGAATTAGCCGAGAGGGAAAGCGAAATATTTTATCACAGATTATTGAGAATCATCGGCGGTGCGTGGAGGGGCTTGTTTCATGCCAATCGAGTAGCCGCCCTCGCTGTTCGGTGTCAATTCGAAGGAGTCAGTCGATAACCCGAACGGCCGTAAACAGAAGTCGCCCAATCCCTAAAAATTCAAAATGGAGACCGCTTTTCTAATATCACCTTTAACTTGTTGATGACGTCGGCCTTCAACCTCTCGTTTTCCACTTCGAGCAGCTTGCGCACCTAGTAAAATAACGTTAGGGTCCAAAAATCAAATTACCTCCGTAGACCTCTCAGCGTAATGTCGATTATTCGGAAACTTCTTCCGCAGCACTTCGTAATCCTCCAGCGACGCGTGCAGTTTGCCGTCCATTTTCGAATAGGCGAATGCTCGGCGCTCTAAATAATTCGATGGAGCCAAGAAAGGTACAATGTGTGCCAAAATGATAGGGGAATCAGGTTTTTGGCGATTTTGACAGCCTTAGAGCTGCATTTCGGGGAAGTTATTATTACCAGATTGTAACCCGAAAAATTCTGCATCGGATGGTGTTTTCAGATAACCACCAAAATTGATGCGGATTTTTTTAGAATAAAAAAAGAAAAAAGCGAAAAAACACAAGTGACAAAATGATAGGGGAATCATTAGCATATCATTTCCATCCGCTTTGGGCATGAATCTTTTTGCAAATCACGTATGTTATTCAAAAATTTCAATTTTTCTACGTACTTTAGATATTTGATAAGAAAATTTATCAACTTAATTCGGTAGTTAAGGCCACCACGGCTGAAACTTGCCGCTATCGCAACAAGAGTCATAACTACCATGCATTGTAACTTTACATTTCATCCTTTTAAAATAATTACATCGACTTTGCTAAATATTTTCCTCATGGGATCATATTTATTTTTTTTTAATTTTTTTGATATTTTTGAATAACATACGTGATTTGCAAAGAGATTCATGCCCAAAGCGGATGGAAATGATATGCTAATGATTCCCCTATCATTTTGTCACTTGTGTTTTTTCGCCTTTTTTACTTTTTTTATTCTAAAAAAATCCGCATCAATTTTGGTGGTTATCTGAAAACACCATCCGATGCAGAATTTTTTGGGCTACAATCTGGTAATAATAACTTCTCCGAAATGCAGCCCTAAGGCTGTCAAAATTGCCAAAAACCTGATTCCCCTATCATTTTGGCACACACTGTAGTTATTACCCAGTGGTTTCTCGTTCGACGGCCCGGCGTTGATTGCACTTGTCGCTACGGTGACTGCCGGTTCCCACTGTTCCATTTTGATATAGCAAGCGGCCATGTTCGAGAATAGCGTGGCCTTCAGGGCGGCGATTTTTGGAGGGATTTCCGGGGCCCTAAAATGAAGCATAGATTTTTTTAGACTTTACAAACGTTTGAGATTCTTGTGGTGCTTCTTCCGTCTCAGCGCTTTTCTCTTCCTCTACTTTCGGTTCATCGATTGGCTCTGATGTTTCAGGCTCGTCGATCGGAAAACGGCTATTGATCATGTCGATTCCTAAAGGGCTGTTTGAAAAAGAGAAAAAAAGAAAACAGTTCTTTCGCGCTATCGGGCGGGGGCGACAAAATTTTTTCAATTTTTCAAATATAAATAGCGGTAATATGTTTCCGAACTGTTTTTAGTCTTGCTAAACGCAAAAGGTGCCCAAATTTTGAAAACTACGGAAAAAATTTTTTCGACCAGATGCCGTCTTTGATCGGAATTGCGAACGTTTGAAAATTTTTAAGAACAGAAAAATCTACCTTTCTGGTACTGCTCCTTCGCTTCCTGCCATTCTCCTTTGCCGAAATGGGCATTGCCCTGGGTTTTTATTTGCTCGGCTTGCTAAATTTTCGTAAAAGAGCTTAGAAATGGTTTTAAACCTGTAAAAACACTTCAACATCATCACATTGCTCGTCGTCCACAATTTCTTCTATCACGGCCATTTTTAAAATATTCTAAGCTGAAATCTCAACGTTGCCATAGCCAAAGCTTGTCAGTATTTCCGATGCTCCTACGCGTTGCCTGCCACTCCTTCATTCAAGTAAATCGATTTATTTAAAACAACTGAAGAACCTGAAACAACAAATCGTCTAGACTATCATGCTATCAACTGGAAACGGAGAACTAATATATCACAAAGGACCGAATATATGAAAAGGTGCAGATCCAAGAAAATGTTTCTTTATTGAAAGAGAAGGCGCTGAAAAGACTGAGGATTCTGAGGTTACCCGGAAAGGCCACTAAATAAGACCGAGAAGAGGATCAGTGATAAAGTTCATTTAGGATCGGGGGATGTTCACTCGAAGAGATGCTCGAACAGTTCTTCGTATTGCTGCACAAATTGGACTTGTAGATCTTTTCTGATGTAGTCGGGAAGGTCGGCAAAGTCTCGTTTGTTTTCAGCTGGAAGGAAGACACGAGTGCAGCCGACGCGGCGGGCCTAAAAGCAACATTTTTTTAAATACCGCTGAAATGTGCGTAGAAGAAAACTTGTTCTTTTTAGTTTAGCTTTAGCATTTCTAGAGGCGACGCGTGTTTTAGCAAAATTAACTATGTTTCAAGTGGAAAAACTATTAAAAAAAGCTGGAAAAATTTAGTTGGAATTTTAGCCGAAAAATATTTTTTAATCAAACTTTGTAAAGTTTTTCCATTTAGGAATAGTAAAAAAACAGCGTAGAAACATTTCTTTTAGCAGCTAAAAAGTAAGTAACAGCCAAATTTTAGCTCTATTACGAGGCGCAAAAACGATTTAGAAAACCTAAAAACCTTTTTTATCAATGCTTGTTGTTGTTTCAATTATTATCAATTGTTGCTGCAAAAGTTCCCATGTAAATACTAAAGAACCGAAAAATAATAGAAAAACGTACAGCAATAATCTTCTCCCGAATTCCGCCGACCGGCAACACTTTTCCAGTCAGCGAGATCTCGCCCGTCATCGCCAACTGCTGAGCCACCGGCTTGTTGAGAGCCAACGAAAGAAGAGATGAGACCAACGTCACACCGGCTGAGGGCCCATCTTTAGGGGTGGCTCCCTAAAATAATTTTAATTCAACCTTAAAAATATACAAATTACCTCCGGTACATGGATATGAATGTGGGCCTTCTCGAAGAACTGGGATTCGGGCTTCTCCTTCGACAGAATCCCCTTGGCCACAGTCAGCGCCGTGCGGACGCTCTCCTTCATGACGTCGCCCAGGTTTCCGGTCACCTCAAGCGAGCCGTCCTTGTCGCTCTTCTCATCGACGTTCCGCTTCTTCAGCACCGTTTCAATGTAGAGGGCCGAGCCGCCCATCGCCGTCCAGGCCAATCCCATGACCACCTGAAAATAAAGGATGCAAATTCGGGCAAAAATTTACCCCAGGTGGTGTCGTTTCGTACAGTCGGTCGGAAATGTACTTGGGTCGGCCGACAAAATCCTCCAAATTATCGGCGTTCACCTCAATCTAAAAAAGGTTAACTGATTGAGAAAAAAACTTAGGTTCTTGCGCATTATCGGGGCGGGGGGGACCAACTCTCTTCTTAGGATCAAATTTTTCCTAGTAGAAGTTTTTCGAATCGGTTTTTTTACTATTCCTACAAGGAAAAAATATCTAACATATAGATTTCTGACAAAATCTTCGAATTTTTCAAGCATTTTTAGAAGCTTTTAGATATTTTTTTTAATATAGCTCTATTTTACTAAAACAATACAAAATGACTTCCGACTAAATAACCAGATATTCCTACGTACACTAAAAGATGAGTCCCAACCCCCCGATAATGCGAAAGAACCGAAAAACCAACCATTCCAGCCGGATCTTCAGCGGGGCGCTCGGCGATTTTCAAGGCGGCCTTCCGGAAAATCTAAACAAAAAATAAACAAAAATAACATTTTCTACATGCCTTCTCGACTTGCTTTTGCAAATTACGGACGCCACTCTCACGGCAGTACGATTTGATGAGGATCTCGAGGGCCTCTTGAGTTATTGAGAGTTGATCCGCGTTTAGAGACCTAGAAACAGATTATTTAAAAATAGGCAAAAAGCTCACGTTGAATCGCGCTCCTGCTGGACGAGATGATTCTGGGCGATGGCGAGCTTTTCCTCAGCCAGGTAGCCGCTGACATCGAGTAGTTCCATCCGGTCTTTCAGCGGTCCAGGGACACGATCGACCTCATTGGCCGTACAGATGAAGAGGACTCTGAAAAATGGAGTGACTCCTGCAAAAAAAAAGAAAATATTTGAACTAAAAACAAAATTCCGAGCAAAGCGTACTGGCTCAAATCGACGGGCACGTCCAGGAAATGGTCGTTGAAGTTGGCGTTCTGCTCGGGGTCGAGCAGTTCAAGGAGAGCAGAAGCCGGGTCGCCGTGGAAGCCGGCGCCGCCAATCTTGTCCACCTCGTCGATGAGCACGAGCGGATTCTCGGTGCCCACCTAAAAAGATCATTTTAAAGAAAATTTCGAGTTATCTGACCTTCTTCAAGCATTGTATCATCTTTCCGGGCATCGCTCCCACATATGTTCGCCGATGGCCCTTGATCTCGGCCACGTCAGTCATACCGCCAACGGAAAATCGGAAGTACTAAAAAAAGTTCTTTTGCATTAGCGGCAGGGCGGGATATCTGGGGGAACAACTTTTTTTCTTAGGATCCAATTTTTCTTATAGCGGACGCCCTTTTTAAAACGTTTTTACCGTTGCCAAACGCACGATTTAACAAATTTTTAAAAAGTTACAAATAAATGGAGCTTTTTGAACCAAAAATGGCGGATTTCGACTAAAACTGCTTACTGATTTTTCAAAAATCGTTTTTCCGGTCGAAATATTGCTAAATCTTCTTGAAAATACTATTAAAACACTTCCTAATATGTTACTAGGCATTTCTGAACTTATTGGAAAAATACCCCCCCCGTATTGCATGTGCCAAAAAAAGGGTTCGGTGAATTTTTAATCGGTGTCTATACCTGTCTGCCCAGCGCTTCAGCGATTGAGCGGGCGATCGACGTTTTGCCGACACCGGGTGGTCCATGCAGACAAAGGATCTTGCCGCCAACCTTTTTTCTATACACTGATTTAGCAGACCTTCAAAAATCGTCACCTTAAAATGTTGACTGCGATAAACTCCAAAATCCTCTCCTTGACGTCTTTCATCCCGTAGTGGCGCGCGTCGAGAATCTAGAATAAAATCGGTCTGCAAGAAAAATATTTATTTTTACCGTTTTCGCAACCGTCAAATCGGTGTTTTCTTTGCTGTGCACACCCCACGGGACGCTCGACAGCCAATCCAGGTAATTTCTAAAACTAAATTTTCAGGAAAAATAGGGATAGTACCTGGAAATTGAAAATTCAGACGAATGGGGCTCCAGAAATTGGATCTTGTTCTTCTCCTCGGTGATGACCTTCATCGCATGTTCGGGGACCGTCAGCTTCTTCAGCTTCTCGTCAATGCGATCCAGTATCGTGGCCTTGTCGTCTTTCTCCATGCCCAGCTCTTTTTTGATGATTTTCAACTAAAACTTGTCTAAAAAGGTAGAAACAACTCTGAACCTGTTCCTGAAGCAGATATTTTCGATGTTGTTCCTGGACACGTTTTTCAACATCTTTGGTAATGGAATGCTTCAATTCGGCGACAGTCTTTTCTTTTTGGGCCAAGTGGAGAGCAAGATTGAGACGTTGGTAGACCTGAAAATGCTTTTGGAGGTCGGTGGCAGCTAGTTTCCTACCGACGGCTCCTCCATCATCTTCTGGAGCTCTTCAGGATTTGACGACTGCACCAGGGTGGCTACCTAAAGAAAGGGTGAGATAAATCAAAAGGTATCTTACCAGATCACAAAGATAGACCGGATTCTCGGAGACATTATTGGAGGGGTGGAGGAGGAGATGGATTTGTTGCCCAAATAATGGGGATAGGGCCACGATTTGGCGGATCGTCTGCACGATGGCTTGCATCGTTGCCTGAAAATGACTTTTAGGACCACGCCGTTTTGGTGCTTGTTCGTTAGCGGGGGGGGGGGGGTCCCATCAACGCCAAATGATGGAATAGAAGAGTATTCAGCATTTTACGTTTTTTTAGGCATAAAAAGTGTATAAAAATTGGCTAAAAATTTCGAAAAATGTTGACTTTTTGCTCAAAATGTATTACCACTAGCCAAACATCCAATTTTTAAGACCATATTATTAGTGCACTACTAAAACCACTGCAAACCGTAGATTTTTGAAACCAAAGAGGATTTTTGACCCCCCGATAAAGACCCAATACTGCCGTTTTTCCGAACCTTAGTTTTATCATCTTGTATCGAGGCCGGAACATGCTTGAAATTTTCCGTATGTCCCAGATAAAGCAGGGGTTGCTTCTCGTCTTCCACCGCTTCCGCTGTCTCCGCGCCCGCACTTGTCTCGGTCGTCACTGGGTTCACGATCTGCGCCGCTTTTCCGATAGCACCCTAAAAACAGGAAGATTAGACGCAAAAATTCACGTACCCTTCCTTTGTTGCCGGATCGTCGTTGATTAACAGTGGGCTTTTGCTGTTTGTCGATTTCACTCTGTTCAATGGCGTGCATCATTCGAATCCGACGATGTGCAGAGAGTACCAATTCCATAACAGGCCTAAAAAGATAAATTAAAAAATAGGGGCAAGTTCACCCATTCTCGCGCATCTCCAAGATATGTGCAAACGTGCCGACGCTGTGAATGTCGGAGATGGAATGCATCACTTCTGCGCGGTTACTAAAAATAGAAGTATTTCTCATGATCGGAGGGGGTGGGACAGAAATTTTATATGTTTAGAAAGTAGTCTAGAAAATCTAAATAATATTATCGTCTAATAAAACTAAAAACTATCTGAAACTTTCAAAAATGTCAAAAAAGCGAGATTTGGTAAAAACGGTCATTCTTGGTCGAAAAACCTATATTTTTGCGAAACTTTTGTAGAGTTTTCACATTTAGGAACAGTAAAAAACAGCTTAAAAACAGTTTCGCTATTAATGATTAAAAAATTGTTGTCCTCCCGATAATACGAAAAGGCCCAAATCCTACTCGTTGTCCTTTTTCAAGAAAACGCCAACGTATGGCTGCCGTAAATCGACCCTCTTTCGAATTAGCTTTTTCAAAGTAGCATCCTTCGTTATCTAAACGACCGAATAAATTAAAAAATCGCAAAACTTACATCAACTTTCTTGATGAATCCTGGAAATAGGGGATACCGACTGACGGCAAGAATCGGCACGTCCGGAAAGTCTTCTGGTATATTGGCTTTTTCGATCTCGTTCTAAACCGAGAATAATACTTGGAAAAGGTCACACCCCCACAAACTCGGACTGCACGAGGGAAGTCTCAATTTCTTCTGGCGGTTCGTTGGACTTGGGTGCTTGATCGCCATTTTCGCCGCCCTCCGCCGGACTGAAAAGGAGATGTTTTCGATGTTTTTCACGACGTTTTGATATCTCGACGGAGCCTCTGTTGTGCAGAATTTCTCGCTTGTGAAAATGTAGGTTACATAATCTGCGAAACGTTTAGGATAAGAAAGTTAAGAAGCTTTATAAGAAACGCAAAATGCCCAAATAAAACATTTTGAACATTTTGGGCATTGTTCGCACTTTAAAGCTTCATAACCGTTATAATTTGGTGGTTTTGCAGACTCGAAAAATCGATTTCAAACAGCGAAAAAAATCTGCACAAACGAGGTTCGGTACAATTTTGAAACTCTGTGGATAAGGAGGGATAGTGTTTTCAAAACCACTCACTTGCTGGAATAAAACCTTCTAGAGATGGTGACGCCGTAAGACTGAGAGCACTGTGCCCTGTCGATCACATTTACGGCCGGGGCGCAGGCTAGTCGCTGCGAGCTGGCAAAAGCGGGTCGTAGACATCGAAATATTCGACCTGTGTTTCGTCGAATGTGAAGCATCTTTCTGAAAGCGTAAATTTCGTTTTATATAGCTTTCCGGAAAGAACGTCAAATAAGGTAACTCTGCTCATTAAAAAAGGAATAATACATATTTCAACGTAAAAATATGCAGCGGAAAACTGTTGGCGTGTTTCTGTCGCGCTGACCCAGAAATAATTTATCCTTAGCAGTGTGAACGATATACACAAAGAACATTAGAAAAATAAGACAAAATCACAGCCTCTCCAAATGATCCGTCAGTTATTATGATCGCTTATTATTTGTCCTTCTTGGTCTCCTCCTTGGTGTGGTCGATGGGTTTTTGCCACTGGAATCAAAGTGATAAAAGAAGGTAATAGATGACGTACTGGCAACGGCTGCTTTCTAAAACAAGGCCAGGGCGGTAGTACGACTAGCGATGCTATGGCGCTGCCGATAAAAACGATGTAGACGCTGTGCGAGAGTTGTTGGGTGTAGTAGCCGACGATGAATCCAATTATGCCAGAGATAACGACGATAACCTAAAAAAAAGATATTTTCTTGGTTGTTTGAAGGAGAAGCAAAAATGAGTCTCTTGTTCGTCATTCTAACAATCTGTTAAAAAAATCGGCGCTGTTTCGGTCGAGCGGATCCACTTTGACAGACGGTTTTTTCACCGATTTTAAGGTAGTTTAACGCGCTGACCTCGAATACTTTGACCTAAAATTAACCTGCGATGTTGTTTTTCGTGCTCAGCGCGTCAAACTACCCTAGGAGCGACCGTAAATCAAAGTGGCTCCGCTAAACCAAAATATCGCCAAAAAATCTATATTTCTACACCTCAAAATCTCGGGTGACGTGAAAAGACGCTCCATATACCTCAAAATTTCGTTTTTTTTTCGAAAGTAATTCCATCAACCATCAATAATTCCATTTTCCTAGATGATGAATTTCCGCCGCATAGATGCTTTAGCGGGCTGTCCTTTTAAGATAGAGCACTTTGTGTAGGCCATGATTGAAATTAAGTAGAAAAAGCGAAAACACCACCAAAAAGAAGCCATTTCTAACCTGAAAGACTCTTTCAGCCAGCCGTTGCCCGGGAAAGTCGTGGTGCGTGCTGATTTTGCGCAGGAAAGGCGGCAGCATTTGGATGAGGGCGTCCATTCTCTAGAATTGGTTTTATAGTATATTTATTAAAAGAAAATGTATAAATCTAATCAGAAAATAAGCCAGACGTGATGATTTGCATTTCTTTTTGCCAATGTTTTCGTCAAACCCGTCAGCACTACACAACACTCCAAGCAACACCTAGGCTGGCGCCAATCGGAAATATCTTTTCAGATCCATTACCGCACTTTGGGAAGGGGAACTTCGTAGATAAATTAATGGACGACAATTTAAGACTTCCCGACCTTATTTTATAGATATAATTAAACTACTTTAATGCATATTAAATTTCCCACCTAGGCTCATCTGATGGATGACGATTACCAGGGAAAAAAGGTCGCCGAGGAGGACGATTTGACGGCACAGGCCCTCGAAAAGTATATTTATAACGTCTAGCTCCACAAACTTATGTTGCAGCGACGCCAATTACGCGGAGCGGATCGCGGCCATCAAAAAGAATGAGCTTATCGACCAAAAACTGGGTATCGAACGGTATACGGGCGCCCCGGAACGCGTCGGCTTCATGATCAATATACAACCGGTAATCTTGTAAAAAATGCGACGTATTTTTTTAGAGCGAAATGGTCGATGAGCAGACGAAAAGCATTGTGGCGGCAGTTGATTTCTATTTTCTCGAGGATATGAATAAACGGTTCAAGGTGGACCCCGGCAGCTTGATCTCATAAAAACAATGAGATTCAGATCACCTACCCCTTCCGCCCATACTTGTTCATCTCCACAACGAGCGGCTACGAGCTGCAGGTCTCCAGCCTGTTCAGCAAGAAGTACGGCAGCTTTATAACGGTCGACTTGGTGGAGAAGGAAGATCTGGACCTGGTATCTGCAACCTTTTTGAGCTAAGAAATCTATTTTTAGAAAAACCACTTGTCCGGATTAAAGAAGAAATACATCAAATTGACGTTTCCGTCGATGAAGGAGCTGGCGAAGGTTGGGGATGATTTATTGGTTAAAATATTAATTAAATGATTTTTAGGTAAAAAGCGAGCTGATGCCGTTGATTCGTAAGAATAAGGAGCGGATTAAGCAGTCGACCGATTTTACGACTTTGCTTGCCAGGTAGGGGTTTCTAATTTATGATTTTCAACCAAACTTTTTAGGCATATCGGTGGCGATAAGATGAGTATGTTAGATGGTGATGCTTTGGATCAGATCGACGATATACGGTAAGGATTAGGATCTTGTGCACTATCGGGAGTCTCTTATTTTAATTTTTTCGTGGAAATTTATCTCGCTAAAAACTACATAAGCAACTTTGAACATTTTTGGGAATTTTTCGTAAAATGGATATGTTTAGTAGTTTTTAATAGAAATGTGTGACGTTTAGAAATAGTAAAAATGGTGTAGAAACAATTCCTCAGCCTAGATATAAGAAATTTGATCCTAAGTAAAAAGCACCCCCCCCCCCGCTAATGCAAAAGAACCGAGGATTATCATGATAATATGAGAAAAAATTCAGTGAATACGACGTCCCGTACCACATGCGTGTCGCCATCGACGAGAAGCTGTTCGTGGCAAAATGGTATACCACGCGGGGGCTCGGAAGTCAAAGGAAGCCGACCATCGTTCCGTAAAAATCTCTGTATTTTTCTCCCACGCAACTCAATCTAGATATACCGGGGAAAAATTGCCGAAAATGCCCGTCATCCTGGCTTTTGACATCGAAACGACCAAGTTGCCGCTCAAGTTCCCGGATTCGAGCTTTGACGAGATTATGATGATTTCATACATGGTATGTAGAGATTTTTAATTCGTTTACAAAAAAAATGTTTTTTAAAGATTACTAAACAGTAATTATATGTTTGTAAAGATTACGATTTTTTTAGATTAACGGTCGTGGCTACCTCATCACCAATCAGGAAATCGTGCACGGCGACATCGAATCGTTCGAATACACCCCAAAGCCAGAATATAAAGGTGTGCTTTAGCTGCTCTCGAAAATCTAGCTTTTTTCAGGGGTTTTCAAAGTCTACAACGAAAAGGACGAGAAGGCGTTGATTCGACGATTCTTTGACCATATTTTACAAGTCTGGTTTTAAAGGCGGGAAAAGTATTAATGTTTAGGTTTGCCCGTCAATCATCGTCACATACAACGGCGATTTCTTTGATTGGTGGGTAACGCTTCCTAATTTTTATTGTTATAATATTCTATCAGCAATGAACAAAAATATACTTTTTTTCTTTTTAGTGAAATTTAACTAGATTTGGCGTGGAAAAGCATAAAAAAAGTTTAGAAAATTTTCGAAACTTTTGTCGAAAAATCGATGTTTTAATGTTAAGCCAAAATTTGTAAAGTTTTGCGTTAGATTAATAAAAAACAGTTTAGAAACACTGCCTCTATTTATATTACGAATTGGATCCTTAGAAAAAAAAAATTGATCCCCCGATAATGGGAAAGAAGCTATCTTCCTTTTGTAACGTTTGTATTAATCTCGATTTTTCGTGTTTTTAGGCCATTCGTCGAGACGCGCGCAAAAGTGCACGGCATGATCATGGAGGACGAGATCGGCTTCGCCAAGGACAGCGCTGAGGAATATAAAAGCCGGAATTGTTGTCACATGGATGCGTTCAGGTTGGTTTTTTTTTTTACAAGATAAACCACCAAATTCAGATGGGTAAAGCGCGACTCCTATCTGCCGATGGGAAGTCAGAATCTGAAAGCGGTCTGCAAGGCCAAACTTCGCTACGACCCGGTGGAGCTCGACCCGGAGCTGATGTGCAAAATGGCCGCCGAGGAGCCGCAGGTGGGCGGCTAGTCTTTTTAGAAATCAAAATGAACATATTTTATGATTTTAAACAATTACAATTCTATTTCTAGGTCCTGGCCAGCTACTCGGTCTCCGATGCGGTGGCTACCTACTACCTCTACCAAAAATACGTGCACCCGTTCATTTTCGCCTTGTGTACGATTATTCCACTTGGCCCTGATGATGTAGGTTTTTGGGGTAAAGCCCAGAATCCCGACATTAAAAATACCGACAGGCCCATTTTATGGAGGTTTTGACGTGGGGATTAGTATAAAACCCATACAAAACACTTCAGCTATTTATCATCGAAAAATTGGAACGTTAGAAAGAAAGTGGGTCCCACCGTAAATGCGAAAAAAACCTGCCTGTCGGTGTTTGTTTTTCTTTTCGTACGATGGCCGAAATTCTCGTATTTTTTGAAGCTTTACTGTTCCTTTAGGTATTACGCAAGGGCTCCGGAACGTTGTGCGAGGCGCTTTTGATGGTTGAAGCGTTCCACGGCAACATAATCTTTCCGAATAAATACATTGGTGGGGCAGGCTGAAAAGCTTTAGTACGGTTTTTTTCAGTGGCCGATGAGATGGCGATTTCGGCCGATGGAAAGAGGATCGAGTCGGAAACCTACGTTGGAGGGCATGTAGAAGCCCTGGAGGCGGGCGTCTTTCGCTCGGATATACCCGTACGATTCCGGATGAGCCCGGAAGCGTTGCGGGATTTGAGGCAAGAGGTATGCGTTGTAGAAGGCTTGAAAATGCAGCTGCAAAAGAGCTCTTGCTGCAAAAAAGCTTTTAAAAAGATTTTTTGGTTTTCGAAAAACGAACTGAATTCTCGCTTACCAAAGTCTTTCTGTCTTTTCCTGAAGATATACGCATTTTCTCGCTGGCCCTCAGTTATTCTAGAAATCAAAAGCAAAGTCTAGGCCGGGGATCGAACCCGGAACTTCGGAATGGTAGTCTAACGTTTAACCGCCTGAGCTAGGGGTAAAATTGAAAATCTTGCTGTTACAGCTCTTTTGCCACTTCTCGATCAATAAAAAAAAACTTTCAGTGTGGCCCCACCCTCGCGAAGGAGATCAAACGTGAATTCGGCATCGAACGCGAGCAGTTAGTGGATTTTGAAGAGCGTATCGCAGATGTTCAACATGTTTTTGATCAGCTTCTCGAGCATACTTCTCGGTAAACTGTCATTTTACACCTCTCATACTAGCTTTATCTTTTAGAAGCGAGTATCCGAGGATCTACCATTTGGACGTCGGCGCCATGTACCCAAATATTATCCTCACCAATCGACTGCAGGTATTAAAGTTTAGTCGCTATTATTAAAGTACTCTACTATTTTATTAGAATTGTATTAATTTACGGGTTCTTGGCATTATGGCCCATAGTCGGTCTTGCCCATTGATATCATTATTATTCATTATAATGGGCAAGACCGACTTTTTCCTATAAGTCAAGAAATGTCTAGTACCGTAGTAGTATGTGTTCCAAAAGTTTTTTAATAAAGTTTAGCTAGTTTTTAATGCGGAAAACAGTTTTAAATAAACTTATAAAATTTTTTTGAGGGCGACTTTTGTCTAAAATATATTTTTTATAAGGTGGGAATTTGTACAAATATTCAAAATTTGAATTAAGCCCTGCGCCATGGTGGACGAGGAGACGTGTATGGCCTGCGTCTACAACACCCCGGACGCTAAGTGCAAACGGACGATGCCGTGGATGTGGCGAGGGGAAATTAGTGGGATTTTTGAGGATTGAGTTAAAAAGTTTTTCAGTCCCTGCCGCCCGTGGTGAATACCACCAAATTTTGCAACAGCTTGAGGGAGAAACTTTTGACAAGCCGCCAGTGCCGTTCCATCAGCTCGACAAGAAACGCCGGCTTCAGATTGAGAAGAAAAGGGTTCAAGGTACGCTCGATACATCCTATTATTGAAACCGAATTATTAAATGGCTGAAACATTAAATATTTATCCTACTTCCTACTATATATAAAAAAATAGTGTTTGTGTGTGTGTGTGTGTGTGACACTTTGCATGCAACTTCCGTCAGCGTGTCCGGAGGATGTCTCAAAAGGGGAAGGGATGAAGGGGGCGTATGATAAGTCATTAGACGCGTAATGGCCTGTAGATGACTGCACGCATATCAGATTTTTGAAAATTAATTGTTTTCGAAATTAAAATTCAGTTTTTCCTTAAAAATCGGGCAGCCTCTTTGTTAGGAATTAATTAGCATAAGCCGGAAGTGGCGGCAGTCTATATAACGGCGGAAATGGTGCATTTTTACATTATTTCTCATCGAAATTCGGTCGAATTATGCATTGTGCAGGATATCATGGGCTCAGACGGGGCCAGGGTTGAAAAGTCGCGAAGCGGCTTTTCAACCCTGGTTGTTATTAATTTATTAAAAGATGCTGTTAGTTATATTCGTCCTTTTTAGATTATAGCAGACGTGTTTACGGCAAAATCCATGAAACTCGTGTCGAGAAGCGGGAGACGAGAATCTGCCAACGCGAAAATCCGTTTTACGTCAACACCGTGCTCGCCTTCAGAGATCGAAGGTTAAAAAATCAATTTCAGAGGAAAACTTATTTTTTTTTTATAGATACGACTACAAAGAGCTGCTCAAAAAGGCAAAGGGACAACTCGCGGAAGCTGAAAAGAATAATGATATCAATGGGGTACGTCTAATTTCCTAATTTTCTCTAATTTTTGTTATAGGTAAAAAACGGACACGCCCTTTGCGTCCTCTACGAATCACTCCAATTGGCCCATAAATGCATTCTGAATTCGTTTTATGGATATGTGATGCGAAAGGGGTCGAGATGGTGGGTGATTTATAGAGTTTTTAATGCTATTTTAAATGCCATATTTCATACTAATTTTTAAATGGATATTTATATGTACGAGGTGTTTAGGTTTTCAATGGAGATGGCCGGAATCGTATGCCACACCGGTGCCAACATCATCACTGAAGCGCGTAAATTGGTGGAGAAAATTGGAAAACCACTCGAGTTGGACACTGACGGTAATTTTATTTTTATGGTACCAGGGTTGAAAAACCGCTTCGCGGCTTTTCAACCCTGGCCCCGTCTGACTCTTCAATTTGCATAATATTGCCCGAAATGCGAAGACAAAAAATGAAAAGCGCCCCCTCCGTCCATTTATATAGGCGAGCGCAACTTCCGGTGGATTCTAATTTTTCCTAACAAAGAGGCCGAGCGAGATTTTCACAAAAACCTATTTTTAATATCGAAAACAGCTCATTTTAAAAAAATTTGATAGGTGTGCAGTCGTGTCATGACCATTACGCACCTAATGACGTATCATACATACGCCTAGCTTCTTCCTTTATTGAGATACGGCTGGAACATACGGACGGAAGTTGCATGCAAATGCACACACACACACACACAGACACTATTTTTTTATATATAGTAGGATGATTCATTATGTAGATTGAAAATTAAGTATTGGTTCTAAATGAACTTCTAGCTTTTTAATCTTGTTTTGCTTTGAATATTAAGATTTAAAATTAATAATTTTGTAAAAATTAATTTAAATATTTTTGTTTAGTTGTATTATAGTATGATAAATATTTATCTAATGGCTCAACCTTAGCAATCCCTTATTTAGGTATCTGGTGTCTCCTCCCGTCAAGCTTCCCCGAAGATTTCACCTTTAAGGTTAAGGGCTGGAAGAAGGATAAGGTATATTTTTGGCCTTGACGCGTCAATTTTCCCCTAGATCTCAATCTCGTACCCAGCTGCCATGCTGAACGCCCTCGTCGACCAGGGCTTCACCAACGACCAATATCATCGACTACAAGAAGATGGAACCTATACGGTCACCCCGGAAAACACGATTTATTTTGAGGTAATCTTACTTTGCTTATTTTCAAGTAATTTCAGGTCGACGGCCCTTATCGATGCATGTTGCTGCCGGCCAGTAAGGAAGAGGGCAAGAAGCTCAAAAAGAGGTTGAATTTGCTCTTTAGTATTTCCAGAGGAAATCAATTTTTGTCCTAGGATCCTTTTTTTATAAAAATTAGCTAAAATTTATGACAAATGTCCAAAAAATATTTTGTGATAGCATTTGAATTAAAAAATATATTTTATACTTTCTAGCAATCAAAAACTATTCAAAACATAATAAAACAATACATTAATAAATAAGAAATAAAAATAGATTTTATGTTAACCAACGGCCTTTTTTTAGATACGCAGTCTTCAACTTTGACGGGTCGATGGCCGAGTTGAAGGGTTTTGAGCTGAAACGGCGCGGAGAGCTCAACATCATCAAGCGATTCCAGGACGGCGTCTTTCGATCGTTCTTGAATGGGAAAGATTTGGAAGCTGTGAGGTTTCCCTTTTTGCCAAAAATATCATTTTTAGTGCTACAACAGCGTGGCGAAAGACGCGAACAAGTGGCTCGACATTTTGTTTACAGAAGGTTTGTAGCTGTTCAAATTTTCGGTTAGATAATTTTAGGCGCCGATTGCAGCGATCAGGAGCTGTTCGATTTGATCGCCGAGAATCGCTCGATGAGCAGTAAGTTAATCGGGAATTTTTGAAAATAAAATGTGAAGAAAAACTGGAGGATTATGGCGAGCAGAAGTCAACGTCAATTTCCACGGCTCGACGTCTCGCTGAATTCCTTGGAAATGAAATGGTCAAGGTATGGTATTTTATGGAGCTACGTTAACGCTAATTCTTCTAGGACGCTGGTCTGGCCTGTCAATTTATCATCTGCAAACACCCGATCGGGGCGCCGGTCACCGAACGGGCCATACCGCTTGCTATTTTCCAGGTCCAGTGGCTATTCTAACGGGGGAGGGTATCATTATTTTTGCTTTTTTGTCCTTTTTCGTACTTGTTTGTCCAAAAAGTAAAAAATCTAATTTTTTTTTGTGTTTTTTGATATCTAAAAATGCTTAATCTTTTTGGTTTTAGAGCCTTACGTAATTATTGGAGAAAAATGGGTTTCCCATTTAAAACTCCTTCCCCCGAAATTTAGAAAAGGCTGTATAAAAAGACATCCGTAACGATGCCTTTCCCGTTCCTTAAAACAACAATTTCAGGCAGACCCAACAACTCGTGGTACTTATCTCCGACGATGGACTAAGAATTCGGAGATGTCCGGAGACACTGACGTACGAACGGTAGATTTTTAAGTTCGCTCAAAAAACTTTTATTTTTAGATGCTTGATTGGCCATATTACATTGAGCGATTCGGTAGTTGTGTCCAGAAGATTATCACGATCCCGGCGGCACTTCAGGTAATCTTTCAATTTTTCTAATTAAAATAAACTTAAACTTTAAAGATTCCTGATTTTCTCAATTTGAGAAATTTAATCGTGACAATCTTTTATTTTTCATCTATTTAAGTTACTCTTTTAAATTTTTAGGGCGTTGAAAACCCAGTACCACGCATCGCTCATCCGGATTGGCTGCGCAACAAAATCAAGAATAAGGTGAAAAATTTTTATAAAACATAATTTTGTTTTATTAGCTCGATGAGGCGCTACAACCGAAACTTGCCGAGTTTGGCTTCTTCCGGAAACCAGGTAAATTGAGAGGCGGTTGATTTATCAGTTTTTATAGCCGGCGAAACGAATACAAACGGGAAACGACCGCCATCTCGTGAAGAGCCCTCCCCATCTACTAGCCAAATGGACATCGAGGACATGGGCAACAAGGAGAATCAAAATCCGAATAAAAAGTGCAAGATGACGAAAAAACGTAGGGTTTTGTTACAGAAATGATAGCTGTTTTGTTCAAGAATTGAAATATTAGAAATTTTTAATTTCAGCTGAGCCAACACAAGAACTACCACTGGAAAAGAAGACCCAGGCGGCTGACGGTTTCGAGGAATGGCTAGGATTTTTGAAGACCAAGTGGCGCAGAGGTGGGCCCTGACATTTTTTTCGGAAATCATCCGTATAGGCCGGAAGAATCGGAAGCTGGAAAAGTCGTCAACAGCCGTCGAGCGGATGGTGGAGCTGACAAAGGAGAGGACGAGGAATCGCTTCTGGCAGATTCTGTCCATTGAACAATCACAGACACCGGGCCTCTTCAACGTGTGGGTGTCGCTGGACGGGCAGATGAGCAAGGTATGCTGGATTTTTATTAGCAGTGGAACGGATTTTATTAAAATTCAGTTTTAATAGGAACATAATTTTTATTTGGTAATTTGAATAATTCTTTTTTTAGTTGGGCGTAAAAGTGGACCGTGTGATGTTGGTCAATCAGCGGGAGCCGCAGAAGAAGGGCGAGCTGTCCAGGAAGATTTTGCCGCATCGCAAGCAGGCTTTTCACCTCTATGAGCATCGGGTTGATGAGGAGAGGTAGGAATCTTTGCCATCTCTCTGACTCGCTCTCTCTCTCTCTCTCTCTCTCTCTCTCTCTCTCTCCCTCCGTCTCTGGCCCTCTGGCTCACACATGCTCGCTCTCTCGCTCTAATTCTGTCTCTCCTCTTTCTATATCATGCTCTCTCTCTCTCTCTCTCTCTCTCTCTCTCTCTCGCTCTCTCTCCAGCTTTTTCACATTTCTGCGAAAGATTGAACCACTTTTCCTTCAGATTCGAGGAGCTCTACAACTCCATCAACAGCCAGCTCTGCACCATGTCTACAGAAGGCGTCTATGAATCCCAGGTACGTCACATGGTATCCCCCTTTTAATTGCTTTCTCTCTAGACCCCACTCCTCCTTCGCCTTCTAATCGAGATGGGTTGTGTCTGCCGCGTCGCTGGCCCCTCATCCCACTCGATTTGGCCGCTCAGCTCGCTGAAGATGGTGCCGCTGTCCGAGACTGAATACTTGCCCGCTGGCTCGATACGCTCGATTTTCCTCTACAAATACTCGGCGGTGAGCTTTGGGTGAAAACTATGTATATTCTATGCGTCTATCGAAAGCTGTATCCTAAAAAGTTTTAAAAAATATTCATGGAACAGTTAAAAAGTAATTTTTAGCGAAGTTGTGAACATTTTTCCTAAATTTTAACACTTTTTATGACCTTTTTAGTTTCTTTTTATTCAGCCTAAACTCTAGATAATAAAATAATAAGCTTTTTTAGCTATTTTTTCTGATGGCTAAAAAGTTATAAAAACCGGAAAAAATTTGGAAAAAGCAGTTTTTGACCGAAATTTCAAAATTTCAAAATTTTCATATTTTTTTAATCTTAGAACGGCGCAATATGCTAACAACGGCCGCCTTTTCCAGGACTCGCGCGCCATTTGGCTTCTGATCGATCCGGCCACTGCTGAGGGGCATTTCGTCCTGGCGACTCGTGGCGAGATGATGGTGCCAAGTCTGGAGAAGACGTACCGTGAACTCTGGCAGGAGAGGTATGGAAAAAACAGACAATATTTATTCGGTTACAATATATTTTTTTAGTTATTGATAAACTTTAGTTGCAACGACGGCAACTCGTCAATCCAAGGGGTCAGGGAGACGGTCAAGTTTCAAATGTACAAAGTCAACTCGCAAGCCGATGCCGAGCGCACTGTTGGAAAGGTAGCTTTTCATTTTACTGAACTTTGCAATTAAAAATTTGTGTTTTAGATTGCTAGGGCCCTGCGAGCTGCCACAAGCCGACCTACCGTTTTGGTGGTGCAGGCTGCGGAGAGTCGACAGCTGCTGACGAATCAAGTCCCTAATCTCGGCCTCTTTCCACATGTCAAGGTAAGAACGTTTTTCGAGGGCGCCGATAACGAAATTTACGTAGTTTATATGGACTTTACGCGTTTTTTTGCACCGAATTTTGTTGAAAAAACGCTTCCATTTTCGAAATTACCGCTTTTGGTCAAAACTTTTTTATAGATTTTTGTAAGTTTCATTGAATTTGAAATTTGAAATTTTTCTAAAAATGCTTTATGATTTTTTTTTGGTGCTGAAAAACGACTAGAATTTTGCAAACACCACGAAAAATTTTTTTTAATTTTCTAAAGATGATTTCATGACTGTTTCGGTGCCGAAAAGTTACTAAAGCCTATCTATCCAGCCGACTATCTGAAAAATCTAGAAATTATGAACATGTGCCAAAAGTTTTGATGTTTTGTAAAAAACGTTAGAATTTTTAATTTTCGAAAGATAAGTCCAGGTACCTTTTTAAGTAATCAAAAACTATTAAAATTTTTAGAGAAATACGGTCCAGAACGAACTTATTTTCAGCTACAACAAGGCCGTGAGCCGTCGTCCCTGTTCTCGACAGTCGACTGGCAACGTGTGACAGCGAAACGTGCCCTCAAGCACTATTTCTACAGTCATATCTATCTCGAGGACTACGTTGGATGGTGTCGATATCTACATGTACCACTCGGGAATCTACCATCCGATATTACCCAATTCGCCATCGATCTGTTCTTCTCGCGCCATTTGGTCAGAGCCGGCTACGCGCTATGGGCCTCTCTTTCCAGTCGGCCGGATCTGGGTGGAAAAGAGCTGGACGATGTGAGGCTTGTCTCCGAGTGGAAGCCGTTTGATGAGAATGACGCTACGCTGCTGAATCGGCCCTCTTTCTGTGGCAGCGTATGCGTCGAGTTGGAGCTCGGTGCCGTTGTGGTGGCTGCGATTGTTCATAGGTACAGCTCATTTTGGCGGCGTTTAAGTTAAATTTTTTCATTAAAAAAATTGAAAGGTGAAGTAAAAAAACCAATTTTTACGGTTTATTTATGCAAAAAAGCGTTGTGCATCTTTGCCAACACCTTCCAACGGCCAAAACCCTTTTTTGGTCAGCCAAGATTACTTATTTCCAAAGATTTTCGCACTTCTCTATATTTCAAAAATAACCCCCATCTCAAAATTACTTTTGTCACAAATTTGACGAATTCTGATCGATGGTTTTCCTTGTGGGGCTCTTGCGCATTATCGGGGGGGATTTCTAATGATCCAATTTTTATAATATAAATATTTTTCTTTCTTCTAATTCTAATTCTAATCTTTTTACAGGAGTCGCCTGCTCGAAGCCGAAGGAGCCGACGATACCGTGGGCTTCGACTCAACCGCCGCCCTGCCCGCCGACGCTGTCACCGGAATTCGGAACACCATCTCCAGCTATGACGAGGGTGCCGCCGTCGATGGCCCTATCCGAATCCTGAAAACGATGCTGCAAGAGTGTATCCGCGAGATTGCCGTCAATTCGAACAAACGCGCCGACCAAATGGTGTTGTCCCTCCAGCGATGGCTTCTCCGTCCCAACTCTCTACTCTACGATCCGGCACTCGCACGCTCCGTCTCGATTTTAGAACGAAAGCTGTGCCTCCTCCTTGCCACGGAGATTGAACGCCTTGGCGGCCATGTCGTCCATGCTAGCCCCACAAAGATTGTGCTGGCCACCGGAAAACCGAGCCTTGAAGCGGGCCGCTGCTTCACGGATTCCCTCATCAAAACGCTACAAAAGAACCCGATCTTTGGGTCGGTGCACATGCGCGTGACACAGGAGTGGAACGTACTGCTGTGGAAGGATCAGGCGAATTACGCCGGGCTGACCAAAGAGCTGATTGTGCCCGGGGATGATGAGGATGAGGTCAGTGGCGGCTGGAGGGTTCTTTTACATTATCGGGGGGAGGATGCCCCGTGGTACAAACTACACAAATTTTTATCCAGAGAACGCCAAAAATCTATTCTCTCGATAAAATTTTTTCTTAGGATCTAGTTTTTTAAATATAAATATTGGGAGTGTTTCTAAGCGGTTTTATACTATTCCGAAACGTAAAAACTTTACAACCTCTTATTAAAAAGTATAAAAAATATAGGTTTTTCGCCCAAAAATGAATGGCCGATTTTTGATCAAGATGTCGACTTTTAAAAACCTTTTTAACTATTTTTAGATAGTGCTTCAAGTTGAAATATAGTAATATAAATATATTATAAATATACTATCTTACATTACTAGGTAGGAGAAACCCCCACCTCCGTGAATGCAAATAAACCGTTTCTAATACCCATAATTTAGGACATCGAAGGTGCTGGCGAGATCCGGATCGTCCCCTCAACCCAGTGGAAGCTGATACAAGCCTTGGAGGAGCAGGTGGAGCTCGAGAAACAGTTCCAGACCAACATCGTCGGCTATTTGCTGCTTTGGATGCAGAAGATGGAAGAAAATGTAAATTTTTACTTTTCAAAAATTCTTGGAATTGGATCAAATAATTCGTTTTGTTAAGGAGCACGACATCACTCCGGAGGGCCATATCGAGATGCGCTCGGCGATTTTGCTTGATGAGGTATTTTTATTTATAAAGTTGGTTGCAAACGCTTTTAGGTATTACCTCGTATGTTCCGTATCCTTACGGAGTTGACGTCGCAACGGAGTGAAGATGGTACCGCGAAGGCTGGATTGCTAGGTTCGCATCAAAAATTGTAGAAATGCATTTTTTTAGCATCTACCGTACTTGCCGCTCTTGAGTGCGACGTGGAGTGTGAAGATGCTGTGGACGCCGTCCGCGAGCAGGTCAAGCGCGTGCTCAGCGGAACTTTACCGAGTATTAGTACGGAGTCGATGTAAGCCTAACTGATGGGAGATAATTGGAAAATATGTATTTTTAGGTTCCTTCGCGCGCTGTTCTGCCCGTACTGTGCCGTAGCTGCCGACGTTGACCTGCTACAAGACGGTGCCTGGGTGTGCGGCGCTTGTGAAAAGGTAAAAGTTGTTGTTTATATTTGGTATATATATCTCTCTCTCAGGCTTTATTTCTGTCTCCTCTCTCTCAAAAATCAACCCTTTCAGACCTACGACGTGCAGGCCGTCGACAACATGGTGGTCAGCCGGTTGAACAATCTGCTCACCTCCTACCTCGCCCAGGACCACGTTTGCGGCAAGTGCAAAGGAGTCAGTCGAGTCGACGAGTTCACCAAGTTTACCATATTTTTAGGTTCGCCGCGATGTACTATCGAAATATTGCGAGTGCAGCGGCAAGTATGACAACTCGCTGAGCGCGGCTGAATTGCTGAAGAATGTTCAGGTATATAATGTCTTACAAAAATAGCGTTTTTCTGCCAGTTTGGAATTTTTAAGGAGTTTCGAACTTTTCAAATAGGTTTTCCAATTTAAATCTAGCTAAATTGTATTTTTCAAAACACTATTCGCCAGCCCCGATAATGCGCAAGAACCCATTTTTTTTTTCTTCTAGCTCGCCCTCTCCGTGGCCGAAAAACACGACATCCGCCAGACGAGGGCCGTCGCCAAATGGATTACCTCAATTTTGTAGTCTCTATTTGATTTTTAGGTTTTTCAACGCTTTCCACTACCCCCAAATTTGCCATTCTTTCACCCATTTGCCTACCGACATATCATTTCCGTTTTCACAGCCCTGTGTCAACCACCCCCCGATGCGTGTATCCCGCCCCCAGTTTTTGCCAGAATTTCCCCCCCGTTGATTTATGCGTGTAACTTGTATATGTTGAACAATAAATAGCAGCCACTATTCACGCGCACGAGCGTTGTGGCTACAAACACACGCGATGGGCCACGGTGCTGTTTCTTCTTCTGCTTGGCCATATTTGCACGCTTTCCGGAAGGCGGAAACGGGATGCCCGGGGGCCACGGAGGACGAGGATGGGACAAACACCGCGCCTGGGCCCAACACCACCCACACACACGTGCGGTTGGAGGTTTTGGAAGCGCGCCAAGTTTTTGCGTAAAAACGTGAGAACGTTTTTATTTTATTCAACCTTTAAAAAGATGAAACCATGGCCATTAACCTATAATTAACCATTCTTAAATCGGGGTCAAAATTCTTTATTTTTTATAGCTCTCTATTTTTATTGAGCGTCTCTTTCTCCGCTCTGCCCTAAAATAGCGAGTCAATTCCGTTCTCGACAGTTATTTCTTTTCTTCCGGTCTCGTCGAATCATCGCACCGACTAATGTGTGTTTTAGAATGCTTCGGCGAGAAGCGCGAGAAAAGTTCCCTTTTTTCTAATTGTCTGGGCAAACGGGGCGAGTTTTTGGCCTTTTTAGACTTTTTAGGCTCAACATTTACCATTTCCTTTCGAATGAATTATCTGAAAATCCGGTCCCTTTTCCACCAGAATCTCTGCTAGATCGCCCCAGAACGGTCGCAAGGAAACTTCCAGATTGACATTTTTTTCCTGAGAATCCTCTGCTAGTTTGTCCCAAAACTGTCAAATTACCGTTTTTCCACAGAATCTTCTGCTAGCTTGCCTTGAAGCGACCGGAAAGTTCAAGGAAATAGTCGAAATGTTTGAGCCGGTTGGGCCTTCCAGGAGCATTGCTTCCTTCGGGGGGTAGATTCTAATCTTGGTAGCTGCCGCGGGGTTGACCTTGAATGGCTTGAGACCACGAGCTGGAGGAGGAGGGGGAGGGGAAGGAGGCATCGCTGATCGGTGTCGATACCGTAGGCACGGTTGCGTAACATTTTTTAGATTTGGAGCGCTGACGCGTTGGCTTTTTGTACTAATTTTGGTTACTTTTTAAAATATTATTTTTTTTACTTTTGCTTGAACAGAACCTAAAAAAGCTTTTAGTATGGCGTTTCTCATGGACTCACTGATATTTTTTATTTTTTTTACGTTAAGCCATAGATTTCTGGCTATTTTTAGGTCTATGACCTTTAAAAAGATGATCCGCGGGGAAACGTGATACTCCAGGGCGTTCCTCCACGCACTTGGTCATCTTTTCGGCAAAGGGCACGCCTTCTACCCTCTGTGAAACCGAGTGAAGCCGTGGGGGTCTGTGTATTTGCTTGATGAGTCAAAAAGGTGCCCTTGTCCTCCTCTTCTCCCTACGGCTTCACGTCACACGCCCAGACTAGCCGAGCAGCGCTTGTGAACGCTTTTCCAGGCGGATTTCCTGTTTTTTAGAAAGCAAAAAATTGTGGAATTTTTTTAAGATCAAGCCCATTTTTGGAAAAAGAATTTGACAATTTCTCCCACCTCTTTTTACTTTAATTTTAACCCCCGTCTCGCCCCTTTACCGTGCTAACGCTGAATAATTTATGAAAACCTTTTAACCTTTTTTTCTTGCCTTTCCAAGGGCTTTCAAAAGTTGCAAAAATGCAAACGGAACTCCTTAAAAACTTCGTTTCACCCGCTACCCCCCGTTTTCCCAAAGAATCTCTGCCAGCCTGCCCTGTATATGCCATTTTAAAACCTGCTCATGTTAGACATCGTTTTTCCGGGGCAAAAAGTTCGCGTGTTTCGAGGCCGTCCCCCTCCTTGTCGTCGTCCGTTCCCCTTTTAGAGGCTTTCGCGTAGCTGCCATTCCGCCGTGCTTCCAGATTACAATCTTCGCCTCGTCGTCAGTCGGCCTGGCCCGTACCTCCAGCCCTTTCTTAGACGCTGCCTTTCGCTTTTCGCCGCAGAAAATGCAGCAGCGCTCATTCATTTTCTGTTTTTGATGAGCACGAGGTGGTGGTTTGTAGTTTGTAGTTGCATTCCTAAAGGATCTCTGCTGGCTGGCCAGCACTTCATTACGTTTTGGGGTTTTAGGAAAAGGCTGTGTGGCTATTTAAAAGCGTCGATTAGTCAAAACGGCAACGCTAGGAAAATTGGTACGACGCGTTCCTATGTACATACGCGCGACCGTCCTGAGGCGGTGGACTCGGTAGTCCATAAGCAAAAATAAATTTGTTTCGAAAGTCTCGTGCTAAAATTGAAACACAAAATAGATGAAAATTTTCTACCAAAAAAATGCGCATCTTTTGACGCCCAGATCCCCAAAATTTATTTTGTAGTTTTTTTGGTATCACGATTTTGAAGTTTCTGCCTATGCTTTGTGCACGCTAAAAAATGTCCTCTCCGGATTGCGTCATTTCAAAACCCCCCAAAATAACGCAGAACTGCAAAGTTTTGTTTATTTTCGCCTAGCGCAGATTCTGCGCCACGAATTCCCACCAATTCGTTGATCAAATCCCGGGCCCCATGGGACTTTTTGCCACTTTATTTTCCCCCTTTCCGCACCGGAACCAATTCCGGGGTGGGCTTGAAGCGTATCGAGGTCTATCCGGACACACGTTACCCCCGTTGTATTTGCACAGCAAACCGGCCCGGCCGCTTGGCGATGAACTTTTATCGGTTTGATTGTGGTGGTTGAAGTGTTTTAAAGGGGTTCGTAAGGCTTGTCTCTTTTTTAGCTGTGGATTACCTAGAGATTTTCCCGCAAGCGCGACGCGCAACGCGTAGCGCGCCGCGCTCCGTAAATAAACGTTACCCAATTTTGCGGCCAGCAAGCGCGGCGCGGCAAATTCCTAAAAATCATAAAATCTTCAACCTTTTTTTTTGAAAAGATTCTTTTGACTATTCCTTATCCTAAAACCGTTACGAATTTTGATCTAAAAAATTGCGCCCCGCCCCCCCCGATATTGCAAAAGTACCGGTTTTTGAGGTTTTTGGAAGGAGAGGTATTTTTAGCGAATAGAAAAAGTACTCTCAAACGCAATTTCGACGGCTTTTACCCGATTATCATTTTCTGATAAGGAAGTGTACTTTTCTACATATTTTTTAAGATAATGCTTAGGGCGTATCCGCCTATGGGGTGAGCCGTCCTTTAGTACGAATCGTAGCCAACAAAAGCCTGGGCTGAGCGCTCAAAAAGCGGACACTCGGCCCGTCTGCCGGGGCGGTCCTTTCTCTCTCATTATCGCTACGCAAATATGTTTCCGCCCTTCGGGATGGTGGCCATGGTTGGCAGCAGGAGCAGAAGGTACTACTATGTTTTTGTTGTTTTGTTAAGGTGAAAATACCGTAATTTTAGTTAAACCTTTTTTAATAAATGCCGTTTTTTCAAAAAATTCAAAAATCCTGGCTTAGGCTTCGGTTATCTTTGGCGGAGGCTTGGCTTACGCTTTATCTTAGGCTTATTCTTAGGTTTGGCTTAGGCTTGGCTTAGCCTGGCTTAGGCTTCGCTTATCTTTGGCGGCGGCTTGGCTTACGCTTTATCTTAGGCTTATTCTTAGGTTTGGCTTAGGCTTGGCTTAGCCTGGCTTAGGCTTCGCTTGTGCTTGGCGGAGGCATGGCTGACGCTTTATCTTAGGCTTATTCTTGGGTTTGGCTTAGGCGTGGCTTGGCTTGGCTTAGTCTTGGCTTAGGCTTAGGTTTTTTAGGCCTGAAAAACTTAATTTCCGGGCGAGTCTCGCTCGATTTTGACCCGAGGATGTTGTCCCCACCTTGCCCTTACACACCTTTTCGCGCCACAATTTCCACATCATGACTGCCCATAGCTGTCTGTGTTCTGTGTGTTTTTTCATGGCCCGAATACCCTAAACGAAAAGCCGTCGGCGTGTTTCTTTTCGACCCCCATCCGGCTGGCTGGACCCCGCCAAAAATACAAACAGCTGTGTGCACTTGGCACGTGGGCCCTCTCCTCGCTCAACCACACTTTCAACCCCCAACCAAATTTCGATCCTCAAATTCTGTAACTATTTCTTAAGATTAATATTGATTTATTAAGCCTATGCTTACCTATTTTCTTTAATTACTCTAGATTTATTTATTTTCAGCATAACCCTTATTTTATTCAGGACCATGGAAAAGAAGCGCCGCCCATCGTTGCGCGGCATATTTTTGAAAAAGAAAAAGTGGGTGAAATTTGATAGTTATACGCCTTTCCTTGGATCTTTTGCATTATCGGGGGTGGGGAGTAAATTTGGAGAAAGTTGGCACTGTTTTCACTGTGCCTAAACGTTAAAACGTTACAAATTTATTGAAAACGACACAAAAGCTAGCTTTTTCGAGCAAATAGAAATTTTTTGGGTATTTCTAAGTATGCGAAACAGTTCTAGCTCTTGAAATATTGGTACATTTCACGAAAGCATTATTAAAATGCACTACTAGGCATGGGCTTATAAAATTCATCCCCCCCGATAATGTACAAGAACCTTTTTAATTTTTAGGCAATCACAAGGTGACGACATTTCATCTGGGATCTCGTCGGCCAGCAGCGAGGATTTGCATTCGGAGCAGGGATCGAGGTGATTTTCAAAATATCGAAATTCCACGTTTTTCGGTATTTTTAAAGTCTAGTAAAGGCTAAAAAATGGGTCTGATCAGTTTCTGCTGAAATCTGGCTTATCAAACATGCTGCCAAAACCATAGCTCGTAAACCGGGAGGCGGAAATCAGAGAAAGCAGAGAATTTTGTGTTTTTTGAGGAGTGAAGGGCATAGTGTGTGAGAGAGTGATAGAGAGAGAGAGAGAGAGAGAGAGAGAGAGAGAGGCAAAACGCCCGAAAAGGCCAAAAGGCCCGGACTTACATACGTAATGAGGGCCCTCAAAGGCCAACTGGTTGGCGCGGCAAAAAAAGTATTTTACGGCTTTTCCTTTGCTTTTTATGTCTTTTTTGTTATATTTACTTTCGTTAGACTAAAAAGCTCGTGAAGCATTAGTCAGGGGGCATCCGGCGCCCCGGAAGGACAAATACCTAGTATTAGTCAACCGATAAGCCGCCCGGTCCGTATAGTTGGGGCTGACCGGGAAAAGACGAAAATATTACCAAATTTAATGGAATTAAAAATACTACAGGATTAGCGAGAAGTATGACGAATCGATCAAATGCTCTTGGCTAACCTGCCTTCATTATTATGGGGTTTTAAGACCTTAGGAAATCTTTGGGAAATTTGGGAGCTTTCGTATTATCAGGGGGGCATTTTTGATTTTCTGAGGATCCAATTTTTTCAAATACAAATAGAGCAAGTATTTCTAAGTTTTTTTTTAAATATTCCTGAACACAAAAATGTTACAAATTGGTACCAAAAAATACAATAATATCCATTTTTCGTCCAAAAATCGCTCTTTGTGCAACTTAAGATTTCTAGCAAAAATTTTTTCCAAATTTTCTTGGTGACTTTTTCACTTAAGATAGTTATATAGTTATATTTTATTAAGCACGCCAAGTAAATGCTTACTTTGATAGGTTTTTTAGGAAATTCTGAGAAAATCCCCCCGATAATAGAAAAGCACCGCAAATTTTAGCGCTGTCTGCTGACTTGCCTTCTTTAGCTGTATGTTTTTTTTACTTTTTCTATATTATTTTTCGGGCCTCAAAAAAAACAATTTTGGCCTATTTATAGGGAGAATTGCCATCCCTAATGATTTCTGCTAGCCTGCCTTCCTTGGCCATATTTTTCTTTTAGTTTTTTTTTGTACGTGTGCTGCCAAAAACCCAATTTTCGTTTTTTTTTGTGAAATTGACATCCGAAATGATCCCTGCTAGCTTGCCTTCTTAATCAAAATATCATATTTTTAAAGTTATTTCTCCTTTCTTTCTGTATTTTTCTTTTAGCTGTTTCCTATCCTTCCTTCCTCCCCCTCTACCCTAATGAAGTCCCCTTTTTGGGTGAGAGCAGCTGGCTGTCCCTCCTCCTCCATTTGCCGTCCCCAAAAGTGGGCCCTAGCAACAAATTTGGCCATTTTCCCCCTTGTATCGCCCGAGCGTTTAGCCACCCCACTTTGGCGGCTAATCACGAATTCAATACGGCTTTTATTGCGCTGAACGTCTGAACGGGCCCATTTTCTTGATGAAGTTTTGTTTTTCAATTTTGTATTTTTTAATCATCTTTCCTCAATTATTAATTCTGAGTTTTCCAGAAATTTCTTTAGCAATTCTGTTCCTTATTTGTTCACCGCTGGGTTATCAGGAAAATGGCTCGAGACACAGCTAATTCGATATAGAATTTGTTTCTGAACAGTACGCCGTAGCTCATTCTGGTACTGGGCTTTTAACGGGGGGAAGTTAGCGGGTACCAAACTTTGGCCTATATAAGGGATGTAGCCCCCCGAACCAGTCCAGTACCGTGCGTCTCTGAAACCTTGCCCACGATTGTTAAAAAAAACTGAAAAAATCATTTCGCAGCCTCTATTTGGCGATTTTAAAAATTATATAAATTTGCGGCTAGCCGTTACAAAATTAAAAAATTAAACGCCGAATCTGGTTCAGAAATAAATTCTCTATCGAATCAGCTACCAGGCCGTTTTCTCAAAGAATCCTGCTTATAAATAGGGTAAGAATGGAACCCCGATTCCGGCGAACCGTTTCCGCCAAACTGCTGAAGCTGCTCGAGCCGGACAGCAAAGATGAGGCCCCAAAATCGAAAAAGTTTTCCGGCGGCTCCGACAAAAGAAAACGGCGGATCGACGCGATTCGGAAGCTTGGGCGGAGCATGAGCGATCGTCTCATTGCTTGCCCCACCCCACCTGGGTACTCTTTACGTATTATAACATCAGAAGTTGATGCCATTCGGAATTTGGGTTTCGCAAAACGCTGACATTTTTTGGGGGGTCGGATGGTCTTTCCAAATTTTGATGATTTTTGAGCGCTCATGGGGGGGCGTGATAACTTGGTTTTTTGCTGTCTCGGAAATCGTTCGGCATCTGGGGAATTGCGAAAGCGGGAGCTAGATTTTTAAAAACTAGAACAAACAAGCTTTAAGGGAAAATATAAAAAAAAACAATAAAAACGGGCTCTTGGCTGTTTTATTGACGATTTCTAAACATAAAAAAAATGCAATTTTTTTATTAAAGAAGATTTTTCTTGCGTTTAAAAGTTTTGCGGATTTTCGACGAAAGTGGCGTTTTTAGGAGTTTGTTAGATAGTTTTTAGACTTTAAATATAGTTTAAATTTTACTAAAAACACTGTTAAAATACTTTCTATTACGTTACGTCCTGTTTTTCCCTGATCTTAGCCTAAAGTTAAGCCTAACAAGCCCAGACCCAAACCCAAGGGGCTCAGAAGTCAAAATTCGTGCGTGCGGGGATTGAACCTACGGGTCAAAAAACGAATGGCCACTGCCGAGAAATGCCAAAAAAAGTGATTTGTTTGCGAAAAAACGTAACATGTTTGAGAAAAACCGAATTCTTTTTGGGGCAAAAACGAAATTTTGAGTGCGCGGCGATTACATGTCGTAATGCCTGGTAAGGCACCCAATCTCTCGATCTCGGTGTTTCTCTGGTCAATTTTCATAATTTAAAAGTCTGGAATGATCAAAATTCGTTGAGGATTCCAAAAATAGCATCAGAATTTTGAAATTCCAGCGTTTTCGCGTCCAAACAGGGGCAAAAGGTCATGCGGCGCGGTCGCGTTGCGGCCGCATCTGGCTATTTGCCAGGAATCACAGCAGGGGGCCGTGGACCAGATTTCGGAGCCCCTTTAAGCCCGGGCCCAAGCCCAAGCCCAAGCCTAACCGTTACATAAATGCCGACCCCAAGACGTAGTATACCAGTCGGGGACTGGTCCTAAGCCTAAGCCTAAGCATAATGCAGATCACTATTTTTTAAACGTGTTGAAAATTATAGCTATTAAACCAGTTTCTGCAGTTTTCTGCCTAACCCGACTCCTACAAATCCCAGAGCACATTTTGGCCAGGTCAAAATTTGCTCGGGCATGGCGAGGCGAAAAACGAAAAAGACTGGCGATCCCCGAGGGGTGGTAGGGGGTGATAGAGAGGCAATTGATAAGGAGTGGGACCTCTTATATTTGGTAGAAGACCGCCGGACTCCGGTACTTTCCCCCGGACACACAACGCGACGCTGGAACACCCCCCTGGGGTGACGTCGGAATTGCACCCGGAATTTTTCACTTAACTTGCTGTTATTAATTTAAAAACCTAAAACTGAATCGATCCTTTTATTCCGTAATGCTCCCCTCAACGCTTATGACCCCGGTGAAAAGCGTGGAATACGAGCTGCACTCGGACAATGAGCCACAGCTTATTTCTAGGAAAAACAGGTTGATTTTGGGGTATAGAGGTGTAATATATAGTGCCCATTATGTATTAAATAGTAGAAAATTGTGCTTTAAAGTTTAGAACCTGTTTTATTTATATTTTTAGCCTTTCCGGCTCGGCTCTACGGCAACGGAGACGGAAAGAAGAAATCTCGCGCCCAAGTTCTTTGCTATCCGATGGATGTCAGCCAATAAATGAGTGCAAGTGAGCGTTTTTTTCTAGGCTTTTATGGGCCGTAAAACAAAATTGTGTTTCTTTGGCATTATCGGGGGGGAAGGGATTTTTGGTATAAGTCGAAAAATAACTACTTTCCAAGCGGAAACTATCTAAAAACCTTGAAAATTTTGACATCACGATCGAAAATTGGCCATTTTGGTCGAAAAATCGATATTTTTGTATTTTTAAAACATGAATTTGTAAAGTTTTACGCTTAGGAATAACAACAAAACAGCTTAAATTATAAAGACTTGCTGATTTTTAGACCTGGCCGCTCCGACGGGTCAAGCGAGAACCTGCAACGAGCCTCTTCCACTAGCGGATCGTTGAGTAGCCATGAGGAAAAGCTGGGGCTAAAGTGAGTTTTCTTTTGGTTATGTGTTACGCACTATTTAACAGTTTTATGCCAAAAGAATAAGCTTTTCATGCGTAATTTAGTAGTTAAGGCAAAAACTGACGTTAATCCGCGACAAAACCATTTTAAGACTCCTAAAACCATAGGAAAACGTGGCGAATTCGTTAAAAACCGGCTTTTTCTCCGATTTAAACCTTTTTTAATTTTGCTAAGCTATTATTGAACATTAATTGACTACAAATTTTAGAGACGACACCCCAGCCGCCTCCCAATCCCCCGACTGCTCCTCCCTATCACCACAAGAAGGCGCTCGGCTGTCGGCCAAAAAGAAATATTTTGCGGAGAAGACACCAAATAAGAACATCTTCAGCCGATTTCTCCACCCAACCTTCCATCAACGATCTATCCAATTCCGGAAAATCTTCTCCGGAACGGTGCCGGACGATGATCGGCTGCTATATTGTGGGTTATCTTTGTTTAAACTATACTTTCCTAGTTTATTGGTTGTTTTGTAGCTCTATTTTTAATCGCTGAAAATGACAATTTTTAATGCGTTTTCGTCATTTCCTTTAATGAGCATATTTCGGCAGTTTTGCAGTGTATTATTGTTTTTTATACGTAAAATAGCGTCGAAATGTTGTAAAAAAATGTATCGACCATAATTGACCACTAGGGTAAAGGGAAAAGCTATTCTTCCTGCTAAAAAAATTTTCAGTTTCGGTCCTTTTTCATTGATTTCCACAAAAAATGATAAATTTGCGAGTTTTGACGTTTATTTTTCTGTTTTCAGCCTTCTCCTGCGCGTTCCAACGTGAGATTCTGGCGCAGGGCCGGATGTTTATCAGCCAACAGAACGTGTGCTTCTATGCGAATATATTCTCGTGGGAAACCCTATTCGCCATCCCAATCAAGGAGATTGCCCTCATCACCAAGGAGAAAGCAGCCTATATTTTTCCAAATTCGATTCGGGTACGTGCCACGTCTATAGTATTTTTCAATTTCAAGGTTTAGATTGAAACAAAAGGCGAGCGCTTCTTCTTCGCCTCGTTTATCAACCGTGAGAAGACGTTCACCGTGCTCGACACGGTCAAGAGGAGCGTCCAGGAAGACAAGGTAAAATACGCTAGAACTACCGTAACCTTGAATTTTGAGCCAATTTCACCTGAAGAGCTCTGGGAATTGATGAACCCAGAGGAGGAAGAGCAGAAATTTGTGAGTTTTTAGCATTTTCCGGACTTTTCAAGGGACTGTAGGTTCCTCGGGTACTGGACTATTAGAAATTCCATTAAAATGATAATTTTTCCAATTTTCTTAAGATTCTCTGCATCCCCCGTTTTCACAATTTTTTTCCGAAATTCCCCAAAGTTCTCTGCGGGCCTCTCCTAATTTTACAAAATTCCCCAAGGTTTTCCGCTAGCCTTCCCTCGGTTTTCCAAATTTCCGAAAAGATCTCTGCTGGGCCACGTATTTTCAAATGTCCCGAAGTTTCTCTGCTAGCTTGCAGTAGCTTCCTAAACTTCCCAAATATTCTCTCCTAGCCTGCCCCTATTTTCCCAAATGATCTTCCACTGATTTTCTGCCATTTCTTGCCCATTTTGGGGCTCGAAAACAGTAGATGGGGAGAACAGATTGGGTTGGATTCATCTTGGCGGGGCAGACTGCTGCTGCTGGGGCACAAAAAAGTGTCAAAACAACGTGTGAAGGGGGGAGCAAGAGTAGAGAGGAGGAGCAGGTGAAGGAGGAGGAGGAGTGTGAGCCTGTTTTCGATATGTTGTCTCCGTTTTGCGCCTCATCATCATATACCATCAGCAGCAACAGGGTCCACACAATAACATACACCACCCCATAGACCATCACGCCATTTTGTCTTGGAAGTAGTATAAAGGTTTCGGGTACTGTTTAGCGTTTAGTTTTTGTTGAAAGGAATTTGCCGAGAAGCGCCACTCATCTTTTAGCATTTAAAATTGTTTTAAAGGCGGTTAAAAAGTACTGCGGCGCCGCGGTTCCGAGGCTGAACTACGAGCAGCTACACCGCACACGTTCATCGTGTGCACTGATTGCGTTTTCATGATTTTATCAGCTTTTTGGATTAGTAAGCCGCTCCTTTAATAAAATTTTTAGGATCTCTGTATAGTTGTTATTCTACTCTCTAGTCACTCTCTCTCTCTCTCTCTCTCTCTCTCTCTCTCTCTCGTTCTATTTGTCGTATGAGGTGCAAACACACACTGAAGGCGTGGTCCTCTTATTTCGGGTCCCCGGAGCGCGCGGGCCCCCCAGATTCTATTTGAGTTCGTTCGGGCCACCCGTCTTGAATCTATTGATTTTCTTTGTTGATGGGTTTAGCGGCTTTTCAAACAAAATTATCGCCAAACTTTCAAATTTTAATTCCGATTTTTCAGCACCCAAAGGTGAAGAAAAGCCGCAGCGTCGAGAATATGTTAAAGCATCAGTGGGTTTTTGGTCTTATTTTTTGGGGTTATTAAAGCATGTGGAGGATTTTTAAACAGTTTTTATGCTATTAAAAACGTAAAGCTTTACAAATTTTAATTCTAAAAACTTCAAAGAATGCCTTTTCGACCTAAATGGCCGGTTTTTCATTGTTTTCCGCTTTTAAATTTAGTTAAATTTTACAAAAAAAAACTATTAAGAAACTTACCAATTATTCATCTAATCAAAATATTTAGTTATTTATTGAATTGTTAACACCGTTATTGTTAATTTTCCAGTTCGGCGCCAATGCTCAGCCCGCTCGACTCGCTGTCCCCGCTCTCCCCGCCGGATACCGAATTCCCCCAGTGTGTCCGAGATTCGAGAAGTTTTTGAGGTATTTTTTTATTTGGTTTTTACTTTCTTTATTTAGTATATAATTAAACAAATAAGCATACCTCTTAATTGCAGCCCTCCGAATGCCCATGCGAGTCTCATTTTGGTCGGCTGATCATGGACCGCACCTTCGAGTTTCCGGTGGGTATTTTTGCGGGATTTTAAACCTTGGTTCTGTTGCATTAACGGGGGGGGGGATAATTTTTCTTGCACCTGAAATGCCTAATAGCATAATAGGAAGTGTTTTTAAAATGTTTTTAGTTCTTAGTAAAATTTAACTAGATTGAAGCAGCAAAGCTATCTAAAAGCCTAAAAATCGACCATTTTTGCTCGAGAAATCTATTTTTTTAATAGAATTGTTGAATTTTTACGTTTGGGAATAGTAAAAACCGTTCTACGCGCCTTTATTTAGAATTTTGTTTACCCCCCCACGATGATGCAAAAGTACCTAAATTATTACCTAAGCCATTAAGCTATTAACTTGTAGTTTGTAGCCGGATTAGCCGGATGCCGACTATAAACGGCTACAAAAATCCGTTTTTAGGTAGACGAACTGTACACGCTCCTCTTTACGGACACGCCCTGGTTCCGGCGCTACAACGAGCAGATGAAGAATACCGGTTGGTTTTCAGCGATTTTAAAAGCTCTAAATTTTTTTTGGATATGCTATTTTAATCAATTAAATTAAATCAATTAAAACAGCCAATTAAAAAAGTCACTAATCGACCGTAATTTGTAGTGCATCGGAGAGTGGCGCAAGGGATCTCCGGTTAGTCTGATAGCTTAAAGCATGCCCTTTTCCGTTTCCAATTCCGTTCCCATACTAACAACGCATGGAATATAATTTTATTTAACAAACCCACACATTTTATTTTATTTTTGGTTAATCTATAGATTTTTACTGGTCTTTTTCAGGCTACGCAGCGTCGGATTGGATGGCCGACAAGGAGAATGGGCGTCAGCGGACTGTAACGTACACCGTGGCCCTGAATCATGCCATGGCGCCGAAGAGCTGTACGGTCACTGAGACACAGGTAGGCTAGCGGAGGTTGTTTGGGAATTTGTGGATGTTTTTTCAGGTCTGTGCACACCTGGCTTCGGATGGATTCGTCGTTCGGAAGGAGTCTCACAACGCCGGTGTCCCATACGCTGACTCTTTCGCTGTTCTTGTTACCTATTGTGTGACAAAGGTTTGTTGCGTAGTCTTACTCATTGTACGGTATATTTAAGGTATCCCCTACCACATCTCGATTCCGAATCCATGGCGGGATTGATTACCGGAAAAGCATATGGGGAATGATTAAAAGTAGGTGGATTTGAAAGAAATTCCGTATATTGAAAGAATTGCCTTTACAAGTCCTTTAAAATCAATAGTTTTTCAGCAATGATCGATAAGAACACGAATCAAGGTCTCGATGATCACTACGCAGCGATGGAACATGCATTGGATGAGGAATTGGAGAGGAGAGATCATGTGGAGGATGAGATAGGGTTGGTTGGAGAGAGAGCTAGAGAGAGAGAGAGAGAGAGAGAGAGAGAGAGAGAGAGAGAGAGAGAGAGAGAGGGGAGAGAGGGAGAGGGAATGAGCGAGAGTGCGAGCATGAGAGATCGATTAAGAGAGATCGGACGCTAGAGACGAAAAACTATAGAAAGATAGAGGGAGAGAGAAAGTGAGATAAATGAGAGACGGGGGGAGTGGGGGAGTGAGTGAGAGAGAGAGGGGGGGGGAGAATGAGAAACAGAGAGCGGGAGAGTGAGTAAGAGAGAGCCAACTAGAGAGGGAGAGAGAGAGAGAGAGAGAGGGAGAGAGAGAGCGAGAGATATATTTAATTTTGTGTTTTTTAGTGAAGAAGCAACAACTTCTGATCTAATTCCTCGCATCATTGAACCCGAAGGCAACAACACCCTCCACCCAATCCATCGAAGAGGTCAGAATTCTAAACCGATATATTCTGAGCCCTATAATCCAAATTCTAAACCGCACCTTTCAGACCGTACCCCAATGTTCCCCCGGTCGATCTCGGTGGCCGCCTCTCGGGTCAATTATTTTGACGAGGAGGACGACGTCTCCGAGGTTATCCCCAAAAATGATCGAACCGCGAAGATTGTCGTGGTTTTGTAAGTTTTTAGAAGGAATTCAAACTAGAGGAATTACTTTAAACTTTGATAAAAACCGTTTTACTCTACTTAAACTATCTTTAAACGGTTTAAACTATTTTAAGCAGTTTCAGACTATTTTTCTACCGTTTTAAAAGCTTTTCGAACAATTTTAATGGGTTTTAAATTCATTTAAACTATCGTGAACTATTTTTTAACGATTTTAACCTCTTTGAGCCAAGTTTACGCGATTTTACACTATTTGAACCGATTTTTAAGCTATTTTCAATGTTTTAAACAATATTTTGAACAATTATAAACATTTTAGGCTGTTTACGATATATTTTAACTATTTGAAACGATTTAAACAAATTTAAAAAATTGGACGTATTTTATACTAGTTTAAACTATTTTTAAAAGTTAATCATTGCCTGTTTCAGGTTGGCTTGCATTCTCTTTGTCAACATTATTTCCTGTTGGTTTCAATTTCGCGCCGGGACCCCGGGGTACGTCTTATTGTTGTGAAAATCTGCTTTAAATTTAGCTTATTTTTATTATAATTATATATAATGCGATTTTGAAAACATATTTAAACTATAAAAAAAACCTTTTTTTAGCCAAGACGCCACTGCTCAAGTCAGCTTGGAAAGCTTAAGTCAAATGGTGAAACAAGTGGGTTTAACACGAAGTTAAAAACTTGCTAAATAAGTAGCTAGTTTACTATCTAAATTAAATTGTAATAATATGTGATAATAACCCAAAAAATTCCAGATTTCCGACGAGCTACAACTTCTAAAAGCAAAGCGAACCGAGCTGTAGCCCGCTAAATATTGCTCAAAAATAATTCGGTTCTAAAAACTTGTATTTTTCTTTGTAATATACCTTTAACTTTAATTCTTATTATTCCATACTTATTCTTTCACTTTATACCCCGAAAAACGTGTCCCACTGTATTTATTACCCCTCGATTGTCATTTATTAATTATTGTTAGGGAAAGTTAAAATCGTGTAGTTTTAAAGCCCTGTGAATGCTCATTTTTATCGAAATACATTTTTTTATTACGTTCTATTGCGTTTTGAATAATATTTTTTTCACTAACCATGTAGCGCAAAAAATGCTAAACATCGAATCAAGAGAGAAAATTGGGTACTGGACTCTTAACGGGGGGATTTCCCATGAATGACGAAATAGAGATCATCTTTACGGCATTTTATCTAGTTTTAGATTTAAAAAAGCACTTTCGAAAATTTGTTAAAAATCTATGCAAACACCCAAAAAATTTCAAAGTTCGAAATTTTAATATTTTTTGAAACTTCTAGCAATTAAAAACTACTAAAAAACAATAAAATAACATATAGATTGCTGTTGTTATTACATTTAGACGGAAAATTACCCCCCCCCCGCTAACAGACCAGTACCCAAAAACCGTTAAAAACAATTTTTGAGGCAACAATCGTCAAGCCCGTAGTTGGAAAATGTCCAGAGGATGGCAAGGGAATTGGTACAAAGCATAAAAACTACCGTATGCTATAAATTAAGGGGTTTTTAGACAAATTGACATGGCTTAATTTCAATATGGCAGCCGCCGGGATACAATACTAACAATAATCACAGACACAAAGAACGATATTTTGATTAATTCAACAAATCGCTGTAAAAGTAATAAAGATATTGATTGGCCAGTGTAGCCTGTTGGTAGTGCGTTAGTGTTTCAAACCAGGTCTCGAGGGTTCGAACCCCAGACGCGGAAAAATTTTTTGCTTTTTGGGAAAAGAGTCGAGATTGAGTGCACTGGCCAATACAACTGAATTATATCGCGTACAATCGGTTAGCCCCGGGGATTACGGTAGGTTTTCGGTCTTGATGGGTTGTGGATTGTTGGCCGTTGTGGAGAGGGTGGTTATGACATTATTTGCAGAGGCATCTTGTAGGATTAGCTCTTGCATTAATGCGTCGACATTTGCCACGCCGAATACAGCGGCGAGTTGCACGTCTTCAATCTGAAGGGGCTTGGTTTAGGCTTGGGGTTGGCTTGGGCTTAGGCTTAGGTTTAGGCTTGGCATGGCTTAGGCATGGCTTGGGCTTGGCTTGGACTTGGGCTTGGCTTAGGCTTAGGCTTCGCTTTAGGCTTATGCTTGGCTTCGGCCTAGGCTTCCTGGCGTGTTGCGCGCGCAAAATCTATAAACATATCCCCGAGTCCTCACTTACCTATTCCTTTAAACGGTATGTTTTTGGCTGGTTTTTACCCAAAAAATGAATTGAACTCGAACCATCGACCGCCGTCCGACTGGCTTGCCGTCGACCGCCCTACCTACCAATTGTTGGGCGATGGCCTGCAGGGGTGGCAGTAACAGGAGAAGCCGTCCCAATCGACACCTCAACGCTCCACATTCCTCGAGACGGGCGCATCTGCAAATTTCGGATTTAAACGGACAGTCGCGGAAAAATGAGAAAATGAAACGAGCGCACGGAACAAAAGTGTTCAAGGCAGCGGCTCGTACTCTAGGGCTTCAGAACGGGGTACTCCACTTCACGCCTCCATTTTAGTGCTTCTTTTGCATTGAATTTTGTCTTTTTAAATGGTTCTTATTGTCACGCAACGCGCTGACCCTGCCTGATTAAAAACGCGTAATCGATTACGCAATGAAAAGGGCTGCCCGTTGCATTTCGCGGGGCTTGAAAAGCCATAGCCTATGGCTTGCGCATCTCTTTAAACTTGTAAAAAGTATTTTAATTCTAAAGCCTCTCAAAAAAAGCTAAAATTCCACATTCTAAAACGCACCTCTTCTCTAGTGCTGCCAGACATTCAAGCCGTGCACCATCTACTTTCTCGTAGTCTGTCACGTCATTCGACACTGTAAAATTATGATAAATTTATAGACAGTCGATGTAATCTGTAAAAATATAAGAAAAAACCTATTATTTTTAAGACCCAAAATCACGAGCCTGGGTTAAAAAAGACAATAGCTTTCAGCGCGACATAGTCGGCAGGTTCGATGGAAAGGCGACGAATCGGCACTACCAACTCGTCAAGGATCCGCCGCACCACGCAACTGAACCGGGTACGGTTTTTAAGGCGCTTTTTAGGGAACCAACTTGATATCCCCGACCAGCGCGGCGTGTTCCCGCGAAATGAGGGCATCGTTGGCCAGGCAGATCGCGTCCTGGAGTAGCTGAAAAATAAAGAAAATTGCGAAAGTTATTTACCTCCATACTGACGCTACGGTACGCTACGCCAAGGACGATGATTTGCGTGGCGTTGGCTTTGAGGAGAACGGCCTGAAACGTGTCAATTTTCATTTTTATGTTTTGAAAAGATTTTGGATAAAAGTTGTAGCTGATGAGTACCGTGAATACTTTTAATAAAAACTATACCTTAATTATGGCGTTTTAAAGTGTATTTATTGACGTACCTGGTCCATGACGCTGAGCCCGAGAAATTGGGGCAGGCTTTTCGCCCATTCGACCAGAAGGAGAAGCTGCTGCCGGATAGATTTGCCGATATCATCTGCAAATTGTCTTTGCCAGATTGCCCTCGATTTGAGGATCCATTTTTAGCAAGTTTTTGAATCGATTTCAGGTTTATAATCAAAGAAAACGTTGGAAAACAGCCAAATTCGGATGTAAAAGTATGTAGAAGTGCTGTAAAATAAAATATTCTATATACAGGGTGTCCCAAAAAAACGACCCATCTGGCATTTCGCCGTGTTACATCCAACCGGCCTCAAATTTGGACCAGAGGTGTATCATACCCTAAATAACAACAATCCTGACTTATAGTCCCGTAGCTACAGTAGATCTCGAGTTATAACGAAAATACTGCTTTTCCCGGAATTCTGAACAGTTTTATCGGCTATCTTTTTGGACTTTGCATCGATTTACATCGACTTCCGGCTGCGAATCCCTAATTTCGGTTAAGAACTTGGGTAATTTTGCGTTGTAAAAATTGCTTAAACCGAAGCTTATTTAATTAATTTTACTCTGGAAAAAATTTCTTAGGGTAAAAAAGGCCTGCCGGATCATTTACGCTTAATGTTTAGGGGGTCTAATTCCACGAAAACCCTATGAAAAATGGAAAATAAAGTTTGTTTTCGTTATAACTTGAGAACGACTGTAGCTACAGGGCTATAAGTCAGGATTGTTGTTATTTAGGGTCAGATCCACCTCTGGTCCAAATTTGAGGCCGATTGGATGTAACACGGCGAAATGCCAGATGGGTCGTTTTTTTTGGGACACCCTGTAGATGTGTAAAAAGTCCGAAATTTTGATAATTATAGCTAAAAAAACCTATTGTTCGATCTTCTAAATAATTGGTCGGCTTTTCGTACATGAAAAGAGTGTAATAATGGTGAAATATATCGAAAATTTGGATAATTTATTGTCTAAAAGTTCGATTTTTCCTTTGCCATAAATTTCATGAGCTTTTTCTCATAAAATTATGTTAAAATGTTGAAAATCCCTTATTTATTTATATTATCGCTTACCTATCGAAGCGCGGCGCTCCTCTGGCCGGAATCGCTCGGCAAAAGCGGATCTTGTTTTTCCAGCGTCGTAAGTTACCTAAAAAACCTGGATACATATCTATTAATTTTCCGTACCTGTTCTGTACTTTTTATGACACTACTCCTCAATTGTTGACACAAGCGCTCGCTCTGCAGCAACAACTCGATGACCGTCTCCTGGAAAACAGCGTCATCCGCCAAATTTTGATCCAAACCTCGCCGAGTCCATTTATTTCCGGCCCCCCTCCTGTATCGACACTTGGCGACGGCTTCTTCCGCTTTCCAATGGCGTCACGCTCGTTTTGAATTGCTAAAAAAATTAAAAATTACACCCCTTTTACCGCCAAAAAGCTCGAAAATTTGCACCAACCATTCGACTTCATCCCTGCCATCAAGCATTTCCGGAGTCGACAGGCCCGGCAGGAATTCCGGTGGTCTAAAAAGTGTAAAATCTAAGCTAAATAGTGTTTTTAATAAAATTTAGGTAATTTTCCAGTGAAAAACAACATTAAAAAAACTCAGAAGTGTTTTAAAAATTTAAAATTTTAGTGAAGATCTTATATTTTCGTATTTTACGTTTAGCAATAGCAAAAACAGCATAGCCTCCCCCGATATTGCAAAAGGACCGTATCCACTCACTTTTATCGACTGCGCAAGTGTGCTCGAAACGGCAGGCATAACTGCGCTTCTTGCGGATGCTGCGGCGGAAGAAGCCTAAAATAGTGGCCATATTATTGTATTATTAAAAATAAACTTAGTATATACCAACAAAAAAATAGATATTTTACTGCCAAAATCGATACCTTTACAGCCATCACACGAAATCGCGCCGTAGTGCTTGCCGGTCGCGCGGTCGTTGCAGATATGGCAAATCTCTTCGACCATCTGAAAATTGGGATTAGAGAGAGAGAGAGAGAGAGAGAGAGAGAGAGAGAGAGAGAGAGAGAGAGCAGACATCCATTTTCAAAGCGGAACCTGCTCGCCCGAAACACCGGAACAATGTGGAATAGGGTCAATTTTTCGGCTTATCTTGCCTGTCACACAGTCATTTCGGAGGGATCACTCACGTGACAGCCGCCCCTCAGCGAAATAAGTAAAAATTAAGGAAGGTATAGAGCACTACATTATCTTGTAAATACAAGGCTATTTCTCTATAACATTCAGTTTATAACTATAATTTTATAAATTCTAAAAAAAGGTTCTACCAAGCCGTAAGGATCTACGCGAACACACTTCCTTTTACATGATTTGTGCTTTTGATTGAATATTTAGCGTCGAAGCTCAGAAAGAATTTTCCAAAAACTGAAATTAACAAAGAAATCAGCATTTAAAAAAAATTAAATTAAACGGTATGAAAACCGCGAACACGAACAAAAATGTTTTTTTTTCATGCCTATATGTTTAAAAAGGCAACCGAAGAGAATCGGCATTATTTGTCGATTTGAAGGAATAGAAGACGTTTCAAAAGCTAACAACGTCGTAGACATCGTAAGATCTTTTCTTTTTGGTGGAAAACTGTTTGACGACGTCCAAGAAAACCTAAAATCAAAAGAATTTTTTTAATACCCAGAAAATCGACATTTTTGTCAATAGAGTATGGTACGAAAACAAAAACTAGCGCTAAAAAATTGTCGTTTTTAATGGCAACATATTTAAAAAAACCGTTATTGTTTAAAGGCAAATAGAAGTAAAAAACTGCAGAAAACCGGCATTTTTTGTCGATATAATCCGAGCGGAAACGGTAGGGGGAATGACGCGCCCCAATTATGGAAAGGAAGGGGAGGGGAAGACACCGGAAAAGGGAGGCGAAAAGCCACACACAACGCCCCGGTTGAGAGATGGATTGATAGCTGGGGTAAAAGGAGGGAAGGATGGCACAGAATTGGGGGGAATGGATTGATAGTGTACTCTGTAGATTGGGACAGCCACCACACTCCTCAGTCCATCCATCGATCGCATAACCCCCCTATCCAATGGACTGGGACTGGATAGCTTGAGGGAACGGAACACTACACTCAACGGACACTGATCACGGTGATGCCAGTGATCAGGGAGCACGAGGAAAACTTGAGGGAGGGTGAATCATCGCGGAGCATCGGCAGATTCATTCATTAACGGGTTCTTTTCCATTTTCGAAGGGGCCTTAACTTTTTTTTGCTTAAGATCCAAATTTGCTAAAGGCGAAAAAAGGGTTCTGAACTTGTGGGGAAAAATTCGCCGGTTCTGAACTCATAGCGGGGAGGGGGGGGTTAGCGAAACCAAATTTTTCCCAGTACTTCTGTACGGCCTCATAACAAAATAGAAACCATTTTTATTACATTTTACGTAGTTTTTAGATATAAAAGTTCATGGAAAATTATAAAAATTTTTGAAAATGTTTGAGTATTTGGGGAAAAAATGTATGAAAAATGGCCAAAACGGTAAAAACGTAAATCGAATCTTCAAATTAAAAAGAACTTAATTTTTTATTACGTTCGAGCATTTAAAACGGCTCAAGGTGCTAGACAAATACATTACATATGTCCAAGAGGAAGCCGAAGCCGAAGCCTACACCTAAGCCTACACCTAAGCCTACGCCTAAGCCCAAGCCCAAGCCTAAGCCTAAGCCTAAGCCCAAGCCTAAGCCTAAGCCTAAGCCTAAGCCCAAGCCTAAGCCCAAGCCTAAGCCCAAGCCTAAGCCTAAGCCTAAGCCTAAGCCTAAGCCTAAGCCTAACCTAAGCCTAAGCCTAAGCCTAAGTCTAAGTCTAAGCCTAAGCCTAACCTAAGCCTAAGCCTAAGCCTAACCTAAGCCTAAGCCTAAGCCTAAATCTAAGCCTAAGCCTAAGCCTAAGCCTAAGCCTAAGCCTAAGCCTAAGCCTAAGCCTAAACCTGATCGGTAGATGATCTGTTCTTTGATGATTCTTGTCTCGCGGTGTGTTCGAGCACAACGAAACGCGGTGGCGCACAGCGCTAGCAACAAAAAACGCGCGCAAAATCTCAGGCCACCCTCAACCACTCCACCCCCCTCGAAACGCCCGCCCGAAAAAATGAGAAAACAACAAAATGAGCTGTGGATAGAGGGAGGGGGAAATGTCGACATGGGGCCTCGAGGCAACCAACCACGGGGGTAACCAACCCCCGAAGAGGATAATCTCGGTTCTGGGTCGTTAACGGGGGGGACCCTCTTTACCCAACTGAATCTCTATAAAAAAAATAACATTTTTGCGAAATATTCGATTCCCAAAAAATTATATAACCGCTAAAAAAATCAAGAAGTCTCAATCTTTCAAAATTTTTTGGAATCTTTGGAAAAGGCGCCTGATTGCGGTTCTAGTCCATTAGCGGGGGGTTATAAATAAAAGAATGAATAAATACAAAATTAAAATTTTTTGACAAATATTTTACTAATATCTTTACGAAAAGTTTTGTATTTTTCGAAAATTAAATTTTTTGGAAACTGAGTTTTTGGAAACATTTCCGATATAAAAACCCTTGAACGCCTATGAAAATGGCATCTTTTTCATCTAAAACATCAACGGCACAAGACGACATAAGAAAGAGTTATATTCCCCTCCACCAGTGATCCAGCACCATAATCTGCACGAGATCTCTGCCAAATGCCGCGAGGTCAACCCGCTCACCTCCACCACCCCCCGAAATTGTGTTGATTGTTTTGTGGGGGGAGTAGGATTTTGGATGAAGCCTTCGAGGCCCCGGGGGGCAATCCCCGGATTTGGCCGCCCCGCGTAAATAAGCAGAGTTATTTTCGTATTTCTAAAATCCCTGCTCTCCTTTACTGCAAACGGGCAGCAGGATTTGGCGGATAATAAACTTGGTCGGTTATTGCAGGGAGGGCATCACTTTAAAAACAACAGGGAAAAGGGGCAGGCAACTGGAACTACTAAAAAATGCTGGGAATGACCCAAGCCTAGGCCTAAGCCAAGCCAAGCCTAAGCCTAAGCCTAAACCTAAGCCTAAGCCTAACCAAACCTCAGGCTAAGCCAGGCCGAAGCCTCGCCTCTCTAAAAAATTCGAAAATGTTAATCATTTTCGGCCATTGTTCAGCCATTTTTTGAACAAAATACAAAATTTTCGAAAATTCTTATAATGATTTAAGTTTTTACTATCGAAAAACTGTATAAAATACTACAAAATGATTGATATCCCGTTATAGTACCGCTTAGGGGTTCTGTTATTTTCGCGAGGCGCAACGTCATAAAAAATGGTTTTCCCACCATGATCTTCGGCCAGGCCTCGTGAAATTCGCCCAGATGGGCGAAAATTTAGTTTCAAAGGCTTGTTAAGCGGAAGCTAATGGAAATATGGCGTCGCGGAACCGGAGATGCCTGGAAAATTGTCATTTTAGTGTTTCTTATGAATTATGTATTCATGGAATCGTGTGGTAGATAGGTAGGTAGGTACGCACAGGATCTCCATTTTTTCACATTTTTGAATGTCAGGGGCCTGGTCTTTCGAAAGACCGTGTACTTTTAGCTGGATTATACTAAAATTACACAAACCCATTTTTTTAAGGTGTTCGTACTACCTTTTCTCTGGTTTTTATTCTACTTTTCCATTTTCTATCCCTCTTATCAAGGGCTACATGACAATACCCTGCACGCAAACAGCAGTCCCGCGAAAGAAAGGCCTTTAAAATGTTCAACTATCCGAGACCAATTTGCTCGATCCATCGATCAACAATCAAATTGCTTCCAACAAATTTAAATTGAACTTTTCAGTAATGATCACCGCTCATTTCAAGCCGCGAGATGGAGGCCCCGCCAAACCCCCGCCCAGGGCCGCCATTTTCAAGTAAACTTTGTCAAAGTATCTATCTTTATCTTTTTAGGATCCCGCAAGCCAGCCCGGCCCGGAAGAGTCTCGGCTTCAAAGCGAAGGTCGGCAATAACAACAAACAGTACGTGCTCGACGCAGGCCAAGCCGAGATTGGCACCACGCGATGTTTGAAGGTTCGTGCTTCTGCGGTATCGTCGAGAGATTTGCAGAAATATTCGGTTCTTTGACATTATCGGGGTTAACTGTTTCCCTATGAGCTCAGAAATGCCTAATAATTTAACAGTAAGTATTTTAATAGTGTTTTGTGGAAATAAATCAAAGAAAACACTTAGAAAAACATTTTTAGGCAAAAATTGCTATTTTTTGGATTTTTTAAATACACAATAGCAACTCATCGTTTCAAATATTTTTACAGTGTGACATGGTTTATTCTGTGGACTGCCCGAAGGATGTGCGTGAGCACGACGAATACCACGCTGGCCAATTGGCCGCCCGACCCTTTCTGGTGACCTACCCGACATTATCAAAATGGAAAAGGTGGGGTCGCCTTTTTTCATTAATTTTCCTAAGGGATTCGAGGCACGACAGTCAGGGAAATGTTACGATATTTCGAGTCACGCCGGAAACGAGCGGTTTGCGCCGGCGGTTTGACGAGGTTGTCGAGGTAAATTTTGGGATGGTTTTTAAAGTCAGATTCAATTCAGGATTTTGTCAACGAGGAGATCGGCTTTAACAATGCGCTCCCTGTCTGGAACCAAGACCGTCAACGATTCGGCTGTTTGGCCGTCATCGACAAGAAGATCGTTGGGGTGGCCATCTTCGATCTTTTGCACGAAGCGAGTTGGGAAAAGAAAAACGAGGTTAGCGTGTGTTTTCGCAATGCCGGAGCTAGTAACGTTTAAGATATTTCACATCGAAAAGCAGTTTACCAACTTGAGGTCTTTGTTCGAAGTTTTGGTCGAAGAATTTTTTGTGTTATTCTAACGAAAATTTATAACGTTTTCACGTGATATTGGAGAAAATTTAAGTTGAAATTTTATCGAAAAATATGATGTATTTTTTAAATGAAAATTTGTAGAGTTTTAGGAATAGCGAAAACCAGTTTAGAAAAATTTGCTTTGTCAGCTTTTGAAAAATTGGTTCCTCAACAACCATTTTGAATTTTTTCTTTTCTAGATATTCCTAAAGCCTAACATCCTTGGCGTCAACCGAATATGGGTACATCCTCTGCAGCGCGGCAAACGTAATTCCATAGTTTCGAAATTAAATTCCTTTTTTAGGAGTAGGCCATGCCCTCCTGGATGCCGGCAGGACATGGGCGGTTCCGGGTTTGATAATCCAGCCCCAAATGGTCGCCTTCTCGGAACCGACCGATGATGGGGCTCGGCTAGCCGCCAAATACTGCAGGTTTTCGTTTTTTTTTGCTTTCAAGCCACCGCCTCTTTTAGCCACGACGACGGTGATTATCTCGTGTATCGACTCCGATTGGACGTCTAAAACATATTTGTTGCTTCTGCGCTTACATCTAGTTTCTCTTTAGTTATTTGCACGGACGATCTGTGATCTCATTATTGTGATTTTAACGTGCTAGCATAATCTAATTTGCTGCATTCACACTCTCATAATCGTTGTTGAAATAAATTATATTGACTTTTTATTGACTTTTATCGTTAAACAGCCTCGATCTTGGCTTGTTATTTATTGGCCGAGAAGCTTTTGTTAGTTAAAGTTGCTGTTTAGTGGTGGGCATGTCTCTGGTGCCACGAAAACCGCCACGGGGCTTACCAGTAAATGCCTCCGACGAAAGTGCTGATGGCGATGTGGAAAATTGTCGAGCAAGTGGAGCCACCCCAACGAAAGGTTCGTATTTATGCGAATTGAATATCGTATTTTTCCTTTAACATACCCGCGCCAAAAAGTTTTCAAAATGTCTACGTAATTTTTTACCAGGATCAATGGCATTTTTACAGCACAATACAACGCCACCGACACGTTCGAGAGAATTCGCCGTGGCTTCCGCGAGCTCGTCATCGAAAAGTGAATACAGTTTACAGCGAATAATGTTTTTTTAGGAAAAAGGCGCGTTTTTCGGGCTCGGAAGCGATCAGATATCTACTGGAACATTTGGAGGCGACAAAAGAAGATTATCCAGGGCGTGTCCTCGGCTTTGACAACGCTTTTAAAGTATTTTTTTTGCTGCTTTGCTCACTCGTTTTGCTTTCAGTTACTCCAACGGCTCTTTTGGTGCCGAGTTTTGCGAGCGGTCGATGGATCTACTCAATTCCAAGACGGGGATAAGAAGATTTACGAATTGGCACCGGATGGGGATTTTTGGTTTGTTATATCTTTGTCTTTTGCATGGCGGAATTTATTTAGGATTGGCGGGCTGCTACAAGCCCAAACGGCGAACCCACCGCAAGCACAACCCCAGCTGGAAGATGCCACCATGCACCCCTCATTCACCACCCCCAGCAAACGAAATCGCTCTGCATCACCGCCGCGCACAAAACGAGCCAACTCAATCAAGCGTCTTCTCCAAGTTTTCGGTACGTTTTGTGTGTGTTCAATATAGTCAACAGTTCCAGGGCGTTCACGAACCGTCAACGATGATGTCGGCAGTACGAGCTCCATGCATAATCTAACGATAACCTCGGACAATCGTGTTACTACTGGTATGAGCTTTACGCCTGTAATTTATCGTGTGGTTTTTAGCTGATGCCCAAGTTTACAAGGCGTCTCTTCAGCGCCTGCTGCTCATCATCGATTTGCAGGATCTGGACGGCATTGCGAATCCGAATGTTGGTACTAGCGCGCTTAGACTCTACTTTTCGAAATGATAGAGATTCGGGGATAGGTTTTTCGCATTATCGGGCGGGGGGTAGCTTTGGTGGTGCAATTTTTCCAATATAAGTCGCGGAAATGTTTCTAAACTGTTTTTCACTTTTCCTAAAGGTAGAATTCAAAAAACTTTGATTGTAAAATACAAAAAACATCGAGTTTCCTATTAAAATTTTTCATTTTTTTTAGGAAACTGAACACGATGATGACCACTCCGACCAGGTGGGATTTTTGACGTCGATACTCTCACGCATGGGGCTTTCTTCTGCTCGGGCAATTCGAGAACATCGCAGCCTATTTGCTTCCGAAGAGACCGATGATTGTATCAGTAGCAACCTCATCTCCAGGTTTGTCCGTTAGATTTTGCGGAATTCAACACACGAGGAAGATCATCATTATTGGTTTATTTTCAGCCGATACCTGGTCGGGTTCTTCAACTCGGCGCGACTGATCGTCCCCAGCATACATTTGACACGCGAGTTACGCAATAATCCAATGGAAGAGTGCTCGCAATGGGCCAGACAATGCCTGACCGCGGTTTGTTAGGAATTTCGCCACAATCGCTGTTTCTTTAGATCCGAAAATATTTGGCGAATTTGACGCACGAAGGCCGAGCGCCGTTGATTCCCGTCGAATTTACCGAGACTTGCCGCGCCATTGTAGAACAGGTGCTATAGCTTTTCCTTGCTAATTTTCCTCCATTTCCAGATTCTGATGGACGATCGTCGATGGAAACACGAAAAGGCGGCACTACAGTGTTTGTTCTACATGATCCCCCCGGCAATGAGGTGCGAGCTTTTCGCTAATTTTTCACGCAAATTGTTTAGGAAGCAAATGAAGGCCGTCATCCAGTGGCTCGCCTCGGCCCGTAATACCCGAGTTCATTGTGTGATTGGTGCCGTCAACGATCAGTTTGAGCGGACATCTGGGGTACGCGTTTCATCATTATGCTCGTTCGTACTTTGTACGCTATCGTATTTATTAGTTTATAAATTATCATGTTTTCAGAATGTGACCTTCTGCGATAACGCCGAGTGTGTGATGCGCGAGCTGGCCGTCTACCTGGCGCCTGTCCAACTCGGCGAGCGATACCAGCATATGATCATAAAGTGAGTTTCTCTTTTAATTGTCGAAATACATCGATTCAGGGCGTTTGTGGCCTTGTTCAATGAAAGGGGCATGGAAGAAATGCCGAAGGACATTGCTGAGATCGTTCGCCGCGAAGAAACGTGCGTTTTTTTACCTTTCCAAATTCTTTTTTCCGGCCTGGGGCGTAAAATGCAATTTTTTTCAGAGCGGGGCTTGAAGACACCTCGACCGTCCGATTCGCCGCAAAGCCTTCAGAGAGCGTCGAGGACTCAACGGAACGAGCGCTCGTCTCGGTATTATCCAATTTTTTTCTGCAAAACCTACTTGCAGATGATGCACGATCTGCTGGGGAGCAGCGCGTTGACGGCTGCCGAGAAGCATAAGCGACTCCGCGACTTTGCCACCAACCACCCGGACTATCACAGCAGACATTTCGCCGACCACCCATCCAACATCCCGCCCGAGAAGCGCCCCCGTTCACGCAGCGTCACCCGCCGAACCTTCCGCTGATTTGTGATGTTTGTTTTGTCACTTTAAGTTTTGCTATTCCTGCCTGTATTTTCATCAAAGCTGCCATTATATGTAACTGCTCAATGTGGCTCTTCTCGAGAAAACTTGCCTTTATGACGACATAAGCCTTCAACGATTGCACGGGTTTTTACGTGTGTGAATGAATAAAAGTAAACTGTCTATGCATAAAAATCGAATAAAAAGATCAGAATGAGTGCGGGATAGCCGTTTATCGATTTGCCATGTTTGTACTTAAAACAATGATTTAAGGGTTGATTTATGTTTTCGTTCATTCGATAGAGATTGAATCTTGAGCGCGTGGCCCCTCATTTAGGTGCCCTGTTGCAGCTCGGCGGCGATGGCGGCGGCATACTTCTCGAGGAACACCCTGTAATCGGGGGCTTCAGGCGGTTGATTGGATGGCCGGGTTCTTTCGCGTTATCTGGGGAGGGGGGGGGGCAGAACTTTTTTGTATAGCTCGAAAAACGTCTAACTAACTAAGAACTAGTAAAGTAAACTAGTAAGAACTTAATCGGCAGTGTTTTAATAGTGTTTTTAGCGAAATATCCCTGAAGATGAAGAAAAGATCCTAAGTCCGTTAAAACGTTTGTCCCCCGACAATACGGAGAAGCGATGGCCGATGGAGCCAGATTGTTGTTGCTCTACGGCCAAAGTAACCGACTGGTGCCTCTCGAAGAAAGCCTTGTCCATCTTGCCACGAACCCTGAACATGTTCAGCAGCACCTCGTGGACAAACAGATACTGCACCGCCGTCTGAATCGTGATGTTTCAAGCGGTAGATCACCCAAAAATAGGTAAAAGTTCAGTTTGCCCTGCCTCCCTGTTGTGATACAGGACTGTAAAGTATACCAAAATACTCACAAGGCCAAGAGGAACTCCTTGGTATACTTTACGAACCTCTAGGCCAACGTGGTGTGCGGGAACTGAACCACAACCCAAAAAATAGCCCGACCTGCACGGAGTTGGCGCGGCTTTCGCGGATCTGCACGAGCAGAGCCTCCATATCAACCATCTGCCCGTCCGCCAGCATCTCCAACGCCATTTGGAGCATCACCACGGATCCGGTACGTCCGACACCGGCCGAACAGTGGATCACGATCGGTTTGCTATAATAATTTGAGGTGCTTACGCATTATCGATCGTCCAGAAATGCCTAGTAACGTAATAATAAAGGTTTTTATAGTGTTTTAGTAAAATTTACCTATATTTTAAGTAGCAAACTACACGAAAAGTTTAGAAAATTTTTTTAGGTGAAATTCCGTCAAAATTTTTGATTTTTTTAACCAATTTTGTTGTGTTTGTTTAGGACTAGTAAAAAGAGTTTAGTAACACTTCCTCTGTTTATATTATCAAAACTGGGGGGCTGGCTTCAATGTGAGCTATACTAGACTTTAGCGAAAATCGGTATCTCACGTGGTTTCGTTGACCTTCTCGAGCAGTTCAACGGTCACCAGATCAGCGGGGGGAACGCTGCGATCCGGCCAGCTCACCCACTAAATTTACGCCATTTTTTAGATGTTAAAAGCTGGTTACATGGTAGTGGTTGACGGTATGCTGGGCGCCGCCCTCCTTCGTCACTTTCATAATCAGATGCTTGATGTTGGCCGGGGTCTTTGACGGCGAGACGAACTGAAAAAAAAGAGTATTTTTTGGACGAATATTCCGAAGAATTCCACCTCCTTCTCCAATTCGCAGGTGACGGTGAAGTCGCCAAACGTGGTCGTCTCGCCCTTGGCGGCCGGGAAATAGTTGGCGCATTTGATTTTGCCCTGCTCCCTCATGTCGCACAGCATTAGAATCACCTAATTAACATCAAAAGCTTGATAAAGCCCGCTTACCTTGACCTCCTCCTGCATGATCATGGCCCAAAAGTCGGCGCACGTCTCGTTGATTGGGGCCTGGGTGCAGATGAAGCGTTTCGGGCATTTGAGGGTGGGCACATAGTTGGCATGAATGTATTCATCTTCGTTGATGCCCTGCACGCGGACACGGTTGTTGTCCAGGCAGCCGACGTCCTGGAGAAGGGTATTTTCGCCATCTTTCAAACGCTCATCAAAAAGTATAAAATTTGACCAAAATATCGAAACTGGCACTTCTTTTCGTAATGTTTTTGTATTGAGGTTTACAGGTTGTTTTCTACAGTTTTTTCCTGTTTCTAAATAAATCAACTCCAAAAATTGTATCAAAAAAGCTAAGGTTCCAGATAACCCTCCAGCCAGCGCCCAACTTTTGTATGTCGACTCCCTGTTGCCCTACAGATGTGTATAGCATATCAAAATGTTCGCCTTGAGCTGGCGAGTATTTTGGTATGTTTTACAGCCTTGTAGCATAACGGGGACCCGAGATACTGGAGGTGAACATCGGCTGGGGGATCGGCTAAGGTTCAGCCAAACGAGCTTGTAAAAAGGCACCTTGTAACGGTTGAGCTTCTGATTGCGACTGAATACGGTGCACTTGGCCATATCACAGATACGGGGATGGCGCTTGAAGTCGGTGATCAACTGCGCGAGGCCCTTCTTGCAGATGGTAGTCCCGATGAAGTGCTCGACAGCCTTCTGGTCCAATTGCGTGTGTTTGCCCCGATTCTTTGTCGACGATGTCTTCGTCTTGGCCGACTTGTTCGTTCGCCGCTGCGAGTCCGGCTTCCTAAAGTAGGATATCATCAAGATCAGCAGGTTCAAGACGTCTCCCCGCCCAGCCGATCCCAACTTTTGTATCTCGGCCACCTGTTGAACTACAGGTGTGTAAAGTATAATAAAATGTTCGTCTTGCTCTGGCGAGTATTTTGACGTACTTTCCAAGCCCATACAGCAACGGGGTGTCGAGATACGGTAGGTGGGGGTCGGCTGGGTGGGTAAACTTAACCACAGCCATCAAGGTAAGACGTCGTAAAATACCCGAATTCCCCCGCCCCCCCCCGCTAACAGACCAGAACCATGCAAAAAAGCAACTCACTTTCCTGCTCCCATCGGTAGCGCGATTAAGCCGAACAGTTCCATTAATTTTCCAGACTCGAAACGCGTGCATAGCGCCGGCTATGCAAAATTCATACAGTCTTAAGGAAATTAGGGTTGCAATGTTTGTTCCGATTCGTTTGTAACAACCAAATGAAAATTAGGTATTGCTTGTTTTGTTTCCGCCGGTTCTTTCGCATTATCGGGGGGCGCTTTTTGTATAACTCTAGCAATGCTACTAACTGAAAAGGAAGTATTTTATTAGTTTTTTTAGTAGAACATAAGCATATTTAACCAGAAAAACTAACAACTTTTGTAGTCGAGATTTTGGTCAAAAATCGGTCATCTTTGGTCGAAAAATTTTTTTTAACTTTTAGAAAGCATTCGTAGAGTTTTTACGTTTAGGCACAGTATAAAATAGTTTAGAAACGCTTTCGCCGGTTGTATCTGAGAAATTGGATCCTAAAAAACGTAGCCCCCATCAGGCGAAAGAACCTTTTCGTGTATCGCTCGTTTTCTTATGTGAAAATACTTTCAAAATAATCCACATTTCATTAGATCGTACACAAGCACAACATTGAATATTTGATTGCTATTTTAACGACAACACAATTGGGTGTATCACATTTCATAGATAGGAACGAGAAGGGCATTATAAATCAGATGAAAAAGCGTACTTTTCAAGATAAAACTAAAAACAAGAGTACAGAGACTAAAAATCGGTGGGGGGGGGCTTTGGTGTCGATATGGACGATTGGGGGGGCATGGGCAACACATCACAATTTGCAAAGTCTCAAAAACGGATAAATATTAGGGTACAGGATAACCGGTTTCAAGTCAACGGGCGGAGCGTTGCGTGGACCATGGCAAGCTAGTGGGGTCCTGAAAAAAGTATCTCTCTTTCTCTCTATCTCTCTCTCTCCCTGTCTCTCTCTTTCTCGCTCTCTCGCTCCCTCCCGTTAAAACTGAGAATAGCCCATACCTAGATATGGCATGCCGTTGGGCTGGACGTTGTATTGCTGGATGCCAGAAGAGCTGGCCTCCCCGATGACGGCCGCCATCGCACTTGATGAAGATGAGGGGGCAACCGTGGATGAGCTCGAGCTGAGCACAGACGGTGGGAGGAGCCCCTGAAAGAACAAATAAGTCCGAGAAAAGTTTCTCAACCTCAAGCGTGGCCTGCAGATTGGCGGGGGTGCTGTTGTGATCGTTGATGTCGTCGAGGATGAACTCCGAGAGCAACGAGTCCACCTCGGCCAGCCCGAAGAACTTTGTCAGGGTCATGTTCTCGATGAGGAGCTGCGTGAGGGCTTTCAGCGCCGGGGCGAGCAGCAGGATATTTCCGTATCTAAATCAAATCATAAAAAGTAAATAAAACTAAAACTAAAAATTTTTTAGAATGCGTTTTTTACCTAGTCGGGGCTTCTTCGGGGAAATTCTCGAGGATGAACTGATAGAGAGCCTTCAGGACGCGATTCCGGGCGTCGCGGATCATCGTTTGAGTTTGTGCGGAGAGACCCTGGAAAATTAGCATACAAAGTTTTAAATGGAAAATTATTAAAAAAATTTTCTTTTATATTTTTAGACAAAAAAATAAAGTTTAAACAATTGGGCAGCTTTCAAGGTGCTTTGGCATTATCGGGGGGGGGGGGGGGGGGGCTCCACTTTTCTCTAAGGATCCCTTCATCTTCTAATAAAAGTAGGGAAAGCGTTTCTGAACTGTATTTTTTTTTGTTTTTTTTACGCTAATCCATCATAATCGAGTTTATTATTATAATTAAACACTAAATAAACGCAGCAAATTTCTATAAAAAATACAAAATCATCGATTTTTCCAGCAAAAATGGTAGATTTGCGACTAACCGACCTCAAAAACTTCGCAAAAAAAATTAACATTATCAAATTTCGAGATTTTTCTGGCAAACCCATTCTCTCCCCCGATAATGCAATAGTACCACTTTTAAAAAGTCCTTTAAACCATTTTCATCTTATACCTTTGCCTCAGGATGGAGGAATGCGAGCGCTTTAAGGCATACAAATTCCTGCTCCCTCATGTTCAACTGACGCATCGGCCACACGATCTCGTCGAGTACCTGAAATTTCAGGTAATTCCCAGAAAATGGAAGCGTGAGAATTCCGAGAGCTCGAGGTACAAGAGCGGTTGATGTAAGTAGGATAATCCGGGATTTTCGATGATATTTAGAGAGAGACTGGTGCGTACCCTGGGGGTGATGTTGCTGGTTTTGAAGGCGGCAAATCCGCCCAAATCCTGCGGCGTGGCACCGTCACGGCCCGACATGTAGGTGTTGTTGAACAGGCACACGCGAGTCGTGTCGGGGCTGAAAAAAAACGAAATATTTAAAACCATGACTGTAACTTTTTAACGTAAAAAGGCCGCCTTGAACGGCTTGAACAGCACGTCGTGTCTTTGTTATCGGGGCGGGACAAAGCGTTTTAATAACCTTTTGGTAATCAGAAACTACAAAAAATATTAACAATACTGTAGCTTATATTTTAATACGAAGCCCCCCCCCCGCTAATGAACCAGAACCAAGCTTCGAAAGCCGGTTTTTCCGTGAATTCTACTGACGATCAAAATTACCTCCTGAACGCCGGCATCAATATGAGGTGCTGTGGAGCGTAGTTTTTGAGCAGAATGACCTTATCGTCCATGCTCAAATCCGGGAACGGGGCCAGGTTCTTGGCCCAGTCCACCATCAGCAACAGGGTCGTCCGGCTGATCTCGTTCAGTTCGGCGGATGTGCGCTGGTTTGCTGAAAGGGGAAATTTGAATAGTTTTAGGTTTTTTTGGCAAAAATATCACCTTATAGTCAAAATTTAAGCTGTGCAAAACTAACCTTCCTTATCGGCGCTTTGGCCATTTGAGGCGGCTTCTGTGGCGGCGGCGACGTCTTGGACCAGTGTCGAATCCTTGTACCGTGCGCACATCTCCTGAAAGTTGAGGTAAAGATGGTGGATTTTCAAGTATAAATAAACTCTAAAAAATTTGGTTTTCAATTTTAAAATTGTATAATAAGTCCGAGAAATAATAGCGAAAGTGATAAAGAACGAACCATATTCACCCGTTGTTCCATGTCCATCAACTGGTCGATGACGTCTTTCATCACCTAAAAAAAGTTCTTAAAAAGTTAAAAAATTCAGCGCCGATTTCTTGGTCGGTACTTGACCTTTAGCGGGGGGTCGTGTCAGGGGGAGCTAGCTAATTTTTCCCGGTAATTCGGTAGAGCCCTATTACGAAAAAAAAACATTTTATAGCATTTTAAAGTTTTAGACTTAAAAACAGAATTTGTCATCACGAATTCTTGAGCTGAAAATCCATTTTTAAAATGCTTTTTTATAACTTTTTGGCAATCAAAAACTGCTAAAAACACTACAAACTACATAATATATTACAGGTTATTTATCCGCGGAAAAACGAAAATTAGTTTTTGAAACTGTATGACTTTTTATTCAATCCGGTATTGTAATAACTTTTTAACATAAGGTCAACCATGAATATCCTTGAAAATATACTGCCCCACTCCCCGCTAAGAATCCAGTACCGCTTCATCCAACAAAACAAACCTGACTATTCTCATTTGCAATATTATTGGCATGGAGGAGGTTTTGCGGCGGGGTGTTGGGCCTTGGCTTCTTCGGTGATCCGATCGAGTCGCGCTCGAATTGAATGGCTGAAATGGCGAGAGGGTGTTGTGTTGAAAGTGTTCGCTTGTCTCCCTATATTTCCAACCATTTTGTCAGCATTTATATTTGATCCCTCCCTACGTGTGTTCTTCCCCCAATTTCCTAAGTGCCCCCGGTACTCGTCTCTGGAGGTTCTGGTTGCTTAACGGGGGGGGGGGGGGGGGAGATTTATGCCGTACATTTTTCATGATTTTTCTGTTATATTGTAATTACTTAAACATTAGACATTCTATTAACGCTATTGGTTGTTTTGCATTATTGGGAGCGAAATCACTTTTTCTTACGATCCCGTTTTCTAAACACAAAATAGCGGAAGTGTTTATAAACCCTTTTTGCGATTCCTAAACGTAAAACTTTACAAATTTATTTTTGAGTTTTAGAAGATTTTTCTACCTCAAATATAGTTATACTTTACCAAAACACCAGGAAAATATTTCCCATTAAGCTACTAAGCATTTTTAGCCTCATACAAAAAATTCGGTCCCCCCGCTAACAGACCAGAACATTTTTCACGTCCAGAACCCTCGGCATGTACTTTTTGTATCGTGGCGAGCGTTTTGGATAAGTCGTCGTTTGGCTGGATAATCCCAAAAGGATGGCTGGCCAGCAAAAAGAAGCGTATCCCAGACTACAATCTCGATTCTCAACAATTTCTTGTGCGAAATTTCCCTGTGGGTATAGGGAGTTAATGCGGGGCGGTTGATGACGCTGCCCCTGGGGACGCCCGTTAGAATGGATACTGTACCTCACTGAGGCGGCTTTTGGGAATGCTTAAAATAAGGTATTTTTTACGTATTAACGGGGGGATTACGAATATGCCTACAGACGTAATAAAACGTACGTATCCCTCTTTTAGGTTCTTTTCATAGGCTTTAAAACTTCAAAGCTTGAAACACTGTAGAAGTATTTCCCTGGATCCTACGGATAAATTCTTGCGCGATAACACAAAAGTACCTAAAAAAGAAACCACCAGTTTAAAGAACTTTTTCTTCTTACTGTATCATATTACGCCATAAATTTCCCCAAAAATCACTGCTGCCCTTTCTGAAAAAGTTGCCACCCCCCTGATAACGCAAAAGCTCCTAAAATAGAAGCTAGATTTTAAAGAATCTTTCTTCTCTTTATCGTTAACTGGACCATAAATTTACCCAACAATCACTGCTATCCGATCAAAACAACAATCAACGGCCGTTCTCTGTCCTTCTCCCCCGATAATGCAAAAGCTCCTCAAATCAAACCCCCATTTTAAAATATACTTTTCTTTCTTCATCGCTATTCCGGCCCTAAATTTCCCCAGAAATCACTGCTAGCCGATCAAAACATATCATAATCAACGGCCGTTCTCTGCCCTGCTCCCATCTGCAACCCGCTATCAATTCGTGCACAACCCATCGCGGTGGCGGAATTTCGCAAATGCGATAACGTGTCAAGAAGTCCTGTGACAACCCCCAACACGATTGATTGGCCCTCCCCATCAAGGACTTGCCCTTATCGAGTAAAGAGCCGACGCGCGCAGCAATACGTGACATTTTTAGCGAAAGAGTAACAGAGAGGCCTCAAAAAATCTAAGGGCTTTACCACAATGTGTTGGTGTTTGTACGATACCTTCACGCCGCATGCCGACCTGGACACATTTCTGGAAGCGGCAGTATCTGAAAGGGAACGGATTGTTAGTGCCGTAATTTGATAAATGAGGTATTTTCGAATTATCGCGGGGAAATCGTTTTTTTGTATCTTTTGACCAAAATTTGCAACATGTTTACGCTTAGGAATAGTAAAAACGGTTTGGAAACACATCGCCCACCGATAGCGAAAGAAAACCGAAAAAATACCTGCATGCGCATCGAAAATTCTTGTCAATCACGCATTTCTTGTTGAAACGGCACGTAAACTTTTGGTTGCGAAGGATGGTGCGGCGGAAGAAGCCCTGAAGACTTAATATTGGAAAGGTTATAAATATCATACCTTGCATCCGTTGCACGATACGACCCCGTAGTGGGTTCCGGTGGATTTGTCCCCGCAAACGGCGCATGGCTCGGCGAGCGGGTCGACGAGACTGGCTAAATTCAAATTGGAGTTTCTTGTTTAATTTTAAAATTTACAATATTAAATACAGGGAAATTGTTCGGTGCGCAATAATTTTCCGTTATAAGGCAAAAAAAAACCCCAAAATTAATACCAGGAAGTTCGAGACGCGGAAGTGCACCCGCCGCGCGCTAATTTCGATCCGATTCCCTTTTCTAGGGGGCTTTCGCTTTCTTATCGGGATCAAAGCTAGGGTTCGTTTGATCCAGAAGTTTTTGGGTAGTCTCAGCGGTTCTTAGACTCAGATTCCGCTAAACAAGGCATTTTAAACACCAAATAAACTTTTGGACCCTAATACAACGCCCGAACGCGGTTTTAGAGCCCGACTCCCCCAAGTTAGCCCAGCTACAGACTACAATCTCGATAAAATAGCCTGTGAGGCCTAAAAATACCCTATAATCCTTTGCAAGGGGCTGCACTAACCTATGTCCATCTTCCGAGATCGGATCCGGCCGGCGCACGAGGGGTACGGTACGTGGATGGGTGGGTTGTAGTCAGAGTGGTCCTTGCTGCCTGCTCGATCAATCCAGGCTCGCCCGGGCTACACCCCTGGAACGTCTGCGTCTATCGGATACACCTGTTCACTAACGGTTTTCTCTTCCGTCGACTACAGGCTACAACTAGAGAGCTGAGGGCCCGCCCCCCTTTCTCTTGCCTCTACGCCTCTCCACACATCAATCAAGACACCGGTGCCCCATATATATTAAGAAAATTGATAGCCCGTGTGTAGCCCCGGGTAACCAAACACAGGAAATTAAATGGTACTGTACTGTTAGCAGGGCAAGTAAATTTTACTCAGTAATCCCGTATGGCCTTATAACGAAGAATAAATCATTTTCATAGCATTTTACACAGTTTTTAGCTATAAAAAGGATTCCAATTTCTATTTTGATTCTGAATTCATTTCGAAAATGTTCGGCGTTTTGCTAAAAATGTATGAAAAATGACCAAAAATACTTTAAAAAATTTTTGGAACCTCTAGAATTTTTATAGTCTTTGATATGCAACACAGCATGTCTCAAAATGACCAAATACTCATTTTTAAACGTTTGTTTAATTTTAAATTTTTATTGCTGTTTAGAAATAAAAAAAACTACAAAAATGCTATAAAACACACTATGAAACGCTGAGAACTTTACCGGATAGGTACAGGTATAGCTTCCCTCCCCCGCTAACAGTCCAGAACCGGTAAAGCCAGTTCATCCCATCGGCTCACAACTAGATTGTGGTACGACATCATGGCGTAGTACCGCTGAAATAACTAGTAAAATATGCTGTACTCCTTTCGTGTTGAATTAAAACCTTTATTCACAACTCACAGAGCAGAATGAGAGGGGAGGAGATGGGGAGAGAAAGCGAAGCCCGGGATCGGTGGGGTGGTGGCTTGTGGCGGGGGTATAGAAACAGGAAATGAATCGAGGTGGCCACATTTCCCACGAACACGTAGGTCGACGTCAAAATAACGGGTCAACGGGATTAGGGGGTTTGGGCGTTTTAAGGAGTCAAATCCAATTCTAAATATTGTCCATATATCTGAAACTTGGTGGTTCTTTGGAGGGTGGAGGGAGCAAAGAATTAAAAATGCCCGATTGGCTAATTGAAGGAAAGAGTATGACAAGACGGTATGGACAACGTTGGGAGGAAGTTCATGTCATCGTTGCTATTGTTCAACAGGCGATCGCGATTCTTGCCGACCGGGTAGGATTTGTGGACCGAGAGAAGCCAAGTGGGTGGAGACAATTGCTAAATCTATTTCACGCCGGCTGGAAGGATATGTATGGGCGCTATTAATTTAAGAACCCTTGACGTAATTTAAAGTGGGGGTCACTAAAGTGGACGCGAGGGGCGTATATAAATAAGGAAACACGGGGGGTTGCATGATGTTGTCCTTTAAGAACGTGTGGTCAAATTAATCTTCAGGTACGTTAATTTATAAGCCACCTTTTGTGGGAATTTACGAAATATCGCAAACATCGAGAGGAGCGCTTTTGTAGAGATGGCTTAAGATCAACGTACCTAGAAAAATTAAATCGCCGGAATACGCTTGAAAGAAAGAGGACGCCTACAGGATCGCACCGTACAATACAATATACGTACAAAATTTCTAGAGGCGAATGTGCACGCCGAGGTTTTCAGAAATGAGAAAGGAGGAGTAATAACATTGCAGGAGAGTATTCAAAGATCAACGGGGACGCTGACCTAGTTATAACAATTTGTAGAGAGTTCTCAGGGCAACATTGAGACGAGTGCAACTATGAAGACGTGCCGGCCGGCGAGCAGCTTAGACCTCAGGGACTTCGGAGTGGCTTTCATGGTGGCAGAGTGGCTGGGGGGACAACTTGGAATGGACGCCCGGGTTGATGATTGACGCCTGGAAATGAATGTTTAAAAAAGCACACAAGAGCGTTTCTTCAGAAACTGTATTATCAGCTTTTTATTTTATCAGATTTTTACCAGATTTGAGAAGATATGACACACGCTATATGTTACTCCCGTAGAAAAAGGATAGACGTTTTTCGGGAAAACGCCGCAAAAGATAGGTTGGGCGCCATATTAAAAGGCAAGAGGCACTAAAACATCTCATTGCTAGCGTGGTTTTTCACAAGACAAGGAGACTTTTTCATGTCGCCGGGTCTTCAAGTCAAGATCAAGCATTGGGAAAGCCGCGATCCCGCAAATTTGGTATAAGCATGGCCCAACTTGAAACCCCGAAGACACTAAAAGTCTTCTTGTGAGCAAAACAAAGGCGCAACGAAGGTCCAATCGAAAACTCAATGGATCTAAAAAATACCTTTCGCTGCGGCACATTATCCGGACGCGGGATAGTCAGTCCTTCCTCGGTCACATCTGATGGCTCGGGTGACCGTGGTGGTGCTGGTCCAACGGGAGAGACAATCTAAAACCAGATAAATACAGCCTAGAATTGAATTTACCTTCGGTGGCTGCACCGGCTGGTTCGAAGCGGCGAGCGGATGGGGCTTCGGAGGGCCAGCCGCCTGCTGTTTGCTCTTGTCCATGGCATAATCGCCCGAGTCGAAGAATTTCTGTAAAAATAAACGGTTTACTACTAAGAAAAAACAAGCACTCACGCGCTGCTGCAGCTTCTTTTGCAGAAAATTGGAGGCCGGTCGTGCGGGGAGTTTTCCACCGGCGGCCAGCTTGTTCATCAGCTGCTGCTCCTGCTGCTTCTCCACGGAGAGACCCTCCTAAAAAGTAAGATATGAATTAACAAGAATGAGAACTCACCTCCATTTCTTGGCTGGAAATCTCGGCCGGAATCTCGTTTCTCATGGTGCGCTGTTACCTGAAATGAGAGGGTTATATAGCGAAAATGACAGAAGAGCATGAGACTAAAGAAAAAATCGATAGCGAAAATGGCAGAAGATAAATCTGTTGCCGCGGGAAAATAAATGGAATTCTAATTCGGTGTGGCCGTGGCCCCACGGCGTCTTAGGCCTTACTTGGAGCGCGCACGGAGGATCGGGAGGGACTGGGCTAGGCCACGCCCCCTTTTGGTCCCCAAAATGTATGGGAAAAAGCTTTCTAAAGGCTATAACTTTTTTTCGAAAAACAATTAGAAATGTTCCGCCTGGCGATCGATAGAGAAGACTATAGGGAACATTTTAGTCAAAGAATTTAGGCGATCGCCGGGAACAATAAGGACTTGAAACGTTTTGAAGCAAAAATCAAGATTATTTTCTGATTCGGCCCCCGGGCCGCCCCATCTGTTTAATTTTCTACCTGGAATTCGCTAAAGATTTGTTGTCGGTGCCTTTCAGAAACTTGTGCAAAAAAAGCAAAACGGTGTCGCGTCTTTATGCGAGGGGAGGAATCGAACCAGGACCCCGCGCCTGTCACTCCGACCGCCGCCTTAGACCACTAGGCCATGCCCGTCCCCACCCCCCCGTGCGCGCTCTAAGACACCGTGGCCCAAGGGCCCGTCGACGTTGAGGGGATTATCGCGTCGAGGAGGGAATGGGGGATGGGCACAAAAGTTGTCTAGGCAACACAGCGGAAAGAAATATATCCGGCGTATAATCAGTTTCAGGAGCTATTGATGTTTGGGGGGGCATATTTTTTTTGGAGGTTTTTTCCGGCCTAAGCTTGTCTCCAAGTCTAAGCTAACCAAGCCAAGCCCAGCCTAAGAATAACCTAAGCCAAGCCTAGGCTTAAGCCCAATCCTAAGCTAAGTCTAGAACAAGCCTAAGCTAGGGCTGGGCCAAGCCTAAGCTAGGCCTAGACTAAGCATAGACTAAGCCTAAGCTAAGCCAAAACCAAGCCTAAGCTAAGCCTAATCCTAAGCCTAAGCCTAAGCCTAAGCCAAGCCTAGGCCTAAGCTAAGTATAAGCCAAGCGTACGCGAAGTCAAAGCTAAGCCTAAGCCTAAGACTGGACGCCAAAAAAAAGATGCCCCCCCCCTAACATCAATAGCTCCCAGTTTCATGTGTAGGTCTAGGGTTCAATGACGTTTCAGCTATTTCACAATGAGAACATTACCAGGTTAGATTAGTTGACAGATGTTTTAGTTCCGAGAGTTAAAACTAAAACTCAAAAAGCCCTTTAGAGGGTTGCTTGAGCAGAAAACTAGCGTTACTTGAGCTAGCGATTCAGCAATGACTACAAGAATGTGATCAGCAATCCTACTGGTCATACTTTAGAGGGGCACTTTGCAAGAAAGCAATGTGCGGTCCGTCAGCCATGTAGATCAAAAACAAAGACATAAACCCGTGCTGACAGCGCTGATGCAGTTGCTGCCAGGGGCTCAGGGGCAGTGGTGATAACCTGATTAGTTTACCGGAAATAGCAACACGCTATTGATCTCGGCGGGACGTCCCGGGCTCATGTGGGGGTTCGCTCGGCTGGGCATTGGCTGCGTATGAGAGTCTGTGAGGGAGCATGGGGGCGCCGGAGAGGGCTGACAATGTTACCGGGAAAGCCGGAATGGGAAGGAGAGAAGAGTAGGGCGGATAACGGAGGGAAACCACGACTCGAACAGCAGCAGATAATGAATCACGTTGTGGATACGACTATAGAATTTGAGAGCTGTAGGCAGAAAGAGGTCTAGAAAAATCGTCAAAAAGCCTATCTCACGCCAATATTACGAATCGATGACGTTGTGACAACCAAATGTTATTGGAAAGCCGTTTTCTCGTCGGGGAATACATCATGGGTGCCAAAGTCCATCAGTACATTTCAAAGAGAGCAGGAACGCAAAAATAAGATAATTTATAAAATCTTAGGAGGCTATTTTCTTTTCCAAAAAATAATTTATCCGAAAAACAAGAAAATAAAAACCACAGAGCCGAAGCTACGCGACATGGACAGATTCCGTCATTTGGCGCTTTCGTACAGACGGATTGATCGGAATTTGTAAATTTCTGCAATTTTTAAAAATAACTAGTTGTTGTAAAAATAACTGATGACTTCTGTATTAATGCAATGCGAAGCAACAAAAACGCCGGACATTTGTGAAGGTGAAATTTTGGCCTAAATGCGGCCATTGTGGTCGAAAAATCGCTTTTTTTTTCTATTTTTCATACAAAATTTGTAATGTCGTGCCGATCCTACCTTATATAATTTTGGAGTGTATCTCTGTGTGTGTGTGTGTGGATGTCACTTTCGAGGCCCGATTTGAGGGCCTTCCCGTGTCCCAAATGCGCTGATTTTTTGTCACTTGGGGAAATCGACCCTCCTCTTTCCGATGGCGTTTTCAGAATTTCGATAAAATACAAGTTTACAAAGTTAAAGCCGGTTTTATTCATTTTTGGGGGTAATTTGCATAAAATGAAAAAAATACAAATTTCCTCATTCTTGCAATTTGCCCGCGCGTGTGTGGTCGGTGGGGGGAAGGGGTCCGAAGGACCCGAGCTATCGGAAAGTCAAATTTTTCATGCAAAGGCACAATTCCAGCGCCCAAGGCCCGCGAAGCGGGTTTTGGGCGCTGGTTAGAAATAATAAAAAACAGTTTTGAACCTTCCTCTACTGATATTAGAAAAATTGCATCCTTGAAAAAGTCCACCGCCCCCAATAGGGCGAAAGAACCGTATGGATAGAAACGGCTAGATAGCGGCAAGGATACGGCAGCTACTTTCACACAAAAAAAGCTGCAATAAAGGCGAAATAGCAAAAAAATACCATTTTTCCAAAAAAAAGGATTTTCAAAAGTGCGATTTTGCGCGCAGCGCATGAGCTGGGATTGGGCGTTGATGAGAGCGGGTAAGTCAACCGGGGTGGCCCAGAGCCCGGGTATTGCCGAGGACACATCGTGGAAAGAGGTGTGTAAGGGAACGGGCAGTTGGCGAGGTTTTTGGGGTAGAGATAGAGATATAGGGAGTGGGGTAGGGAGAGCGCGCTGCGTGTGTAGAGGGGGGTCCAAGCCACGGCGTAGAGGTCAAGCGGGAGTTGAGGTGTTTTTTTGGGGGAGCGGGAGTAGAGAGAAAGAGAGGGGCAGAGAGAGCGAGAGAGGGAGAGAGGCAGCGCGCCATGGGAGGACGCAACGCAACGCTTTGCCCCCCGCGCCCTGCTGCCCAAAACCCGCACACACACAGCCCTTGCGTGCCTTCTAATTGTTATTCGTGTTTTTTTTCGGCGGCCCACCGAGGGCCCTAGTCGCTTTTTCTTCGGGGCCCCCCATGGCCCCCTCCTCGCCGCTTCATTACCCTCCCTTTTCAGGTCTAGGGAATTTTTTGGCGTGGCTTCAAAAAATGGGATGACCGCCCCGCGCGGGGGTGACCTTGAGCCCCTAGAGGCGATGTTTTGACCAGCGAAGCCTTTGAAGAAGAACTAGGTTGTCAACGATTGATTACAAAAGAGGAGAGGGGACACTTTTGTACTGGTCATTTGGCTTGAATTTAAGGACACAAGCTCTTGGTTTATTTTTGAGCAAGTTATTCGGAATGCAGACGCATTCTCTCTCCCTCTATCTCTCTCGCTCTCTCCCTCTCTCTCTCTGTCTCGCTCTCTCTCGCTTTGTCGGATAATTTCGCTGTTTCTTCATATTTCTTTGTAAGTTTTACCGTAAATTGATTTAAAAATACGCATGTATCTAAGGGCCGGGATTCACTCCCGATAATTTCTGTGTAACAAGTTTTGAAACTAGAATGTAGATACTTTTCCCTACTCTCTCTCTCTCTCGCTCTCTCTCTCTCTCTCTCTCTTTACCTCTGGTTCGGTTTGATCTTTTGCCTGTTCTTCATAGTTTTCCTTTGTATTTTTTTATTGTCAATTTGTTTCATTCAACCTAGGATGTAGGCTTTCTTTGTAAAAACTTCAAATTTGCCTCTCTCTCTCACTCTCCCTCTCTCGATCTCTCTATCTCTCACTTTCTATCTCTATCTCTCTGTATGGAGCGGTCACAAATGCTCCTTTTCGGCCCGATTTCCAAGCTAGCATTTAGCCCTTTTCTTATCGTTTAAACTTGAAAGATTTCTAGCCTTTTTCAAACCCCTCTACCCGTCCCCCGTTTCGTATATATTCGGTGCCTGTGTTTTTTGCGTGTGTATCGTCCGTGGGGGGTGGTGGCGGGGCCCTTTTTCGAATATTCGCGCAGGTGCGAGGGTTGTGGGAATGACGAAACGCGGCCATGTCTCCTCTCGCTTTTTTGGATTGTCGATCTCCCGGATGGGCCTTCCCCACCACCCATCCCAATCCTCTCTGCCACACCAATTTTGTCCCGCGGTGGTTATGCAAATTTTTGGGGCTGTTTTGTGGCGTTGTTGTTCGTGTCTTATCTATTTTCCCGGTATTTTTTTTTATAAATCTTGATTAATTAGGTGGGTTAATACCTAAATTGATTATCTTTATTGCCTAAATTCGTGATTTCGAATACCTTTAAAATTTAAAATTTAAGTTTAAATATACCAGGTCGTTTCCAGTTGTCAAACCCATTTGATGTGGCTGCGGGGTGAGCGCGTTCGCACGATCAAGTGAACACTATCTACCACAAAATGGACACCGTCGTCTACCTCGCACTTTTCGTTCTGGGCGCCGTATTTGTTGGTGGGTGCAAAAATCGTATCCGCGGTTCTGGCTTAGATTTTAGGCTTCAGAGCTACAGAAAAGCTTCAATTAATGCCAAAAAAACATCGATTTCAGTAAGCCTTATCGTATTATTGGCCATGTGCAAGCGGCGTCGGTTTCGGTTGAAACACCTCCGACAGAACCCAAGGTAAGTCGTTTATAGAGCCTTTTTTCTAAGGATTCCATTTCTTTTTCTAATATAAATAACAGAAGTGTTTCTGAACTGAACCGATTTTTACTAAGATATCGACTAAAAAGTTTTAATTGTTTTCGAATTGAAATATGGCTATATTTTAGGAAAACCTTGACAAACAATCGGCTTAGCTTTTGCTTTAGATTCTCAAAACTGCACAACGATAGCCTGGACGGTATCGTCCAATTGACACCACTGCTGGCGATGGCATTGGAACGGAATGGCTGGGTGTATGATGTTGGGGGATTATTGCAACATTGCGTTGCCGTACTCCAGCTCGCCCATTCGCTTTCCGAGCAGGTTTGTATGGTTTTCGAATATAGGAACATCGGAGTTTTAGTAATAATTCAGACCTGATTTTATCTAATACTCCATTTTTGACTTTACGGACTGCAGCAGTTTGGATTTTATCGGTTCCGTTTTTTCCTTAGAACATATTAAGGCTTATTTTATTTGGATATTCAATAATTGCAAAACATTTTAGGTAACATCATGATAAATATTCCCTTTCAGTTGGCCACTCAATCGATGGCCCAATCCTCGCCCCAGCTGCAACATCTCGTCAGCGAGGCCACCCATCGGGTGATGCCCAGGTTTGTCAATTTTTCTCTTTAATTTAAACTCGGAATTTAAAGTTTTTTGTTTGAAGTGATACTTACTTGAAAGCCATACCCGAATATGATTAAGTTCATTAAAGTAACGTAAATTTAAAGTAAAGTTTTCTCCTTTTTCCAATCAGTATTGTTTTTCCCGTGGCGTGCAGATAAAAAGGGGCTCTAGATCTTTGGAATGGGTGGAAGGGTAGAAGTTGATGATATCTGTTTGCCCTTCAGAGGGGACCAAACGCCCACATTGGGGGGCTCTATGAAAAGGGCATTTCCGCGCTACGCTTTTCTTTTCTTCAGAAGTGCCCGGCCGAAAAAAGGGGGATCGGGTTGCAGCCAGGTTTGATGGAAGAGAGAGAGAGAGTAGAGAGAGAGAGAGAGAGAGAGAGAGAGAGAAACCTGACTGTCCAATCGGTTACTTTGAAGGGTTGGCCGGGTGCCAGCCACTCGATGAAGCTGATCAAAAAACAAAATCCTAATAGCGAAACTAGGGCAGGCTAGCAGAGGCAATTTACGGATGCCAAATAAAGCTTGCAAAAATGCTTTCAGATTCGATGATCTTCTCTCCTCCGTCGCCAGTCCAAAGGTGGACGTGCGAATTCTGGAGGCTCGGGCATCGGCGTTGGCTACGGTATGCTGGAGTCTCGCGATGCCCTTCACGCTTGCTCATCCCAATATGAAGGAGGTACGTTGCAATTTAACGGAGCTATATGTAGCCTTCCCACTTCCTTTAAATCTCTATACTAACCAAAAATTCAGAAGCTAGCCGAGCCTCTCCAAAGTATGGAGCAACACCTCGAAGCGTTGAGCGCCGCTGCCCGCCTTGCCGAGCAGTCGGATACCGGAAAGGTGTGGAGAAGCAGAAATCTGCAGAATTCCCGGATTTCAGGTGGACATCGACTGGAAGACGTGCGGTCAGGGACCGGAAGGAGATGACGAAGGGACATCTGGTATCCATCCATCGCCATCTCCATCTTCTCCCCCTCCACGCCAATCTGCTGCTCATATCACGCAGACGGCTCTTCCTCCTCATGTTTCGAGTGCCGCTCCACCGGCTAGCGAAGCTGCACCAACAACTACCATCTGTATTACGGAGACCGCGCCGTTGTGTGAGTTTTAAAAATAGAAATAGTAGTAGTTGTCAAGCGGAAGCAACTTACTTAGAAATATTAGAGAGAAAGAAGAAAGTCATCCCCCGATAACGCAAAAGCTCCAAAAATCTCCTACTTTCCAGTGGAGCGACTCCGCGAAAACGACGCCGCCTCCCCCAACGGCCATCCCGCAGATCCGGTGGCGTAAAGAGGCGCCGGCCGTACTCCAGATACCCCAGACTTTTCGATCTCCACCAATTTCCCCCGTTCCGGATATGGCTACCGTATCCGGGTCGCGTCTCGGCGTCATACGGGTCAAAAATGACGAGGCGCACCCCCCCACCTAGTAATATGCGCATTTTGGGCGCTTTTTGACGTTGCTAGGTGACTTTAAAGGTACTAGGAAGCTTTAGCGGCAAGCTAGCAGTGAGTTTTTAGGAATTTTGAGCATTTAAAGGGATAGGAAAGGGTAAACTATCGATGGATATATCTGGATTTTCCGCGACGCGCAACGCGCATGCCATTACGCAACAAAATCCGTAATTCATAGTCAAAAAGTGTCTAAGACTAAGCTTTAAGCCTAGGCCTAAGCCTAAGCCTAAGCCTAAGCCTAAGCCTAAGCCTAAGCCGAAGCCTAGGCCTAAGCCTAAGCCTAAGCCTAAGCCTAAGCCTAAGCCCAAGCCTAAGCCTAAGCCTAATCATTGCCTTGCCGGGACCTTTAACTTCCTAGTACCTTTAAATTACCTGCCATAACCTCTTAATTTGTTGATGATACCTCTACACCATCCTCTTATCAAGCACTATATTCATGGACCTCAACCCCCCCGCTATCTCGCGGAACCTCTACCGTATCCCTCTCCCCTCCCCTCCTCATTTCCCCCGAGGTTTTTTGACCGCGGAAATTCGACGAATAGGCTCCAAATCTGGGGGGTAAAATTAGCCGCTGGCTGCCACCCTGACTATGAGGGGGCAAAAACCCGTGGGTGTCTGCGGATTAGCGATTCAGCCCCTCAAAAAAGGGGCAGAGAAAACGGAAATTGGCCCGTCGGAGGAGTGATTTTGTACCTGGGTTGGGGAAAAGACTGGAAAATCACCTAGAGCAAAAATTTTATTTATGCAAAAGTAATTAAAATCGATTAAAATTTAGTGAAATTCAAAAATTAACAAAAATAATCTAAAAAAAATTTTTTATTGGATTCATAGCAAAGAAAGAATTTAGACATGCCTAAAATTTTATTAGGATTGGAAGACTGCTAGATCTCGAGAATTTGGGCGTATTTTGGCGTGTCGCGTAATAAAGGGCCAAGAAGCCGACAAAATTCCTCGAAAGTAGCTTTACTTGGCTGTCTAGACCTAGTGGGCGAAAAGGGTCGAATTTCGCGCTCATGGGTCTTTTTGGAGAGAGTAATATGCCGAAATCGACTCCCTTTGGTTTACTACGTTTCGGCAGCTACGCAGCAATCCAAAATACGCATTCAAGCGCACACAAAGAAGGTCTACGTAGCTGTCTAGACCTAGTTTATCGAAATGGTCGATTTTGTGGGTTACAAACTCCTTAGAAGGGAATATGAGGCCCAAAAATCTACCCCCCTAAACGGCTAGGTCTAGACGAGACTTTAGACTACAAATTACGCAAGAAAAGGCAGCCAAAGGAGCTTTTCGTAGCTGTCCAGATCTAGGCTCCAAAGGGTCGATTTTGGCGCTTTCCAGTCCCTTTAAACCAACAAACTAGCAGAGATTCTTGGTGAATCTTGAAATCGAATTTCCTTGGCCAAAAAACCTCGCCCCACCCCCCTGCACTTATACCGTATACATACACCCCAGCGTCAAATACGGTTATCCCATCCCCCCCCCCGATATTGCACAAGTTATTTAGGTGATTTTTGGGATTTTTAATGCTAACAAAAAGCCAAAAAATCACCGCCCCCCGTCCCCCAGTGTGCTGCAAAATGTACGCTTTCGTGTTGTGCTTGTGTGTTTGAATTTTTGGAAAATCGATTAGGGCAGGCTAGCAGAGACCATTTGCCCGCTCGGATCGATATTCTAACCATCGTGTTGCCCGTAATTTGTTGCTTTTTGTAGCGCGCTTACACCCGTAAATCGCCCCTCCTCAAGAAATGCCGGTAGCTAGCCTGAAATCACCCATCCTGGTATACACACATCACTCGACGCGTGGCTTCACATTGTTTCAGAGGTTAAAAAGGGACGTTCAAATCTTGGGCTTAGGCTTGGCTGAAGCTTAGGTTGAACTTAAGCTTAGGCTTGGGCTTGGGCTTTGGTTTGGCTTAGCTTATGTTTAAGCTTGGACTGAAGTCTGAGCTTAGGCTTAAGCTTAGGCTTAGGCTTAGGTAGGCTTAGGCTTCATCGACTTACATTACAAGGCTCCAAAAACCAGAATTGAACGTCTCTTTTTAATCTACCCCACCCCTCATCCACAAATCTACACATGCATCCCAGACACCGGTAGCCCACATTTAATAAAAATAATTCTAAATCCGTATATCTTTTTCTATCTCTCACTATCTCTGCTCCCTCCTCCAGATCCCCGTTCTCTCAGCATTTCCCAGATCTTCCCGGCAATGCAGCAAAAAACCCCTCGAAAATACACTTGTAAATAGAATTGCGCCGGAATTATTACGTTGATAAATATCTACTACCCTGTTGTGCACGGAAAATGGCTTTAAAGGGGCTGGAAAGGCCGTCTTATGGATTATGGTGAGAAGCGACACGCAACGTACGAGCTAAGCCTAAGCCTAGGCCTCAGCGTAAGCCTAAATCCTACTGACTTCTTCATAGCTGCCACCCCGCGTGCGTTGCGTGTCGCGGCGCAGAAATATATGGCTTGTACGTGCCCTAAAAATAAAAAAGTGGATTTCATAACGTAAAGCAATGTTTGTATCTTGCGTCTATTAATGCGCCATCTGCTTCCCATTAATCCCCTTGGCTGGCCAGGCGTCGGCAGCTCGTAACGCGTGGAACGGCCTCGTTTTTGGCTGACCAGATGCCTTGAGGGAGCCCTATCTCTCGCTCTCACTCGCTAACTCTCTCTCTCTCTTTCTTTCTCTCTCTCTCTCTCTCTCTCTCTCTCTCTCTGCCGACAACAATGTGCAGCTCCGTTCGAAGTGTAATGAGAAGCCGAAAAGAACAGCTGGGCCAAAACCGTCGAAATTTCCGAATGACTCCCCAGACACACACCCACGGATTTTGGCCCAAATTTCGAAATTGCTGACCGGGATGAGGAAATAGCGATGATGCAGGATATCCAGACGTGAAATCCTCGCCAATTTCCAAAAAGCAAAAAGTTTAGCCACGGCGAAGCGTCGAACCGGGGCCTTGCTGGTGGGAGACGAGAGCTTTACCAATTGATCATCGACAGAGCGTGTTGGTTTTTGGATTATTCTTTAGGTTTTGGAGGCAAGCTAGCGGAGATTTTTTCGGGGATTAGGTGTTGAAAGAGTATTGAAAAGGGCGCAAAGAGTATTGAAACGGCGTTTCAGGATCGTCAAGTCCTTTAAAGCTTCACCCAAGTTAAATATATCGTTTATCGTAGTTTCTAGGCATTTTCAAGGGGTAGAGAAGTGCCACCTTCGACCCTTGGATCGACTAGGTCTTGACAGTTTCAAGCGGAGAAATATTGCGTAAAAAATGGGTGAACGGACTATAGCAAACGCGTTTTCGTGGGATGCTGCGTCCCTATCGAGACCTAGTAGAAAAGACGTCGATACGAGCTTATAAGCGCTTTTAAAGTATGGAAAGGAACAATTTCGACGTCCTAAGCCATTAGGTCTCGACAGCTACGCGAATTTCCAAATTTCACGCGGCCCTAGTTCGTCGAAATACGCTAGAAATGCTTATTTTGGAGTGTCACGTCGTCGTCGAGACCTAGTCGGCTGAAGGGGTCGATTTCATGACGTTATAACCCTATTCGATCCACCCACACCTCGATTTTTCTCGAAATCCTCAGCCAAAAATCGCCGGGCCTTCATTGATGCGTCATTTGTTGTGGGTTGGAAAGTTCTAGAGGTGCGGGGGATCGGGTGGCGAGAGAGAGACAGAGAGAGCGAGAGAGAGCGAGAGAGAGCCAGATAGGGGCCCTCCGGTTGATCGATGAGGGCCCTAAGGGGCACAAAGTGGGCGGAGTCTAGGGCTCCGATAATAAAGAGGAGGCGGAGGGGAGGAGCACCAGGTGAAGCTCCCCAGCTCACACTCCAGTCGAGACTCACTCTCTCTACATACTTGTTGCAATGGCCAACCGTTCCGTCCAGGGTGGTATTGGATTCGCCGTTTTGGAGAAGGTCAGTTGGTCTCCAATGTATTCTGCTAGTTGGCGTTCCAAAAGGATTTCTGCTAGTTGGCCAAGAATCCAACAGCTTTTCCTAAACGATCTCTGCTAGCTGGCTCACTCCTAAATTTTCCCTGCCAGCTTACCATATTTTTTATATTTTTGACCGCTATTGCATGAATATCAAAGGCAAGCTAGCGGAGACCCTTTGCAAAAACCACAGCCCCGCCCTTCAAGGGTCCTTTAAAACCCCCCGTTAATTCCAGCAAGCCTCCAAGTACAACGAGAAAGAGGGTGAGGCCCTCCTCGAGTGGATCAAGCGGGTATCTGGTGGGTATACGGTAGTTGGGTCAGCATTTAGCCCCTTTTAGGTGAGAACATCAGCACCAATGGATCGCGCGACAACTTCCAGAAGCTGCTCAAGGATGGATCGCTGCTCTGCAAGTAGGTGTTAGGCGGAGGGGGGGCAGGCTAGCAAAGAATTCTTAGGAAATTAGGCAGGCTTTTTAAGGAATTTTTAACGATTTTGAATTTTGGCTTATGGCCGAGTGGTTAGTGAGCTAAGCTGTGGGTCCGGGTTCGATCCCAGCAGATGTCAAAACTTTTTGCTTTTGCCGATGCGTTTTAATGGTGTTTTGATTATTTGTTTTCAGACTTGCCAACGGCATCGAGGCGGGCAGCGTGAAGAAAATCCAGAAGCCCATCTCCAACTTTGCCTGCATGGAGAACATCAATGCTTTCGTTGAGGTTAGTTCGAGGCCAAAACACCGACAGCCACCATATCGACAGCCTAAATCACGACAGCCAAAATACCGAAATCCAAAGCACCAACAGGGCAAATCCCGACAGACCCTTGAACCTAAGCCTAAGCCTAAGCCTAAGCCTAAGCCTAAGCCTAAGCCTAAGCCTAAGCCTAAGCCTAAGCCTAAGCCTAAGCCTAAGCCTAAGCCTAAGCCTAAGCCTAAGCCTAAGCCCTTTTCAATAATGTCGCTTCCTTTTAAGCCCCTTTTAAGCTTATTTGGCTGTGGGCATTTTGGTTGTCGGCATTTTTCTGTCGGCATTTTGGCGTCTCGTGCCGGCTTTTTGCAAGCCGAGATTTAGTTTTTTGCAGCTTTTTCGAAATACCGACAACGAGGAATTTACGGCAAATCAAATATTGATGTTTTATGTTTCGACAAAAATGCAAATAAGCCATCGAAAAATCAAGCCTCGAAAAAGTCGAAACGCTACACAAAATCGCAACAATTAGATTTCCAGCAAAATTCGGGATAAAAAATGCCACGCCACTGTATCAAATCGAACTATATTTCCGCATAGAACCCCCGCTAACCTGCCCCAAATTTTTAGGCGGCCAAGAAATTCGGCGTTCCGACCGAGGAGACATTCCAATCTGTCGATCTTTTCGAGGGCCGAGACCTGTTCGCCGTGTGCATGATGCTGCTCTCCCTTGGCCGTATCGTGGGTTTTTAAAAGTTTAAGAATGCTATATTTTTCTGGCTAGGGTAATGTTACGTAGCTTTATATAAAATGTCTATAAAGTGTATTCTCAACGGCATTGGGCGAGGCTAAAAAAATCGAAAAACTAAAAATTGAAAACCTTGGTCGTTTTAACCGATTGTATCCAAATTTTTTACAGCGATGCGGACGCAAGGAAACTATATTGAGTCGAATTTATACTGTAAAACAAAGATTTATAGCCAAATTAAGGCCCATTCGGGGTTAGCGGGCGTAGCCCGCTAACCCCTTTTGGTTTGAGGTACCCCCCCATACGACTCTTTTGGGGTCCTTTTCCGGATTTAAAAAAAGAACCAAGCATCGGATCGCAAAACTGAATACACCATCGGAACCGGCGACACTTTTTACATACTATAAGCTTTTAAAAATTGAAAAAGAGTGAAATTTCGAATTTTAACAGCCGATTTAAATTACGTTTCGAGGGGGGGGGGGGTCTGCGTTTGTATGTCTGTATGTACGCAAAACCTTTGTAGTCGTCAAAAAGTGCCTTCCCACCATCCGTTTGGGCTGAAATTTTGCACAGTTATTGGGTGACTGATAATCTCGGACCGCAAGAAGAGTTTTTTTCAAAATAGGCTTTTAAAAAATTTATATTTAATTTTTAAGTTTAGAAGCTAAATTGCGGTCAAAACAATGGTTAGTGATGTCCGTTTGGGCTGAAATTTTGCTCAAATATAGATTAGACCGTGCTGGAATAAGTAAAGAAGAAATTGCAACGAAAGAATGCTTCTTCTCTGAGATATTATAACTTTAAACCTTCGCCATACGGGGCGCCACCCTCCCCTTTGGCGGCCCCAGTCCCGGGTCAGAGCGGGCGGGTCTAGCTTCCCCAAGCCAGGCCTCCAGTCTCCCCGTTGGCCTAGTGGTTAGCACGCTGTACTGGGAAGACTTGGCTCCCGAGTTCGAACCCCACCCAAAACATGGTTTTTGCCGATTGGCCCCCGTGCATCCTTATGGTTTCTAGTGCCGTCACAAAGCGCCGCAGGCAAATTTTTTTTTAAAGTTTTGCGTACAGGGGTTCATCTGAATGAGTATTCCTTGGCTTATTTTACGATCTTAACAATAAGATTGAGGCAAAAAGGGCTAAATTCTCTCTAAGGCTAAAAAGAGTCTTTTTAAAAAAGGGCTTTTGGTTTTCGCAAAAAGAGACGAATTCTCGTGGCAACAAAAAGAGCTAAATTCCTTTCAAACTCTTAAAAATGCCACAGAATGCGGGAACAACCAAAAGTTACTGGCTATTTAAAACCTTAATAAACTCGGTACCATCCCAGATCACAGGTCAGGTCCACAGATTAATTTCAAGAAAGTGCAAATAGATTGCAATACAGGATTATTTGCAAGCCGAAACCGCTAGAAACTGGATCTGTCCATTTTAATAAGATGCCAGCAACTTTTGGTTGATCCCACATTCTGTGGCATTTTCAAGAGTTTGAAAGGAATTTAGCTCTTTTTGTTGCCACGAGAATTCGTCTCTTTTTGCGAAAACCAAAAGCCCTTTTTTAAAAAGACTCTTTTTTAGCCTTAGAGATTTTGTTGATTTCAAGTGGGTTTTTGTCGATTTTTTCGAAATTATTTTAATTTAACGATTTTTTATATCTAAAAATTGTGTAAAATGCTATAAAAATCATTTAGATTATTTAGCATTATCGAAATTCTCAGAAAATGACCAAAAAGAACAATTTTCCAAAAAAATTGTTCAAAATCGGTCATTTAAACCGTTTAAAATCTCGAAAAAACCAAAAACTATGCAAAAACTATAAAATCAGCTTCTTTTATTTTCACTAATTCCAAACAACCCAGTATTTTTTAATAATTTCAAATTACATAGTTTAATAAGTAACTTTGATAGTCATCGATGAATTTTATAATTTAAAATTTTTACAAAAAATAATCTGCTTAAACCGAGTGTTTAATAATAATTATAACCCACTTACCCGTCCTCTCTAATCTTCGTTTTCAGCTGGAGAAGCAGGGCAAGACGAACCCGTACAGCGGCTAGCCGACCCCCCGCTCCCCATAATACATTCCCCCCTCAAATCCACTAAAATACTAAACACGTGCACGGCCCACAGGTGAGTGTAACGCTTTTTGATTATCATTCATTATTATTTGATTTTGGCCTGGAAAAATGGAGTTTTTAGCCGAACTAGCTTTTTGTTAGCTGGCGCAGTCAGTAGAGTGTCAGTCTTTCAGGCTTGGGGTCCGGGTTCGAACCCCGGGCGCGCCGAAGTTTTTTGCTTTTTGCGGAAGAGCTAATATATTTTTGAAAATATTTGTATATTATCAAAAAAGCAAAAAAAAATTTGTTTTTTTCGTCGTTTGGAGCCGAAATGTATCACGAAATCGTTGATATCGCAAAAATACAAAAATCCTTGTAAAAATTATATTTTGTTGCTTTTCAGCTGGAGAAGAAGGGCAAAGACTTCCCGAAGCTGTGAGCCCGTTTTTCCTCCTTTTTTCCGCCCTTCCCAATTCCGCCATTTTCCATAGAATTTGGAATTAATTTTATGCATTTTTCCGATTTTCTCCCCAATGATGCCGCCAAATAAATGCTACGAGTCAATACCATTCATGTCTGCACTCGCTATTTTCCACAAAACATAAGTCTGATTTTATTTTTGGGGGATCTTTCGCTTTATCGGGGGAGCGCGTTTTTCCATAGACAAGTTTTCTACATATTTGACTATTCTTAAGCGTAAGATCTTTTCAAAGTTCCGTTAAAATTCAAAAGTATCGATTTTTCGCTTTAATTTAAATTTTTCAATTCAAGATTTTCCACTTTAAAGCTGGTTTAATTTTTCTACGAATAATATTAAAATAGTTACTTTTACGTCACTATACATTTTAGAGAGATTTTTACAAAAAATTTGATTGCCCCCCCCGATAACGCACAAGAACCGTTTTTGGTAAGGTGATCTTGAAACTTAGAGCGATATATGAAATACTTACAATTACGTTGCTAGCAAGTTACGATAGGTAAAATTCATCTTCCCGCCGCCCGCCCCCCGTTAATGCACAAAAACCGTCTTGGTAATTGATTTTGAAGCCTCAAGCTATCGATTTTTCGGTGTTTGCCGGGTTGTTTGGCAACTTTGTCGGTGTTGTGTATGGGGGTCTAGATGGTCTCTCTCTCTCTCTCTCTCTCTCTCTCCTCAGAGCTTCTCCCCCCTCCATCGGCTGTGTGCTGTAATATGTTTTTGTCGTCGTCAGTGTTAGAGGTGGACAGCCGCTCGCCTAGGCCCTCCTTGCCCTCCTTGCCCCCCATGGCCGCCCTCGCATATATCACGCACTAACCCCCCGATTGCTTCGGGGGCTTTGATTGACCACGATGCCGGGGCAGCCTAGCAGGGTTTCTTGCGGAAAATCTGGCGTAAAGGAACTGAAAAAAACTGCAGAAGAGCCGAAACCAATTCTGAAAATTAGAGATCTCGGCAACATGCGGAGAATCTTGCGGAAATCTGTTTCCTAGGACGCAAACAAATTCAGGCGTGCTAGCAGAGAATATTGAGGAAAAACTGCAAAACCTAGCATCTAAAAAGGCAAAGCTCACTAGCAGAGATTTTGAGGAACCCTGGAAAAAGCTAGCGTCTAAAACAAAGATCCAGGAAACTAGCAGAGATTCCTGGGGAAAGGGCTAGGGGAAATTCTCAGCACCAGGGCAAGCTAGCAGAGAATGTTTAGGAAACTTAGAAAGTCGAGGAAAATGGTTTTAATAGCTTAAATATAAGGTTGCCCCTAAGCTAAAAAACCCTGGCAAGCTAGCAGTGAGCATTTATGAAGGTTCCGTCGCACGTGAAAAAACCACCCACGAAACATTGAAACATAAAAACTTTATTGCACCGAAATAAAGAGAGAGAAATCGTTTTCTTTTTGGGTCGTGTTGATTATTGGGCGATATAGAAAACATTGGGGAAACCGGCAAAACCCTAAAAAATATTATAAAAAAAAAGAGAACGGCTAACTGGAAGGGGGGAAAACTGAATTTTGGACGAGGAAAAAAGAGGAGGGGGGAAGTGTGAAGTGAAATAATGCCAGCGATCATCGCATTCTCGTGTGTTCAATATTTCGAAACTTAAACAAAAACCGGAAATGGCCAAGGACAGCCATTTCCGAGGGGGGCCCAAGTATTGGTTGAGAAGTGATTATTCAGGCTTCTGCTTCTGTCTGTCCAGCCAGAATGAATTTAAGTGCTCTTGCCGAGTCGACGGTACGTTCCGATCCATGCCTTGCAGCTCGGGCAGTAGTGTTCAACGTCCTGAAATGTATCAATTAAAAAAATTATTATTAATCTAACCTTGGAAAATTCGCTTTTTCATTACGGGGGGGGGGGGTGAAATTACGCATTTTTATAGCCCTTCAAAGCGCTCTTTCGGGCCCTTCAGGATAATACGTTAGTGCCTAATTACGCATGCGTATCTCTCTCTCTCTCTCCCGCGTTTTGACCCACCTTGAACGCGTCGAGGACGAAGGGCACCCAGACGAAGAACAGGGGCAGCACGAATACGCCACAGATGAGGATCACCAGGAACGAGACGTACGTGAAGAAGCCGACCACGAAGCGCACCTCCGTGTCGCCGTGATGCTAAAAGTGTCTTTGCTACACTTTTTTTGTGTGAATAAATTAATTTCCAAAGTTTTTTACGTTCTCTAATTTACGGACAATTCCATTTCGAAAAGTACCACCCCCGCTCGGTTCTGGTTCCTTATCGGGGGGGGGGCGAGGGGGTGTTCATTAACGGTTTTCATGAAATATGATCTTGTCTAAAAGCGTTTTACATTGTTTTAAGATGCAAAATTTCCATAAATTTGGAATTTTTGTTCAAAATCGATAAAAAGTACTTAAAAAATTTTAGTGTAAACCTTTAAAAACATTCATAAATTTTTGAGAACCACTAAAGTAAAATTTTTTAACCCCGATTAAAAAAAATTCAACGAAATTTTTTCGAGTTTCTTCGCAACAAGCCCTGATGCTAGACCGTGCTCTCTCGCTCTCTCTCTCTCTCTCGCCCCTGACCGTCCGAGGGAATGGTGGGAAAGCGTGGGCAGCAGCGGTGGTGGCGGGGGATAGGCAGAAGAAGCACTCGAACCTCCTCTTCCACCCCGTAAAACACTCCAACCCAATCCCCGGGGCCCACAGATCGATAAATGAGCGATGGACGGCGAGACGGTCTAGCGGTCAGCGGGGGAATGACCCAATTTTGAAATCGTAAATCTACGTCGATTCACGTTATTTTATAAAAACGGAATGGAGCTGCGCTCGAAACGCGCACATTTCAGCTATTTTTTAGTAGGCGGACTCAGAAACGGTATTTCGGGGTTTGAACGTGTAAAAATACGTTAAATACCCAGCGAAACTGCTCGTATTGATACGTACGTATATGGATTTTAGAATGGTAAAAAACACCTTAACTTGCGCTATTTTATGGTCTGAAAAAGCGCAGGCCCAGAAATTGGAATTTTTTGTTGAACAACACATTCACTGTTTGCCATTTTAAAAGCTACGTTAATTCACGCTCTTTTCTAACCCAAGAAAAGCGCGGCTCCATAAACAGCATTCGGCGTTTGGAATGGAAGAAAGCTTAATTTACCCTATTTTACAAGTTAGAAAGTGTTGTTCGAAAAAACGGGGTTTCTTCCTTTGAAATGCTGATAAATGCGCTGAATTTAGGCTATTTTACAGCCCAAAAAGAGGAAAAAATACTTTGCATTTTTTACAACCCAAAAACGGATGTTGTAAAGGCAAAAACTAAGGTGAACCATCAACCCACCCGACATCGGGGGCAATCGAGAAGTTGTGGTCGGTCGGAGAGGTACTTCTTCGAGTTGACGAGCATCGACGGCGTGTGCGAGGCCGAGCGGTGGATCGCGATCGGCTTCGACATCACTCTGCAACAAGCAATTAAAACTCAGAAACCCCGTAAAAACCTATAAATATTAAGTCGTTAAAGATAGAAATAAACTCGATAAACTAAACAACCCAAAAACCACTAAAAAAGGTAAAAGCGACACGATAACTATCGGGGGGGGGACAACTTTTATCGGTAAGATCCAATTTTCAAATATGAACCGATATCGTGTTTCTATACTGTTTTTAGCATTTTCACTCAAAAATTTTTCAAAAAAAAATTACAAAAATACAGATTTTCGACAAATGTTCAAATCTTTCCAAGTCATAGATAGTTTTTCCGCTTTAAATATAGATGGATTTTACTCGAAATAATAGTAAAATCCTTGCCATTACAATTAGTTCTTTAGTAGAATTTAACTATATTTAGAACGGGAAAAACCTGACCGCAAATCGGTTATTTTTGTCGAAAATCCTTATTTTGTATTGTTTTATGAAAATTTGAGATGTTTTTCCGTTTAGCTATCATAAAAAGGTTTAGAAACACGTTCTCTATTTTTGTTAGAAAAATTGCAAAATTGCAAGGAAGTGCAACCCAAAATTAGCCCCCCCCCCTCCCCCCCCCCCCCGATAATGGCGAAGCCCCGCTTGATGCCAAAAATAGAAAAGGGATTATAGTTTTTATTTATTAAGTTTCTATAGAACAAGCTTACTTTTCCATCGCTCTACCGGGTTTCGGCTCCAATAACATTGTTTTTGGCGCTAAAAATAGACCAGCAAGTGAGTTATTGTGCTAGGAAGAGCAAGGAGACCTCAATGATGTATCGATACACGAGCCGGGCACATAATCTGTTGATTCGCCTGATGACGGAAGCAGCGGAAGCATCAGGAAAAGGCCCCCAGAAGCCCCGCGCGATAAATGTCAAAGAACAAAATGACTAACAACCCGTTTTTAGGTGCTTTGGAGTTTTTTAAAAGTCATTCGGTTCTTTCGCATTATCGGGGGGACCAACTTTTTCTTGGGATCCAATTTTTCAAATGTAAATACATGAAGGGTTTCTAAACGGTGTTTTACTATTCCGAAACGTGCAAACTTTATAAACTTTTCTAAAAAATACAAAATTATCGATTTGTCGACCAAAAATTGCGGATTTTTGACCAATTTTGATTTTTTGATTCTTACTACAACTTTTTAGACAGGTTTTCTAGTTTAAATATGGTATATATTAAAACACACCTGATATCAAGTGTTTTGATAGCAAAAATCCGCGTCGAACAAAATCTAAACTTAAGCCACCTCAGTCTCGAACACCGTCTTCGCTTTTTCAGCAGTTTTCAAAATATCGAATCTTCAGCATTTCAATCTCTATCGAATGAGTTGCGCTACATTATACAACTCCAAAATCCCCTAAAAACCACTCCATAAAATTAGGTGGACAAGCGAACCAGCCGGAATTCTTTCAAAAACCCTAGAACGGCGCCGGGCCAGCGAGCAAAGGTCATTTGAGCGTTCCTAAACAGCAAAATCCGGCAACCGGAAATCGGCAACGGAAATTGGCAGGGAACAACAGTTTTTCTCGGAAAACGTTAGTGAATGGTCGGTGGTAAAGGCTAAAATTGATATGATTTCGAACGGCGCTAGACTTTATGCAAAAATGCGGGATTGAAAAACCGCTTCGCGGCTTCGACTAGACCCGAGATTACCCCCCGCTAACGGGCCAGAACGCGAAATGGTTAGAATGCAGCCGGCCGGCACCCAACTTTTGTATCTCGGCTCCCTGTTCATCTACAGGTGTGTAAAGTATACCAAAATGGTTTTGAAGATTTGGTACAGTTGCAATCTTCTGAGGGGATTACGCTCCGAATGACATATCAAAAATACCTTATATGACTTCCCCTATCGAGATACTACTGCAAAACATTGACGGCAGTTGAAAATTTACATACATGAACATACGAACCTTATTTTATATCTAATACGCTGATATACTATAAAATACAGCGCTTGTACCCGCGCTGCACTGGTATCGAGCGGAAGCCGAGGGGTAGAGGGATAGCTTAGATGAGGGGAGTTGCGCAGAATATCTCTCGAGGGGCAAGCCGACTCTCGAGGGCACGGCTTCTCGCCACCACCTCATTCACAAGAGCCACTGCCTACACACAGCTCGAAGAAGGACCAACACACTCTCACAATCACATACAATTCTATGCGCTCCCTACACCAGCCCATCCATCGATTTGTTTTAGCGATTCGGGGCTAATATCCGATTTTAGGCTTGAAGCTAAAGAACGTAAAGCTACGCGCTGAGCGCTAATAACGCACCAAAATTTTGACCAGGAAAAGCCGAAAAAAGCTTATAGAGTAAAAATCGGCCAGGCGAAGGGATAAAACATAGCTTTCCAAGGGACAACGGCTAGATAGAAGAGAAGCCTCGATAAAATGGTTTTTGGAGGGGACCAACAAATTCTTTGGGATTTCTAAGGGATGTATTTTTTTCCTCCTTCGAGATGCATATTGACGTATCAACGTTGTAATGGTATTTTTTGTAAAATATAGTTGAAAATGTGTTGCTAAAACTAGAAATAAAACTTTAAAGATGCTCCGAATTTTGAAATTTGTGGTTGAAAAACCGCTTTTTCGATTCAGCGATAGTAAAAACTTGGGAACACTTTTTCTGACAAACCTGGAAAAAGTAAATCTTAAGAAAAAAATTTCGTGTCCCCGGACATACTAAAAAAACCAAAACTTACATAAACCCCCGGCTTGTCTAAATCTGCAAAACTCAAATAATCACTAAAAACTAGAAAATCGGCCAACGGAAAGAAAGCAGCGCCCAAAACTAATAAACGGGAAGTGGCCAGACGTGGAAGCGGCTACTCAAGTGTCCCCCACACCCATCACAACCCATGCTCACGGTCTGGGCGGTATCTGTGAGAAGCGGTCATCGCTGATCCGTGAAGCCCGGTCGAACGAGGTCGAAGACCGGAATAACGGCGCTGATCGAGACGAATCCAGGGCTGCGGATCGGGTGGACGCTGAAACTCGGATTCGACCGGCTCGAAAAGACCACAAAAGAAGGTAGAGCATCAGAATGCAAAAAAAGAGCCTGGAATTGAACTAGAAATGAAAAAAAGAAAGAGCTAAGCATGTCGGGCAATGCCAACAATTTCACTTTGTTGCCCGACACACCATCCGTAGTAATATAAACACAGACGTCGGAGCCTGAACTTTAAAAGAAAGAAAAGCAAAACGCCAAACATCTCACCCAGAAGCTTTTTCTCTAGCCTAAAACGCCAGTTAGCAAATATCGCGCGGTTCGCACGCTTTTTGTAAAGAGTTATTACAGGTAATTAGAGGCTGAGGCAGCTTTTTTACATATAAAGTATGCTATCATACCTTAAAGGAGTCTACGAGGTATTCTCACATATTTTAACTCTACTTTATCATGGAGAAAGTTAAATTAAGCAATGGTTAAACTTATTAAACCGTGAAAAATTATTTAATTTTCCCTATATTGCCCCGAAAACCACAAACGTGTTTCATTGGCTGAACCCAAAGTCTCAAAATGCCGTGTCGAAGTGTTTCAAGTGTGACCGATCGGCGGTGAGCGCCTGGTTTCAATCTGGAGTGCGTTAGAGGGAGGAATCGATGCGTATTGGGGACAAATGGCCATCGGATCCATGGCCCGCGTTTCCCCGAGGAGTCTACAGGTCCGAAACCCGAGATCTGAGCTTCGGGAGGAGCAGGCAGCACTCCTCTTTCTTTTGCAGGCAGTTCTTCTTTAGTGCGGGCCCGGTCTCGGCGAAGATATTGAAACATTTGCACTCGAGAAATCGCTCGCCACCCGTCATGCCCTGGGAGCGTCGAGCGGGGCATCAGGGTCAAAGCGTCGTGCTAGTGGACGTAGCATGATACTGAAGGCAACATACGGGTTGGTGAAGTTAGATTTGGGTTCTGGGTTAGTTTTGCAGAGCTCGGAATGCGATTCCTACCTATTTGGCCAAAAAAACAAATTCCCAAAACTGCAATCCAAAATTGCAACTATCAAGGAAATTGCAAAGTAAAAAGGAGACTAAAGCGGCCCAGACCTCGAAATAAAAGAAATTACGAAAGACTTGGGCAGACGCGATCTGCGGTGCTATTCCAGCCCGAGAAGATCGAGGATTTTGGTAGTGTGATGAGCAGGGCGAATCCCGAAGGGGGAAGAAAAGAAAACAAATACGCGCTCTGGGGGAAGGAATTGAGGGGGAGGCCAAACAGAATACGGGAGCTGTCGGGATGTGGATGTACATCACGGCTGAGCACGGGCCTTGGACACTCGCCAATCAGAGAATCCCCGGCAACACTCCAGGTGTCACGAACCGCTTACAACCCGCCATTGGCTCCGACTGCTTCGACAATAAAACAATTAAATCCTACCCCCCCCGACGATAGATTTTCAGGCCTCTAAAAAACGCCACATTAGCAGTATAAGTCAATCTAGCACCACCACATGCCAAACAACGAGTCTCGAAAACTAAAATGTATTCAATTAAATCAAACAAAAACAAAATTGGCTGACGAAGTTATTCGCGTGCTGCCTCGTACTTGATCTTGCAGAGCCGGGCCAGCGCCTCCCATGCTTTGCCGGGCTAAAATTCCATATATGGAAAACGTAGAGAAGCTTACCATAAATGCGTCAGGGTCGTTTCGGATGCCATAGTAGATATAGCTTGCCTCCTCAGGTCCCCTAAAATTTGCATGTTGCAGAAAGTCACGATACCCCCACATATCCTTGAAGTAAGCGCGGACTTTCCGGGCCTTTTCAATTATTTGCTGCGTGTCGCTAGCAGCAGGCAGAGAGCGATCGGCACTGGACGCGTTTGTCTTGAATCCTGTTAGCGGGGTCACCGGCGAACAGCTTTGAGTCGTATTGCTGGGGGACTTGCCAAATACGAGTCTAAAGCAAATTACGGAATAGGAAGTTATGAACTACCGCTTAAAAGTATCCTTGAACAGCGCGTGCCGGCGCAGTAGAATACTAATTGGAGCCTCAGGATCCGACACGACGGTTTTGCCAATTTCACGCAGTTGTGTTGAAGAATAATTAAAGCAGCTTCTTGGAGTAGGCTGTTCTAAAATTGTGTAATTGAAAATCAATGAATGTTACCGGGTCTCGTGGCCATCGTCACTTGTGGGGCCGATATATCTTCTTTTTGCTTGTGACCATCATCGACTAGGTCAGACAAGCGCAATTGAGAGAACGCTGTCGTCTCTAAATAAGAGAAAATTGCACCAATATAAAAAACCCGACCGCAGACCCACTCCTGTCGCGGAGGCGAATCCGGTACGACTTTTGGCATCTAAACACATAAAAGAAGCTATGCAAAAGCGCACCTGAAGGCCGGGCGGACAGGGGACTCTTCGGTTGCTGAATTCGTTGCTTTGCAGATGTCGTTGCACGGTGCGCTTCGCTCCCTCCGACAAACGGCTTGGCATCGTGGGCGCCGCCGCATAGGCGCGTGCAGACTCGGATCCCGGCACTAAAAAGTGCAAAATAAAGAAGATCGGCAACCGCTGCGAGTTAACGTGGTAAAAACTCACAGTTTTCATAGCCGGTGGGCCAGAGCCAAGACGACATCGTGCGATCAAATCTGTTCTAGCCAACAGAATGCCTAAACGATTCAATGTGATAAGAAGAGGTTTTGTGGTACTATTCAAGTTGGAGGGCGCTATTTTGCCTTTTTTGGAGGGAAGGAGGAACGATCCGAAGTGACTAGGGCCCGGGGGTGGCACGAAGCGTTATCCTATCCTATAAGTATAAAATTCGCCGAAATTGGCTATTCCGCTTAAAAGCCCTATCCCACCCTCTGACTAAACATTGAAAGAAAACGGCGCCTCCCAACTTCAAAGTACTGGTCCAAGAAAATTTTGAGAGAGAATCTCTGGTGGTTAGAAAAGCTAGAAAACAAAAAAGCAACGAACGTCATAAAAAAAGTCTGCGATGAAAATGAATGTCGCCGAAATTGTCTATTCCGCCTCACAACCTGGACACCGGTCCGTTCAGATTATGCATCGGACCACAAATTTTCGCTGCGTGGCGGCCCTTATCTCATTTTACCGATTTTCGATTTTTTTGGGCCTATCCAACCAATAACGGGGAAACGTTCGAATTTTTCCAAAATATTTGAATTGCCACTTGAACTCCCAAATTTCAGGGCGGACAATGTGTTTCGGCCCAAAAGCCACACTCCATTCTGGACCCGCGATGCGCTAAGGCTGATCGACTTTTATGCAGCACGGCACTGACTCGACAATCGAGGACTCGTCGCGACCAGGTATAGTTTCGGTCCTTTTTCTTTTCTTTTTTTTTTGAACTTGACGGCTCGCATTTCTTCAAATTGCACGTTTAGAGCCTGGAGAACGCGAAGTGCCGCCGAAGCGAAAGGGTTGGGTCCAATGCGTGACGCCGGGCGCATCAGCCGAAGAATTCTGGGGCCATATCACGCCTGAGCAAGAGCGCCACTTCCGCTCCATCTATCAGCTCCTTGACATCGACCATGACGGCACGCTCGATGCGCACGATATCAGGCTGTTTGTTTCTTTCAATAATTTCGATTTTTTTTGTTGTTTTAGGGCCATCATTCGGTCGATGCCCCACATTCCATCCGAGTTTGCGGAACGAATCTTGAAAAAGATGACGCCGGATGAGAAGGTTGTAGATATTCCAACGCTTCACACGAATCATAGGCGACGTTCGCCGAGTTTGTGCGGTATGCCGACTACAAGGAGCGGAAAATGAGGGAGATCTTCTACGATTTGGACGGCGACCGCGATGGCCAAGTTGACCCGCAAGACATCCAAGAATACTCGGGGAGATTGGGTAACAAGAATCTTGTGATTAAGATTTATTGTCATTAGGTGTTCCGCTCTCCGCCGAGCTCTCCAGCAATATGGTCCAGAAGATTAGCACAGGTCCCGGCGACAACATCAAACTCAAGGATTTTCAGGTTTGAGATTTCATTGGTTGAGCATTCAAAGTTTTAGAAATTCATGCTCTTCTACCCGTCCAACGACCCGAAGGAGCTGCTCGGATTCTGGAAACGTTTGACGTTTGATCTGGGTGAGTGATGGCTTCGACTGAGTTTGGCTGATCGACCCTGGAGCTTTTCATGTCTATTATTTTTTGTTTTCTAGGAGAGGACGGGCGCGTCCCAACCGATTTTACCGCCGAAGAATACAAGCAGGGAATCTTCTGGAAGCATCTGCTGGCTGGGGGTATCGCCGGTGGAATATCAAGAACGTGTACGGCCCCGTTTGATCGCATCAAGATCTACCTACAAGTACGTATATTGCCTTGCTGCTTTAGAAAGGAATGTTTAGGTCAACTCTACAAAGAAGAACCCACTGACGCTGATCAAGACTACTCGTGTATTGTACGAAGAGGGAAAACTCAAGAGTTTTTGGCGCGGTAATGGCATCAATGTGGCCAAGGTGTGGAAAGATATTGCGAAATTTATTTTTTTCTAGATTGTACCAGAATCCGCGCTCAAGTTCACCTTCTACGAGCAGATCAAGTCATGGATAAAAGGGGTAGATAGCACATTGTGTTTGAAAGTTACTTTTTTGCTTTTAGCAGTCCCACGAGGAATTGACGATCCCCGGGCGTATTCTGGCTGGCTCGATTGCAGGAGGGTTGAGCCAAACTATCATCTATCCGTTGGAGGTTTTTTAGGATATAATTTGTGTCAAAAAAATTTTCAGGTACTCAAGACTAGGCTGGCCCTCCGAAAAACGGGTCAGATGGACAAGGGCCTCTACCGATTCGCCCTCGAAAATTATAAGGCCGAAGGGATTCGCTGCTTTTACCGAGTAAGCAATTCCTCGTGGCGATAATTTGGGACGTTTAGGGATACATCCCGAATTTGCTGGGCATCATGCCTTATGCGGGCATTGACTTGGCCTTGTTCGAGACGTTGCGCAACTGGTATATGACCAAAAATCCAGAGGTGCTTCTTTGTGTAATTTCGGCATTGAAGTTTTAGTTGAACGCGCCGAGCACTCTTGCCGTCTTGGCCGCTGGTACGATCAGCTCGACTTGCGGCCAACTGACGAGCTATCCATTGTCGTTGATTCGGACCCGGCTTCAGGTGGGCAGTGCCACCCTTGCACAACCTTTCTCTTTACAGGGCCTCAATTCTCCTATGGTCTGCGATGCTCATCAGCCAACAACGATGGTCGGCCAGTTTAAGTACATCATGCGGCATGAGGGACCAATCGGACTCTACAGAGGGCTGGCCCCAAATTTCTTAAAGGTACCCAAGTTTCGATGAAAACCTTAGTTGCTTTTTTCAGGTGATTCCGGCTGTTAGCATCAGCTATGCCGTCTACGAAAGGGTGCGCAGCGGCTTGGGAGCACCGAGCACTTGAACGCCCAGCTACCTCCTCCTTAAATACCAACTTATCTTTTTTTGTACCTGAAAGTTCCGTCTTTGTTCTACGAATTCGTGCATGTCCCAATTCTTTAAACGTTATTCATCCCAGTGCCGAATTCATTTCACCTACATTAATTCCAGGTTTAGTTGTGGTCGCACTAACCGTTGTGATTGTTTGCCACGTAAATAAATTGTTACGCTATTTTTATTGGGAATTGTTTGCAGAGAACGGCGCTGGTGTTTCATATGGTGACTTGTGCATGAGCAGTCATTTTTGATTCTCTGTCTCTCTAAATCTTTCCTAGGTGGCAATATATTTCTCGGCTACGGTTTACTTTACCCCCCCAGCCGGAATGTTTTGGCTATAACTTTTTTATTTTACATTATTGTAGGCTCATATTAAAACTCTTAGTATATTTTTCGACGCTCTATCGAATGGCGTTGCGAAAATCCCGACAAAATAAGCGAAAATACCGACAACTTTGAGACCCTTCGGCTGTGGGGGAGGGGTAAAGTAAACTCTTACCTATTTCTCTGTAAGAATGAATGAAGTCTACAGCCCTCCGAATTGTTTGCAAGTGGTTTTGCGATCGCCCATGTAGTAAAACTTTATTTCAAACAAACATTCCACCAATTGTATAAAATAGGGTTGCATGGAGGCATCCCTTAAAAGCAGCACCACCAATAATGAAACTAGACTTTTTTTATCGATCAATCATCTCCTTCTGTTGATGGCCGCAGATCCTCTTCCAAAAAATCGATCAGGTGGTGGGAGCAAATGCTTCCTAAAATCGTAGTTGTTCAGAGACAAGAACGCTTTGCCCACCTAGCATCACTTTGAAGAATTTTTCCTCAAAGTGTCGGTGGCGCCTGTATTCTAGAACACGCTCGCATCCCCAGTAGCAGGCCCGGGCGTTGATGTCGGTGTGCTCGTAGGAGCGTCGGATCTTGCGGGCACAATGCCCGCACAACGGCTCGATCTTGCGCACACGGCCGCACTCGGTCACCTCGTCGCAGATATAACAAGTCTAAAATCATGGTTTCAGGGCGATAACAAGAAATATACCTGGATGCGCTTCTTCAGGGCATCTTCCTCGGGCTCTCCTTCTCCTTCTTGCTTCTCTCCCTTCGGCACGTCTTTCTCTCCCTTCTCCGGCTTGCTGTCCTCCTTCGATTTTCCGCCTTCCTTCGGCTGCTGCTCGCGACGCCGGGCGAGCGGATCGGGCTTGACCTCTTGGGCTTCTGGCACGTCTTCATCGTCTGCTTGCTCTTCTTCTTCTTCTTCGTCGTGGTGCCTCGGCAGGGCCCAGTGTGTCGGCGCGCCAAGCCGCTGATGGATGATGTCGAGCCTGTCGAGCAGCTTCTCCATGGACGAACGCTTTGACGGGTCGCTGACCCTAAAAGCTGATAATAACCACTATTTCGAGTTCGACCTCCCATAAGCTAAACTTTTCGCTGATGTCTGTATATTTCGCCTGCATAGACACTGACCAGATGTGATTTTTGAGGAGCTTCACGACTTCGGTCGGCGTATCGGGGGGCAGCTCGGGCATTTCGCCTCGACGGATGGCCTGCGAGATCGCCTTCGGCACCAAGTCGAGCCACGGCTGCTCGCCCTGGTGCATGAGCTCGTAGATCAGCTGAAAAAGAGGCGTTTAGCGATTGTAACGTAGATATGCCCACCGTGCCGAATGCTCAGACATCACTTTTCGTAGAGTATCTTGGCGACTTTCTCAGCGTCTCTGGCGACATCCAACTAAATCCGGATTTGCGAAAATCTACTATATATCAATTTCTAATGTCCGTCCGTCCGTGCGACCGGGAATTGAACAAAATTTTGCATTCAAATTCAAAGTGTGGGGTAGAGGTCAAACGCTGAACCCCCGCGTAGCGGGGGGGTCAGCGCTGGTTTTATATATAGTTTAGGAAACCCTCTGGAACAGACGCGCAAATTGCTACCCACCAAAGTGGAATACCGTGCCGCCGCGGTTCAATCACTTTTAGGATCATCTTCCCGTCTTTGTCGCATCGTCGGGCCAAACCGAAATCTGACTGTAAAGTGTTTTTACTCAGGCTGGCGTTTTAGGATGGGACCAAGCCTATCTTGTTCAGAATTTTTTGCTGATTCCGAATCCGTTTTTCAAATTTGCTGCGGACTTCGCGTTGAAAAGTCATTTTTGGCCTAAATTAAGCTTAAAAACGGCATAAATTCGGATGCTGGCCCACTATTCCCTGTCTGGGTCCTGGTATTGTTGTGCCCGTTATCTACCCTCCCGAAGCCCCCTTCCCAGTTGGCACCATGGTGCATTGGTAAGCTGTTCGCTTGTCAGGCACAGGGCGGCGGTTCGATCCCTGCCCTGCACAATTTCTTTTGCTTTTTGCACAAAAACACATGATTTTTTGCATAAAATCGTGCTTTGACCTCTAAAACCATTACCGAGCCAGTTTTAACGTCGGAGGTGACGACAACTTAAAAAATAACGCAAAAAATCCAGATTTAGTCAATTTTTTTTTTAGCCTAAATGTCGAATAACTTTTTAAATGAAGGTCGGCAGCAAATTTGGAAACCAGATTCTGAATCAGCGAAAAATTCTGCACCAGATAGGCTTGGTCCCATTTTAAAACGCCAGCCTGAGTAAAAACACTTTACAGTCAGACGTTGATTCTCCCGTGGTCGTCGATCAGGCACTTTCGTGCGGCGATGTCACGGTGCAAAAAGCCCTTCTCGTGGATATGGACGACGCCTTTCGACATCTATAACAGGTTGGTTTGCCTTGGAAAGTTTCACGAAGTAAATTAAAGGTACCCACGTCACGCGCGTAGATGATCAGCTCGGCCGCCTCGATCTTGGGGTGGGCGCATAGATGGGTGTCGAGCGACCCTCCGCTGCAGTATTCCAGGATGACCATCACCGGTGGCGCTTCCATGACGGCGCCGTACTCTGCAACACAGTTATCACAATGGACCGGTATTTTCTTGCCAATAGGCTAATTCTCCCAGCACTCGAGGGTTCTAGCGCATTATCGGTGAGGGGTTTCCCCTAATATTTTTTATAAAAACTTTGCATCATTGTCCAATTTCGAATTTCAAATTTTGCACTTTGTAATCTGCTTTGCGGTTGATATATGGCAAAATTTCGCAAAAAGCCATGAAAATCCTCGCTTTACGTTTCGCAGGAAGAGACCCCCCCTGCCCTCCCCCCCCCCGATAATGCGAAAGAACCTAGTAGCCAAAATACCTCGACGATGTGCGAGTGCCGTATCCCGGACATGACTTCGGCTTCTTCAAGGAGGGCAATGCGCTCGGTCGTCAAATCGTCGGGGGGTCCGCCCGGCCGCCAGCGGAAGAAGCACCTTGACAGCGGCTTCTCGATCACCTTCCGGTGCGTGAAAAATGCCTTTGTAGACGGCGTCAAAGTTGCCGCTTCCAAGAAGTGCCTGAAAATAACGCAACTAATAATATGGTTTTGGTGTTTACATCCGAATTAGACACTTCGACAAAAACCAAGTCAGATCAAAACGCTACATTTTGATCATAGTAGATGGCTCCCTCGGAAAGAATCCAGGCCGATTTGGCGATCGGCTGCAGCAGCTTGAGCGTGCCGAGGCGCCCCTTGGCCGAGTAGTGCAGCATCAGCGCGGTTGGTGTGCGGAAGAATTCCTGTTTTTTTCAGGACCAGCATTCCCCATTCGTCATCTTCATTTTTGCTAAAAAGGAGATGACGGTCACGCGAATAATGCCCACTGGATAGTCAAATGCTTTGTTTGGCCTCGGCCATCGCACACGGAGAGGATGATGGAGATATCACCACCACGGTCCGTGACCCGCACAAGCCAGTCTCCTTGCTTTTTCAGCAGCCGGCTGAAATGAAAAAAGTTAGCTTCATTTTTGAACATGCAGATTAGGATACCCTGTCGCCTGTTCGGAAATAATCTGTTCAAGATTGTCTATTCGAAAATCATGCGTTAGAAAAATTTACGTGCAGCATGACAAAAATTCGAACATTTGCGAACACTTGCTTTTCCACTGGCGACGTTCCAAACAGATGATTTTCGAAAAGATGAGCGGCTACCGAAAATCTTTACCTGCATTCAGCACGAAAGTGATGAATGAAGCACCGATAGCACAAGAAGAATAACTAATAGTTATTCGAAATAATTTTGATTGTTGCTCCAAGCTGTTACGCTTTAGGATGATCGCTGTCTCATGCGCTGGACAACTCGAAAAGAAGCGTGCAAATGTCATGATAACGGGTTAACAAGTTCGGAACCTTTTTCCTCGATTTTCGTTCATCTAAGGATTGTTGGACACCCGTTTTTTGATATATAGCTGTGCGGCAGTTGCGCGAAGTTGTAGCATCGAAAATCCCTATATTATGCCCACCTCAGGTTTCGGCCGCAAAATGCGGCTCCCTAATGGCTAAAATGGCCATCTGCGGTTGACTTTTTGCCCTTTTTGCTGGGTGTGACCAGGGCGGGGTGATCGGCTTCCCCTTTGAAGCGTGGACCAAGAGTTGAGGGGATGGGGGATGGGGGGGGGGGGGAAGCCGGAAAGCCGCTCGCTGTAATCTTCAAAGCACATCGGCCTATGCGCCCCGCGGCGGTCCTTGGGCTCGTCGCTCCCGGGCGACGCTTTTTTTTCCTAGGGTGCGTGTGTTGCTTGGATCACCACGCGCCTTGGTCTGATATCTAGATGGTGGCTTGCTTTTTTCGTAGGGATATCAAGAGTTAAGAATATTTGGGTGTGGTGAAATATGGTTATGGGTGGTTTTGGCTTGGCGATAGGGGGGGTGAGAATACGCTTTATTTTTGGTTGTAATTTACGCCCGAGGTTGGTCAAAAGCTTTAACTTGAAAAAATCGTTTGGCGCATGCTGGGCGTAGCCTGTTTATGTTGTTGGCGAGTTGACAGCTGCATGGCTGCTTTTTTGTTAGTCAACCTGACGTTAATTGACGGTCTCTCTGTAAGTTTCTCAAATTAAATGTAAAAAATTATGAAGGTTGTAAATTCAAAAAAGGCCCGAAACGGCCGACTTTCGGCCAATTTTTGCGTTTCTGCACTGAAAACCTTTATAACTTTTTGAATAGGATCGTTTCGCAGATTTTGAAGCCAGGTTGAAAATAGCGCCAATTCTGCACAAGCTCGACTTGGTCCCGTACGGAAACTCGATTTTCATTGAAAAACGCCTTCTTTTAAGCGCACCGTTGGTGTCGTATTTTGAGTCTGTCTGTTTGTCTGTTTTTCCATCCATCCATCCATCCATCCTCGGCTAGATTTTGGCTTTGATCTGTTCCGAATTCGAGTCCCCCTCCACCCTTTCGGCGTCCCATTTTTTTAATGGGCGCGTCTTTATGGACACTTTGTCGGGTCCGGGAGGAGGGCGCAGCGGTGCTTTGATTTCGGCCCGCGGGTGTCCAAGGCTCAAGCTGCGCCTGGGAAAATGCTCCTTTCCCTGCCGGTATAGGTGCAGGAGGCTTGGCGCCGAATTTTCCGTATTTTCGCAGCCATTACCGTTATACAGGGCGTAATTAAATTATATAGGACCCGATTTTTTTACTCTGTGAGTTCCTCGCAAGCGTGCTTTTTTCTAATAAAAAATTTCACAACTCTGCCAGAGCAGCTGAATTGCGTATAATTTGATGAATCCAGTCGCAGCTGGTTTCGAGGGTTTTTTTAATAGTACTTCCTTCCCAGTTTCCTTATAGTTTACCTGGCGATAATGAGTGGCACTCTCCGTCTTTCCCCTGCTATCAATCGATCGGTGGGGTGGGCGGTGAGATGAAAGCAACGTCTCGGAATGGCAACGTCCCTTTATTGCCCATAAACGCATTCTGAGCCCCCTCAACTTGCCTTTCTCCCGCAACGTCCCTTTTCCAGCAGCCAGCAGCGGCTCCTTGTCCATTTTTGCACTAGGGTCGACTACCGTAGCCGGGGCGAAGTTTAGGGAATTGGACGCTGAACCCGGCAAGATGACAATTGCGCGAACGATATTTCAGCCAGCGGTAAAAACGGTATTTTAGCGAGCGCCTTTTTGAAAGACATAACTTTAAGTTTTAAGTTGGCTCAGGCTAAGCTTAGGCTTCGTTTGTATGAAGTTAGGCCTAGGCTTAGCCTAGCTTTTCCAGAGAAATACAGCGCAAAAAACGGCATGTGGAGCGGCTAGTAGTCAAAGTTCGTACTGCGCCCTAAGTGTAGTATCACGAATTTCTAGTCTGCTATGCTTTTTTATCTACAGAACCACTAAAGATTATTTAGAGCTACTAGACGAACGGGGCTGCGCGACAAGGTTTAGAATTGTTCTTTCATCGCTAGGCCTTTTCGAGCTTTTCAATAGCCTCACAATTGCTCTAATAGCTCTTAATGGATTTAATTTAGTCTATGAAAACCAAAAAAAATTGATAACTACAAATTTATGTATAACCGGCGCTAGCTGAAACACCGCTTTTTCGCGTAAATGTAGCTCCCGCAATTATCATGGTACCTCCGCTACGTCTTTTGAAGTCGTCGAATTATGATGATTTTATTGTATTTTAGGCATTTATTTAGGTGTTACACTTGTTTTCCCCTCAGCCCGGCCGTCGAATGATATTCTGGGTCTCCTTGGGGGGCGCTGGATGAGGTCCAGCCGGGCTAGAGGAAGGCGAGAAAATGATGGGGCCCATCACTCATCCACTGGGCCCCACCCGGCTTCGATGGCCCATTTGGCGCCGCCGTCCGTTTTACTACTTTAGCCGGCTTTGGGGGCATTTTTAGGAGGATAATTTCCTTAATTAAAGACCGTCAGAACGATGAAATTTCGTTAAAAGCAAGAAAGATGCGCTCCGGGCGGAGGTCGAACCCGCGATGGTTCGCTCCACAGTCCGACGCGCTAGCCACTATACCACCGGGCCGAGTGGGGAAGGGAGTCAGAGGCGTCCCAAACCCCAGAGGGCCTTTCCCCAGTACGGGGCGCCACTAATGACGCCTCTCTCTGCGCGTTCTTGTGGGCCCCACCCTCGGGGTGACAGTGTGCGTTCAAGAGTTCTAGCGGTCTTTAAGTATTCGTTGAGTAGTTACGGTAGAAATTTATGAGCATGAGCCTAGATTTGCGCTAGAATTGGGAATTCTTTCAGGATTCTTTAGTTTTTGTAACCCAAATTGAGTTTAATTTGCCTAATAACAATATAAATTGTGTATATTTCTTTCGAAACGTATATTTTACGTAAAAATATCGTTGTTTTTACATCATAGCGGCCAAATTTTCGAATTTTCTACGGTTTGAAAGGTTTTTTGCCTCAAATCTAATTGTATTTTGCTGATAACAGTATAAAGTATTTATAAATCTTCAGAAATGTATATTTTACGTATAAAGTTCGTTGTTTTACATTAGAAGGGCCAAAATTCGATTTTTTTTCTCGGTTTTGAAAGGCGTTTATACCTCAAATTTTGTTTAATTTGCTAATAGCATTATCAAAACACGTTACTTTTTAATTAGGTGATCCTGGAGGCGTTGTAAAAGTACCTCAGCCAGCCGTCAATTTTCCATTACCACAATTTCTTGGCTGCGCATTAATTTTTTGGTAAAAATGCGTTGAGGAGGTCGATTTGGGCGAGTTGATTTCGTGGCGGGACATCGCAAAGGGGCGGCCGTCTTTGATCCGAGGTTATGCTGGCTGTAAATGTGTTGAGGTGGTGATGATGATGTGCCCCTAGGGCATCTAAACACCCCTTTGAAGTTTCCCCATCCCATCGAACGTATAAAGGCCCTTATCTCCTTCCCCCACAGATCCCGATAATCCGTCCTCTGGGCGGCTTAGAAAACATGCATTAATTGGGGGTATCGGGCCCTTAAAACTTTTTGGTGGCTTTGTTTAGGCCTCGGTTCTGGTGCGTTAGCGGGGGGACGGTTTTTGTTTGTCCCGATAGCTTCTCCTTGTCCCCCGCTAATTTTTAGTGACGTTATTTTTAGCTCTAATTAAATCCTTTAGATTTTTTTGATTTATGGCCTAGCGACGGTGTTAAAACGACTCCCGAAAATAAAATGAAATTTTCTTTTTGGATGGAAAAAAATAAAATAAAGAAAATATCGAATATTTTTGGAAGAAAAACGCCCCCCCCCCGTTAAGGTAGCAGAAGTTCTACTTTAAAGGGATGCCGACGGCATAAATCAATCGGTTACGCGCGGAAAAGAAAATGTCTCTGCGCCTCTCCCCTGGGCGCGCTCTCTCCCCTGTTGGCTACTTGCCAATTTGTTGATGAGGGGGGATCGACACATGCCGTCGGCAGCCCTTTAACTCAGCTTTTAGAGAATAACCCTCAAGCTACATGCTCGTAGTCCTTTCCCAGACAACCAGACGTTTTAGGAAATACGTTTCTTTCCTGCGTTTTTACTTTTCCAGTTTTTTCTTGGGATTACCTTGAAATTCCCTTTAAAAATGCCGCGCTTCAGAAACGCTGAAAGTTCAGCATTTTCTCTAGAATTTGTCGGTCTCAGTTCCACGGCCGAGGCTTGGCGCAGTCGGGAGCGTGGCTGTCCTCAATCTCGCGGCGTGGGTTCGGCTCCCGGCCGCGCCGGAGTTTTTGCTTTTTGGCCGAGACGCACTTTTCTTAACGAACACTTTAGATTTAGATAAATCTGGCTGCCGCGTAAAATTCTACGTAATACCAGGACGGTGATATTTCGGAAAATAGCGCCTCGGCGGCACCTTTTTTAGCGCGTTTTGCATGGACAGTCGAGCGGGCGCGCGCTGGCGGCACCAAGAAAGGTCACCACCCTCTGGAAGAGGATGGGTAGGCTGGCAGGAATTTAGAGAAAGAGAGAGAGAGAGAGAGAGAGAGAGAGAGAGAGACAGTGGGGGTGTCCCTTGCCCCGTCCATCCTCATCTTCCTCTTCCTCCTCATCCTCCCCCTCCCCTCCTTGGTGGGCGCTGGCTTGGCGGCACCCTTTGATGTTGGTCGTCTTTGGTGGTAGGCGTACGCGTCGCGGTCTTTTCCCTCTCCCCCATTTCACCCTCTCTCACCCCACATTGCTTATTGTCCATTGTACAGTTGGGTAGGGTGATCAATTAGTACCGGTTCCGGCAAAAGGTTCTTTATTGTTCCGCTGCCCCAAGAAATATGTGCATTTTTATTTGGGTTCTTTCCCATTATCGGGGGTGCGACGAAAATTTTTCCATTAGGATCCAAGTGGGAGTTTTAAACTTTTTTTTAGCGTAAAACGTAAAATCAAACGTAAAATTTTTGCATTTTTTTATCGAAAATAAAAATATCGATTTTCGGCCAAAAATGGCCGTTTTCACCAAAATTCGAGCTTTTGAAGGTCATTGCTATTTGAAATATAGTTTTATCTTACGAAAAACATTACAGAAATACTTGCCATGAACTTACTAGGCATTTCTAGCCTCATATAAAACAATTATGTCCCCCGCACCGATAATGCGAAAGAACCCTTATTTTTAATGGTTTTAATTAGCAAAATCCATTAAACTTAATACTATTCACTCGGTACTAGTATACTTTGGGGGGGGGCCAAAAAAATTTTTCGACCAAAATTTCTCATTTTCGATTATTTTGTTCAGTTTTTCGTGCTGAATCCAATGAAAGTGCTTCCAGGTTTTTTTATATCATGTTTTCTAGTAATAATTAACTATTTATATCACAAGTAATTTCAATAGTTTTTCAGTAGTATACCGTTGCACAAGGGGCAGATAAGCCTAAGCCTAACCTGAGCCAAAGCCAAAGCAGGAGCCAAAGCCTGAGCCTAAGCCTAAGCCTGAGCCTAGGTCAAAGCTTAAGCCTAAGTCTAATCCTAAGCATGCGATCAATTCTTCAACTTTTGGTCGCATGTAAAGGAGATCCACCCCTGCTAGTAATTGATATTGTTGCCTGATTCTTATCTTGTTGCAATAATAAAAAATCTGGAAACATGTGCATTCGATTCAGCATGAAAAACTGAACAAAATAGTGCAAAATGAGAAATTTTGGCCGCAAAATTTTTTTGGCCCCCCCAAAGTATACTAGTACCATTCACTCTGCTGTATTTATAGAGACCCTAACTGCTCCTTCCTGACCGGAAGCTATAGGCGAAATGACGAGCATCTGGAAGGAGATATGGGGGGGGCGCTATTCAGCTTCCCATCTGATAGCCCGATTCGGGGCGTCATCGCTGAAACTTCGCGCTGTAGTGGGGAGTGAGGGCCAGGCAAACTAGCCGAGATTTTTTGAGAAAATATGATCAGGCTTCAAGAATAGGTTCATCTTATAAAAATTGAGCTGTGATTCCAATTTTCCTGAAGTTTTCTTGTTTTTCCAATTCGAAAAAAGAATCTTTTTATACCTGATTCAATGTAGTTGGGTCTCTTTTTTGGTTACTTTCTTGATAATAGTTATTACTTGTTTTTAAGAGCTCTTAAAAACCTATCTTGATCTTTTCCTAGGTGCTTTTTGTTTGTTTTTGAATGATGACGAATTGTTAGCGGAAGCCCCTTGACTATTGCGAAAAAAGTTTCAAAATCAAGCTCCACTCTAGTAAAAGAAACTCCATTTTCTTGCCCTCCCTTCTAGCGGTCCATTGATTCTGTCGGCCACTGCCGCGGCATGTGCCACTTGGCCTTTTTTTCGACAAACCTAAAAAGCGTCCCTCCTTATCACGGCTGCCGCATCTTGAGGGCCGCACCTTGTCCTCCCCCCTCTCGGTATTTTGCTCTTCCAATTTTGCTTCTAAACTTTGTTTTCCAAAAATATCATTTCAGGATGCAGCTTTTATGCTAATTTTGGTTTCAGGGACGGGCCGGGCCGGATGGGCGACTGCCCGACAGCATGGTCGCGTCGACTGGAGAATGTTCTACAGGTTTGTCAAGGGTTTGGGGGGTTTCTCCCTTTTTTTAGTTTCCATCTTGTTCTGGGTCGCGCTTCATGGCATTAGACATAGCCTGCCTAATGCTTTATTTTACAATTAAAAATAGCGGGTGATTTTGTCCCTTTTTGTGCTTTTGTTTCGTGTAATCGATGTTTTAAGGATGCCTTTTTGATTCAAGCTTTTAGAAGTTTTAGAAAGCGCGTTTGAAGGTCCTTGATCTCAAAAACCGATTTTCTTGATTTTTTTATTTCGGAAAGCGCATTAGTTTTTTCTCTGATATTTTCGTTCAATGACTGCTCTCGATCCCCATTTTGTGTTTTTAGAGGTACTACGTCTAAAAAGACTATTTTTTTCTGAACCCCGAAAACACATGAGTTTTTCATCGCTTTTCATCACAATAGTGTTATCAATTTTTTTATTTATCCATTTTGAAGATGCTGCATCTAGAAACGGCTTGATTTGTCTTAACTAAACTAAATTCTGCATAGAAATCCCTACAAACCCAGCCCTATCGGCCAGAACACGGCCAATCCATTTTATTTGGACCGGGGCCCATTTCTTGGTGGCGTGTGCCCTCTGCCTGTTTGCGTATGTGGCGTTGGGGCACCTGGGCGAATCCAGCTAGAGGCACTTTATCTTCCCCCCCGGCCACCAGCTAAACGCAAAGAAAAAGATCAATCTTTGTGGGTTGGGCTGTGGGATGCGCTGTTCCAGGTGTCTTCTTCCATTTTCGCATGGCGGACCCGGTGGATCGGCTAGAAATTGACAATAATAATACAATTTTTTTTTTAGGATCGCGCAGCCCTGGACGCATTTCGGGCATGGCTGAACGCGAATCGGGTCCAGCAGGCGTTGGAGCTGCATTTTGCAGTGCGGTAAGTTGCAAAAAAGATTGACGTTCTTAAATTTTATTTTCAAAAGTTGTTTCGCATAAATTTGTTGGTACTGGACTCTTAGTGGGGGGATATTTTTGTTTTCCGCCTATAAATGTTTAAAAAGGTGCAGTTTATGAGGTTTTTAGCAGTTTTTGATTCTTTGAAAGTTAAAAATATTGTAAACATTGTTGAAAATTCGAAAGATTTTATATTTTTTTGGTAATTTTTCATATATTTTGATCGAAAAGTCAAGAATTTTCGAAAACGTTTATATTTTATGAGCTTTTCATGTCTAAAAAGCGTTTAAAATGTCAGAAAAATTATTTTATTTGGTTTGTTCGGCCGTACAGGATTACTGGAAAACAGTAGTTTCTCCGTGTTAGAAATCCCCCCCCCCCTGATAACAGCCCAGTACCATTTGATTTGAAACAGTTTTCGCTTCCGCCTTTCACTTTCACTTTTCGGCAAGCTATTAGGCAAGCGATTTACCTCACTTTTACGGTACATAAAAGTTCAGTGAAATAGAAATGATGCCAAATTACACCAATTGACGGTACATGTTTCAGAGCGTACGTCCAAATGGTGCGCGACGTCAACGAGCAGGCCGGCGATCTGGCCCGCCAGATCTACCAGCGTTATGTGTCGCCACGCACCGGCTGCGCCCACTTCATCCCCAACAAGATACGCCAAGAGGTGGGTTTGGCAATCTAGCAGTGATCCTTGAGGAATTTTCGAATGGCTTTGCCGAAATTAATTTTGTCTATAATTTTTTCGAACTTCCAATGTGTCGAAAACCGTTTTTCCCATCGAAATCTTTGCGATGACTAATCGAGACGAAAAAGGCATCGAAATATCGACAAACTGTAATTTTGCTAAAATTATATTTCGACAAAACGATATTTTCGTTTACCCGGCCACTTTTATCAGTTTCTTTACAGCTATCAACCCGGATTCGACAGCCAACGTTCACCGCCGAGCCCCGGTTTTTCGACGCGGTTTCTCCGTTCGTAGAAGACTACCTCCGGCGGCAACATGAACAATTCTGCACGAGCGACGAGTTCGTCGAGGCGTTCAACCGGGTGACGATGGAGGAGCCGAGGCCCGGCATGAGGTTCATTTCATGTCTCCAGCTAACCCTCCCTCGCTTTCAGCACGTCGATGACGGAGCCCCGGACGTCAAGCCGCTCGCACACACTCTCCCATTCGCATAGCGGAACCCAGAAACGAAGCCGCAGTCGACGATCTGTAAGTTCAAGGGATTTAACGCATAAATTCCGTGTAATTAGCCCTTCCTCACCGCCGAAGCGTTGATGCGATCGAAACATGATCGAGAAGTGGCACTCGGCGAGAGGTCGGTTTTTCAGGTTTCAAATATAAATAGTGGAAGTGTTGCTAAGTGGTTTTTTACTATTCTGAAACGTGGAAAATTGACGTTAATATCGTGGTTAGTACAAAATATCAAAAATAGCGGTTTTTCGACCAAAAATCGCCGATTTTTATCAGAATCCTTCCCCCAATAATTCCCCCAAGGTCCAGAAATTCCTACTGACATAATTGATATCGTTTTCGGTAAAATTTAACGAATTGTAAGTGGGCAAACAAAAAAAAAACCACCAGAAAATTTTTTAGCTTTCGTCGAAAATCGATATTTTTTTTGTATGTGAATCATCATTTGTAAAGGTTTAACGTTTAGGAATAGTAAAAAACTGCTTGGAAGTACTTCCTCCTCTATATTAGAAGAATTGGATCCTTAGAAAATGCGAAAGTACTCAAAAATTTTTTAGTAAAAAAGCATTTTTTGTAATTTTTAGTAGTTTTATTAAATTTTAGTATTTTTAGTAATTTTTTCAGTCATGTCGAACGACTCTACCGAGGCCCACCTCGAATGCCATACACGTGCCACGCGACCACAAGCCAACACGACAGCGCCGTATCCTCGTCATTTTCAAGGTGCCCTGGAAAAGATTTTTGATCTTATGTTTTTTTCAGTGAAGCGAATCGCAGTATACGACTGACCAGCATCCGAGAAGAACATCTCCGTGGAAACCCGGCTACTTATACAATACCGGTAAGAAAATTTAGTGGGCTTTCCGACGTTTTAACGGCTTGACGTGCCAACAAGTTTTGGCGGGCCAACTAGCAGAAATCTTTAGAAAATCCGGTTCCTTGGGATTTTCTTTATCCTACCTTATATAATTTTGGCGTGTAACTGTGTGTGTGTGTGGATGTCACTTTCAAGGCCCGATTTGAGGGCCTTCCCGTGCATAAAATGCTCTAATTCTCCGTCACTTGGGGAAATCGATCCTTCTGTTTCCAATGGCGCTTTCAGAATTTTGATAAAATACAAGTTTACAAAGTTAAAGCCGGTTTTACTCATTTTTGGGGGTAATTTGCATAATGTGAAAAAAATAGAAATTTCGTCATTCTTGCAAGTTGCAGGCGCGCGTGTGGTCGGACGGGGGGAGGGGGTCCGAAGGACCCGAGCTATCGGAAAGTCAAATCTCTTATGCAAAGGCCGCATTCCAGCGCCCAAGGCCCGCGAAGCGGGTTTTGGGCGCTGGTAAAAAAATATAATTACGGAACTGTTTTTAGACTGAGTTTGACTATTCTTAAACGTGAAAACATTACAAATTGCTATTAAAAAAATACAAAATATCAATTTTTCGGCCAAACATGGCCGGTTCTTGACATTTTGACTTTTTGAAAAAGTTTGCTGCGTTTTGAATAGTGTTTCTAGTTGTATTTTACTAAGAAAATAGTTATCCTACTTCCTATTAAGTTAATATGTACTTCTAGACCTGTACAACAGATTAGGTCCCCCCGCTAATGCCAAAAAATCAAATAGAGGCGTTTCGGCAATTTTCCAAATATGTTCGAGCATAAACTTTATACGATCCAACGAATAACGACTTTACAAATTTGATGGGAAAAGGCCCGAAAACTATTCTAAATGGTAAAGGTAGACATTAACAAGCAAATAATGGCAGAGATCAGTAGAAAATCCGGCTTTTTCCAGCGCGTCGACCGCAGCCAACATTTCCGCGATGACAGCAGCCAGTACGATCACGAGACCGAGGATGGGCGCCGCTTATTCCACGCCGTCCTCTGCAAGAAGCTCAATCGAGAAATATTGAGGCGAAGAAGGAATGAGGCCACCGAGAAGCAAATCGACGAGTTGGAGAAGAGCAAGGAAAAGGTTGGCCATTTAGCGATTTTAATGGAAAAGTATGGATTTATCGGTGAATTTATTTATCCTTTTTGCAGGCACGTGACGTCATCTCGTCATCTACGGAATGCTACGATGTGATGCTGGAAGACGTGGATGGGGAGGAGGAAGATGACGATTTCGAGCGTTACGTCGAGGGGATGGGCAGTGGACGGCATAGCGGAAGCGGAAGGACGCCCCGAACTGCCGGAATTCGGGATGGTGATGGCACTGGTGGGACTTATTGCGTTATAAATTCGGCGTTGTAAAAATTGGGTATTACTAAATTAGTTTTATGGAAATTCGATGTTATGAAATACGACGTAAGGCCATAAGATTTGCTATCATAATACTGAAAACCGTGATCTCGAAATTACAAAAGTCGAAAATTCAGAATATCGATTTTTTTTTATTGAGTTTTTGTTCTAATTTGGTTTTTTTTCCAGGAAATTCCTTATGTAATTTCGACGTTTTGAACTTTCGGCATCATAGAATTTCGACATTTTGAATGCAACCCTCCCCCTAACGCTCTAAAAACAACTTTTTCCAGGCCCGATGACACCGCTGCGCGGTTTCTCTTTGGGGAGGAGCACGATGGAACGGACAATGTTGCTGGAGAGGTTGCCCCTTGGCGAGCCGATCGACCCGCCGGGTGGGATGATGGATTCGAGACGGGCCCCCGACGGGATCACCGGATTCGCACCTCCACAGACTTTTGGAGGGCGATTCGCCCCGCCGCCCGCTCGCCCTTTCCCCACCGCGTATAATACGTACGCCAAGGAGAGGTGGGTGATCGGTAGCAAACGCTAAAAAAGCTTAAAAATTACAGGTGCATTCGATGCAATAACTGGCAGGTATTTAGGCCGTACTCCCATCGCTCGGAGGGCGTCTACAATACGGAATCCGGGATCGGCAGCATGTTCTCTGAGGATAGGAGAACGACCAGCCGACCCCCGTCTGATAAGGAGCGACGCCATCGGCCACCGATTACGATATCTTACAAGGTCCGTTTATATAACGCGATCCACGGAGCTATTAATATTTGACGAATATAATGCGATCGTGTGGTATAATAATCGTATTTTTTACACCTCTATTTAGGCACAGTTTACAAGCACACACATAAAGTTTAGAGCGTAGACGGTGTCCCGGTGGTGGCCCACGTGCCGTTGTGCGGGCCGACGCTGACGTTGCGCGAATTCCGGAAGCATTTCTCCATCCCGGCGCACCACGGCCAACAGTGAGTGTTCGGGGTTGTAGTTTGTGGTCTAGGGTTTCTGATCTAAAGCTAAAACTTGTGGTTTGTAGTGCTTCTAGATTTGCGTAGCCTATATATTTTCCGAAAAAACCTAAACATGTATTTTGTAGTCTATATTTGGCCGATAAAAATGTAACTTGTCGCTTGTATTCCCCAGTTTTTGCCAAAAACTACAAATCGTAATTTGTAGTCTCTAGATGCCTCTAAAAACTACGTAAACTCGTTTGTATTTTGTAGAACTTGGCTCAAAATCTACAACGGATAGCTTTTATTTTTAGATTTGCCTAGAAACTACAGATCATCGTGCGTAGTTTGTAGTTTTAGGTAAAAACCCTAGTTTATAGTCTATATATTTGGCTAAAAAACTATGGCTAGTACCTGGTAGTCTGTAGTCTTCAATAAAAAACGTTTACAAAACTGACACTCTAACCCTTACAGGTTCTTCTTCAAATCCGAATGTGAGGACGGATCGGCGCCGTATCAACTGTTGCGAATCTGCGACGACACGGCCCCGCTGCCCGTCTTCGAGGGGAAGATCAGCGCCGAGCTGAAGCATGCTTCTCCTGAATAGACCGCCACCACAACCCCGTCCAATCGATATTTTATGATATTCCCCCTCGTTCCCCCCTCCTTTCAACAAAAATTCGGGTATTTTCTGTGTGACCGTGATTTCGAATGCCGGTAAATCGTTTATTTAAAGCGAGCCCATACATACGAAATATAAATTTCTTAGCATATTCGTAGCCCGATGACGTTGTAGAAACGGGCTCGTTGGGAGGATGGTCGTGTAGTCGTCATCAGATATGAAGCCTCGGCTAGGTGTTGCTGAAAATTATGGGTATTTTTGGAAATTTTCCGTCTATCCCAACCCCTTAATAATAAATAGTGCATTTTTAAAAGTTGTTAGTATTTTTTGAATGCTAGTAAGTTACAAAAAATATTTTAAACTTTGAAAATTCGAAATTTTGACCATTTTTGGTCATTTTTAATACATTTTTTTACTAAAAGACAAAAATATAGCTTATATTTTTTGTGAGCTTTTTCATATTTAAAAGCTGTGTAAAATGCGATAAAAATGATTTATATTTCGTTCAGGACCGTAAAATTCTTCGATATTTTCGTAAAAATTTCGTCCCCCCACCCCCGCTAACAGTCCAGTTCCGCATTTTTTAAGGAAAAAAAAGACAAACCTCAAAGGCACGCAGCCCCTCTTCCGCTTTCAGCACGAATTCCTCAACTTCGTCGAAAAAATCGGCAATCGTCAAAAACGCGGATGCGAGCAGCAAAGAGGCAAATATCAACGGCGCTTCGACGAGCAATTTGTCGACCATCCACATCATTTTCGGCAAGAAGAAGCATCCGGAACCCCCAAAAAGGCCATCTTTCGCTTGTGGCAAAACAATCAAATCAACGGTCTTTGACACTCGAAAATTGGCAAAAACCAGTCCTACAGCGCGAAGCAACAATTTATTTGTCAAAACATGATGTTCCGAAAAAAACGGGTTCAATTCGTTTGTTTTTTGGAAGATGGCTCTGGCTGGGTTGGACGACATCTAAGGGCTACGGCCATAAGCGTCGACCTCTAGAAATTGGAAGTGTATCCGATTACGGCATGAAAATACCGCGCGGCGTCCAGGTGAGCGGGTAGCGGACCAGCGGCGACGCGCTCGCCGGGCCGCGCGTCGTGCTGTGTAAATGGTAGCGCACCGAGAAGGCGGCCGCATTTCGGGGATCGTCACTAAACGCTTTCGTGTCCGCTAGACCACATTTTTGCGGCCCAAGCCTACATTTTTTTCTTATAAATAGCGCCTGCGTTTCTAAATTGTTTTTAACTATTCCTAAGCATAACAACTTTACACATTTTCATCAAAAATTTAATTTATGTGTCAATAGGATTCACGAAAGCAAAAAAAGAATGGGTTTTCGACCCAAAATGACCATATCTTCGACTTGTCAAACATTTTAGAAAATTTTTTTTGAAAATTAACGATGAAATGGCAACCTTTCCTGAAAAAATATAAAAACAATTTATATTTGATTATTGGGCCAGCCGGGACCGCCAGGAAAAAATTGTCCCCCCCCCCCGATAATGCCAAAGATCCCACTTACGGGTTGGGTAGATAGGTGCCAACAAAGAGGAGACGAGGAGCCGGTTGAGATCGGCTACAGGCCGCCGAGTGGGCCCTGAAAAATGGCTGTAATTAGCCGGTATTAGCTGGTACCTTGGGCCAAGACATTCCAGCTTTTGCGTCTCGCACTCCTGAACGCGGTGCATTTTGTAGCATTACGATGAAGAAGCGGAAATCCCTGCCAAAAATGTCTTACTTTACTATGTAGCCGTGCACTGTCGAGGGCCCATTGCAGATTTTGCGTCTCCTCGTTGGCCTGAAAACTCTGAAATTTGCGCCAATGGTGCGGAACGGCTACCGTAAGCCGGGCGGTGAACACTTGAGAATGGGTGAACTGCTCGCAGGTGTCGTAGTCCGCCTAAAGGTGATTGCACGTATCTTTCCTCTCTCTATCTCTCTCTCTCTCTCTCTCTCTCTCTCTCTCTCTCTGTTTCTCGCTCTATCTCGCACACTCGCTGATAGATACCTTAAACCCCTGTTTCATCTGCCGATAGTTGCGACGGATCTGTAGTTGCTCGGGCGCCTTTTCGAACCACTCGTTCAGCATGGCCATCGGCTAAATCAAGGCGGGGACAGGCTAGCAGAGACTATTTGGTGGCGCCTACAATAGTGGCCTTTAGCAGGGGTTCATCCTCGTCTTCAAATTGATAAGCCATATGCCGCGGGTTTTTGCTAGAGCGGGATGCTGGTGAGAGTTGGCGGCCAAAAACCCGGTTCTCCAGCGTCGCCAGCACGACGCCGAACCTGAAAGAAATAGTGTTCGGGACCGGTCTCTTAGCGGGGGGGGGGTTTAATGTAATGATAGCATGGCAGTTTTTTACTATTCCTAAACGTAAAAACTTAACAAATTTGATTAAAATCGCCGGTTTTGACCAAAATTTTGAAGATGTTTTTATCGGTTTTTAAAGTTTTTGTATTGTTTTTAGTTGTTTTTTAGTTCAAATCTAGCGTTAGAGTGCTAAAAACATTATTGAAATACTTCCTATTAAGCAAGGAGGCATTAAACTGTACAAAAAATCCCCCACCCATCGATAACAGTCTAGAATCTAAGTCAAGAATAGACGGAGACGGAGTAGGTTCTGGTTCGTTAGCGGGGAGGGGCTCGGTAGGCCTCTTTCCTCGTGGGCTAGCCTAAGCCTAAGCCTAAGCCTAGACCAAAGCCCAAGCCTAATCCTAAGCCTAAAGCTAAGCCTAAGCCTAACCTAAGCCTAAGCCTAAGCCTAAGCCTAAGCCTAAGTCTAAGCCTAAGCCTAAGCCTAAGCCTAACCCAAGCCTAAGCCTAAGCCTAAGCCTAAGCCTAAGCCTAAGCCTAAGCCTAAGCCTAAGCCTAAGCCTAGGCCTAAGCCTAACAAGGAGTCGTTTTTGGGTGATATTGGAGTTTTTGAACGAGACCTAGCTAGTTCGATAGAGAAAAAAATTCTGAACAAGATGTCGGTTTCCAAATCTGCTAACCGTGTACTGTATTCAAAAAAAAATTAATTTTAATGAAAAAATTCCTGGACGTCAGGCTGCGACCCATGGATCAGCCCCGGGACATAGCCCACAGCGCGAACCAGCATCCGCATGAGATCGTGGCCTAGTGGATAGTGCCGGCGCCTATCAAACTTTTGCACAATTATGCCCAGGGTTCGGAACTTATTGTGATTTATTGTTTTGCTTTTTGGTTTTTCATGCCATTGAAATCGAATTTGGCATTATCGAGCAAAAAGCAAAAGAGTTTTACTAGCGAGGAGTCGAACCCGCTGGTAAAAAAAGACAAAAACTTATGAAGCAATCGCACTACCAATAGGCCAGCTGGTCATGGCTGGAGGGAGGCCTAAAGGGGGCTATGTTGACGCGTACCCAGAGCGCAGAAACTGCGGATCAGGCGGAAAATGATGGTTAGATTAATGATTTTCAAATTAATTTTTATTGAATACAGTACACGGTTAGCAGATTTGGAAACCGACACCTTGTTCAGAATTTTTTCTCTATCGAACTAGCTAGGTCTCGTTTAAAAACTCCAATATCACCTAAAAACGACTCCTTGTAAGCCTAACCCAAGCCTAAGCCTAAGCCTAACCTAAGCCTAACCTAAGCCTAAGCCTAAGCCTAACCTAAGCCTAACCTAAGCCTAAGCCTAAGCCTAAGCCTAAGTCCAAGCCCAAGCCTAGCCTCCCGTCTCGCCTTCCACCCCCCGCTAATGAACCAGAACTAGGAAATACCCCTGGTCCATTTTGGGCGGCGCTTCTCGGTAGATGCTGACCCGGACCTCGTCTTCCGGTTGCCAGTTGTTGTTCAGCTGCACGTAGTTCGAGATGCCCATCTAGAAAATAGGTTGTTTTCCGGAAATGGTAAGTACCGTAAGCTTGACGCTTTCCCAATCGTCAAACTTCGGCTGCGCCTGGGCAAAGGCGACGAAACTGAAAGTGAAAATTGGAAAGTGAAAGCTGACAAATCAATTCTGTGCTGTTAACGGGGGGGGGGGGGAGATTTTCTCTTTTTTTTCGACGCCCTGCTAGGACCAAAATTTAAAATAGCTGCGATTTGATAGCATTTTACAAAGTTTCAAAGTCGTGAAAAACTACAAAACCCTCAAAAATATCGTTTTACACCAAAAAGGATTCCTTTTTGATTAAAAACTAGGGCTAGAGAAGATTAGAGGCGAATAACCCCCCCGATAAGGCAAAAGAACCCAAAGCGTATACGGTAATCCGGACAGTAATTACTTTTACATTACCTGACGGTGGCGCAGCTGACTGGAATATTCGTCTGGATAAACTTGTTCCGCCAAAACTAGAAAAACCATTCAACACCTGGGATCGGTTTTTAGGCATTATCGGGGGGGTACTATTCCTAGCCGTAACAACTTGATAAATTTAATTTTAAAGGGAATGAAAAAAATATAGATTTTTAAGCCAAAATTTCGTATTTTTAATTTTTGGAAGGATTTTGGATAGCTTTTCCGCTTCAAATATCGAGGAATTTCAGTAAAAACAGCATTAAAATACTATTAGGTGACTAAGCATTTCTGGATTCATACAAAAAAACCGGTCCCCCCCGGTACTGCGAAAGCACCGTGAAGTGTTCTGGGTGATACCTGTGGCACGCCGTAGGGCTTCGATCCAGACATGGCCGTGTTCAAATCAAACTTTTCTTCAACGGGATCCATGGTATTGAGCGGATGGCCATTGAATGAATAGAAGATACGCTCGCCCGCTCCTCGTCGATTGTATTGTATTTGGAAGGAATCGGAACGGCCGAGGCCGAGTGGGACCTTTTGGGAGCTGGGGCCATCTAAAAAATCCGTCCATAAAAACTGATTAGGTTCTTTTTCATTATCGGGGGTGGCTATTGGGAATAAACCAGCTTTCTTTTCTTGACATCTCATTTTTATTGAAAAAATACAAAAAATACGATTTTTCGACCAAAAATGGCGGTTTTTGACCAAAATTTCCGGGTAAGAGTATAGGAAATCCCCGAAGCCACGTATACTAAAAAGTTGGTGCTGGGGGTTTCCTAGACTTGAGCCAAAAACCCTGGGTTTCGCTTACTGTTGATCAAAAACCGGTCGTTAACGACGAGATGAGGCGGGTCGGCCCTGAAATAGCATTTATAACTCTTCCAGACGCTAGGTACAGTTGTTACCCAATTTAACGTTAAAAGTACTGACCCGTAGCCAATTTCAAACTTCATCTGTGTAGCACAGGGACCCGGGGGTCGGCATGTCGCATGCACAAAACTCTGCTGCTGCCCGATGCAACTCTTGTCCTCTGGGTTCGTCCATTTTAATGCTATCTAAAATAATCCATGATTTTCTGGTGCTTTTGCATTATCGGGGGGAGGTGGAGCTCCAAAAGTACCCGAATAAAATATTGTGAATGCTGATCGGGGGCCATCTGGAAGGGCAACGACAGGAAGAAGCGGTCCTGTTAAGATAGCTATTGGTCTCTGACCAGCTACTGACCACATCGATAACCTCACCAAAAAGTGGGGGAATCTGGGAGAGGGCCAGGAGAAGGTAGATGAAGCCGGAGAACATCGAGGCGTTCGGGAAATGCTTTTAATGGCTCTTCTAAGACTTTATAAGCACTTCTCCAGATGCGGCGAAACATTCAGATCTCATTTTATGCTTATCTTGGCGTGGTAAGAGTACTGTTTATCCTCCCTAAACGGCTCCCAACTTTAGTATCTCGATTTCACGTTGTCGTACATGGGTGTAACGTACACCAAAATGTTCCGCTTTGCCTGGTGAGTAGAGGAGCCTTGGCTTGGCAAATTATTTATTGCAAAATTCGGGCGAGTTTCAGGATGAATTTATTGTTGAGGCACGAGACAAAGTGCCGGATATAAGGCGCCGCAGTCGATTGAAGACCAAGTAGCATCTTCCACGGAAAGCACCGAACAATCTTGGCCCGTGACCGGTTGTCCTGAAATTGCAGCAATTATAGAACGGAAACTTTGGCAAAAATGATTAGATAATTTCGAGCATCTCCGCTTATTTTTCACCAAAACTTCAAAAAAAGTTCGAATTTGTATTTTTTGCGTTTTTATATCTATGCTGCAAAGATGGGTTATCCTTCGTGGCGCGTAAAGGATTACTGAGAAAAATTAGTCCCCCCGCTAACAGTTCAGTACCGACCTGGCGCCCAGTTCTGATAGTCGAGTTGTTGATTGCCCGGCCAAGTCCAGCCGCACGTCTCGCAATTACGACTCAATCCGATGTAGAAGAATTGCGTGGCTGCGTTGTCTAAACGTCTAAAAATCTAAATTTTACCACAACGTACCTGATTCCACGAGCATTAATGCTTGCTGGCTGTCGAAGGCGTTTCGAATTTCGGCCAGCTGCCCCGAAGCGCTAAATTTAAAGGAGATTAACGATTTTTAAGATCGAAGGCCGCTTTGGCATTATTGAGGGAAGTTAATTTTTTTCTTGAAGAAAGAAATGCCTAGCCATGTAACAGTAACTATTTTAATCTTATTGTTAGGAAAATTTCCCTATATTTCCAGCGAAAAAAATAGAAAAATCCGCAATTTTACCCAAAAATTGATATTTTTTGTAATTGTGAGTTAACATTTTATAAGTTTTTACGTTTCGGAATCGTAAAAGATGTTTTAGATACATTTTCATTCTTTCCACTAGAAAACCTGAATACTAAGGAAAATGGAACAATGCTCCTCCCCCAATAATGCATAAGCACCAATGATAATATAAATTAAATCAATGAATCAAAAATACGGCACTGACCCTTACCTGACCTGCCGACAACTCTGTTTCTGATGGTACGAAGCGTTGGCCCAATTATCGGCCGTGATAAAACAGCCGCCACTCGAATTGGCCTGCCCATTTTCGGGGCATTTTGTAAAAACTATCGAAAATAAGCTTAAAAATACGAAATAGTTTAACATAGTGGAATTCTGTGTCGAATTTTCCGCCCAGTGGCAAAGAGAGAGAGAGAGAGAGAGAGAGAGAGAGAGAGAGAGACCGCTGTTTGCTTATCGGCACGGTCGGTGGCAAACCCCAAAAGCCAAAAGTCGTGCCTCACCTGAATCCGGCAACCAGGTAAACCATTTAAACTTTAACTTTCGTGTCGTTTTTGCCAACAAAATAGCTCTCTGAACTGGTTGGAGTCGTTGGTCATGTCCCGGTTGGGAGGTGCAGCCGCAAATGATCATGGAAACGGCTTAGAAAACATTATCGTTGTCCAAAAATGCGATTAAAAACCCTCAAAAATCCATGTAAAAACTATTGTCGGATCGTTTATTCCAGCACAATCGGCACCTGAACTGGTTTAAGCCGTTGATCATCCCCTCCCCCGTTAAGTAACCAGAACCGCATGCCGTGGAAACCTTCAGTCAAGTTTATAACTATATTTATTTACAAAATCAAAAAACTAACACAAAATTCCAAAAGCATTTAGGGGAAAGGGAAAAGAACCAGTGTTTTTTCGGTAGAAACGAGGTTTATGTTGAGAAAATAAGGAACTAAACACAAAATCATAACAACAAATACCCGTTAGTGGTCGACGGTGTCTGTGATGAACGCAATGAAATCGATCGAAAAATTGTTGGGGGGAAATTCTAGGTATTTAGTGGTTGGGTTAATATTTATTACTCCGGGACGACGGTGTAGCTGGTGAGTTGCGTCTCTGATGTCTACAAAATTTGGTTAGATTTATTCGAAAGCAACTCAGGCCCTGGTTATATAAATAGAAAATGTGGTACTGGACTGTTAGCGGGGGGGGGCAATTTTTCCGCCTACTTAAGCCTAAGCTAAGCCTAACCTCAAGCCCAAGCCTACGCCTAACTGTAACCGTTTTTTGTTGACCGTGGGATTTCGATACGTGAGATAGCACATTTTGTGCAGAATTTTTCGCTGATACCGAATGCGTTTTCAAAAGTTGCGGAACCCCTCTAGATAAAAAGTTACAGCCGGTTTTCTACCCCAAATGACCGAAAATTAAAAACTTTAAATCCTTATAAAAAACTCGTGGAATATTTTGTGGGATAAAATACAGCAGTCCTAGGGGTAAAAAAACGTGCTCTTTCGAATGGGCTACCTCACGAACCCGTAGCTCAAAATTCATGAAAAAAAGTTTTTCAGTGGACCTATGGGCTGGATGGCCAATTTTTGAAATTTTGTGGATTTTGAGCTACGGGTTCGTGAGGTTGCCCATTCGAAAGAGCACGTTTTTTACCCCTAGGACTGCTGTATTTTATCCCACAAAATATTCCACGAGTTTTTTATAAGGATTTAAAGTTTTTAATTTTCGGTCATTTGGGGTAGAAAACCGGCTGTAACTTTTTATCTAGAGGGGTTCCGCAACTTTTGAAAACGCATTCGGTATCAGCGAAAAATTCTGCACAAAATGTGCTATCTCACGTATCGAAATCCCACGGTCAACAAAAAACGGTTACAGTAAGCCTAACCCCACCTGTTAATTTTGTAATTTCTATATATAAAAACTGTGTACAATTTTATCATGGAAAAACATGCCCCCCGCTAAAAGTCCAGTACCGAGAAAGTAATAAAAAATTTTTGAACCTGCTCAATCTGGGTGTTTTGCTAAAATGCAAAATTTTGGTTTTTTTAATCGATTTTTGGTACTTACCGGCAAATGGACGGCGGCATGTTGAGCTTTTTTGCCGCCGTAGCTCTTCTTTGATGAGGGCTGAAAAGGATAAAAATAGTTTTAATAAAAAAATTAAGTCTAAATAGAGGAAGTGCTTTTATAGCTTTTCACTATTTATAAACGCCAAAAACCTACAATAAAAAATACTAAATTACCGATTTTTGCACCAAAATCCAACGTTTAAAATTTTTTCGGTTTTCTTTGATCGTTTTCCCCTTCAATATATTCAAAATCTACGTAAAAACAATATTAAAATAATTATTACGACGTTATTTTTACCTGTTAGAATAGTGCCAAGCCCCAGAATGGCAATCATCACTGCATTGCTGATATAGATGCCAAAATCGTGCAGTAGCAAACCGCCGGCCCACGTCAACGCGATTCCAAAGATCTGGAATACTGCCATCATAATAATATCAATAATAATTGATGAAAGTGCGTCTCTTTCTGACCTATCCATAAAAAGTTATAAGAACAAAATAAATGTAATAAAACAATAACAAACATCTGCCCGTTAAATATCGCTAAAAATCTAACCTGTGCGCTCGCGTTCAAAAGTCCCGACATTGTCCCCTCAGCACTCGGGAACGTCAGCTCGGCGGCGAATTCGAAGCCGATAGGCAGGTAGCCCGTCATGAAAAAGCTGAAAAAGACAAGTGGTATGAAGCTTGGTACTGCACTGTTAGCGGGGGGGGGGCTGAACCTCGCGTACCACCGCTCAGGATCAAATAATACTGAAACCCAAACCATTTGCAGCTTTTTACGCCGTTTTTAGGTGCATCAAATTCCTAAAGAAATACAAAAATGTATGAGACGTTTCTTTCTTTTTCTATTTCCTATTTTATAGTTTTCCAAAAAAGTTGTCATGATTTTATTAATTGTAAACTACACAAAACCCTAGAGAAAAAAAACACACTCTAAAACCCAAAAATTTTTAGCTAGTTAAACATAGGCTGTAGCTTCAGCGTACAAAAACCTTTTCTTTCGCTTTAGCGGGAGGGGGACCCAAATTTTTTCCTATGTCCAGAAATGCCCAATAACGTAATAATAGGTGTCTTAATCATGTTCTTAGTAAATTTAGCTAGATTTCAAGTGCAAAACCGTTCCAAAACTTTTTGAAAAGTTGAAATTTTGGTCCAGAAACGATATTTTTTGTATTTTTTTTTTGGTAAAAATGTGTAAAGTTTTAAGTTTAGGCACAGCAAAAACACCTTATAAATGAAAAATTTGTCCCTGAGGGAAAACGTTGCCGCCCCCCGATAATGCAAAAGCACCTAAAAACTGGCAAAAACACCTACCCCAATGCAATGGCGCCGACGTATACCATATGGATGCCCGAGTCCAGAGTGAATGTGAAGAACACCATACCGAGGAATGAGAAGAAATACACGGTGAACGTCACCAGCCTAAATTCATCGTCTGCACTGCATTTTTCACCGCCTACTTGAACTTCTTCAGCTTGTCCAGGCAAATGCCGCCAATCACCGAGCCGAACATCCCGGCCACCACCATACTCTGAAATGGGGTTAAATTTTTCCGTATTTTTCGCCAATACCAATCCGATTCGGCCGATGGCTTCTCCTTGTCCTGGGTAGAGCTTGTCGACCATCTCGGCCAATAGCGTCGAGACAGCGTAGAAAACGCCAGTGTTCATGCCTGAATCAAAAATATCGTATCCAGAAAAAACCCAAGCCAATACTCAAAAAAATTTAAAAAACAAAAATTTTAGTCGGAAATTTTGTCGGATTTTCGCATTTTTCATTAAAATTTGTAAAGTTTTGACGTTTAACAATAGTAAAAAGAGTTTAGAAATATTTTCCCTATTTATACTGGCAAAATTGGATCCTTAGAAAAAAGTTTGGGTTGAAACGGGGCAGTCTAGAGAAAATACGGTAGCATCCATGACCCTTTTTGCGGCTTTCTCCTACCATAAGTCAAGAACAGCAGCATAAAGTTCCCATTCGTCAGCAGTTTTCCCATGGTTCCGAGGAAATTGCTGTCCAACGACTGCTCCAAGGCGGTGATCTAAAGCAGTAATTTCACTAAAAATTCAAAACACTCACCTGCGCCCATGACGGGGGCACCTTCGGCTTGGCTGAGAAGACTAAAAAAAAACAACATTGAGACCCCCGAAAATCTGGGCTTACAGCAAATGATGAGCGTGAAGATGACGGTGTTAAGGACGGCCGAGCCCAGGAAAAGATTTGTCAAATCGTCGGCAATCTCCTCCATCGTGCCGTTGTGAACGAGCATTGGGGGAAGGACGAAGCCAAGGGCGATACCGAGCTAAAAAGGATCTAGTTCGTTAGCGGCGGGGACTAGACTGTTTTGTTCCGATTATCCTACCTCGTACCAAAACATAAACTATTTTTAATGTTTTTAACAGTTTCTTACTTTAAAAAAGTCATAAAAAAAATTTAATGGATAAAAACGGTGTATCCGACGATTTTTAGGCACTTTTATAGCACCTTTTGCCAGTTTAAAATCATGGCTTTCTGGCTGTCAGCGCTTTTCTGGCTTTCTAATCCCGGATTTAAAAGTTTAAAAACTTTCCGGACGATTTTGGCGTACTTTAATCCAGTGATAAATACTAAACTAAAAGTTTCCAATTCTTTAGTTTTGCCCCTCCTAGAAACCTCCACTCCTCTAACGAATCAGAACCAGGCTTCGCCTAGGAAAACTGTTGGTTTAATCTTTACGGGGACAAACCTGATTGCCAAAAACACCGGCCGCGCAAGCTGTCGACACCTCATCCGCGCCAAACCAAACGGCAGCAAGACGGGGAGGAGCACCAAGGGTAAACATCTAAAAAATAACGAATTGGCCCTTGGTTATCTAGGCTCGCCATTGTCCAACCGGGCTGTAAATCCTACCAAAATCTTGCCAGACCAAGGCGAACATTTTGGCATACTTTACAGCGTTGTAGCACAACGCAGAGCTGAGATACAGAAGGTTCGACGGTTAGACTCCGCGAGGGGTGGGGGCGCAATCGAAAAACACATACCTGAGAAGCGCCGACGATCGTCTGCCCGATCATCGTGATCCAGAACGCATCTAAAAAATGGGTAAACGTCGATTTTGCAAAGAATTACCCGGGGTGGTGGAGAATATCCGGATCCACGCGCCGATGCAGTTTCCGGCGGCCCCGAGCAAGATGGACACCCTCAGCCCGAATCGGTCCAGCATCCATCTAAATATTTTCATTCGCAAAAATACATCCTTTTTAATACAAAAATTTAATTTTGAAGTTTTGGTTCGAGAAGTACGGCATACAACAAACAACGGTACCGTTTCCTATTGCGTGCCCCAATCGGCGGAGGTCTCGATCTCGTATTTCCGGTTTTTGGCATTGTTGTCCTTGATTTCCTTACCTTTTTGCAATTTATACTTTTTCTAATTAAAATTAATGAACTAATTTTAATTAAATTATTTAATAAGCTTTTCTATTCCTTCGCCTTGAAATTTAGACTTTTTCTGAGGTAATCTCTTTTTTCATTGCAATTTATACCTTTTAAATCAATCGAATTGACCTTTTTCAGATGACTACTAACGCATTAGACTGCTCTCGCGCCGTGGACAAGCGCCGCCGCTTCATCTCGCTGGTCACGGACATGATGGCGAAGGAAGGCACCGACCGTCGCGACGAATGGCCCCACGACATCCCCAACGACTACCAAAAGTGCTCCGTGTTGTCGAACGGCCAATTCGGGATGGTGGTCGCGGCGCTGTGCCGTGAAACGAATCGACCAACGCTCGACCCACGCGCCTGTGTGCTCAAGATACGCTACCTCGGGCGTATGTCCGATAAGGTAACAAAATAAGGGGATGCAATTCAGGTTGGAGGAGGACACTTTGCACTTGGCCGTTTTTCGGCCAAGTCATAATTAGGCTCTGCTGAAATTGTTTAAGGTTATTTTTGGCTTTTGGATATTCATGTGCCTCTTGAAATTACTCAAAAATATTTCCCTGGTAGGCCTGACGTTAGCTTAGTCTTCTTGGAAATCAAAGCACCTCCTCCCCAATTTGAGTACTACTATACGTTTTTAAACTTTTGTTTAGATTCTGAGTCCCACCGGTGAGCTAGAAGACGATGCGAAGCTCGAAGACTTGGTCAAGCGTCTGGTGACCGATGTCTACATCATGAATCGCATGCGCCATGTCAACATCCTCCATCTTCACGCCGTGGCTGTGGACGCGGGCGACTTGACGTTCGTCATGCCGCGTTTCTATTGCCTCGATAACCTCATCAACATGTGGCGCCACAAGTTTCGCGACGAGTCGATGCCCGCCGACCTCATCATGCGTATCGTTCGGCAGATTTGTGTCGGGCTCGACTTTCTCAAGCAGGCCAACGTGTTTCATCGAACGATCCAAGCCGACAACATCTATCTGACGCGCAACGGCCGGGTCAAGCTCGCCCATTTCAGCGCTGCAAAGTTGTCGGTAGGGATTTGCCACGTTGAATTAATTCCTTGTTTTGACTGACGGGAATCAATGCATCACCCCGGTTGGAAATCGTGAATATATGAGCTACGAGAAGCAATTCAACCTATGTGAAGCAGAGTCGCGTGAGACCTGTCTGAGCTACGACGGAGCTGCTGATATTTGGGCGGTTAGGGAGCTAGTCGCTGAATTCATCCTTCTTTAGATCGGCATTCTGGTGCTTCGGATGGTCACCTTCTTCCCAAACGAGCAGTGGCAGCGTCTTCACCCAGATTTCGCGTTCACGATGCGCCAAGAGCGCATGCCATTCGTTTGGATCATCGCCGATTTGACGGTATATTTTTGGCATTGTTTTTGCACTTTGTTTTTAGCAATTGCGTGTCCGTATGCGTAAAGCTGCCAACGGGCTCAACCTGTGCCGCTGGTTATCTGAGAAGGTATTGCTCGTCGTGATATCTGCATTTTGGTTCAGATCCTGACGCTGAAGCCATCAAAGCGCGCAACCCCCGAAGAAATCATCGCTTCAAAGATTGTGAAGAAGTTGTGCAGCAATGTATGCTTTTTTAGCTTTTTTTGCAAAATTGCCATTTTTAGACCATGGAAGAAGACTGTGACGTGCTCCATCGCCGTTTCATCAGCGCTTTGGATTGGCCGAACAGAGAGCGCCTCGAAGCTGATCGTCCGAACTACGATTGCCTTGAATCGGTTCGACTTTTAAGTTTTTTCAAAAGAAAATTTTTAGAAAGACATCCCTGCCGAATTCTATTGGGATGGATTGGGAACGTGGAAGATGCTGGAGCGAGCCGTGTTCGAATTTGACGGCAAAGTAAGAGACCTTCCTGCTTTTAAGACTTTTCGTTAGATAACTGAAACTACCACGCCGGAAACCGAACAGACGAGCTACTCGGAAGTTTCCGGAAGAGCCTTCCGTTTGGATTTGAAGACCGATGTACTTTCGGTGTTCAGGTAATTTAGCCCGAGTACATAATGAGGTATTTTCTTTAGTGGCCGCTTCCTTTTCTCGCAAGCGCACACGCTACTCGCCCAACTTGCGGGGCTTGTCAACGAGGGGCGCTTCCACTGGTGCGATCTGCTCATCATCGACCATCTCATCCGCGAAGGCGCTACGGAAGCGATGCGTCGCCACGCGGATAGTCAACGCGGCTCGTGCTCTGTTGTGGATCGAGGTAGTTCTTGCTCCAAAATACCCAGAAGTCTGTTTAGGAAACACGACGACACTGCCTCTCTATCACTCGCGACCTCGTCATTGCTCTGTGAATGTCCGACTGATCAGCTTCGATCAAGAATAGACTAATTTCTTCGTGTGTAGCTGTGCATAGGGCCTGTGATTAATTTTTCTGGTATCCACGAGTTTTTCTATGTTGCTAAATACTGGTTTTCTGATGTGAATAAACCGCGAATACTTTCGTCTTTGATGCACATGAACTGCGCTATAAACGCCGCGATCGCTGTGCTTTGACAAGGGATGAAATGGAAAGGAATGACAAGGGTGTGCCTTTTGATCTTCCGTTCCCGTGCTGTGGCGTTACAGCTGTTTAGTGCCGTCAGGTTTCAACATTGGGAGGAGTAGCCGCGGCAAAGGGATTCGAGTCGTCTCTCTGCGCGTGGTGACTTCTCACCTGCACAGCATATAGACCCCCATGGACTCGGGCAGCTTGTTTGCCTCCATCTCATGTTAGCCCCTTGTCAAACTGACCGTTTCACCCATTCATTTGAGCTCTCTCTTCCTTCTCCCAAAACATCCTCAAGATGCGCGGCCAACTTCCCAACTTTCAGCTTTCCCATGCACGCAATGGGGTTGCGGCGTGACCAAGGGCGTGTCTAGTTTGTCAATTCGGCGCGTGTTAAAAAGGTGACAAAGTTCTTGGCCAGGTTGTGATATCGAAACGAATCGAAATGCGTTCCGGATCAGGGAACACGGCCTTGATTTACCATAGAGCGCTCTTTGGGTCTGTCCGGGGGCTTAGGTTAATCCACTTTCAGGCTAGCGCGGTTGTGAATAGAAAGTGCTCGGCATGTTTTTGCGTCAAATGGCGGATTTTGAGTATCGAAAGCGATGGGGCCACTACCAAGAAGGACCCAATGCGACAATTATGGAGAGCGCCCGGTGGCAACATATCTCTTGAGAGGTCGTTCAGGTTTGCCGTTTGACCGGTAAAGCAAATAACGGTTTCTGCTGACCCTCGATTGTATGTTTTAGAAACGGGCTGGGGCTTTAACCAGTTGGCGCGGCATAGCTGCTGCCAGCCGTGAAAGAAGACCTATATACAAGGCGTATAATGTCCCCCCGGTGACTGCGGGATGATAGCCAAGTGGCGATAAAAACCACATGCGGCGATTCGGGTGTGTAATTGGCTAGTGATTCGAATTGAGAGGGGATATGCGTTGGATATAGAGGGCTGCCTTTTCACGTTTTATAGAGAAAAGGGCATGCTGTTTTTTAGTCACAAATTTCGTAATGCTTCACTTGCCAACCTCCTTTAAAATCTTTGATAATAATAAAAGACCCACGCGGCAGGGATGAAGAAGAAAATGTAGGTGAGCATGTAAACCATAGACGTCCAGTTGACGGCTGCATACGAAACGCCGTAGAAGTCGACGATAGTCGGCGAGATGATGGCGTAGATGATCCATTGCGCTCCATTTGAAGCCGACTGTAAAAGGCACGAATTTCCATTTTAATGGGGTTACCAGGATACAAAACATTGCGAGGATGGCCCATCTTTTTGCGAACACCCTGGCCTCATTATGCCTTTGCCCGGGTGCCTCCAAGAGATTCTGCGGGACGATGGATGTGCCATTGTGTTTGCCGTTGACCTAAAGATATCTTTGGTGAGGCCGCAATGTTATATCCTAAAACGGGATACTAACGCTTGAATTCGACGAGCTAGTCGTTTCAATGGATGATATAGACATTCGGTTGTAGTATGAAATTTTCCATCACCTTTAGCCTTAGCCAATTATGCAAATTTTGCACTCGACTTTTGGGACCGTACCTGATACTCGGGCGGCGCATTTCTGGCACTTCCTGCTCCCGGCATACTAGAATTTATTATAAGTAGTAGGTAGTGACTGTTTGTGGAATAGTTCTGCTGCTTTCCTCAGAATTTGGGCCTCTTTGCGCTTGAGAGGCGGAGCCCCGCCCCTCCTTGGCCAGGGTGAACGTTTTCGAGGGCGTCAACCTGAAATCGTGAAAGAGTCAATAATAGATTCAGCAGAATTTTGCCCATTTTTAAAGGTATTAAAAATTATTGAAGTCCGGGAGGTAAATAGTGGGTTCTTTCCCATTATCGGGGGGGGGGGACTTTTTTTTCCTTAGGATCAAATTTGTCAAATATAAATGGTGGAAGTGTTTCTAAACTATTTTTGCCATTCCGAAACGTGAAAGCTTTACAAAGTTTTGCTAGGATTTTTCGACCAAGCATGTCCGATTTTTGACGCGGGGAACCTTTTGCAACTTTTTAGATCGTTTTTCTACTAGCTTAATTATAGTTATATTTTCCTAAAAACTCTAGCTTTCTACCAAAAAAGTTCCGTTTCACCCCCCCCCCCCCGATAATGCGAAAGAACCGAGTAGAGATAAATCGGATGAGATGTTTTTTTTCTGTTGTGAAATTTCACATCTAGACTGCTGACACCGTGCCAAAACATAGCACGCAACTAACAGAGAACCAAATTGATTTTTGGGCCCGGCGAGCCTGGTTCATAAAAAATGAGCTGGCAATAAAGGGTCCGGGGCCTTTAGGGGGCGCGGCATGCCGCGAATGAGAATGGTAGCTCTTTTTTTTGGCGCCGCCGAATATTGGGTGTTCCTATCCGGGGCCCACCCGATATGAGTGTTCCGTGGAGGGTGGTGGGAGTTCCCTATTTTTGGGAGAAACCCCGGGTTCCTCGTAGTTAGAGGCGCTGGGACCGGCCGTGGTGCTGACATGATCCCGGCTGACAGGTAGACAGGGGCACCATCCACCCTCAAATACATGCCAAAACGCCCAAAAGTGAGAGGCCACCGTCGAAATGGACAAAATACCGGGTGCTGCTAACTGGGGGACCCGAATGGAGGGCGAGGGGTTAGATCTGGGGGACAACCCGTTGAGTGCTTTGACTTCATCACTTTGATCAACAAATAATAGTTGTGGGACTTGACTTTTCGGGGGAAATAGAACGAAAAATTGGCCCCAGCGATAGATCGTTACATCGAGATAAGCGGAAGAGGGATATTCCTTCGCAAAATCGGGGGCTGGTGTACTACTGTTTTAGCATTTTTCAAATATAAATGGGGGAATTATCGTGATGTTGTTTTTTACTATTCCGGAAGCTAAAAACTATAAAATCGCACCATGAAGTACATAAATTATATATTTTTATATATTATATAAAATATTATATATTATATATATTATATTATTATATATATATATATATTATATATATATTATATATTATATATTATATATTATATATTATTATATATTAGATTATATATATTATATAAAATGGCGGGTTAAAAAAATTTAGATCTAAGTTTTCTATTTTTTTCTGGCTTGAAAATAGCTCATTTTTTTAAAAAACATGAGGGAATTCCCAGCTCCGATTTTGCCAATCCGTCCGGGAGGGGCGGCATAATGAAAAAATACACGGCTAAGAATTCTGATTAGCGTTCACTTACATCGAAACATGGGCGCATTCTTGTGTCAGTTCGAGGTGCGAACGGGGGGAGATTTCCGGCAGATCGTGCCGGAGATAGTAGTCGTTTTGGGACAGCGCCAGGCACGGGATTACAGGCAACTTGAGGCAAGAGGGGTTTTTTCCCAGGAAATCGCGTTTTTAGAGAGCCGGGGGATAATTTCGTTCTTATTTCTTGAACTATTTTTTTTCTAGGAGCTTGCTGGGCTTGGAGTTCGACTCGATCATACGGGGTACGAAAAGCCTAAAAATTAAATGCCGACAGCCGAAAATTGCTTGGGCCAATAAATGGGGAAAATGAACGGCCAAGGACCTGCCACTTGCTGCATGGAACTGTTTTTGAATCGATAAATTAATGAATTGGCTAGGTCAGGGGCAATTTGTCGACGGGGCCCCCTGGGTAGCTTGATCTCCTTTCCCTTCCGCCCCATCCTCATCAATCGTGATCCGGGGCCGCTATCAAGCATTCTCCCATCACACGCCCCATTGGCCCCGGCGGGCCTCTTGCCAGCACTTTTTTGCACCGAGGATTTGAAGTAGAGCAAAGAGGTCAAAAAGGAGCGGTACTGGACTGTTAGCGGGGGTGGAAACGTCTATAAAAAGCCCACGCCCGTCTAGAAAATGTTTTTATCTTTTTATTGAATATTTTTAGTAGTTTTTCATTAGTAAAAAGTCATCAAAGCATAATTATAAAATTTAGAATTCGAAATTTATGACCAAAATTAAATAACCTCCAAATTTATTAATTTTTTAGGAACTTTCTTTATTCAAAAACGGCACAAAAACAGATTAATGATATGTATTTCATAATTGGGAGTCCAAATAAGGGCGATAGGCCAAAGTTAGATGCACCTCCGCTAATAGCCCAGTACCAATAAAATCTTAGAAATAGGAGTAAGTGCAATTGAAAATTTTCTAAGACTCGATCTTCCAGAGATTGTCAACGCGCAAAAAGGGCCGGCTTTTCCGGGGTATAATGGCCGACGGCAAGATGCAAGCAAATCCATTTTACAGCAAAATGGAGCGCCCCATTGAAGTGATGATAGATGTGCGAAACGGGGCGGAAACGGGACCGGTGGGCGCGAATGTTTTGTAATCAATCGTCGGCCCGATCTCTCTAATGACACCCGTAACAACACATGTGGCAGCACCCCCGACGATCGGCTGGCTGGCATCATGCCCATGCAAACGAAATCAAAACACTTGGCTTAAATACGGGAGAAACGTGGCGGCAGGTTACACCCCCAGCTTGAAGCATCGAAAATTTCGAGATTGTTTTGCTATTTTTCGGCGTTTTTCGACGCTCTTCGATAGAGCAACAAAAATATTGTAAGAGTTTCATTTGTAGCTCAAAATAATATGATATAAAATGGTTAGGTTCTTTCGCATTATCGGGGGGAGGGACCAAAAATTTTTCCTTAGAGGCCAATTTTTTTAAATCTAAGTAGCGGAAGTGTTTCTAAACTTTTTTTTGCTATTCTTAGATCTAAAAACTTTACCAATTGTTGTAAAATAATAAAAAGTATCGATTTTTCAAGCAAAAATGGTCGTTTTTGATCAAATTCTCGACTTTTTGAAAAACTTTAACCTTTTTAGGTAGTTTTTCTGGTTGACATATAATTTGTTTCTTCTAAAAAATTTATTAGAATATTTCCTATTCAGTTAATAGGCATTTCTAGACATGCAAAAAAAATGGCCTCAAAAAATTTGGAGGAAAAACCCTTGCCAATAGCGGGACGATGCGCTGTTCCAAGCCCTTTAAAAGTAGATGAAATAATAGGGATGCTCTATGATCATTTGTCGGCCCATCAGCGTGACCTATAAATGAATGGGAGGCATTTTGATGTGTGTATGTATGCTTGGATATTCAATGCCGCCTTCAGGGCCCTTTACTCATGTTTCGTTTGGCGACGCCGGGGTGGGGAGGTCTGTTTATTCTGGTGCCTTTTAAAATATTCCAGGCTCGGCGCGTGGTATGAAGTAGCCGTTTTTTTGTTATGATAGTCCCACGCTATCGTTACGGCCGATGCTTTACTCGCCTGGGAAGGGCGGTACTGGACTGTTAGCGGGGGGAGTTTTAGCGAAGGTGAAAAAGCTATCTAGCCTATATCACCTAGCCAAAAATTAACGTTTAATCTAGAATTTTTATTATGTTTCTTGATTTTTTGGATAAGTCAGCCCTTTTAGAAAAATTAATAACAAAACTTTCTGACAAAAAGCAAAAAGCAAAAATTCAAAATTTTTTTCTAGTATTAGGACTTTTTTAAACTAAAAAATGGCGTAAAGGCCACAGAAATTATGTCTTTTTCATTATTAGACCCTGCGGGCTGAGAGGCTAAAATTTTGTTTCTACCCTCACTAAAATCGTTCCCCCCGCTAACGGTCCAGTACCGGAAGGGCTATTTTTATAAGGTTCTACCATGCATTTTGAAGGACGATTTCCAAACGTCCGCCAAAACGTTGCGTAACCTGCAACTTTGCTTTTCTCAATGGGGGGAGGGGGGCAGTTCAGGGCCCAAAAGCACCCATAATTAGGCTTCCGCCAACCGGATGCCAATGCACAATCCAGACTTTGTGCCCGCCGGGGACAATGCGCCCTTACGCTCACTATTTCAGACTGACTGCCATTTTGGGGGCCCTAGCCTTCCGTGGAGAGTTTCCAAAAGGTGTTTCCGCGTTGACTGGAGACATTGAGGGAGGGGAGTCCGCTAAAATACAGCCCGCGTTCGAACCCAGTGGCCCCTCGACGATTGGTGACCGAGGGAAAGAACCGGGGGGACGGGAATACCGAAAATAATTTCTTCCGAAAGTCTTTCCCTTTTTCGTCACTGAACGCGGAATCGAAAGACCAAAAAATATCATTTCCAGGCTCGGATGTCTAATCACGATCTAAAGCAAGAATCTGATGCCGGCCCCTTCAGGCAGAAGAAACGAAAATGGAACGACCAAATCAAGGAGGGACGAATCGCACTCGAGATCTGAAACTTTGTTTAGGAGATTGACTGCAAGAGGCCGCGACTTCTGGGTGAAGCCGGAGAAATCGTCGATCAAAGAAATCCGCACTCGCTGCTCCTAGAAATAACACAAGCGCTACAAAGCGGCGATAGACCAAGGTAGTAAAAACAGCTTTAACATACCCTGGTTACAGTGCGACTCGTCTCTTCCGCGAATTCTCGAGAGATTACGCATCAGGGCTGCCGGGTAGAATGGATAAATTTCTACATATTATGTCTGCAATGTTGAAGGTGAGCTTCGGAGTATTAGAGTAAGTATTTTGCGCTTTAGACAGCACGCATATCGGCCTATGACGATCTTTCCAAGCTGATTCTCAGCTCCCTGTTCGATGTAATGCGCAAATGCTCGCGGACGGCGTGGGAATTGATGCTGAAGGCCCTACAAGCGGAAGCAGAGTGAGATTTTTCGCAAATCTGCTATTTTTTTCAGGCTTTTCGTGCGACCCCCGTTGGATGGCTTGCTTTTGGACATTTACGAATATGCGTTGAGTCGAGGATATGCCACGTGAGCGCGATTTAATTATTAACGATCGGATTCCTTAGGGTTCCACAATTAACGAGCGAAATCCTCAAAACTAGCACCCGATCCCTCCACTCACTGGATGACTCGCAGCGCAGAATGTCGGCGCTCCGCTTCACCTTGGCGCGTATCTTGCAGCGAGGTTTGGCTCTGTGTTTTATAATTATAGATTTTTTAGGGAAAGTCGGGCGGCAGGAGCATCGGCGCTTCGAATTTGTCTGCTACGACATGCTGTCAGATCGGTCCGTCAGCTTTTACACGCTTTTCAAGTTGGCTTAGGGATTCTCGCGTACGGCTGACTGCGCTCAACGCGCTGAAGAAGATGATTGAAACGGATAGGTCACTGCGCGACTCGGATTACGCTAATGTTAAAAAAGGTCGGTGCAAAAAAACCTAAATTAAAAAAACCCAATTTAGATGATGTTGGACAGCGATCGGCAGGTCAGGATTGAGACGCTACGTTTGTTGCAACTGTTTGCAAAGAAATTTCCTGAAACGTAATTTTTGATTTACGGTGTCGTACTCAGCCTTTTAGAAAAGTGCATGATCGTCAGGATAGGCGTCGACTGATGATTCTTCTGTCTGACGATGCTTTTTCGGCAGTTTGCCAAGGAGTGAATGACATGGATGTAAGCAAACAAAATACGGAATTTTATATTATTGGGGCGTCCGTTTTGTTACGGTTTACACGAAATTCCGGCACGATAATATCCTAGGGCATCGAAAGTGTGTATAGACCTTCTTAACTTGACCTTTAGAAACTCGTCCGCGCCGAGGCTGCCCACTTGCTCGGCGAGTTTGTGAAGGTTGGTGAGTCGTACTTGGACCAGACCCTCGACAAGAAGCTGATGTCGTCAAAAACGGTTTGTTCTGTTAGATCTCTGAATTTTCTTCTCTAGACAGACCGTGGCGAGTCCGTCTTCCGAGTCAAGGAAAGCAAGTTTGCGCTGACGAAGGGTGGCGACAGAAGACACGGTGGCCGCTGGCAACTTCATGGCGGTCGGGAGAAGGTCTTTTGCTAATTTTTAGCAAATAGAATTTTTTCAGGCGAAACGCGGCCAAAGCGAATGGGGCACCGGAAAGCGGCTGAACGAGGTGGCGCCCGGGGAGACGGTGCAGCGGGATACGGTATTTTTTTAATGGCCGAATTGTAAAAAATTTAACATTTAGAAACACGAGGAGAACGAGAGCATCATGTCCCAGGGGGCCGCCGGTGCGTTCGTGACGGCGCTCGAGGATGAGTTTATGGGTTTGTGATTGCATTTTGCTGTCGATATTTTGTTTTAGCGGTTCGTCAGGCGGCCGTGTACTCGCTGGGCAAGTTGGCGGCAAATCGGCCAAACTTTGCGCTGACGGCCCTCGACCACTTGGCGGACATGTTCAACGATGAAATTGCACAGGTATCGTTTTGGACCGGTTGGAATTGAGGGGGGTTTTGAAAAACTGAGCTTTACGATTGGCATCAGCTTTTGTATCTCGGCTCTCCTTTCAGCTACAGTACTAGAAATCAACCAACAAAATTTACCCCGTTTTCGGCAGGGTAAGAATGCAATGCATTTGCGTCCAACAATGAAGGAGGTAAGGCGTAAAAGTATTGGAAGCATAGAAGCATGCATAAAAATGAACGGTTGGACGATTTATTCGCTCGCTTCCGGGCAAAACAACCCGGATCGGAAAAGTCGGACAGCTGTGGCGGTGTGAATAAATGGCAATTTTTCTGCAAATGGAAGCACAATCGGCGTCGAGTATCGGCGAATTAAGTGGGCGGCGAGTCGGTGGCCTGGAATTCATGGGTCCGCGTATTTTCAGAGGCAAGTATGTATTGGACTGTTATCAGGGGGAGGGGGAGCATGTACCTACTGAGAGAAGCGACTTATGTAGCGTTTTCTAGCGTATTTATAGTTTGTAGTTGAGGGAGAATTTATAGGTGAGTAACGTTAAGCTTTTTCTTGAAGGCTAAAATTTTTTAAATTCTCAAAAATTTGGAATTTTTATGAAAAGATTAAATGATAAAATAAAAAGTATAGAAAAGTACAAATTGTGAAAGTTTAGTGCTTTTTATAAACGTTTTGCTCTGAAAAATTGCGTTGAAATGGCAAATCTCCCCCCACCTCCGATAACAGTGCAGACCGAAAAATCGTCGCAATACCTTTAACAACGGTAGCACGACGGGGACGGGGACGGTGGGCCGCTCCTCGTGTCGAACTCCATGGGGAACACTTCGCCGCTCAGCCCGTGGTCAGAATCGAAGCGGTTGCCGCAAGTGAACGTTCTGCAAAGAGTCTATGCGGAAGTCGCCAAATGCCGACAGACTTGTAGAAATGGACGAGACGGTGGATGGTGAAGAAACGGTTAGAGTTTGGGGCACATCCGATGGAGTACGTCGGCCGCCCGGTCACCTCCTCCGACTCGACGATTGGGAAATGGCTTCAACAAGGCTATTTTCCAGCGCCCGTGCTAGTGCTAGGAGGAAAAACTGCGCGGGTGTTTTTGCTAATAAAAGTTTATAAACCATTTCTAAAAGATTTTAAAAATTACAAATTTTTGTTCTTTTTTTGGCCATTTTCCATACATTTTTAATCAAAACGTCAAGAATTTTATCATTTTGATGAACTTTTTTTTATCAGTAAACAGAATTGCTATAAAAGCCGTTTATATTTCGCAATCGAGATTACTGGGAAAATTTTGGGTTTTCCCTGCTAAAAGCCCCCCCCCCCCGCTAGCAGTCCATTACCTACGATTGCGCATAGATTTTTGTAATTTTTAACGCAAAAAAAAGCGTTCCAGAAACATGATCGAAGCAGTCATTTTTCAAAAATCTTGATGAAAAGGAATTTTGGTGGATAAACGGGAATCCAGGATAATTTACGTGTTTTTAATCCTCTGTAACCGTTCGAAAGCTACGTTTTCCTCCCCTGTGAAAGTGAACAGCACGCAAATAGTCCCAAACCCACATGGCCGTCCCGGACATGCGACGATAGGCGATGTGCAACGGCAGCGACCCGTCAATGTTCTCCGGCGAGTACAGGCCGGTCATCGTGTAGTTCCGGTTGCTCTGGGGTTAGCGGTACCTCCGGCCAATCCGGTCCTACCTCCTCAATGGCCTGCTGCGACTCGCTGGTGGTCTTGGTGAGCAGATGGTAGAGGACGAACGAGGTGGGCCGGGCGATGTACGTCTCCGCCGTCACCGGGTCCATAATGCCCACATAGGCACCCTGGGACAGCTTCTTGGTCGTCGGCTCGGGCGGTTGATCCTGAATTTGCCAATGGATTCTCGTTGTAGAATTTGACTTTCGGAAATTTTGATTTTGATGCTTCATTAGGCTTATTTAAATTTAAATAAGTTTTTAATCATTTCCAGCTTCGCAGATTCAAACGAACTTTCGCTGAAATTCACATCGACGTGATGAAATACCGCTAAATTCGCGATTATCCCCCACCATTTGGTACTTGGTGTATGTGGCCGGCGGGGCAGGGCGAGAGGCGGCGGGTGACACGGCCGACCGGGAGCGGCAGCTGCTGCTCCGGCTGCCCGGGGTGTCCGCTTTCGATTTGCGCCCCCGGCAGCAGAGCTTCCCGTGCACGCAGCAGGCGAAGCGCCCGATCTCGACGTGGGGCTCCTCGTGGGGAGGCATCACGGCTGTGTCGCGGGGCTTCGGATTCGTTGCTGTAAAAAGATTACAATTTAAAGTTTAAAAAGTACACATTCGAATTTTCACAAAGGGCTTACTTTGACCGGAAGGACTGGCCATCCAGCGCGGCGCCGAACGAGTAGTAATGATTTAGGGTTTTTCTAGGGGATAGATCGGGCTTTATGCTAATTTTTAGTTTACCAGTTTAATTTGTGGATATTCAAATCTAAATTCTTTCATTTTAGGTTCGCCTCGACTCAATTCACGCGCTCACCCCGCTCGTCGTCCACGGCCAACTGAAAAAGGAGCAGCTGGACACTATCCTCAAATGTCTTGATGTAAGTTTGGCAATCCCTTCCTAATGTATTTTCTCTAGGACGCGATGCCCGAAACGCGACAAGCCCTCCGGGTTTTGCTGGTCAAGGGCGATTTTGCAGATGTAAGCCTATTTTTTTAATCTAAAACCTTTTTTAGGTGGAATGCATTCGGGCCTGCATTCGAGCGCTGTTGTTATGTATGAAGCGCTACCCGCAGGACCGGCAGCAAGTGTACAAGTAAGTAATCTTTTCATTTTTGTTTTTATATTTGTTATCTTAATTTTTTTAATTCGGAAAAATTCCAGATGTCTCTCGGATCTTGGGCTACGGCACGCTGTCATGGTGCAAGCCGTCGTCGTCGAGCTGCTCAACCTGCATCCGGTTTTGAGCCCGTCGAGCATCACATCAACGATGTGGAATGTGCGTGTTTTGGAAAATTTCGATCGCGTTTTCCACCTTTTAATCTTTTATTCAAATTGCTAATAGGAAAGGAAGATAGGATAAATCAAATAAAGTGTTAAAAAGTGCAAAAAAAAGTAGAAAAGAAAACCCCACGTAGAAGAAAATACGGGGGAAAATCCCCCTTTTCAGATCTAGCAAAGGCGTTCCTCCTTCTTTCCGCCGCCTCTGCCCATCAACCGGTACTCTCTCTGCTGCCCTCCTACATGATCCGCCACTACAAATACCTACGGGAAAGCGTTCCCCATCTGGTCCCTGTCATTCCGGTATAGAAAATATTATTGCAATTGAATCGATTTATTTTTCTAGAGCGTCACCGGAGCCGAGCACGCCGAAATCCAGAAGCGCATCGAGAGCATCCGGAATGAGTGGCAGGGCGAGCGGACACCAATCCTTGAGGTTCCAAAAAACAGATTCTTCTCAATTTATATTTAGCAAACGTTCGAGCGACTTGTCGGCGTCGAGTCCGAGACGGATCTGATCACACGAAACATGCTGCGACGTTGCATTGCTGAGGACGTGTCAGCAATCTCGGAATTCAACGCCTCGCTCGCAGGGGGTGCGCGTCTGATCGCTTCGCTGACAAACGTAAGCGAAAATTTATTTTCATGATGTCTTTCCTAGATTTGTATTTCTACGGAAGCATCGATGCAGCAAATGCTTTTTGGCGCTGATGCTTCGGCTACGGAACGATTGATTGAAAAGGTAAGTAAAACAGTTTTTGAACAAGTTTATCCGTTTTTAGGAGCTCTCTGATGTTCTCGCCGCTCGCTCGCAGTTTGATGGCGTCCCGGCCAACATCTTCTCCTTTTTGTTAGAATGCGCCCTCCACCTGATGATCATTCGGGTAGGAAGCACGAGTTTTATTTATAACTATTTTTTCCAGCTGATAATGAGGGTGGTGACACAGCCGGAGAACGCGTTACACTACCTAGGACAACTACGCGAGATTTTGGGACAAGTGGCAAGGTATCGAATCATTCAGTTGTCTAAGCGCCACTTTTCAGCCGCTATAAGAAGGCCAAGCTCGAGATGAGCGCATCGGCAAAGGCGCTGCTCACCGAGGCGGGAGAAATTTGCGGTACAGCTTTCATTTGTGCTAAAATTTAGCGGACCAAAACGTATTTTATGCTATTGCTCGGTCACGCGCTCATAAGTAAATCTAAGCCTTTTGGAGAGATCCTGAAGGTTTTTATGCTTAAACCAGGGCCTAAAATTTGCTCCTCCGAAACGCTATTTACTTTATCACAAAAGTATTAGTTTTCAGGTGGTCCCGAAAAAGAACAGCTCTCATCGCTCGGTCGTCTTTCTCAAATCCTGGCCCGTCATCCGCCACGCCTACCCCCGCAACTGCCAGACGCCAAAAATATCAAAGTCAAATGGGCCAATGTGCGTTTTAAAATGTTCTAGATTTTTGTAATGTTCTTATTTTTAAAACTGAGCTGACGCTTCAGATCATCGAGCCAAGAGCCGAACGCGAGGCAGACCTGGCCCTCCGATTTGTGGCTGGCTTGCCGAGCGCCATCCCGTTCAACGTCGAGCTGCACAACTTGGACCAGAAGGACATTGAGCGGCTGAGGATTCAGGTATTTTTCGTTGAATTTTGCATATTTTTTGTTTCAGATTACCTACCCCGATCTAACGGAGACGTTGTTCCGGCCCCGTCTCTCTCATTTGAGTACAGGTATTGTGGATTTTGCAAAATAATAAGAAGGATTACTGATACGATTTAGGATTTTAAAATGAAACGTTTAATTTAGTGTCACCCGGGATGTACAAGCTCGAAACACAAGTTCTCGTCTCGACGTTGTTGGGGTGGGCGGATCCGGCTGATGTGAGTTTTGGATTTGACGGGACTTGTCGCTTATCGGGGCGGGGGGTATTTTAGCGGAGCTGTAGCAACTTCACTGTTTTTATTTACCTGGTGATAAAATCTGGCGAGCGTAGTTTGTAGTTAGCTCCGATAACTACGAATTATTGAAACCTTGATGGAAAATTTATAAAACTTGAATTTTTGCTCATTTTGACAATTTTCTATAAATACCATCAAACACTTTTAAAGGGTTGTCGATCCCCTCATCAACAAATTGGCAAGTCGCCAACAGGGCAGAGAGCGCGCCCAGGGGAGAGGCGCAGAGACATTTTCTTTCCAGGGCGTAACCGATTGGCTATGCGGTCGCCATCCCTTTAAGCGTGGTTTTCTAACTAAAAATTGTGTAGCATTCTATAAGACAGTAAGCTTTTGATTAGTGAATCGATGGGATTTAGTTGGAAAATTTAGCTACTTGCTGGCTAAAATACTCCGCTCGGTGTTAAAGGGGCTACAATACCTGTTTTATTTCATACACATAAGCTAGTGCCTACATCTTGTTAACTCAGGCTATGTTTAGGTACGCTTAACCGTGGCGCTGGCCCCGCCTCGCCTCGATCAATCGTCAATCTTCCCGCAGAATTGTATCCCGCTGTTCGCGCACCCTGGACGCGCAGATGAGGCGTCGGTGCTTGTGAAGATACACCCGATGCGCGGCCGTTGCTAAGCCCCGCGGCTAAATTTGGCCCCATCTGCCCCCATCGTTATCAATTGGTCGTTTCGCACTGTGTTTATCCATATGTCGGGTCTCCATTTTGGAATATTTTTCGTTTCACGTTGAAATTTTTCTGTTAATAAATCTACCTTATATTATTAATACCACTTGGATGTTATGTGTTTGATGCGCAGCAAGTTTTGAACTTATTGTCTTTGTTCGATTAGGGCTAAACGGTAATTGATATGAACTAAAGCGCTAAACCCCCGATTTTTATGACGATGAAGCTTTTTTGTACTCTCCGGCAACAAAAAACTCATTTTCAGAAATTTGTTCTGCTTTTTATTGTAAACCTAACCAGGGACTTCTCGTGAGGTCAAATGGGGTAGACTAGCAACCCACTAATTTTTTAACCATATTTTTGCAAAAGACTAGCTTCACTTTTTAATTGTTTTCGGAGACCGCGATCTCTGCGATGTCAGATTGCTTACTACCCCCTAACCCGCGCACCTACCCTCCAAACACCGTAGGCAACCCCATCGAGAGCGCGGATACGCGTTGAAAATGCGGCGTTCGGAGAGCTTGAGTATCGCCACCCTGGTGCTTACCGGTTTTCGGAATCAAGTCACCCCAGCTTTTTCAGGTTAGACAAGCACATTATGCCCAAAACAAGTTTCAAAAAAATTACCTGAATGGCCAATTATATTTCCCCGTTGCTTCAATTTTCTCGTACTCATCCCCAACACAAAAATTACGTTTCGTTTTCAGCGCCCAGCCAGCTTTGCCCCGACAGTCACAAAATCATGGCCTCCAAGGACTACGATAAAATGACGGTACGCTTCTGTCCTTTTTCTAAATATTTGGCAAGGAGAAATCGGGGCTAAAAATTAGCTATTAAAAACATTTCCAGGTCGCCCTCCTCCGCGAAGAGCTGAAGGCTCGGGATTTGGCAGTAGAAGGCAAGAAAGCAGAATTGATTGAACGGCTGAAGGTTCGGAATTTCTTTATTTCTTGCAGCCGTCTTGTTTTTTAGGAAGCCGACCAAGCGGCAGAAGACGAGATCCTGAACGCCCCGTTGGATGGTGTTTTGGCTGGTAATTGAGTGTTCAATTCGCAGTTCAAATTTAGCAGGTGATATCAACGAGGACTTGTTGCTGGCGTCGGTTGATGCTACTATTGATGGAAAGGTCTGGCTTATTGAAGTTTTTAATCTGTTTTTAGGACGCATCCGAATTGCTCGGCGATGACAAGAAATCTGCTGACGACAAAGAGGCCAATGCAGCTCCAGTGGTTTGTTTTAATTGTTCGCTTCTACGATATTGAATAAAGAGGCCAGGAAGAGGACGTTTAACAATATCTTTGTCTAGAAATCCACGAAGAGCGATGAAGAGCGCAAATTAGCTCGATTGGGTCGGTTCGGATTGCCAATCTCGGGCTCGGCTGCCGCCACGTCGACGCCTGCTGCCACGAATACTATCACCAGCACTGATGCCAAGGCCGCTCGTGCCAAGCGGTATTTTTATTTTTATTTTATTAGCTAGGTTAGCTAAGTTTAATGATGCAATTATTTTGTTTCTGTGCTAGCAGGTGGGAGCAAGGCTTATTTTGCGGTTCATAGAAAATAGGGCTTGAAAATCTATGAAAATGGTTTCAATTTGATTATTTGACCCCGAAATTTCACCCACTGCACCGATCGCCCGGAAATTATAAATCTCTTTAATTTTTTTTTTGCAGATTTGGCCTGGAGAATGCAGTGGCTTCTGGTGACGCTAAAGCCCGTCGTGCCGAGAGGTATTTAAATTGTAACTAGATTATTCTTTGTTCTGAAGGTTCGGCATCACCGCGACTGACAAGCTCGATGCTCCGCTGTCGAAAGCCGCCAGCGCCATGGATGACTCTACCAAGGAGAAGCTCATGAAGCGTGCACAAAGGTATGAGGATTAGATGATTGCTTTGGAAATGCGCTAATTTTAGATTTGGTCTGCCCGTCAACAGCGAAGGAAAAGTAACTGGTGCACCATTGGCGGTAAATTTTTTGGAACTTTTATGGTGTTAGTGATGGAGAGAGGTCATTTTGTAACGGAAAGCCGCTCCAAACTACCTTTTTAAAACTAGCTAAAGAAAAGGCAATAAAATCCTGAGCTTAGCTTAGGTTTTTTGTTTTTTAAACTTAAAAAATCTTTGAAAAGTCGAAAGTAGCTCGAATAAGTCAACCCCCCCCCCAATTCAGCACTAGCAAAACGTTATGTATTTTTCGATCCTTCCAATTACATTTCTAATTTTTCATTTTCAGGAACTGGACGCGAAGAAGAAGGCACGCGCGGAGCGCTTCGGCCTCTAAAATAACTCCTCAACATTCCGTGATCGCCATCAAGTTTGATCATCAATAATCTCATGTTCCCCTCCATTCTACCCCGTCTCACCCATTGTTTTTATACTTGTTATCGGCCCTTCGGCCACTGTCTGTTCCCCCCATATTCACTCGCTTATAGAACGGTACTTTCACGAACATGTTGAAAAATAGCGGATGTCATTTGGATTTGTCTCGTTGAATGAACATATTTATTGAAAAGGAGTTGAGCTACTGCAAAGAATTGAAGACGACCTTTTAGGAGAAGGAACGGACATTTTGAAATTGGACTGTTTGGGCTGACCTATTATTTTTTACATAATTTTCAGCAACAAGCAAAAGTCTTAGTATATTGTTCGACGATCTATTGCTCTAAGTTACATTGCAAAAGGCAAAAAATCAGGAAAATGGGCCAATTTGGGCAACTTTTGCACTTAAAAGTTTGATAACCGTTAATCTAGTCGTTTCGCAGATTTTCAAACCGGCACCGGATGCAGCGCAAAATTCTCCACAATGTGGAAACCCGATTGTCACTAAAAATTTTATTCTCCTTTTAGTATATTTTTGGATGCGCTATCGAATCGCGTGTTCTTTTGATTTTTTGGAGGTTTCGAACTACGAGCCTATTCTCCATACCGCCTTGTCTTTGAGGCGTCAAAGAAAAAAAATTGATCAGTTAAGTTTATAAGAGCCTAGTATAATCGTTATTTTTCGACATTTTTTTTTGAAAATTTGCCTACAAACTTTTCAGCTTCTTGAACTTCTTGAACATGATGCTCTACCAATTCTGAACCTCCGCGCGCTTGGACACGCCTTGATTCTCCCCAAAACCCCCAATTTTTAGTGTTCCATATGTCTTCTTGGTGTTCCTGCGGGCCGCGTCCAATGATGGTGCTTGGCCCCGCCCCTTGGCGGAGAATATTGTTTCCCGTCAGCCACGCCCCTCCATCATCGCACCGTAAACGGACACCCGGCTGGCAAATTGGCCGCTCGACAACTCGAGTAGTGCATAGATTGCCATAACCAGCAGATGGCGCTCAACTTTTCGATTGACCGACTCGTCGAGCCGAAGAAGGCTGATGATAGTCCCGTGCAGGTGGGCGTTTTTTTGGTTTTTTTGGTAATTTATTGATACTTTACGGTTTGTTTTTAAAGGGATCAACAAGGAAAAATTACTGATTTGGGGGTCTAGGCATCCTGGTACTGGACCGTTAGCGGGGGCTTTATAGGCCTTGAAAACCCTTATTTTTACCTTTGTTCTTGCCTATTATAACCTGGTAATATTTTATACTGTATTTTTATAGCGTTTTTAGTAGTTTTTGTAGTCGGCGGCATTGCAAAAAATATTACAAATGCCCTCGCATAATAAATATTTTGAATGTTGAAATAAAAACCTCGCAAATCCGATTTTTTGTGTGTGTAGAAGCATTTCTCTTGAGCTGCGGCCGCGTTGGGTGTCGCGGCCGCGTCAAAATCCTCCTCGTCATATTAAAATATGCAACTTTAGACGCAAACCGACTGCTCGTCGCCGAGCCCGCCAACCGCCGGCCCGTCGATGCACACGCTGTCCTATTTTGACGTCTTCCTGCCGCACGTACAGGTGGGGATCATTTTGCAGTGTTTCGGAATTCTCGGGATCGATTTTTGTAGTTTCAGGGTTGTGATTGGGAATTAAACAGTTTCATCGGAAATCTATAGCCGCAAAAATCCAGAATTTTGGCTTGTCCGCCCCTTTAAAGTGCGCTTTTCAGCTTTTTCTATGGTTACGATATTTGCCATTGCCGGAAAAGCAAGGATTTTTTATTTTGGAACACTGGGATATTTTTCTCACTATCTCTCCTCTCTCGCTATCTCTCTCTCTCTCGGTTACGGTAATAGCATTCATCTCCTTTCGGGACCTTGACAGTGCCAAATGTCCCCCCCCTCCCACCATGCGCGGGCTATTTCGCGCCCTGCCCCGTCGACGCGGACCCCCCACAAAAAAGTGATTGCATTTGTGACACTATTTGTGTGTCTCGATCTATCAACCTCGGGAGCAAAAAGGAAAGAAAAAGGAGATCGAGAAGAGAAGTGGGGGAGCACGAGGAACAATTGCCCTCTTCCCTGATTGAATATGTATTCTCTACTGAAAGACAAAAAGGGGATGACTGAAAAGACGCAGATGACGCTCTAAAAAGAACGCTAAAATTTTTCTTGAATTAGTTGATTTAAAGGGATCGGAAAGTTAAAAATATCTGTCTATAAAGTCGACAGGATCTAGACAACTACATGGTACACCAAATGACACTTCTAAGCTTTTCTAATAACCCGAAATGTTACGTCTTTTTGGCAAAAAAATGCAAATAAAAATGTCTCGCGTGCTTTGGAGCCCCGCGTAGCTGTCTAAACCTAGTCGACGCGGGGGTCGATTTAGCCTTTCTAGTAGTTTCTACCCCTTTATAAGGAATTTTACTTTCACAAGGGAACTCAATAATTATGGGGGAACTTTTGGGTATTGCTAGCTGTCGCCATCCCTTCAAAATCCCCAAGGGTCCCTGCTAACCCCCGCTTTTTCAGATGGCATCCGCGAACCCATTCCTCGGCGGGGTGTCCGAGAATTCGCAAGCTCGCATGTGGTCTCAGCAATGGATGGAGCTGTTGCAGCAGAGTTCAGCGGCCGCCCATTTTGGTTGGTTTTTCCTCAAGGATCTCTGCTAGCCAGTCCACCAATTCTCAAAGAATCTCGGCTAGCCTGCCCTGCTATTCTTCAAAGAATCTTTGCTACCCTGCCCTCCGGATTCCTCAAAGAATCTCTGCTAGCCTGCTCTCTGATTTCTCAAAGAATCGCTGCTAGCCGCCCCCCCCATCCCGAAGAATCCCTGCTAGCCTGCCCAAAATGTTATCCTTGGATTCCCTAAAAATATCTGATAACTAGCCCTCATTACCAAAATATCTCTGCTAGCCTGCCCTCCCCCGATCCTAAAGAATCCCTGCCAGCCACCCCCCATCAAATTCCTCAAGAATCTCTGCTAGCCTACCCCCCTCCAAGTTACCCACTCGCCCTTGTTAATCCACCCCAGCTAAAGGATTAACAGCCCCCCTCCCCGGGGGTCTACCGTAATTTGGTGTCAAGTGTATCGTCGGGGGGATGGTTCTGTATTTGCTCATCTCGTCTCCTCAACAGGGTCTCGAAGCGAGCTGCTCAACACCGTATTTCTATTGTCTAAAAGGCGGCCACGCTAAAAGACAAATACACACCACCGCCCATTTTCCGGCTAACCGATCCTGAAAGGGGCACTTGGAAATTGACACCTCAAAAGATTTGGGAAACGATTTGCAGGCGAATTTCTTGATGATTTTTGGCCAAAAAGCAAAAAGTTTTCAGCGGTCGGGGGTCGAACCCGGATCGTAAACTTGGGAGGCGAGCTTTACCAATACACCAAAGCTGCGTCTCGTGTGTATTTGGGGTGTTAGGGTGGGAGGTGGAAACGTTTTGCTCAATTTTCTAAAAGTTTTCTGGCATTTTGGGACTAAAAAATTACCCAAAACCTGTAAAATACGTATTCATTAAACTTTCAAAATTGTAGAAATTAACGAGACATTTTTTGAATTATTTTTAAACTTAAATTTAAACTAAGCTTTGAATATTTTTTGAATTATTTGAATGTGGAAAAATATCAAGTTTTTCCCTGCTTTTTAATATTGCTAGCTTTTTTTAAGCGCAAAGGCTTTTCAGATTTTGATAGAAACTACCGAAATAACGATTTTTCGAACAACATTTTAATGTTTTTAAATAGTTTTCCACTTGCAATTTATTTAAATTTTACCAGAAGCACTTTTAAGCATTTTTTATTAAGTTACTCGTCAATTCTGGGCGTCAGGAAACAATTAGTGCCCCCCCCCCGGTAATGCAAAAGCACCCTGAAAATGCAATGTTTTAGGAGAAGCCGCTGCCGGACTCTTCCTCCAGCCATTCCGTAAATCCAAGCGTATCCGCACGGCCTTCAGCCCCGCCCAATTGGTTCAGCTGGAAAAGGTGAGCCATTTTAAAGGACCAAGCAAGTTTGGAAACCATCGAAGTCGTTAAATTTCATCAGAAAAAATGACTAAATCTTTTTAGGCATTCGAGGCTAACCATTACGTCGTGGGAACCGAGCGGAAACAGCTGGCGAGCCGGCTGAGTTTGTCTGAAACTCAGGTCAGTGCTGTTTATAGGTGTATAACGGAGTGATTTTGACATTAGATGCTAACGGAGAGGATTGGGGGAAACTCAAATAGTCAAGCCCAAATATCCGCCCCGTTTTCTGCTAACAATGGCCAAAATTTGTTAGAAAATAGAGTTGAAAAGGCATTGAGGGCCAAAAATGCGTTCTCAAATCTATCACACAACAAAAATATCATAAACTTCTCCCCAAGTATGTTATTACTTCACCTAAGCCTAAGCCTAATCCTGAACTTAAGCCTGAGACTAAGCCAAGCCCAAGCCTTAGCCAAGCCTAAGCCTAACCCTAACCTAAGCCTTAGCCAAGCCTAAGCCTAAGCCTAAGCCTCAGCCTCAGCCTAAGCCTAAGCCAAAGCCTAAGCCTAAGCCTAAGCCTAAGCCTAAGCCTAAGCCTAAGCCTAAGCCTAAGCCTAAGCCTAAGCCTAAGCCTAAGCCTAAGCCTAAGCCTCAGCCTAAGCCTAAGCCTAAGCCTAAGCCAAAGCCTAAGCCTAAGCCTAAGCCAAAGCCTATTTCTGTTCGATTTTCGCGCTGGGTGGAATTTTAAAGAATTTTACTTACAATTAGAATAAGAAGAAATTGTTAGCTGGCTTCCTACGTTTAAGCATTATTGTAACGTTTATAAAATCTAAAGTTTTACTACAGTTTTTCGTAAGAGCTTATATTGGCCAGTTGGCAGCCAGCTCTTCCTGAATGCTCTCTGCCAGCTTCACTGCGGCCCTGTAGTTGTTGCCCATTCCGCGACACGTCTATTGACGCCCCCAATAAGTACCGATACAAACAATAACTCTTGAGTTTACGGGTCATATTCGGGTGAGTAGCGGTGCTTTTGGTAGTGGGTGCTTATCCACCCCCGTTGTCCCGTCTACCGTATGGATAAACAGAAAAAGAAGGGCAACCGGATGCCGTGAGGGGCACGGCGGGTGCCTTTAGAGATCCCCCCTCTACACACCCTTGTCTTGATCGTTCAGCTAATATTTGGGGACGAGTTGTCGCCTAGCTCGTGTAGCAGCAAAAGTTATAGAAAGATTCCTCAAAGTTTCCTGCTAGCCTGCTCTCCAATTCCCGAAGAAACCCTGCTAGTTTCCACAAATTCCTAAAAAATCTCTGCTAGCCGTCCCTCGGATTCCTCAAACAACCCTGCTAGCCTGCCCTCCGAATTCCTCAAAGAGTCTCTGCTAGCCTGCCATCCCATCCTCAAAGAATCTCTGCTAGCTTACCATCCAATTCCTAAAAGATGTATGCTTGCCTGCCCACTAAATTCCTCAAGAATCCCTGCTAGACTGCCACCAAAGTCCTAAAAAATTTGCTGTTACCCTAGAAATCCGAACAAAACTGCCCATTTCAGGTAAAAGTGTGGTTCCAAAACCGGCGGACCAAGCATAAGCGCGTAAAAACGGATGGAGAGGGAAAGAGCGAAGCCACCCGCGAGAATACACCAGAAGATAGGACGACATCGGGGAGCCAGCTTGTCGAAAGTATCGAAGCGGACAGCCCTCCGCTTGATGGGAATGAGCATGAGGGTAAGTATCGCTAATACAGCACTAAGAAAACCTGTGATTACGGTAGTTAATACAATAGTATATGTAAAAACCTATGCCGTTTTTTTCAGAAACCCCTCCTCCCCTGCCCAGCGCCTCATCATTGGCCCACCACGGGGTGTTGATGTTTTTGCAGAATCACGCGGCGGCGGCAGCAGCCGCAGCTGCTGCGCACGCTGTTTAGTCGCAGCCTGAAACTACAGCTTTAAAACCCTTATCATGTGCTCAATCAACCGTAATCTGCTTTCTTTTTGTCGCTTCTAGTCAACATTTTATGGTTTGTGCATGTTTTTATCAGTTTCTCTCGCTCTCTCTCTATTTCTCTATCCGTTTCTGGCATTTTCTCTCTCTCTCTTTCGCTCTCGCTCATAGTCTCTAGCTATCTCTCCCCGCCTATCCCTATCTCTCTCTCTCTCTCTCTCTCTCTCATCGAACCAACGCCCTCTCATTGTGATACCTTAATCGCGTCAGTATTCTCTTTGAAGTTATGTTTTTCCAATTGCCCTATAACCCCCATCCCGCCATTAGTGCGCATAAATCATTGTCAACACATGGCTATGAGGAAAACTGGGCCCAAAAAAGGGAGCCGTGAAGGTCAACCCGCTATGCAAATAGTTTGGCCATGGAATTCGGGGGGTTTTTTTTGGACGGGGCAAGAGGGGGGAAACAGCTAATACGAGGGGAATTCAAAAGAATATCTGCTAGCTTGCGCTTTTAAAGGGACTTGGAAGGGATCTACAAGGAGTCAGGCTAAGTTCTTTAATATCGAGTGCGGCTAGCTAGCAGAGATTCCTTAGAAAGCGCAGGAAACTAGCAGAGATTCTTTGAGGAATCGGAGGGCAGGCTAGCAGCTATTCCTTAGCAAATTCTAATCTCTTCTTTCCATTCAAAAACCCTTTAAACGGATCGAGCGGGTTACTGTAATTGGTTGACCGGTTCGCTCGAAATCCCATTAACAACCCCCTTCCCCCTGGCTGTTAAGTGGATTGCCACGGAATGAGGTGGATGGGTGTGGATAGGTGTACCGCGTAGCCCACCACATTTCGAGCCATCGAAAAGGGGGGCAATTTCTACATTTAGGACGGACCATTGCCTCAATGCTGGGAAGGCAGAAAAGAAGGGGATCGGATGGGAGCAAGCGGGGTTTAGTGCTTTCAAAAGGACTCTGTTAGTTTGCCCTCCGTTTCCTCAAAGAATATCTGCTAGCCTGCCCTCCGATTCCTCAAAGAATCTCTGCTAGCCTGCCCTCCGATTCCTCAAAGAATCTCTGCTAGCCTGCCCTCCGATCCCTCAAATAATCTCAGCTAGCCTGCCCTCCGATTCCTCAAAGAATCTCTGCCAGCCTGCCCCAAAAAGCCATATCCATTCCCTGCTAGAATCCCCCAATTTCCGCAATGCACCTGTTGCCGCCCTTCTCGGCTAAACAACGCGCCAATCCACCGTACATTTCCCTCCCCCCTGTTCTCCCGCTCCATAATTGTTGGTTGTCCCTACCCATCCGAGATGTGGCCCATGTTTTCCCCCAATTCCCCGCATTTGCATGTCCAAAATTGGGCCCCTTCCGGGGGCCCATTCTCAGTAGACCCCCAAACACGATAGAGGTAGACAGGCAGAGGCGATTAATTGGAGCCGGATTGGGCTTTTTCTGCGGGGTACGGTAGCGGGGCGGGCCAGCAGAGATTCTTTAAGGAATCGGGGGCAGGCCAGCAGATCTTTCAGGAATCGGAGTGCAAACCAGCAGAGATTTTTAGGGAATCTGAGGGCAGCGCAGGCTAGCAGTGATCCTCTGAGAATTTTAAGCCATGCCTAATTTGCCTTCTACCCCTGCTTCCGAGTGCCTTTAAAACTTCCTGCTGTGTCGATAGGTGTTGTGTGTACCCTTTCCGCGTAACACGGTGTCAATAGTAGCCCCGTGTAGTGGCGATTACCCAATGGGGATGGGCCACTTGACCCAAGAGCCCCCAGACTACGAGAAGCACCTCTAAACAGTGGGAGAGAGGGGGGGGGATACGGTATGTGGGTGATGGGGAGGCGAAGAGGAAGCTGTGCTCTCTCTCTCTTTCTCTCTCTCTCTCTCTCTCTCTCGCTGCTTCTTCACACAGTTGGACACGGGCCAGATTATCTGCGGAACAAATAGCGTCTTCTGTACGCATCGACACTATGGACACTGAGCGTACACAATGGGATGGAGGACAACGATACGCTCCACATAACGGGCCTCGATTGTTCCGGAAGACAACCTGAAAGACCGAGCTTTTAAAAGGACGATGAAGGGAGGGGAGAAATTTGAAGAGAGTTTAAGTTTTTAAGGCAGGCTATCAGAAATTCTTGAGGAATTTAATGGGCAGGCGAGTATACACCTTTTAGGAATTGGATGGTAAACTAGCAGAGATTCTTTGAGAATCGGAGGGCAAGCTAGCGGAGCTTCTTTGCGGAATTGGAGAGCAGGCTAGCAGAGACTCTTTGAGGAATTGGAGGGCAGGCTAGCAAAGATGTTTGAGGACGCGGTGGGCAGGCTAGCAGAGATCCTTTAGGAGTATGTGCCCATTAGCAGAGATTCTTTAGGAAATGAAGGCAAGCTAGCAGAGATTCTATGAGAATTTTTAGGGCTAGCTAGTAGACGTCGTTTCGTAAACCGTGAAACCCCCCTAAACCTTGCCCTCCCGTCATAGCTACCGTATCCCCCGGGTGGTCTCCTCCGATTATCGCATACAAATTGTGCATTTCCCTTCCCCCCTTCTGCTCTGCGTCAATGGCCAAATGGAATGTAATGGAATCCGCAGCATGTTGGCCCCAAATCGGGTGGATACACCTCTCTCTTTCTCTCTCTCTCTATCGCTCTCTCTCGCTCCCTCTCCCTCTCTCTCTCTACCTGAAGGATGGCCCCGGTCCCAAATAGATGGGAAGCTGTAATTTGAGTCGATAATTGGGGTATACACGGGGATTGGAAGGGACATCCCCCAATATATACCCAATATGGCCACTGGGGGACCACCTGTGGGGGTGAGGGGCCAAGCTGGCAGAAAATATTTAGGAATCCGGGGGGCAGGCTAGAAGAGATTCCTTCTTGAATCGGAGGGCAGGCAACCAGAGATTCTTTGCGGAATCGGCGGGCAGGCTAACAAAAACCCTTTCAGGAAAGCTGGCGCCTAGCAGATATCCTTCACGAAATTATAAACCCCTCTAGGCCGTCTAGCCTCCTCAGGGATCTCTGCTAGCCTCCTACGGCGTCAGCTCGCAAATCCGAGAAAGCCAGCTGAGAACTTTAAGGAATCGTCTAGAAATTACCAGGAAGAGGTTTTTGATCGGGCGGCTAGCAGAGACCTTTAAGGAATTGATCAAAAATTATTGCAGGCAGCTTCTATCTCTCTAATTCCTCAAAGAACCTCTGCTAGATGGCCCTAAATTCCTATCGACAGCCTTCTGGCGAGCTAGCAGAGATTCTTCGCCCTCCACAGCCCCGTTTACCCCCAATTAGTGAGGGACAGGTGAAGGAGTTGCTGGGGGGAGGCTGATAAAAGATTCATTTGCCAGTGCTGTGCCCCTGTTATGTCTATAGGTGGGTAATGGACCCTATTTGGGGAATGACCAGGGGGATCGGGTATCAGGGAATGAGAGAGAGAGAGAGAGAGAGAGAGAGAGAGAGAGCGAGAGAGAGATAGAAAGATCGGGACATATTCCGAATGGCACAACGCAACTTGCCCCGGCTGTCGCGTCAAAATGGGGGCAGGCATAGAACGGGAATTTGGATGGAAATGACACGAGAGCATCATAAAAATATCGAGGTCAGAAAGAGAGAGAGAACGAGAGAGCGAGAGAGAGAACGAGAGAGCGCGCGAGAGAGAGAGAGAGCTCAATTTGAATAGTACCGGACATTAAATTAACATGCCTTAATCTGTAAAAAACACAGATCTAGTCCCGACAGTTGCATACGGTTTTACGATGCCGATGAAACAGCACTTCAAGCCCTACTCGCACGACGTCCATCTTGTTTCCAGCGATGGGAAACCGTGCGTTTTTATTTACTTTATTTACTAGCTCGATTTTTTTGTCCAGAATTGAATAGTAACATAAGAAAAGGGTATTTTAATGGCGTTCTAGTGAAAAGTAAGTGTCGTTCAAGCGTAAAAACAACTGAAAAGGGCAAGATAATCGGTCATTTTTGGTCGTAAAACCGATAAATTTTGCATTTTGTAAATTTTTACGTTTAAGAGTAATAAAAAATAGCCTAGAATCCCGTTCCCTATATATTTAGAAAAATTGGAGTCTGAGATGAACAGTTGGTTCCACTGCAGACAGCCTACGGTATCTTTTTTTTCCCCTGTTGTGTTACAGGGGTGTAAAGTATTCCAAAATGTTCGTCTTGATCTGGCGAGAATTTTGATATACTTTACAGTCATGTAGGACGACGGGGAGCCGAGATACAGTGGGTGAGGTCGTGCCGTGCGGTGCGGGGGTATCTGCAGTTTAGCCGTGCGCTAAACTGCACTCTTACCTTCTCACCTTCAAATGGTGGTTTTTCAGGTTCCCGACCACCCTCCACGGTGTCCGCGCCATGGGGACGCTCGTCGAAATGGCGAAGCGGGGCTACGATTCCGACGATCGCATCATCATCAAGTTTCCATTCGATGCACAGATGGTATTCGATCGACACTAGACCTAAAAACCATTTTTTTTTTGCAGCTCCGTATCCTGTTGTCGCTCGGCAAAAAGAAGGGGCAGCGGAAGGAGACGCTGCTCGCCCTCTGCTCATTCACCGACCAAGGCGTCTACGAGGCGCTCGTCCTCCTCGTCAGGCACAACATTAGCCAGACGTGGCGCAACATGGTCCGTTTTAACTGTTAGAGCTCTAAAAAATTACTTTAATCCTGCGATTAGTGCTCAAAAAGTCGAAATTTTGGTCAAAAAAACCACCATTTTTGCTCGAAAATCTTTATTTTTTGTATTTTTTAATAAAAATTCGTGAAGTTTTCACTTTTCGGAAAAGTAAAAAGCAGTTAGAAGCATTTCCACTACTATCTTTTCAGATCCTCGACGCGTTCTTCACGCGCTGCACCGACGAAAGTGCCGTCTTCTTCTGGCGCGTCGCCCGCCAATTTGGCTATGGTGATGGCGAAATTAAGGTGCATTGAATTTGGCATAAGGAACGCATTTTTTCAGACATTCCGCCGCCTCCTCTACACAATCGTCGGACTCGTGCAGGCCAACAACATCCACGCCGAGTACACGAGGATGACACGCGAAGAGCTGACGTTGATTGTCAAGGATGAACGATTGAATGTGCTCGAGGATGAGGCTAATGTACGGTTCGAATTAGACGATCTAAAGTATAATTGTGTTTTTTTGTGATTTTTTCGAATTTCCGTTATTTTTTGCACTTTGAACGAATTATCAGGTTGGGACGAAAGTTCTGTCGCCGAGATTTTGGAGGGCTGGCTAAATTCGTAGATAGCTCCATTCTGCACATGCGTAATGTCATTTTGTAGCTCTCGGCCTGAATGGTTCCGGGAGGAGGGTCCTGGGCCCTCAAAATTAAGGACAGCCGAGATACAGGCCCAAGAAGATTTTTCAAAAATTACGCGAAAGTGTTTTTGCAAGTTATCTTTGCATAGAGAGATTTGCCTGCAATACCTTAAACGCCAATCGATAGATCTCAAGGAGTAGATATCGATAGATGTTGAGATCATCAAAATCGGACACCGGATGGCCGAGATATGGTCCCTTGAAATTTAGCCCATTTCTTAGAACTTTTCTCAAATCCCATACATTTTGTCAAAATCCGCGCCGCTAGTCCAAAAATAAAGCGGTGATTTTCGGCACCTGTCCGTCAAATGTTTGAAATGTATGGGATTTCGGGAAAAGTTCTAAGAAATGGGCTAAATTTCAAGGGACCATATCTCGGCCATCCGATGTCCGTTTTTGATGATCTCAACATTTATCGATATCTACTCCTTGAGATCTATCGATTGGCGTTAAAGGTATCGCAGGCAAATCTCTCTATGCAAAGATAACTTGCAAAAACACTTTCGCATAATTTTTGAAAAATCTTCTTGGGCCTGTATCTCGGCTGTCCTTAATTTTGAGGGCCCAGGACCCTCCTCCCGGAACCATTCAGGCCGAGAGCTACAAAATGACATATCACATGTGCAGAATAGAGCTATCTACGAATTTAGCCAGCCCTCCAAAATCTCGGCGACACAACTTTCGTTCCAACCTGATACTTTGGTTCTTTCCCATTTTCGGGGGGAAGCAACTTCTGTACAATTCAAATAGGCGTGGTGGGGGGGGGGGTTTACTAAAAACACTATAAAAATGCTTTCTTTTACATTAGTAGGCGCTTTTAGACTTTTAGGAAAAATTCGTTAGCCTCCCCCCCGATAATGCGAAAGAACCATTATTTTTGTTCCCCAAACCGACAGAAACCTTTTGGTATAGTTCGCATTATTCTGGCTCAAAACCGACGGCGGTTCTGTTCTATTTCGCGTGGGGGAAAAAACTGTGCGGGGGGGAAAATATGCTTCGCGGAGCCTTCCATCTTTTCGCTATTTTCTCGGCATTTTTGCAACGCCATTCGATAGAGCATCAAAAAATATACTAACAGTTGGTGTTTTAGCTAAAAATATTGTAATATAAAAAATTTATAGCAAAAACAAAAAAAACTATTGAAACTGATTCCGGAATGCTAGTTTTCGGCATTTTCGCCAATTTTTCGATAATTTTTCGGATTATTTTATTTTCAATCGATAGAGCATCAAAAAATATACTAAGAGTTTTAATTTCATCTAAAAATATTGTTTTATAAAACAGTTATAGCAAAAAGAAGGTTTATTCGGTGTTTCCCATGGGATCGTGGAGTCGAAAGCTAGTTTTCGACATTTTCAATAACTTTCAAAAATTTCTTTAATGCCATTCGATAGAGCGTCAAAAAATATACTAAGAGTTTTATTGACAACTCAAAATAGCATCATATAAAAGAGTTATAAAAAAACGAAGAAAATTTCCCCCCCGCACAGTTTTTTCCCCCACGCGAAATAGAACAGAACCCCGACGGCTAACACATTCACATCATTCCCACGGCTAAAACACGCTCCTTAGGTGATCGATCTGATCGACGCGTGGCTGGGCGGCGACCTCGAAGCCCGCCTGCAATTCCGTGATGAACTGCTCGGCTATGTGCGCCGGAAGGGAGCCAACCGCGATCGCCTCAAGACTGTAAGATACCATATTCATTCTTAAACCATGCTAGATGCTCGGCCACATCCAATACACCCTCGATCTGCGCTCCCCGCCCCGCCCGAAACGTGATCGTCTCCTGTATGTCGGCGGCAACAGCGCCTCCGGCCAAAAGATTCTCCTGGGCGAAACGGTAGTTTTAAGCTACCACCCACAACCCCAGAATTTTTAGCAAAACGCGGAGACCGAGTGGCTGGTCTCGGATCTTCCGCCACTGCCGCTGACGCAAGCGGTGTCCCTCGTCATCGGGCAGACAATCTTCTTGATTGGCGGCTGCTACCACACGTGTCCGAGCAGTGCCGTGTATTCCCTCGATCTTCTTGATGACCGACAGCGTGGTGGATGGAAGGAGCGTTCTTGTCTCAACCAGCGCAGGTTGCTACGGAATATCACACACAAAAAGCAGCTAGACAGTTAGCGGGGGGGGGAGCAAATAAAACATAGCGTACGTACGGCCTTTAAATACAAAAAGTTTAAAAAATCGTTAAAATTTTTGAAATGTATGGAAAATGAGCAAAAAAAACGTAAAATTTCGATTTTTAACGGTTGTTAAAATTTAAATATTTTTTATGACTTTCTAGGAATCTAAAACAAATCTAAACTATAAAATAGGTTATATATTATCGACAGGTATGCATAAACAGAAAAACAAAGATCCGTTCCCCGCCCCCGCTAACAGTTCAGTACCAAAATACCAGAAAATCTATCCAGATTCCGCCACGGTGCTTGCGTCTACAATGGAATGATCTATGCGGCCGGCGGATGCGAGAAGGTCATCCAGCGAACCACGGTTGGTTTTTACCGCGCTAAACCGTAAAAACTAGCCATTTCAGGCGCCGCTGCGCAGCCTCGAGAGGTACGACCCGGAGACGAATCGATGGATGGTGCTCCCGTAGCTTATTTTTTTTTTCCACATGGATGCTCATCCCTGCCAAACAGTTCGATGCGCTATGCTCGTTGCGACTTTTCGATGGCGGCCGGCCACGCGCGGATCTATGTCGTCGGCGGTCGAGGCCACATTCGCCCCGATGAACCTGTAAGGAAAGCGGCAGCATCTCGTTATGGTTAATAGCCAATCGGGAAATGTCTTTTAGATCATCACCCTGGACAGCATCGAAGTGTTCTGTCCGGAGGCGAACATCTGGATGGAGGCTGGAGTGTTGCCGGAACCTCTGCGAAGTCGGTGAAAGCGTGTTTCAATATTTTCCCCCCGTCTAGATACGGCCATCTGGTCCGACGTCAACGGGATGCTGGTCGCCGGCGGGTTCAACGCGAATCGCGACCTCTCCAACAAGGTCTACTTCTGGAATGGCAACGGCTTCTCGTGGCAAAACCACTCGACCATCGAAGTGGCTAGGTTGGCTCAATAAAATCAACCCCAGCGCCGAAAGCTTGCGCAAATCATACGTGAAACGAGAGATCATGCATTGAATATTTTAGGGCCTCCGCTTCAATGATCCGCTTCGAGGGTCAGTTGATGCTCGTCGGCGGCTGCTTGTTGCCATCCGGCGCCGGCTTGCCCCTCGTTGAATCGTAGACATCGCGAAAGTGCATTGAGCACAAAATTTACTCCTTACAGTTACAATCCGACGACTCGCCAATGGTCCCACATGCCACCGCTTCTCGGACCCCGAAGCCAAGGCCAATTGCTCATCGTCCCTGACAGCACCGATCTCATTTTGCCCACTGCCGAAAGGTTGATACAACCATTTTTAGGAATTAAATTTTATTTCAGTGACGGCGACAACACGGTGACCAGCGAGGAGGACCACGAGATGGAGCCCGAATTCCACGCCTAGCACAACCATTAACACAATGAAGAATTACTAGCATACTTGCAACATTTAATTTCTGTGTTTTTAATCATACTGCACGAATAAATATCGGAGATGATTGTCGTGGCGCTGCGACGCATTTCTGTCGATCTGTCTGTCTTACTCAATTTCCAGTGAATGCCTTTCCGACAACGCGCGCAGCAACCACCAAAGGGTAGGCAGGTCGTAGCAGACAACCTTCAAATTTCAGAAAAATGCCACAATTATGAGTGCTATTTTGACGTTCTGGACGGTATTATTTTCGATAATCCGCCTAAACGAAATATACAAAACAGAGATCCCTTCAACGAGTAAGTATTTTCCTGAATAAGCAACGAGTAAATTTTCCTGAATATCCCATGGGTGGAGATTTAATACAAAAACCTCGAAAAATGACCAACTTTTCAGATATCATCTACCCTTCGTTCGAGTGGGCGATTATGTTTGCTTTGATAAGCAACGTCAACGTCTTTTTCAGTGCTTCTTTCTGCTGGTGCTTGAAGTTCCACGAAGAAACCGAGAGCCTAGGCTGCTTGCCAAAAGCGGGAACTCTCGCGGATGCAATTCTGTCTGATTTTGACTCTTACCATCAGTTGTATATTTTATCGCGATAATAAACATGCTCCTACATGCAAAAAGCCCGTAAACATTGCCAAATGGCCCGTAAGGAACTCTTTTTAGGGAATAACAGAAGGATACAGCGAAAGTGTTAGTCAAGTGCGACTCAAAAGAGCCAACAAAGAGAACCCCGATCACAATATGGATGAGACCATAAGTATGCCAATAAGAAGGTAATTTCGCAAAATTAGCACCTAAAAATTGGATTAGCTGCTTGAACTATTGGTCCTTCGACGAGTCTTTGTTCTGCCCGACTCCTTCGATTTTCGATAGCTTCCTAAAAAAGTATATTTATCCAGAGGGCTCAAAGTTTACCTCCCGAGGATGAGCTGGAAGATGAGCGATGACTTCTGCGCTTCCTTCTAGCCTTTCGCTTTTCGTCGGAACCTAAATGGTGTTACAGTCTCAAGCAAAAATCGTACTTTTTGTATCGCTATCGCTGTCTGATGAGCTGCTGCGTCTTCGCTTGCGCTTTTTCTCTTTCTTTTCCTCTCGGGCCTTTCGTTTTAGCATCTTCTTCCGGGCCTTCTTCTCTTTCTTCAGCATCTTCTTTTCCTTCTTCTTAGCTGCAATTAAATTGCTGACTGCCTCTAAATTAAACACACCTTTCCGCTCCTTGGCGACTCTCTCTGCTTCGCTGTCGCTTGACGTCGAGCTGATTTCCACGACCGCCTAAATAGAAGATATTTGTGATACATAACGCTCAAAATTAGCAAATAGTCCGTGCCTCGATCTAACGATAGGTAAATCTACGGCATTGGTCACCCGGAAAAGGTTGTAATAAGAAATATATACCTGACGGTCGGGCTTCACTTGTATATTATTCATGCATTGAAACGGAAGATGGCCGGCAAATCCACATTTTCGACAAGCACCGTTGACTGGAGCACGCATGATAGCATCTCCCAACGAATCTACAAATTAAATAAATGAGCTCCCTATAAAATCCTCACCGACGTGGCCGGTATTGATGGTGTTGCTCTTCTCACTGCGCTCCTTCATTTCCGATCTCATTGACATCATCGGGGTCTCGATTTCGCCGACACCAGCGGCCTTGCCGAACCGCCGGACGAAGGGCATTGGCTCATGGTTAGCATTAGACATCTAAAAATTTACAATTAGGAAAATAGGAATATTCCAAGCGCAATTTGACAAAAAGAACAGCAAACGATCGCTCAAAGCCAAAATAACTATATAACAAATACGCAGGTAACTCTAGAAATAAATTCACACCCAATACTGCTAAACAACGAAGGCCCAGGGCCAAGGCCGGCTACGGCATAATTCAAATGACGTATCGTAACGAGTAGCATAACGTACCATCTCGTTTGGCCATAATTTAGCACATAATAAATTCTTAGCAAAATAAAAGTTTTAACTTTTCATTTGTATTTTATCGTTTTCAGCGTACTTTTTTACCCAGGTCCCGAAATTCTGGTGTTTCCCGGAGGTTCCTGTTTCCTGGGGTATAATTTAAGCTTTAGAAGACTTTAGTTAGCATCAATTGTGTTTAAAACTATGAAAAAGCAATGAAAGCTGCTATTTTATATGCCTTTTCTCTTTTTTTTCTTGCGAAAGTTGCTCTCTTGTCGTTTTGCCCTAGTTGCTCAAATGTCGTTGCTAACCTGTCATGGTCCCGATTTTCGTGCTGGGACTCCTTTTTTCGGAAATTGCTAAATGAGTTCTCGCGAGGCTCGATTTCCCGTGTTTTTTATATTGCGGGTAGCGTTTTCCCGGAAAATCACTTTTCTTCCTACGTTTACTTTTTCTGAACTCTGTCCAAAATCCACGATTCTAATCAAAATCTCACATTTCAGTTCATCACACGAGATCTATGGATGGAGCCCCATCCCACGAATGCCGAATGGGGCCGACCGCTGGCAGTTACAACAGCGGAACACTTGTCTGGCTTCCTCACCCGAAACTCGTCTGGATTGGCGGCCAACTCCTCGAGGATTTCAAGCCGGACCAGCGCTCTCTGAAAATACGCCTCGAAGATCACGATCAGACGGTACAATTCATTTTTTCCGTCTTCAAATTGCCTTCAGATTATCCAAATCGACATAAAAAATGAAAAGGATCTGCCGCCGCTACGCAACCCCGAGATTTTGACGGGTGTAAATGATCTCACGATGCTCAGTTACCTCCACGAACCGGCCGGTATAGCTTGAAGTCGTTGTAAACTCTGTTGTTTCTAGTGCTCAACAACCTGCAATATCGCTTCGTGACCCAAAAGCATGTCTACACGTACTGCGGCATCGTCCTCGTCGCTATCAATCCATACGCGGATTGTAGCCATCTTTATAATGACAATGCGATGCAGGCAGGCATTTTATTTGCTTTGTGAATGTAGAGTTTTTAGGTTTATCACGGAGTCGGCAAACAAGTGCGCGACCACGATCCACATATCTTTGGGGTTGCTGAAGAAGCGTTCTATGACCTATGTGAATACCAAAAGAATCAATCCATCATTGTTTCCGGCGAATCCGGCGCTGGAAAGACCGTCTCGGCAAAGCATGTGATGAGGTTAATTATCAACTCGCTTCCACTATCAGTTTCAGATACCTGGCCACAGTCGCCGGAGAACGCTCGGGCTTTCGCGGGATTGAAGACCGCGTCCTGGCCTCAAATCCAATCATGGAAGCGATAGGAAATGCCAAGACGACACGCAATGATAATTCGAGTCGCTTCGGCAAATTCATACAACTCAATTTTGGCGAACGGTCTTCGGCACGTTGTTTTTGAAAATTCTGATTTAGAAATGAAATCATCGGCGCTGAAATGAAGACGTATTTGCTCGAAAAGTCGCGGCTGGTTTTCCAAGCCGAGGACGAGCGAAACTACCACATCTTCTATCAGATGTGCGCAAGCCCGGATCATGCGCTTTTGAAAGCTTTTCGTCTGGGTAATTTCGTATTCCATTCTCTTATAGTCTTCTTCAGAATCGGCCGATCGTTACCATTACACCAATGGAGGCGGAAAAACGACAATCGACGGTGTTGACGATCGCATGGAGTTTGCTGAAACGGTTTCAGGGATTTTGCATAATACATTTTGTTTTCAGGTACGAGCCCTCGATCGTCTTGGCTTCCCCGTCACCCAACAGGCCGAAATTTTTCGAATTCTTTCCGCTATCTTGTTGCTTGGAAATATAACCTTCGAAGGAGATGAAATGGCGAGGATACCGGTATATACGGATTTAATTTAATACTGTCTTAGGCGCATCACAATTCTCTGATCGAGCAACTTTGTGATGATCTACTCCTGGTAGACGCCAAAGAACTGACTCGCTGGTTGACACAACGCGAGATTCGGACAGCCAACGAGACTGTCATCAAGCCACTGACGAAAGCGGAAGCGGTGCGCGGCCGGGATGCTTTTGCCAAGATGATGTACTCGAACCTGTTCAACTGGATTGTGCTGAAGATCAACTACTCCCTGGCCAGCAAGGAGCAACCCTGGAAACGGCAACAGGAGAAATTTATTGGGGTCCTCGATATATATGGGTAAATTCATTTTGCTAGGAGATACCCAATGCCGACATTCAGATTAGGCTCAAAATTGGCAGAAATAGAGAATTGAAAATGATGATCAGTTCCTTCTTAAAAAAGGTTGTTACAAGCGTTTAAACTCGATCTTTGCGAACTCAAAGTGAGCTATTATGACCAAAGACGAAAAAAATTAAAGATTTGGCTACTTTGAACTTGTATCTCTTGATTTCCAAACACCAGCACGCGATTTTTAAGATAGGGATTGTTTAGTATGGCTCTAACCTTCTGCCAATTTTGAGCTCGCTCTGACTGCACTATATCGGTCCTCCCTAGTTCCGCAAGTATTGCTAAACATGGCTTTCTTTTAGGTTCGAAACCTTTGACGTGAACAGCTTCGAGCAGTTCTGTATCAACTACGCAAACGAAAAGCTCCAGCAGCAATTCAACCAACAAGTCTTCAAACTGGAGCAAGAAGAATATGAAAGAGAAGATTTGAGCTGGGTATTTGGATGCAACCAAGTTTTCTATATCTTTTTAGGTTCGCATGGAATTTTACGACAATCAACCGTGCATCGAGATGATTGAGGGCCGCCCGGGGCTGATCGAATATCTGGACGAGCAGTGCAAGCTTTTGAAGGGATCGGATAGCGGCTGGCTGGATCAACTGACCAACTGCCCAAAGCTGAAGCAGCACGGACATCTTCAAATGCCAAAAATAAAGTGGGTTTTTGATGTCACAGTGTCTCAGAAAAAAAGCGGCGCCTCTAGTGGTCGGGAGAACGGTTTGTTCGTGTTGATAGATGTTAGATTTCGAGTTACTTTCGCATTATCGGAGGGACGGAACTTTTTTGTAAATCAAGCCATGTCTAGTAGCTTAATAGGAAGTGTTTTAGTACAAAAACTATACTGGGGGCGGGGACTGTTATGGGGGGCTTATATTACTGCTTCTAGGGCGCCGGCCTTCACCATTCGCCACTTTGCCGCTGATGTACTCTACGGATCTGAGGGATTTTTGGAGAAAAATAAAGACAGTGTCGGGAGACAAATCATTGAAGTGATGGCGTCCACAAAGGTACGACACATTTTTCGACGTTTAGTGCTAATTTAGAACCCATTCCTACTAGAAGTCATCAGCCCTTGCCTTGAAGAGATTATCGGCGCCCAGCCCAGGGGGAAAGTCGGCACGGCAAAGCGCACGGTGGCCAATCAGGTAATGCGTAATTTGGTACGTAGTGTATCGTCTGCAGTTTCGCGATTCACTCCGAGAATTGATGGCTGTGCTGCAAGCAACAAGGCCTCACTACGTCCGTTGCATAAAGCCGAACGATGGCAAGGTATTTTAAGGCCAAGTAAAAAAAAAGTTATTTTTGATTAGGAGAGCTTCTACTTTGAGCCGCAACGCGCCATTCAACAACTTCGCGCCTGTGGAGTCCTGGAAACTGTCAGAATCTCGGCCACCGGATACCCGAGTCGGTCAGTGACAAGTCTTAAAGGCTAAGTCTTTTTACAGATGGATTTACGGCGACTTCGTGACGCGCTACCGTTTGTTGGCATGGTCGAAAAACGTCGATGATGTGCGTCTTTTCACGAAAAATTTATGCACCGAGTTGCTTGAGGTGGTTTTTTTATTTTTTTTTTTAGAATTTGGTAAGTATGAGATAATTTTTTACCGGATTTTAGACCGACAAATTCGCTCTGGGTCGCACGAAAATCTTCTTCCGCACCGGACAAGTGGCCCTGTTGGAACGGTTGCGCCATGAAACACTCGGGCGGTTCGTCGATCCGAAATTTTTTATTGCTTCTTTTTCGATGCGCCACGCGAATTCAAACGTGTTGGCGCGGCTTCATTGCCCGGCGCAACTACATGGCACTACGCAAAAGTTTGCACCTGGTTCAGGTATTTTCCCGCTGTTTTTCTAAGCTTCTCCAGGCATCCCTCCGCGCCTTCATGGCCTTCCGCCGATTGCATTATTTGAGAATGTACCGCGCTGCTACTCTGATACAAGCCAATTGGCGGTGAATCTTTGCGGAATCCAAAAAACCGCGTTTTTTAGAAAATATTATGCGGAAAAGAAATACCAGAAGCTGCGTACAACCATCCTGGCTATCCAGTCGCTGTATCGAGCCAGCCAAGTCCGAGTCGAATATCAACGGGTATTTTCATAATTATTTTTATAGAGTTGATTTTCAAATTAGATGCGTTACGAGAAGAGCGCAATTACGATCCAGAGATATTTTCGTGGTTACCTGGTCAGACGCGACCACATCTCCTACGTCCGGAAGGTCATCAAGGTTGATCAATTACTGAGAAGCTAATTGTTAATTTTAGGTACAATCGTGTGTGCGGCGTTGGCTTGCGAAACGGCGCTGGCGTGAAGCCAAGCTGGAAGCGCGCTCTGTTGGCCATCTACAAAAGCTGAATATGGGATTGGAGAACAAGATCATCGAGCTGCAGATCAAGCTCGATTCTGCGGTAAAATGGTTTTTCAAAAAGATTATTTGGTCTTTAGATGACAAATAATGCAAAGATACACACATTAGAAGAGGAGAAGCGGGCGCTGGAGCGGAAGTTGAAGGAAGAGCGTGTGGCAGCTCAACTAGCCGTCAGTTTTCGATGTGACAAAGATTTTAATGACACTAAAAATCCTTACGGGACTTGGTTCTTTTTAGGAAACGGTTAACGCCGAACAAATCCGCGACTTGCGCCAGTCGATAGACGAGATTAACGCCGAATTAGCCACACTGCAAAGCGAGCGGTATTTTAGCTCGTATTTACAAATGATGCTTTTCAGTCCCGGCTTCCTCCGCGCCCACGCTCGAATGCTAAAGCTGGAAGAAGAAATCGACGCATTGCACACCCAACTGGAAATGCAGGCCCGGCAATTAATGGAAGCGGAAGGGCGACGCACAGCGGCTGAGGATGAGCTGGAAATGGTATTTCGACCTTGCTTTGTATGATTTAAAGAGATTTCAGGCTGCAACTCATTTCAAGCACGCCTCTATCACCTATCAAGCCCAAATCGCTGAAGCTCGTACGGGTGCGGAAGCAGCGTCTGCAGAACTTGAAGAAGTTAACCGAAAAATGCGTGAAGGTTCGTGTTTTTAATTTTGAAGCATTCTATTGATTTTTCTAGATACTGTTTGGCATTTTTAGCATTGTGGATTGTTTAATTTAAAAGTGTGCAGAGAATTACCGAGATTACGGAATGCAACGCCGGAGCGCAAAAAATATTTTTATTTCTTAAATTTTCGGCGTTTTCGCGACGAAATTAATTCCCGTACTTTTATGCTTGTCTTTTTGTTTGACCTAAAAATTCGAGCCCCTGGCATGCTGATTTCGACGTTCAAGCCCGTTTAAAGCTGTTTTTAGAGGCCATTCGACGTGAAAACGCGGAAAAGGACCTGGACGCCATGCGCGAACAACTACTGGCAAATACGAGCCTTCTGGCTGACGGGGCGATCACCATCAACGGTTTCTTGTGCATTAATTTTAAAACTTTTTTAGGGTCGGAAGGGCACGGTGCTCTCGGCTTCATGGCTGACGAGCACCTCCCGATCGTGTTGCGGCAACAAGGGGCCATTCGACAGCTGCACAACCGCTGCGCGGCACTGCAACGCGACAAGGAACGCCTGCGCTCCGTCGTGCACTCCGAGGCGCTGCTCGGCGAATTCGAAAACCGACCGTCGGTCAAGGCTGGCGAGGACCTGAAATTGCAGGTATTGATCTTGCGTAGCCTAACGTAAAACCCTGAATTTTGCACACTTTTTGGGTAGATTCGATTTAGCGGGGGAGCTAATTATGACTTTTCCGCATTTTAGGAGGTTTTTGACATTAGGATTTTCTAAGATCTTTTTTTAATGATAAAAATTGAATATTTTGCTATTTTGCTATTTTTCAAGCATTTTTTACCAAAATTCAATGCTATCATAGGGTTAAAAATAGTTAGGTCCAGCTTCGCTAAGCTCGAAAATCTCCACCGCTAAAGGGCAAGCACCACTCTTCTGTTTCAGGACTACCAGGCAATGAACCGCAAGCTGCACGATGAGATCGATCGGCTAGTGGCAGCCCAGTTCCCCAACGACATCAAAGCCAAGGACATGATCGACCGGCTTTTCCAAGATACTGAACGGTATCTTTCCGCCTATAGCTTTGTAAAAACTCTTATAGGTTGCGACAGGAAAATTATGAATATCGCGCGCTGCTGTGCAACAACTCGAAGATGCGATCATCTCCACGCCCGGATTCTGGTACGAGACTTTCACTAGACACTGAATTAGACCCTGTTTTAGGTCACTGCTCTGCTGCGCAATCCGATGCGGGCAGCGAGTGCGATCGGCCGGCCTATGACCCTGCCGCGGAGATGGATGTGGATCGACAGCTGCGCGCCTGCAAACGACAAATCGAGATGCTCGAACGGACGCGGATGGATCAAGATCTGGAGAACGAGCGGCTCGTGCGACTTTTGGATGTCGAGATGAGAGATGTTTGTTTTGGGCGATTGGTAACATTTTTGGAATTTCGTGTTTATTTCGGCGTTTTCAGAAGCCGCTGGATTGCTCGGTTGAGGCAATGCGTCTACAAATCGGCGATCTCATCATGCAGAATCTGGAGCTCACCCAGAAATATCACCGTCAAGCCGACGAGCTGGCCGGGGTCAAGGCGCAACTTCGTGGGGAAGCGATTGATTATAGTAAGTTTTGGTGTAACTCTTGGTGCTGGTTCGTCAGCGGGGGATGTTGATTCCTACTTGTTCCGCGTATGCAATCAAATAAAAGCGATTTTAACAGCATTTTACGCCTTTTTTGGACATAGGAACTTTGTAAAAATTATTAAAAATGTCGAAAATTGTTTAGTTTTGGTCAAAAATGTAAGAAGATGGCGAAAAATTCTAGTTTAAAAATTTTCTAAGGGTTTTTATTTTTATGAGTTTTTAGTGGACAAAAACTACTAAAAACACTATGAAATGGCTGTGTTATTATTATTATGCAGTCAGCCGCGTCCCCCCTCCCACTAATGAATCAGCACTCAAAAATGTAATACTTATCATGAGCAGACTCGGATCCGGAAGATTTGCGTGGCAACGACAACGTCCAGTCTCAAGTGAGAGCTGGTAAGCTTTCCACCAATAAATATATCGTTTTCTTTAGGAAAAGCCATCCCCAACAAATGGACCGACACGCCAGATCCGCGTCGAGGGCTGGCCGAAGCTTCGGCTCGAGACACCCCACCCCAACTCGACTTCAGCGCCCTCCCCAGCGCCTCCGAAGACGAAGCCACCCCGACGCCAAAAACGTTCACTCGATCTCCTTTCATACAAGGCTTCGTTCAACTGTTCACCCACACCTGTCGCGCCTACTTCAGCCCCACCTCAACCACCTTCAACCGCTAATTCCTATCATATTACCCCCGTTTTTCTGTGCCTCGTAGAATGCAACTATATGAGAACATTTTACTGCTGTGAATTGCCATTTGTGCGTGTGTTTTTTTATAGATGTGTTTTTGTGCGGGAGATTTTCCTTGTCCTGTGCCTTGTCCTTTTTGCCCCCGGCTGGCTGGCAGCCGTTTTCTTTGTTCGTTTTACCGGTGTATTTTGGTTCTGTACATGAAGTGATAAATTTTTTGCCGAATCTGAGCCATCTTTGCAAATCGGTTTCGTTGTATATTAGACATAGCCATTTTTATTTAGACTGATCCTCGCACCGGGTTGAACCTGAGGGGTTGCTTCGATAGAATTTCCGGTACGGTGGCACCGTCTTTCCGAAGTTTGCGGAAAATCTCTCGTCACGGAATTTGTGGAGCCGCGGCCAAAACTGGCAAATTTGACCCTTTCAGAGCCAGTTCTCTCCAAGCCCGCTATTTTTCGATAGTTTTTGAATGATGGCATTGGTTCAGAATTTCTGGCCCTATCTGATCAGCTCCGCCATATCGCAAAACGGGACATGCACCGAAATGGACGAGTTCTTGTAGGCTTTTGAAAGTATAAAATTTTTTAATGTAACGAGAGTCTGTGCAAGAACAGGTCGATTCGTGGTCGCAACCCTCACATTAAGGCGCAGGTTGTTGTTTTTGTATGAATAAGCAGTCAGTACTCTTTAGAAGTCGCCGCCAAAAATGCTCGATCGTTTTTTTTATTCGGATTCTTAAAGTTAGAATAGCGTTTTTACATCCGTAAATAAATTTACGATGATTTCGAATGCGCCTTGAAAGCCGCCAATATTACTCGTTTATCCCGAAAAACGGTTGTCCATGTCCGACGCACGCACTGCCGTCTACGGGTGAGTTTTGGCTATTTAAAAAAATGCATAACTCCAATTTTCAGCCCTCCCGTCCCGAGCCCAAATGGCCAACGTACAGCCCAAATCGGTATGGTTTCTAAGTTAAATTAAATGACAATTAAATCAACTAAATGCTTTTAGACACGGCCGACTTTATTCGCTTCGTGCTGATCACGGTGCTCGTGATCCTCGTCCGGATCCTCGAGGGCCTTCTCAAGCTCATCGTCCGCGCCTGCGACTTTATCATTGAGGTTCGGATTTTTAACCGTCAAACCTTTATTTATACAAAAAATATACGACAACTTGAAAATTTACACAAATATCAATTTTTCGACGAAGGATGAACCTTTTTTGACCAAACTTTCAATTTTTTCAAATTTTGTAATAGTTTTTAGATACTCTTTCTAGTTAAAATGTAGTTTTTTTACTCAAAACTCTATTAAGATACTTCCATTCCTAGACTTATACAAAATTGTCAATTTTTTCTACCAAAATTTCCAAAATTCGAAGTTTTTAAGTACTTTTCCGCTTAAAGTATCGTTAAATTATGCTAAAAACTATTGAAATCTTACCAATACGTTATTAGGCTAGGCATTTCTGGACTTATATGGCAAAATTAACCCCCCCACCGCCGATAATACGAAAGCACCAAAAGGAGCCGATTTCAGATCTGGCCGAAGCTGTGGCGGGCGATCATGTTCTGCTGGGAAAAGCCGGACGTGGCCAAGGACCTGATCAAGACGTCATGGCATCTCGCCGAAATCTCGTACAAGAACGGGCTCTGGTCATTCAGGTTTGGCCTTTGTTTTGGAGCCTTGCTAGGGCCAAGAATTGGCAGAAATTTGATTTAGAGCGGCGGATCATCGCCATGATTTTAAAACTTGCTGAGGAGTTGTAAAATCGATTCGATCGTTTTGTCGATAATTTTAAAACCATGTTGGTGATCAGCAACTTCAAATCGATCTTTTGCGAATTCTGAACGCGATTTTGGCTTGTGTTCGCTAATTTATCCCCAATTTAGCGAGGCGATCGGCGGCTTTGTCGGCACCGCGGCGGACAACATGCTCAAGTGGGGTTCTGGTTCTTTTGCCTTATCAGAGGGAAAAACTTTTTTAAAGGGATGCCGACGGCATAGTCAATCGGTTACGCGCGGAAAAGAAAATGTCTCTGCGCCTCTCCCCTGGGCGCTCTCTCTCCCCTGTTGGCTACTTGCCAATTTGTTGATGAGGGGGGATCGACACATGCCGTCGGCAGCCCTTTAAGGATCCGGTTTTTCTAAACTTTTTTTACTATACTTACTCAAATACTTTACAAATTTTGATTAAAAAAACCCAAAAAATAGATTTTCGGTAAAAATGATCAATATTTCACCTAAAAAAATGGCCACCCCCGATATTGCCAAATCACCCGGGCTTTTTAAGGAGTGAGGAGCTAGACAATAACAATTTCATAACTTTTCAATCTATTCGAAAATCCTCGATTTCAGGGCCGATAAAAGCAGCAAATCACCAAAGACGGCGAAACCGCTCAAGACGCCCGCCGCCCCCTCGCCAAAGCCCACGCCCAACTGAACGGCTTGCCGACGCCGGGCCGACAGACAGACCGATCGACGACCGACTTTGGAACACTCGACGATTCCCACCATTCTCTCACCTGACCCCCGGCCCCCGTTTTTAATGGAATTTGCCTGATAATCGCTGCGCTTCAATAAACTGTGGGCAACCCAACGATTTTCGTGATATTTTGGTTTTTTACGGAATTTCTGGTTAGCCGAACGACTGACGGGAGAATGAAACGACAACGCCGATCGTATATAAATACTATTTATTCATTGACGCACAGATACAAATACCCGAGCAAAGTTAGCCAAATTCAACAACAGAAAACGAACAGATGATATAAAAACTGGTAATAAGTTCAGTCTGATTTTATGCGACGGCGTTGTTGTATTGGAGGAGCCGTTGTATGGTCGTCGGGTACCTGGAAAAGGGAAGATGTCGAAAAAGGAACTTTCGACTCACCACTCAAAATTCGCCGGATCATACATGTAGACGACGCCCGCGCTGATGTAAATCGACAGCGTGCCGAACCAGAAGACCTGGTGCCCGTCCTTTTGGCGCCCCGGCTGCGGCGTGAACGTGATGTCGTAGGCGCCGGCTTCCCGCTCCAGTATCTCGCGTAGCGTCAGTTGTACAGTTCTGGAAAAACGGGTTGTTGAGGAAAATGTAAAATTGACGTACGGCATCGCTGGCATTGGCGGCGGGCGGACGGGCATCGGGGGTGGCGGAGGCGGAGGAGTCTGGTGGATTGGCTAAAAAACTGTAAGAAAAATTCAGACGCGAATACCTGAGCGGGTGCACCTCCGACGCGTCGGCCCTGCGAAGACGCGTGGATGGCCACCATCGCGCGCTTCAGGTTCTCGGTTATTGTCGGGAACTTGTCGACGAGATCTTGCGGGAATCGGCCCTTCCACTCGTTGTACCACGACAGGACGTCGTTGACCACGGCGCGGTCGCCGGGGGCGCTGTCTAGCCACGCGCACACTTGGTCGAACCACTAAAGTCAAGGATTCAATTTTGAGGGCAAAAACCCACCCTCGGGAAGAAGTAGCGATTGATGATGTTGACCAGTATGTCGTCGTTGATCAGCTTCCGCCATTGAAGCACCGCGCCAAACTCGGGGCATCTAAAAAAATCAAAAATTAGATTTGGTGCTAAAACGCTCACGTCGGATTGTCGACAGGATTCAGGTTCATCGTGACGAACATCTTCTCCAGCGCCGGGACGATGTTCTAAAAAGATCAATAAGAAACTTGAAATCCGAAAACGCACCATATTACAAAAAGCCGACATGGTCCCCTGGGCCCAGACGCCCTTCCACGGCGTTAGCATCACGAGGGCACTAAAAACGGCAGAATTTTGGCAAATTAAAACACGTTATACCCAGGGTCGAGCGGGGTCCACATCTTCAGCGCGTGGGCGAGTGCCTAAAAACTTAATTTTAAAGCCAAAACATGTTTGTACCTGTCGAATCGGGGCGAAGACGGGCACCAGCCTGTCGCCCATGATGTCGAGCCACGGGATTAGCCACGAGTGGATGGGTACTGGAAAATTGTGATAAGCTGGACTTCAACTCGCTAGGAGTTTATAACATCTCTAATAGAACCAAGAATCTAACCAAAGTGATTACAATTAAAATTAAAATCGATTTACCTGGATCGGTCAGCGGGTTCCACTGCTGCGCGGTCTGTTCGATTTTCGGGACGATGATCTGAAGAGAACTGGCTTGAATATAACAATTAAAAACTCACCCTATCCAGCAAATTCTCCTTCATCCAATTGGGCATTATCGGCAGCCAGTGTTCGACGACCTCGATTAGTTGGTGATGCTGAAAAAATTAATTCAGAAAAGCGAAAAATTTTTGAGTTCAAACCGCGTCAAGCCTAGAAAACTTTAAAAATGTCGCAGACGTGAAATACGCGGTCCCCAGGTGAGAGGGAGTAGCGTATGAAGTCCCGCTGATGCTCTAGCGCCCGGTTTTACTCCCAAATGTAGGGACAATGGGGAGTCATGAACGGGGGCGGGGGTCGAACCAGGGCCCTGTGGGCGGGGGGCGGGCGGCTAGCCCACTATACCACAGGTGCCATGGGGAGAGGGGTGAGCGGGGTGGCTTTTTAAGGAGCGCCGATAGAACTGTAAGGTTTTGCGACGAGTTTCCAAATACAGATTTTACTCAAAAAGAGGCAATTTATTCTAAATGTAGAGCAACAGATGAACAGCCTTTTCGCAAAGTTAGAAGCTTCTCTCAACGGTTTTCCGGGCAATACCGTCCGATAGCAGCAGCGGAAAAGGGTAAAAAACGACTAACATATCCAGAATAATAAATCTAAGCCACGCTTCAAAATGCAGGACTTCAATTAAAAAAAATGATAGCATCTACCGACGCTGTTGGGCTTGGGACGCTATATGCCGCCGGAAAAAGGAATACCTGTGTCCGGGGCTCCCATTGTAGCACGGCTCTCCGAATCGCCGGCATCCACCCGTCCCACATCAGTCGATCGAAGGCGGCCAATTTATCTAAAAGAAAAGTTATGCAATTTTTTAATTTCACTAACCCATAGCCACAGCCTGAGCCGGGAACATCTTGGTGTCGGACGTGGCGAGGGTCTGAAAATAAGAAAAATCACTTATAAATGAAATAAAAACGCACCTCCCGCCAACGCCTCATCATTTCGATGCCCTGCGTCGTCTGGTCGGGCTCGAGGGGTCGCCAGCGGGCGAAGAAGGCTTGGATCTAAATGAGAATGAGCTTTTACCCCTCAAAAAAAAGTTACGAGTGGCAAGACGAGGGGCACGGCGGCGGCGTCGAGCTGGTAGAGCCGATATTCCATCGGGAATTCGGAGCGCAGCCGCTCGAACAGCTTCTCGCACTCAATCATGGATGGCTTGGGCTTGCTGGAGAAGCTGAAAAGACGTGAAGATCGATTTTCAGTAATTTTCGGTGCCCGAAAACAAAAAATCGCCAAAAATGCTAGCTCATTTTTTCAAAAATTCATATTTTCGAAATTTCGGATTCTAAAAATCACTTTGTTGAAAAACACCACTGCCAAAAAAATTACATTAATATTTTCTCCGATTCTTCCGAGATTTGCGAAAAACCACTTTTTGACAAAATGCTTTTAGGAAACAGACTGAACAAAAATAAACGTGTAATATTTTTAATGGCGTCATTTTGGTCGCCGCCATTCCAGCCCCAGTTCCGCAAAAACGAACTCATCCAGCAAGTTGAACACGCTCTTCATCCGGTCGTAGTCGCCCTGGGCCCGGTCCATCTCCTCCTTGGCGCGGTCGTAGTCGTGCTCGAGGGCCACGGTCGAGTCCTAGACTCACATTAGAATTTTGAAGCCGTTCCAACCTTTAGAACCCCGAGTTGATGATTTGTTCGCCGGATGTCCTCTTCGGTCAAGTCGAGCAGCAAGTTGATGTTGTGCGTCAACTCCGGGACGTCGAAGCGCCCGCGCGGCTCGTCTTCCGCTTCGGCTCTAAAAACATATGAAGCTAACGCTTTAACGGTTACTTGGTCTTGAGGGCAAATGCGTCGTAGCCGCTGTAGACGCGCTGCTCGGGGCCGGTCATGTCGATGACCTAAAAATCAAAGTTGAGGAGCTCTAAAAAATTACCTTTGAAACGGAGGTCCCCTTGAGGGCACGGATGCTGCCGCCGTCGTTGATCACGTCGTCGACCGTCCTGTAGACGGTTTTGACCTATAAAAGGGAGAATTGAGCTCAAAAAGTTGCTAATACCTTTGTGGTCTTCTTCCAAGTGCCTTTTGGGGGTGCTGGGGCCAAAGGGCGGACGCCGTCGGCTTGTGCAGCGGCCGCCGCCTCACTGGCGATCCGCTTTTGGGCATCGGCGGGGCTTTCTGAAAAAAGCAGGATTTTGTTGTCAAAATCAATGTTTTTAAAAGCGGAAATCAATGTTGTTTCGCTATTTGGGGGCGGGCAGGCCTGGGAATTTTTTAGGGCCGGCCCGGGCCGGGCCGAGATTTTCGCGATTTTTCAGGGCCGGCCCGGGCCGACCTTTCTGCACGAATTAGAAATCAATTCAAATGTGGTTATATAAAGCTGATCTTTACTATTTCCGCATGTATAAGGATTACGCTATCTATCTACACAGCTTAAACAGAAAAAAAGCATTTTTGATCAAAATCGCTTACCAGGAAAACGACCCGGGTTCGACCCCGCCCGAGGTCAATTTTTTGCTTTTTGCTTTTTTTCTACCGGAAACAATCTGAAATAACTGCAATGTCATTTGGCATGAGCTCAGACATTAAAATGTACTCTCAGCTGATGTCAGGACTCCTCTGATGCATGGCTTTAGTTAAGGTCAGAAATTAGGGCCGGGCCGAGAATTTGGCCCGTCGGGCCGGGCCGGGCCGGGCCGAAAATTTTGACCTTAGGGCCGGCCCGGCCCTGACCCAGGCCTGGGGGCGGGGGACGCCATAATTTTCTAGCAATCTAGAAATTCTAAGTAAAAATCAAGTAAAAGTAAAATTTCAGCGCATTTCGAATAAAGGAACTATATTTAAAGGGAAAAAACCATACAAACAAGTAAAAACATTTTCTAATAGAAATTTTGGTCGAAAATCAGTAATTTTTAGTATTTTCGTATGCAATTGCAAGGTTAAAACCTTCAGAAAAGGCAAAGCCGTTTACAGAAGCTTCTCCCGTATACTACGACCGAATCTTCAAGATAGAAGCATACCTCCAAATCTGGGGCCCGCAGAGCTGACCTCCTTCCCGTACGCGCCGACGGCACCTCGCCCCGGTCGTAGCGCCGCTTGGACCGGCTCGGTGATGCCCTGCTTCTGCTTGCCGAGACCTTTGCCTTCTTCCCAGCCCATTTTCTAAAAAAAACAAATAGCTTTCTCGATTTAGTTTGCGTATACCTTCATCATATTCTGCAAGACATTCCCCTTTCCGGACTTCGTCAGCCAGTCGTCCATTTGCGCGCTGTCGACGGTGGAACTGACATTCGAGGAGCGCATGCCTTAAAAAACAATTTCAAGTGATTTTCTAGATTACCGGCAAACACATTGGCCCCTTTTTGTTTCTTCTGCGGCGGCGGCGCGGACTTTTGCTTCTTGTTGAAGTTGAGCTCGATCGGAGCATCCTAAACGACAATTACAAAACTGCTTCTAAACGCACCTCTTCGATCTTCAGCCCCATATTGTTGGTCGACGGACCCGCACCGTCCTCGCGCTCGATCTTGTTGCCCACCTTGATGCCGCCGCTCACAAAGTTCACCGGCGCGTTGTAATTTGGGCGCTTCCTAAAAACAAATATTGGGGCTAGCAAACTCGGGTCTTACTTTCCGAAAGCCGGTCGCGCATCCTCATCCTCGTCCGACGAGCCGCCGGCCCAAATCCCTGAAAAGAAAAAAATCAGCGAAAAGCTAAACTACGAACCTAGCGCCGCTTGCTCTTTCGTTTGACGCCGACGATATTTCCCGGGGTTCATCGCGAAGTCAAGGTCGGCGTCGTTGACCGAAAACTTCTCCATCCCGTCGTCGTCGTCCATTTTCGGGCTAAACGGTGTTGATTAGAAATAAAATTTTCAAGAAGAGAAAAAGAAAAGAAAGAGAAGAATACCGAGGACAACAATTTAGCCAATTCTTCACTACTCGGCCAAGGAAGCGTCCGAGAGCGACCGCGAACGCGTGCATGGACCTCGGGCGCAATTTGTGCAAACGGGCGCAAAAACTCCCACGACTAAAAAAGCGCCCAGGGGCGTACTCGCGGGCGCATTTAAACAGCGAAAACTTTCAATTTTGGGGAAAAAAACGCCGACGTTCCTGGATTACGCACGCATTTATGTCTTAAAAAAAATATAAATTAGCACTAACGTTACTATATTTGCTAGATAATGATGGTCGGCCGTAGGATACGATCTCTTGAAGCGCCATGCGTTCTGGTAACAAAGGAAAAGCGTCGCTACGCAGCCAATGCATTCGAAACATTAAGAATACTTTAGATACAGACCTATAGGGACTCTCTAGATTTATAGACGACGTTCCTGCGGATCAGGGTCATCATTGCAATTGCGAAGCGCAACATTGCCTCCTGTATCTTTGAGCGAAATTTCAATGTAAGTCGGCAAGCAACATCAAAGTAAAATAGATTTTGAGGAACTGCCGGGTGCCATGAAGCGGGAACAAAGTAAATGCGGCTTACGATGTTTATCACGGAAATGAGCTAAGCAACTATGCCTTTTTCTGGGCCTGCATCGCGCACTGGACCGTATAAGTAAGTTCCAAAGGAAATTAAACCAAAAAAAACAAAAAATTTTTTAGTTTTTAGTTCAAGTGCGCAGTACGACCATTTGCTCAGGAAACTAGATGATCTACCACGCGCAAAATTGAAACGATTCGAAGGTGGAAGTTCGAAAGTGAAACAAAACGCCCACGAGCGCGCGCAAACTCAGGTAACAAGGGTAAAGTTTCGCTGCGCAGCGCAACATCGCCTGAATCTTTGAGCGGAATTTGAAAACAATTCGTCAAGAAAGATCAAAGTAAAATGGATTTTCAGGAATTGCCGGATTTCGAGAAGCAGGAACAAAGTAAATGCAGCTTACGAAGGTTATAACGGAAATCAGGGAGTAAGTACGCTTTTCGGGGCCATCCTTCGCGCACTGGACCGTATCAGCAAGTTTCCAAAAGAAACTAAATCAGAAAAAAACAAAACAAAATCTGATCAGATGCGCAGTACATTTGCCCAGGGAACATGAAGGTCTACACCGAGAAAATTGAAACGATTCGAAAGTGGATTTCGAACCCAAATCTTTTTAAATCGGTTACGCCAGGGAATTGGGAGCGGGTTTACGGTGGTGGGAGTGCGGTATGAAGGCTGGGCTGCTTCGAAACCGAGGTCTATTTTATTCAAGATCTGACAGAATCTCGACTGACAGTATCTCGACTGGCAGAATCTCGAATGGTCGTGTAGCCTTAAAAATTAGTCAAACCCACCACCGGGTCTCAGAGCGCGCACGGGGGGGTGGGGAGGGGCGTGGCCGAGTGGTCTAAGGCGGCGGTCACAGGCCACAGGGAGGGGGGTGCTGGTTCGATACCTCTGACCCCCCCGTACCGTCAGATCGTTTTGCTCTTTTTTGCAAAAAGTGGTTGAAAGTGCCAGCAACCCTTCTAAGTGTACCCAATGCCGAAAAATAACAAACTATATGGTTCCTGAGTCAGAAACAAGGAAATCGCGAATAGTGGTGCTGGAGTACTCATTTAAGTCACATAGATATAAAACAGAGCTGAATATATAGTCAGATAGTCATACAAAGTAGCTTCAAGCCAAATAGTTCAGTACTACTCCAGAATTCAAAATTGCTCAAAATGGATGGGCTGAATCTCGTCCATTACAGCCCCCAACCCCGAAAAAGCAAGCAATTGATCATTGGCAAGTCTCAGTCGATGCAAATATACGAAAACGGATCCCAGAAAATGGCTATATTCAAAGAAAAGCGCTGCGCACAAAGGGGTGAATTTTCGGTCTTCTGCTCGCTAAAAAAGTTTTGAACTCCTTATTTTGATTCAGATTTGCTCCGAGCTCTTTTGGAAAAGGTGCCTTAGGGTCTGTTCTATCATATGCGAAAAGCCGCCTCGACCGTTTTTTCTATAAAAAAAGTTATCGCATTTTGAAAGCGCGAAAATTTGTCACTTTTTCCCCCTTTTGTTAAGGCCTTTTGCGGGTCTCAGGGTTCGCTGTGCGCGCAGCCGGCCCACCCGTCCCGTGGAGTGCCCCGTCCCTCGTGCGCGCCCTCCTGAATAGTCGGGACCCCGTGCCACCGCGGAAAACGTTTTCGGTCGCAGAAATACTTAGTGGAATTTTTCAAAAATTTATTTTTTTATTTAATAATATTTCATTAAAATTGTTATTCCTGGTCCCTTTCTCTCATTTCTACAGCATGACGCTGCTACCGTAGCGTATTCGTGACTAGGGCGGAAGCCGGACGCGCATTCCGCTCGGGTGGACGCATCGACTGGGCCGACGGGCTGATCCGCAACCTTCCGCCCACTACAGAACCGGGTCGGCGCTGCAAATAATGCTATGACATGAAATTAAATTGACTTAATTGACAATAAATTATGCTAAAAAATGAAGGGAGTAAAACGATTACCTTGTGCATCTCCGGGGCGGCCACTCGACCCGTGTCCGTGTGGATACGCAGGGTGTATGGAAGAATTAGGGGGTACGTGAGGAGTTCTGGAGGAAACAAATTTTTTTATAGTATTAACGTAGAAATTTTGAGTAACTTAATAGGAAGTATTTTCCTAATGTTTAGTTAGATTTTAACTAGAACAACTACAAAATTCAAAAAATTTTCCAAAAAAAAAAGCGAAATTTTGGTAAAAAAGGGCGTCGTCTTTCGTCGGAAAAACGTTATTTTTTGTATTGTCTAATAAAAATTTGTCTGCGAAATGATCAATGCGAAATAAAAATAATGCGAAAGAACCACTATTCGTCTGTTTTTGCGTTTACTCTACCTTCAACGCTAGGCCTCGTAAACGAATTGAGGCCAAGTAGGCTGGCCACCAGCGTGCATACTTCTTTTGTCGCGTGCTTCCCAATCGGCGTGTAGGAACACTAAACATAGATTTTTACCGAACTAAAAAGAAATTAAAAAATGAGATTAAAATTAAAAAAGCTCAAATAGCTATACATCGGCCTAAGCCTAAACACTTTCCACGACTTGCCTTCATAATTTTCATGACCAACGACGGTAGATTGTCCCCATCAAACGCTCGTTTCAGCTCGAGAAGCTATAAAAAACCCTTACGTTTTACGCAAAATTAGACACCTCGTAAAGAACACATCCCAGCGACCAGACGTCCGATTTTTGATTGTAGGCGCGGCCTGAAACGGAGGTTCTGGCTACAAGAGGCTCCAAACTACATTTTGAGGCTCTAATAGAAGCTTATTTAAGTGCTTACAAGGGAACCACCCGAGGTCGAGGTGGCGTTTCGTTATGGGACCCGGCCCATTTTGTTCAGAATTTTTCGCTGATTCCGAATCCGCTGCTCATTTTTGCCAAATAGCTCGTTTTAAAAAGTTATAGCGCTCCAAAGTTCCATTTTTTCCAAAATTTGTCAACTTCAAAGCCATTTATTTTGCACTTCCCGGATGATTCATCAAAAATGAATATCGCCATCATATTCAGAAAATTTTTCTCTATCGAATGAGCTATTTAACTGAAAATTGTTGGAAATCGAAAACATCGACGATACTTGGTATGGACTTCGTTTTTTGTATGGGAAATGGTGAAAAACAGGCTATTTCACACTCCCATAAGTGATCAACGATAGGCAGTAGCGCAATAATGAAATATACCATTCGAATCAGAAAAAAATTCTCTACAAGATAGGCTATTTAAAATGGATTGGCATATTAAAACAAAAAAGTTGGGCATCGTGACAGATGACCGCCCGCGGGCTCAAATATGATCTTAAAATCGCCGTAACTTTTTAAATCGGGCTATTTGGCAAAAATTGAAAGCGGGTTCGAAATCAGCAAAAAATTCTGCACACAATGGGCTGGGTCCCATAACGAAACGCCACCTCGACCTTAGGTGGTTCCCTTGTTAGCTTCTTAGGTCAAGCCTAAGCCTAAGCCTAAGCCTAACCTAAGCCTAAACCTAACCTTAACCCCAAGCCTGCATAGACCTAAGCCTAAGCCTACGCCTAAGCCCAAGCCGTGCGAAGCCTAAGCCGAAGCCTGCCTAAGCCTGAGCCATGCCAAGCCTAAGCCTAAGCATAGCCTAAGCCTAAACCTAAGCCTAGGCTTCTGTTTAGTCTCATGCTCAACTCTGGAGTTACGCAAAGCTAAAGTGACGGTAAGTAAATTTAGCGTATTTCTGACCTTCACAAATCTCTGGACTCAAATAATGTGGTGTGCCAATTACAGTTGTCGCCACAGATCGAGTTGTCAACTCCTTGGAAATGCCGAAATCCGACAATTTCACCAGCGTCTTTTTGCTGAAATTAGCAGCGTAATGGACCCAAAAATAGTAGGGCTACCGATTCAGTAGGATATTCTGCGTTTTCAGATCGCGGTGTACGATATTGCGGCTGTGCATGTGGTTGAGGGCGATCAGGATCTAAATTAGGATAGCGTAAACAACCGGAATGCATAGCTATGGAGTTTTTGGTTCTGGACTGTTAGCGGGGGGGGGGGGGGGAGGCGGGGGAAACGAAACTTTTCCGTGTGGTTCTCTACCGCCCTATAACAAAATAGAAACCATTTTTTATAACCTTTTACATAGCCTTTAGATAGAAAAACAATGAAAAAATTATAAATTTTCGAAAATTTTTGACGTTTTGGTCAAAAATGTATTAAAAAAAAGTCGTCATAAAGGTCAAAAATTTCTCTTTCAAAATAAAAAACTTATTTTCATAACTTTCTATCTATGAAAAAGTACTAAAAACACTATAAAAATAAGTTATATATTACTAATAGGTGAAAATAGGTGGAAAAATCAAAAAATGCCCCCCCCCCCCCCCCGCTAACAGTCCAGAACCGAGGTTTTAGCTATGGTTTCTGTGAAAACAATTTTGGAAGTAATGGCCATGAAAAATTCGAAACCTGCGTAAAATAATCGATAACGGTGGATTCGGGGAAATGCTGGCCGGTTGCGCGTTGATCGTGGATCATTTTCTCCATTGTTCCCCCTTCTGCGTATTGCATCGCTAAAAAACCGAAAACTAACTCGTATTTTAATTTTGTACAATTTTATAAATGATAATTTCATGCTATAAGCCTATTTAAAGGGGGTCCGAAATGCCAAAAATTGAGTTACGGCCCGAAAACCGGAGTCCTGTACGTTGGAGGCCTCTGTACACCCAGGGGAGCGGGAGGCTCGCAAATTCGGAATTGCCTGTTGTCAGCTTCAAATCATTTTCTCGGCTTTTTCTGGGCCAAATTTTATGATTAAAACACCAAAACTATTTAAAATTGAGTGAGGCTTTCAAAAATGATCTCAGAAAGCGGAATTATAAGGTTTTCACAAAGAAACCGGGCAAAAATAGTTTCGCTCAAAAAACGGAAGAGTGAGACCCTCGTCCCGCAACGCCCGCTGGCAATTTTCCAGAAATCAAACATACCTCCCGAAAAGGCTTTCATTTTGGCGGTCCGGTGCCCCTTTAATGAAAAACTAACCGATATACAGCGTATTATCAAATTTAAAATACGAATAATATCCAATGATCATTGGGTGGCGCATCTTTTGGAGAAGATTGACCTCACCTGAAAAATGTCCTCAAATAAATAAAATAAATAGATTTTTTACAAACCCATAATGGCATTTTCTTCATTGGGGGAGAGGCCGTGGAGAGGATGGTTTTTAGGATTACCTAAATAAATATTCTGGTATTGTATCTTCGTAGCGGGGGCGGGGGGGGGGGGGGGCGGGGCGGGGGAATCAATTATTTTCCAGATATCCCCTTTGGCCCTACAAGAACATAACTAAATTTTATGCGATTTTACGCAGTTTTTAGATATAAATCAAATCTTTAAAAAAACCCAGCAAATTTGAATGTGATGAAAAAGGGTCAAATTTTCAAGGTCTTGAAACTTGAGGTATAAGGTATTTTTATCACATCTTAACGATGGAAAATTACTAAAAACACTAGTATAAAAATACCTTAATATATTAACGGATAGGTATAGTCTTAGGCTTAGGCTTAGAGCTTATGCTGAGGCTTAGGCTTAAGATTATGGCTTAGGCTTAGGGAAAGGCGGAAAAATAAAAGTCCCCCACCCGCTAACAGTTTAGTACCAATATGGATCAAAATGCATACTTACCTTATCCCGATTAGGCGTATCCCTCCTCCTACAAAGCCAACAAACACCATAAGCTCCTCTACCCACGACAACTATTCTCTCGTAATTATCAAGGCGGTCTGGAGAGCCATCATCTTCAGCAAGTCCATTCATGCTGAATTCCGGAGCATAAGGAATAAAAGGACGTAATCGATTGGCACGAAAAGAGGATGGGAAAAGGGACGAGGAGGAGCAGAAACCGGTCTAAGGAATGCCAATTGATAGTGGCTCGCGTATCTCTCTCTCTTTCTCTTTCTCTCTCTCTCTCTCTCTCTCTCTCTCTCTCTCTCTCTCTCTTTCTCTCTCATCTACCACTCATCATCTATGACAAATGATAATGATCCCCTGGACGGATGAGAGGCTTTTCCAGTAAATTGATAAGATGAAGCCATATAAAAAATGTTTTGAAAAATGGTTCTGGTTCGTTAGCGGGGGGGGGGGATGGATACCCAATAGGTCTAGTGAAAAAGGAGTGCGATCCCCACACCCCTGCTAATGAAACAGAACCAGAAAATGCAACAAAATCATAGTTGATAATTTCAAGACCTTGAAACGGCCAACAATTTAGCATGCAAGGTTACGGTAGGCGCTGAACGTTCGGCAAAACCGAACCCGGACCACTCGGCCCGGGACAAGCGCCATGGACCACTCGGCCATGCGAGAGACGAGACAGGAAATATTCCTACGCGAAACTTGGGGGTGAAGTGGGGGACAGGACTACGGGATTCAATCAAAACGTTTCGGAAAGCGATTTCGAATTTTGAGACATTCGCTCTGGACTGTTTTTGGTAGCGTTTTTCAGGGGCATTCGAATGGTGTATATATCACCACGATTGCAAATTCCTACGCATTTTAATTATTTCGGAATCAGCGTTTCAAGGTGGTTCGAATGAGCCCAGGGCGAAATTCTGACAAGCTCGAATGGCTGACGCGAATTTTCGAAAAATCGACGTGGTCCCCCTTGCTCCAAAGTGAACACTTAAAAAATTGTAGCAACTACACGAGGGCCTTCCGAGTTCGTACCAAACCGATTTCGGCACTATTCGGCATGTCCTTTCAGATCCAAATTGAATTGCGTGTTCAAATTCCCGATCGACCGCATGGAGGGGTGAACCAACGCCGGTTCGACGCCCGCCCGCTGCAAAAATCGTTGCTTTTTTGCCAAATGTATCTTTCTCGAGCCCTGGAGTCTATACCGATATTTTACCAAGGTTTTCAATGCCATCCCTCGAAAATTCGGCTGGGTTCCGATGTGCGGCCGTTGTTTTCCCTTCGCTCGTTGCTCTCTTTTTACGACCCGACCGGGATTATTGTCGAATTTGCATACCATTTGCTGGAGAGTTGATATGACACTTCCAATGTCTCTCTACAAGTCGTTTTTGACACTCAATTTCGGGGTATAGCTATGGCCATCCACAGATCACGGCTTTTTCACCCCCTCGTTTCCGGTCGGAATATTCAAAATCGATGCCGGGGCCAGGCGGGCATTGATCTGCCGGCCCCATTCTCGACGGTGAAATCGGCGCATTCGCGCTTTTTATGTGTTTTTGAAAAAGATAAAGTAACCAGCTTAAGACAGATTGAAATTATGCTAACTGATTAAACTAAATTAATTAATTCAGTTAGATTAAACTATACTGAATGTATAATGAACGGCAACTAAATATTTAAGGCAAAAAGATTTTTGATGCTCACCAAATTTGGTTTAAGGTTAGAGTACGCGGGACGTCTTTTTACATCTTCATTCTGCGAGCTCGTTGCATGTTCTCGTTTTTCTTATTTTTTGTTTTTTGTTATTTTTTACTAAATGATCCGTCGAAAAATGCATATTTTTATTAGGAGACGCTCCTGATTTTTACTATGAGCTGCAGTTACGGTACTGGACTGTTATCGGGGGGTTCCCATTATGTCTTCTCACTCTCTTCAGCGCTATAACGAAACATCAACCATCTTTATAGCATTTTACGCTCTTTTTAGACATAAAAAGTTTCTAGACAATCGAAATATTTCGAAATTTGTTATTTTTTGGTTAAAAATCTATAAAAAATGGCCAGGAAAAAAATGGATATTCAAAGTTAAAACCTTTAAAAAGCTGTTACTTTCCTAACAGATAAAAATTACTAAAAAACTTTATGTAAAGCCACGCGAAGCGCTCAAAAGCCCGATAAAAGGGAAGAACCATTTGAAGCATAAAGTTCTACCCCTCACATCTTTAAATGCATCGGCGATTTGATTCACCTTTTTGCCGTGTGGTTACCCCTTTAAGGGAACCGGCAAGGCGTGAGTAATTATGACTCGTTTATAGACAACCATACGCTAAAGGGAAGGGGCGTCGACTCAAAATGTCAAGAGTCCATTCTTCGGATACCCAACCACCACCGGTTTTTCATGAAAAAGATGGAGAAGAACAGAGGCCTGTGGTAGGAATTTTTCCTTTGAAGTCGCTCTTTAAATGTCCATTATATTAAATGGCTTAAGTTAAGCCCTACTACGTTAATCTATGGTTTAAAGTATACATCTCTAGATCCCGTATGCCTTCCTGATCCTGTCATTCATCTGCGTATGTCTGACGTTTGGCTGCTCGTTGGTCACATCAATTACATCGACGCAAATACACGAGTATGGGAATGGATCGTTAGAGGATTGTAAGGGAATGGATCTAAATAATAGATTGATTAATACGTTCAAGTTCTTAATATTATTTTTTAGTCTATTCCGAATGGGATTTCCGCTACGATGCCAGCCAAACGTTTGTCAATTTTACAATCCAAAAACGCAGTTATCTATCAAACCCGCAAAAGGTATATGGTTTTCTAGCACCGATTGATCGCTCAAATGCCTTGTAGGAAATGCTAAAAGGAGTCGACACGATTGGGTTCTTAATTATGGTCGTGCCGTTGATCTGTTTTTACAATAAGTATGGATTTTGGTGAGTCGAAGCGCTTTTTAAAGGGTCTGACAAGCCAGCCTAAGCCTAAGCTTAAGCCTAAGCCTAAACCCAAGCCTAAGCCTAAGCCTAAGCCTAAGCCCAAGCCTAAGCTTAAGCATAAGCCTAAACCCAAGCCTAAGCCTAAGCCTAAGCCTAAGCCTAAGCTTAAGCCTAAGCCTAAACCCAAGCCTAAGCCTAAGCCTAAGCCTAAGCCCAAGCCTAAGCTTAAGCATAAGCCTAAACGCAAGCCTAAGCCTAAGCCTAAGCCTAAGCCTAAGCCTAAGCCTAAGCCCACGCCTAAGCCTAAGCCTAAGCCCAAGCCTAAGCCTAAGCCTAAGCTTAAGCCTAGGCCTAAACCCAAGCCTAAGCCTAAGCCTAAGCCTAAGCCCAAGCCTAAGCTTAAGCATAAGCCTAAACCCAAGCCTAAGCATAAGCTTAAGTCGAAGCCTAAGCCTAAGCCTAAGCCCACGCCCAAGCCTAAGCCTAAGCCCAAGCCTAAGCCTACGCCTAAGCTTAAGCATAAGCCTAAACCCAAGCCTAAGCCTAAGCCTAAGCCTAAGCCTAAGCCTAAGCCTAAGCCCACGCCTAAGCCTAAGCCTAAGCCCAAGCCTAAGCCTAAGCCTAAGCTTAAGCCTAGGCCTAAACCCAAGCCTAACCTAGGCCTAGGCGATGCCGGTCCCTTTAAACTTTTTTTTTAGCCGCGCCTTCCTCCTGGCGGCCATATTCTCGATCGTCCCCTCATTCTTCCTCCCCACTTCCATTAATGTGCAGACATATGTGGTCGCGCTGATGCTCAGGATATTACAGGGTAATGTTTTAGAATTTTCAACCTATTAAAGGCCTAGGCAAGGGGATATTATCGATTTTTTGCTGTGGATTTCCCTTGGAATTTGGCTTTCGACGGCCTTTAATCAAATTTTCAGGTATCGGCTGGATATCTGTGGTGCCATTTATCGGGAAAATCTGCTCGTTTATCGATTTGCAAGAGAATCGCTATACGGCGTGGCTGGCTTTTAGTTATTTGCAGGTTGGAAAGGTTTTTGGATTTCTCTCACTCTCGCTCCCTCGCTCTCTCGCGCGCGCTCTCTCTCTCTCTCTCTCTCTCTGTCTCGCTGTCTCTCTCTCTCCCTCGCTCTCTCATGCTCACTTTCTCTCTCTATCTCGCTCTCTCTCCTCTCCTCTCTCTCTCTCTCTCTCTCTCTCGCTCTCTCTCTCTCTCTCTCCCTCTTTTTGAAGGCTTTTAAAGGGCAAATCACTTTTTAGGCGACCGGTATAAATTTTTATTACGATCAGACTTTTCCAGGCCTCTGCCCTGATCGTTTTTCCGCTGTCCGGAATCTTGATGAGTAGCGGATTGGGATGGCACGCTGCGCATCATGTTATTGCCGGTAGTTTCTAAAGAAACAATAATTTTAAAGGGCCAGTCAAGGAAGTCCATATCCAAGAAAATCCATAGCCGTCGCCTTACACCTCACCTAAGCTTAAGCCCCAAGCCTAAGCCTAAGCCTAAGCCTAAGCCTAAGCCCAAGCCTAAGCTTAAGCCAAGCCTAAACCCCAAGCCTAAGGACACTAATTTTTAGCGGTCCTTTTCGTGTTGTTAATCCTCTTTATGCTGTGCCACTATTCCGAAGATTTCAAGTGGGATGTGGTTGAGAAGAGGTGGAAAGAGGTATCGATTTTTAACCCTAAAAACCGGCTGAATTTAGGTGGTCCGCGGGCATTCGAATGGTTCACATCTCTTCACGATGCGCCTACCCTATTTATCCATTTATCAGGTTTGTCAAAAAAATAGGGGAAACTACCGAAATGCCGACATTCAAAATACCGACATGGAAACAATTGCGATTTCAAGTTTTTTTGCTTGAAAATCAATGAAAATGAAAAGCTAGCGGTATTTTTCTGTCGGTATTTGTCCTGTCGGCATTGTGGCTGTCGGCATTTTGGAGGACTTTTGACGGCATTTCGGCTGGATGTCCCAAGGGGAAATTTCTATACTTTCAGGACATCCAAATCTGGGTTTGTCTCTTCGCTTCGTCGGCCCATTTTTCGATCATCGCGATAGCGCTTGATATTATACCGACGTTATTGATTAAGGTATCATTTTTAAGCTTTTTTTGACGTAGCTGTCGAGATCTAGTCGGCAACGGGTCGATTTTCATCCAAATTTAGGTGCTTCGCGTCGCTCCCGCCGCCGCGGGTTTCATATCCACGATTGGGCCACTGCTCTCCCTTACTGTCGGATACTTTACGATTCGAATATACGACCGAAATAGGTTCAAGCATCTTTTAATCATTAATTTTTATATTTAGTGTTTCCGAACGTACCCGTCTCCGTCTGTTCCACTCTCTATCCTCCATTCTGCCAGCTATTCTCTTCTTATTGGTCGCTTTTATTGAGCCTACGGAGGTAACTTTAAAGAAACATCCAACCACCAGCTTTTTATGAAAAAGCAAAAAAGTCTGTCACGGCCGGGGGCCGAACCCGGGACTTGTGAGCGGCGGGCAAACGCAAAACTAATCAGCCAACAGGCCGATAGGATCAATGCAGGGCAGGCCTCTTTCCCTCAATGCGGACCGGGTCCATACGAGCCAGCTGTGTTTTTTTTTCAGAAAGGCCAAGCTATCATCGGAATCCTGACCATAACGGTCGGGTTGTCCGGATTTGCGTACGGAGGAGTGTTTCGTATGGCACAGCTGAGGAGCAAGTTGGTCCTCACTTATTTTTTACGTATTTGTTTATTCAGACAATTCCACGGCTTCATCCTGATCCATCTACTCGTCAGCCAAGTGTTCGCCTTTTTCCTCACTTCCCTATTGACGGCGCTGATTTCGCAGAATAATGAATATAGTGAGTCAAAGCTAAGCTAAACCGACTCGAAGCCAAGCCTTGGCTGACTGTACGCTAAGCAAAAGCTAGGCCGAAGCCTTAGCTTCAACTTAAGCCGCGGCTCGCGGAAAAGTAAGTCCAGTCGAGTAACCTAAGCCTATGCCTAAGCCTAAGCCTAGGCCTAAGCCTAAGCCTGAGCGAAGCCTAAGCCCAACCTAAGCCTAAGCTTAAGCCTAAGGCTAAGCCAAGTCCAAACGAGCCTAAAGCGGAACCAAGGCTTAGACAAGCCCACTTATCAGCTTAAACGATGCCAAGGCAAAGCCTACGATAAGCTCTAGCCAAGCCTAAGCCAAGCCTATTTTTTTCAGCTGCCTGGCGAAATCTACTGGTAGGTGAAGCGGCAGTGCTGGCTGTGACGGCTTCGCTTTTCTACCTGGCCGCGTCGAAGTCGCCGGCCAACTGGACTAATGAAGGTCAGTTTTTCGCTTCATAGTTCTTTTAAAATATGGTAGGGAAAAGCCAGTCATTTTCCATTGATTTTACGCGTCTTGCTTTGCCAGGCCCTTTAAGACACACATACGTACTTGTTTTAGGCTACGAAGACACGTCGATGCGGCCAAAACGAGACGATCCACTCCCTCAATTCCCGCTGTGATCACTGTAGTTCAGTATTTTAAAGGGATCTGCAACTGAAATCCTACTGATTTTCTTGGAATTTTGCCAAAAGGCTTGTCGATTTCGACTTCCAGGTCCCTTTAAACCAATTATTTTTTGCACATACCTTGGCGAATTGACGGATAAACGAATGAAAGTCAGAAAATAATACATTTCCAATGCATTTGGACCACAAAGATCAAGCTCAGGACGAAGCCTAAGCCAAGCCTAAGCTAAAATCTAAGCGAAGCCTAAGCTAAATTTAAGTCAAGCCTACGCCTTAGCTAACCGTAAGCCAGCCGCAGCCAAGCCTCAGCCAACCCTAACAAGGAGACGTTTTTGAGTGTCGTCGGGACTTTGGCACGGGACCAAGCCTATCTTGTGCAGAATTTTACGCTGATTCCGAATATGTTAACCGTTTTTGCGGAATAGCCATTTCTCGAAAGTTATGAACGATTTAAACCTCAAAACAGCCCAACATCGGCTACTTTCGATAGTCATAAAAGGCTTCGGAATAAGTTTTAGACAAAACTTGAGTGTGCATCTTGTTCAGAAAAAACTTCTCTATAAAATAAGCTACTTAACTCAAAAATGCTGGAATTTTGAAAATTTTTGTAAAATTATGGACCTCCCAATTTATCAAATTTTTCCAACTTTTCAATGATTTTGAAAAAGATGGTACATTTTATAGAGAATTTTTTTTTCTGAACAAGATGCACTATCTGGTTTTGTCTAAAACCTATTTTGAAGCCTTTTATGACTATTGAAAGTAGCCGATTTTGGGCTGTTTTGAGGCTTAAATCGTTCATAACTTTCGAGAAATGGCTATTCCGCAAAAACGGTTAACATATTCGGAATCAGCGTAAAATTCTGCACAGAATAGGCTTGGTCCCGTGCCAAAGTCCCGACGACACTCAAAAACGTCTCCTTTTAAGCCTAAACCTGAGCCTAAGCCAAATCCAAGCCTACCCTTTATTTTTCACCCCCTGAATGCATGTTGTTTACTACTCTCGGGTGTCTCCTTCTCTGCGTCTCTCTTGTAACAGATCTCTCCCCCCGGCCCCGGCCAGCCAGACGAAAACAACACCCTCCCCCAGAAAGCCTATGTAGGCAAAGATTTCGATTTTAACTCGTCTAAAAACTATTTCCACTAGTTTTAATGCTCTACCATGTCGTCACAGTACTTTGGTAGGTTTTGAAGGGTATATTGGCGTATTTTACTAGTTTTCTTTAATTTATTAGCTAAAACGGAGCTAAAACCATTGACAATTGGTTTTCAAGATACTTTCGGCCGGTTTCTTTGATTTTTTTAAGATCAAACAAACAAAAAAAACAGTTAGATTTAATTATGCTATTATCTAAAGGAGCCATGAAGCCAAAATATAAATTTTTCAAAACCATCTAAAAATTTATCTTTTTAGCGGATATTTTTCGATTTTCTAGATTTAAAAGCCGCAAAATTTCGGAAAACTACGAATATTTAGTATTACAGTGTTTTTCAAGGACCATTAAAGCCAAAAATCAACTTTTTTGAGTGAAATTCAAGAAACTAATTAAAATGGATTTTGAATGGTTGTATTCTTGGTTGGTTTTTCAAAGTTCAGAATTGGAAAATACTAAATAAGATCAAGAAAATTAAGCATTACGGTATTTTAAGCTTTCAAGGAATATTGAAGACGCCTTTTTTAAACTTAAAAAAATTGCCAAACCCCTTAAAATTCATTTTTGTGCTGTTTTGGCTGGGGTTTTAAGCTTTCAAATAGGGAAATACAGTATGAAATCCAGATAAACGAAATATTACGATATCTTAAGTTCCCAAAAATCTCCCAAAATCCTTCTATATTTCAGCCAAATCTATTGCACGGGTCCGCTGCTTCGAGCCGTCCAGGAAAGCCGTCTTTTCACAGACTCGAAAACGTTCGTAGATATGCCATTGAAAATGGATCCCGGTAAAAGACGGCCGGTTTTCCGTTCTACAACCCTTTACAGTGCAAACACTTCGGGATTTCGCCCAGCTCGACGCAAAGTCAATTGCCGATCCGGTGATTTTGGCCAGCTTCGTTGCCTCGCATTTTCGCCCGCCCGGCCAGGAGGTATAATTAATTCGGTGTACTTTTTGAAATTAAGTTTGATTAAAATCGTTTTAGTACGTTAAAATTGGCTGTAAAATACATTCGATTACGCCATGATTTGGTGGCAAAACAGATCCTTGTTGCAATCCCTTTAAAACTAACGAATTTTTTGGGAAACCCCAAATTTCATTTTTTATAATTTTTTTGAAGTTTTGATGTCAAAACAGGCGCTGTCTATTCGATTACGCCATGTAATTAGCGGTTATGACGGGTTTTTCGGCTTGAATTCAAAGGCGTGCGCTTTGGCTTAGGCTTGGGCTTAGGATTAGGCTTAGGCTTGAGCACTCAAAAATCCGAAGTCCCGCAGTCCAGACGACACTCAAAACCTCCTTGTAAGCCAAGGCTAAGACTAACCTAAGCCTAAGCCCAAGCCTAAGCCTAAGCCTAATTGAAAGCGCGTTGCGTCTTGCGAAAGCGGAAAAATCCTTAGCTTACAAAAAAATCTGCTTTTCTCCCTTTCCCGTCCCTTTAAAACCGAGTTCCAGTTAATTGCTTGTCATCCGGAAGATTGGTCAGACTTTCCCCTGTCATTTCTACGCATCAAAAATTATGAACAACGAAGATGGGCCCTTCACCTTCATCGAACATGGCGTGATTTATGTAGAAGGGTAGGTCTAATCGGTTACGGCATCAAATACTAAAATTTCCAAAATATATGCCCAATTATAATCTATTTAGGTAAGAGACGAGGTGCGATTACAACCCGAATTAAATTCGCTCCTCTACGTACCGTATCCATTCATTATTCCTGGAGGCCGATTTCGTGAATTTTACTATTGGTAGGTGTATAAATTATTTCCTTTTTTTGTTTGTTGATCTGATTCGTTGTATTAATTATTTATTATAATTAATACAAATAAATATTATATATATTCTGTGTATCCATTTTTCTACCCTTACTTTTTAGGGACACGTTCTGGATTGTGCGCGGACTGCTCGTCTCCGAAATGCCCGTCACCGCCCAGGGTGTCATTAGGAATCTCGCGCACATGGTCCAGCAGTAAGGTTTAGCTTCATTTTATTATATAAGTCGTATAGTACGTCGAATAAGGTATTTTAATACTTTTTTCGATCCACTAAAGAAAAATTCACCTTCCAATTTTATGAAATCGGTCCACGCTATAGCAGGGTCGGTTTCCTAAAGTGTGGATGCGGTCCCCTTGGGGGAAAGAGGGCCTGTCCTTTCCCTACCCATCGGCCAGTGGCTCATTGGTTTTGTGCTCGTCTGCCACGCACAAGGCCCGGGTTCGACCCCCGGCCGTGACGAGACTTTTTGCTTTTTCATAAAAAGCTGAGCGTTGGATGTTTCTTTAAAAGCGATATCTTTAGACATGGCTTCGTGCCAAACGGTGGTCGCGTGTATTACCTAACTCGTTCGCAACCACCCCTTCTCGCCCATATGGTCTACGACTATTTCCTATCGACGGGCGATATTCAGTTCTTAATTGTGAGTTTAATGCATCCAGATCAATAATATAATGTTTTATTAGGAAATGCTGGATGTGCTGGAGAAGGAATTCGAGTTTTGGGTGAAGCATCGCACGCTGGTACGCGCAATTTTAAGTTTTGACCTTTTTAAAGAGGTAGCAGCTTTAAAAAAACGGCTATAACGTAAGATATAACGAGCGCACATAGTAAGGGTGTGTAGGGTAGCGGCTCGGAGTCTAGGCCGAGCCACAGCTTTTCTACGCCTTTTTGCAACCCTTGTGACCTTCGAGGAGTACCAAAACCGATTAGAGGATCGTAAAATACGTATTTACATCGCTTAACCGAATATTCAGTACTTTAGACGCTCAACCTTGGCGTCGACACCCACCTTGCAAAAACCGAGGCGGAAACAAAAGATGATGATCCCCCAAAACCCATCGAAAAGCTGGAGGTATTCCAGTATCGAGTGAAGATGAAGGTGCCAAGACCCGAAAGCTATCGAGAAGATATGCATTTGGTTGAAGGAATCGATGATCAGGGTATGTCGAGAGAGAGAGAGAGAGTGAGAGAGGGAGTGAGAGAGGGAGATAGAGAGAGAGGGAGAGAGAAAGTGCTGCAGGCAGAAAGAGACGCACACTTTCTTTGCAGCCCGTCGTGAAGAAGTATGGTCAGACGTTGCGGCGGCGGCCGAGACCGGCTGGGATTTCTCGACACGATGGTTGTCCCATAATGAGACGTCGCGACATCTTTTGAAAACCATCCGAACCCATCGCCTCATCCCCGCCGACTTGAACGCGTTCATGTGCGCGAATGCGCGGATATTGGCTTCGATTCATGAGATTACAGGTTCGAATTTTTCTGATATAATGGCGGAAGTGTTTCTAGATGGTTTTTACTATTCTTAAACGCAGAAACTTTATCAATTTTTATTGAAAAAGTTGAAATATTTTTTTACTAAACATTATTAAGACAATTCCTAATAAGTTACTAGGCATTTCCAAATTTATACAAAAATTCAATCCCCCCCCCCCGATAATGCGAAAGAACCTAATTTTCCTTTAATTCGAATATTCAGGCGATTTCACCCGAGTTTCCTACTACAACGAACGATATCGAAATCTGAAGAAAGCGCTCCAATTATTACACTGGAACGAGACGGAGGGCGTCTGGTTTGATTACGACCTGGATTTAAAGGTATGGAAAAGCTCGGAAAATAAAAACTAAATTTAGGGCCACCTCACCAGCTACTACATTTCAAACGCGGTGCCGTTGTGGACGCGGTGCTTTGATGATGATGAGGTACCACATCGAGTTCACGCATATCTCCAGGTAAGCCTTAACGCCGAGCTTTTCAGGGGGGTTTTTGTATTTTCCAGCGCACCGGTGCCTTCAACTTCACAAAAGGGCTGCCAACGTCAATGATGATGGCATCGGAGCAACAGTGGGACAAGGTGCGTCTAAATGTCTTAAACGGCCAATTATAACATCGAAATTTAGAAAAAAGTGAAAACCGGCATTTTTTGGTGCCAGTCTTATCGCCCGCGCACGCCCGCTGAAATTGCATTAAAAACGATGAAAAATTTTTAATTTTAGGCAAAAATATATGGAAATGGCCAGACAATTAAATTTCTTAAAATGAGCCATATCAAAGTTTTTGTTAAACAAAAACTGCTAAAACGCTCAACAACAAGCTAAAAACCCTCGCTAATATCGAACTCCCCCGCTAACAGCCCGGTACCGCGCGTCGAGTCGTGTAGAATTTTCTAACCCTAAGAAACCGAACCCTTGTAGGAAAATGCGTGGCCGCCGATGGTGCACATGGTAGTCGAGGGATTCCGGCTGACCGGAGACGCGAAATTGATGAAGGTAAGCCTGAAAAAACCGAGAAACATCAGATACCTTTCGTTCAGGAAGCCGCCCGATTGGCGCGAGTCTGGCTGACCGCTTCCTATCAATCATTCATCCTGACGCACGCCATGTTCGAGAAGTACAACGTGTCGGCAATGTCGGATGCTACCGGGGCTGGGTCGGGCGGTGAATACGAGGTTCAGGTCGGTTATTACTGCCGTTCTTTTCACGCACAAAATTTCGATGTAAAAACGAGGTCCTGTTTCATTAGCGGGAGGGGGGGCTTTTTGTGAAAATGGTTATTAAAGGGCTAGTTCAGCCAATAAAACAAAAGAATTTCCGCGTTCAGGAGTCGAACCCTCTCTGCGTTTTTGTGTCTGCGCCTCTCCCTTTTCCCCAATCTCTAATAGCTGCCGTAATGGGGGACTGTTCGGGCGCACTGTGCCTACGTCCATAGTTTCCCAAGGTACCAGCCCAAGCTCTAAAAGTTGAACCAGCCCTTTAAAAATAAGGTCAATTTTCGAAATCTAAAAACTGAAAAATAGCCTAGTTTATATTACAATAAAGGGCGCTAAGCCCCGCCCGCTAATGAACTAGAACCTAAAATAATTATAGGAAAAAAAGAAACTTTAAAGGGCTGCCGACGGCATAATCAATCGGTTACGCGCTGGAAAGCAAATGTCTCTGCTCCTCTCCCCAGGGCGCGCTCTCTGCCCTGTTGGCTACTTGCCAATTTGTTGATGGGGCGGGGGGGGGGATCGACACATGCCGTCGGCAGCCCTTTAATGACAATTTTCAGACGGGTTTCGGGTGGACAAACGGTGTGATTCTCGATCTCCTCGACAAGTTTGCCGAGCACAGCGCCGCTTCGGCTACGCCACTATGGCCAGTTGTATATTTGTGCGTAGCTATATTAATGCTATAAATTCTATATCATGTAATCGAATTCATTAAATATGCGGCTACAATCGAGTAATGGGCGTCTACACATATCACAGTACATTCGAGACTTACAGAACAACGTCAGCACACTAACCACAGCGTATATAAAATCCACCTCCCAGGGGCGTGGGCTTAATTTAGACAATTCAGTAGGGGAAAATCTTTAAAAAAATTGGGGCATACACGTAATGCAAATAAATAAATAGACACTGCTAAATGGCATCGCCATCTGGGGAATTAATCTTTCTTCAGTTTCGGCGTGTTGACAAAGTCCTCGCCGTTGAGCACGATGAAGGCCATGCAGAGGCAGAAGACGAACATCCAGAAAAGGGTCGCCGAAGCGTTTTCTGAAAGTAAAAGTGATTAGGAGGCAAAAGGGATGTGTAACCTGCGACAAGGATACAGAGCACCGTCATGCTCATCGCAACAGCGGCAGCAAGGAGGGCGATTCCCTAAAGAATAATGTTAATTGCGGTTCTTTGGCATTAACCGGGGGGGGGGATTTCCCATATAAAGAGAAATATGCTCAGTGGCGTAATATCAAGCATTTTAAAAGTGTTTACGTGAAATTTGATGATCCTAAAAGTGGAGGACTACCTAAAAACTTGGGGAAAAAAACGAAAATAAAAACCAATAAAAATCGATATTTTGCATTTTTTAATCGAAATTTGTCACGATTTTAAGCCTGGAGAAAGCAAAAACGGTTTATAAACCCGCTATTGATCCAAAGGAGAAAATGGGTTGCCCACCCCCGAAAATGTGTAGGCACCTAAATCTCTACCAAAAATTTTAAAATTAAATTTTTTTAATATTGTAATATAAAATAAATTTAATTTAAATTAAAAAATTTACCTGTTGATTCAGCGAAAATAGGCTAGCTTCGATGCTGACCGGCAGGTTTGTCGATTCGACTCGAAAATTGCCGAGGAACAGGTCGATAGCGTCCTAAAAAAGGTTATTCATAGTAGGTAGGAAATGGCACCTGTCGCTGCCCATCGGCAAAATTGTTCCTGAAGTAGCGAGTGATCGAATTCACGCCGTCATTCACCGCTCCCATGTAGGTACGACGGCCAAGGCGGGTGTAATCGGACTAAACAAAAAATTATCCTTATTTATAGACTATAAAACTATAAAAACTACAAGTTAAATTATAAAAGATAAACTACAAAAACTTTACCTTCAAGGCGCCCGTCCCCGCATATTGCTTGCTGCACTGGTCGCCGTTGTCGGCCCACACTAAACAAATAAGTTCTGGAAGGTCGAAAAATCGATTTCTCGGGCGATAATATAATTTCATCAATTAAAAATGATAGTTCTTAGGCTAAGGGATATTCAAATTGTCCCAAAAATTCCTTTTCACAGCTATAAAGATTCGAGATTTTGGTCGTTTTGGTCGAAAAACAGTTATTTCTAACGAAAATATTTTCCCTGAAAATTTGTCGTTATTGTGATCCGGAAAAGTCAAATAAAATGAAAATTAAATTAAAATCTAGTAGTTCCGGTGCTCCGATACGTTAAAAATGTACAATCACATCCCTGTCTCAAATTTCGGTAATTTTATAAAAATCGAATTTTCGACTTAATATACTAGAATTCACAAAGTTCCCAGGATCGGGAATCACGGACGAAATGTAAAAACCTTTATTGCCATGAACAAGCTATGTTTTCGCCCAAAAATAGCATAAATAAACATACAATTTTTGAAGGCAGCTTCGAGCTCCACATTATGCTGCACCTCAAAAGATGGCGAATTGATGATGCCGAGGGAGAAGAGCTGAGCAGGCAGTACCGTACGGGCAAGCATAGATTGGACCTGAAAGGAAAAATACGTTCAAAAAGGAAAAACAACATACCACGTTCGTCCTGTCCAAGCAATCCATACAATTCGAGCGGAAGAGGCCCTTCTGGACGCGATTCGCCGCGGGATTCGTAGCGGAGGAGGTGAAGAAACTAAAAAAAACACCAAAAATCAACTAAATGGAAAGATTAGACAATCGAAAACCAAAAAAATTCGACAATTCATACCCGAATTCCTCAATCTCCTTGGAAAGCTGTTCACGGAGAATGCTGAGACGCTCCCATTGCATCGCACCACATTCGCGATGGAAGTCGAAGGCGTGATAACTGGAGAAAGGAACTTCAATTTCTTTGTGGTATAAATAAAGGAGCGTTTCAGGCATGTATCTTACAATTTCTAAACGAAAAACTTCACAATTTTTACTAAACAAATCCAAGAAAATAAATTGTCAAAAAGCTCAAAATTTTCAGGCACATAGCTGAGTTTTTTAAATAGTTTTTCCACTTGCAGTATAGCTAAATTTTACTTCGCTAAACGAAACTAAAAGCCTATTCCAATAATGACTATGACATTACAAAGTCTAACTGGGCCTCCCTGAAGAAATCTGCCCCGCCCGTGGCAATACTAAAGAACCGATTGCCATTGTTTTCTTACCGGACGTATCCCAAATTCGCCTGCAACGCCACGCGCTCCAACTCGCCACCAACTTTCTTCTCACGGCCCTTCTGGTTGACGAGGTTAACGATGACTTGCTAAACATTAATCAGTACTGGGCTGTTAAGGGGGGGGGGGACTGTCGGGCCCAATAATGAAATACACCCTATTTGAAACACATTAGAAGTCTGCGCGGCCCACAATTATAGCAATTACTAAATTTATCGAAGCTTTTTTTGTTGTAAATGTCGGAAAATGGTCAAAAATCTCGACATTTTAAATTTTCGAGCGCTTTTTGCGACTCTTTAGTGATCAAAACCTACTAAAAACCGATATAAATTTGCTTAGTAAGCATACGCTCTATAGCTGTTTCCCCTGCTAACAGCTCAGTACCCATAAATCGAGATCTAGCGAACAGAGAATTCTCACCTTCTGACCATTGTAGATGTCGTGCTGCCGTTGGAAATGCTTAACATAGGCCATTAACTGATCGTCTGCCGGCTTCAACAGAGGGCATGGCTGCCAGCGAAGATTTGGGCGCTGTGACCAGATGAGAGGGATCGAACCACGCAACTAAATACTGAAATGGAAAAACGAGTATCCCAAATACCTCGACAAAACTTGAATAAGCGGTTGGAGCGCCAGCTGGTTGTACAATCTGCTCGGACTCGACGAAATTCGCCGGATGCCCATCGATATTGACACCGCGGCGGTAGAACCGGACACCAGCCCTAATTTAAATTCTCCAAAAAAATGGGATAAACTGACGAATGGATGCTACGTCGCGAAATCAGCGTCAACCAGATGGCCTGCCCTCCGATATTCACACGCTGAGAACCGAAAAACCCGTGGACCAGGGGTAAGCAGAACGGGGCTGCCTAAACGAGCATTTTTAACGTCTACTCTAACTAGAATTTTTAACGTCGTCGGACTTTTTCCTTAGGCGCTAATTTTTTTAGATATAAATGAAGGAAGTGCTTCAAAACGGTTTTACTATTCCTAAATGTGCAAAAGGTTAGTGAAATAGACAAATATTGAAAACCTATTCAATCGATTTTCGAACAAAAACAGTCGGTTTTTATTTCAATTTCGACTTAAAAAGTTTTTAGATAGTATTTCTGGTTGAAACATAGTTATATTTGCTAACAACAATATTAAAATACTTCCTAGTAAGTTACCATGCATTTCTAGACTTAAAGCAAAAGTTCGGCCCCCCCCCCCCCCCCCCCCCGATAAGGCCAAAGAACCGCAAATTTCAACAGTTTTTATCAAATGCAGTTATATTTCGTCTGTAAAACTATCGAAAGAACTACAAAAAAACTAAACGCCTTAGAAACTAGAAAAATGCTTTAAACTCGGCATTTTTGTTCGAAAAACCTGTTTGTTTTTTTGCAAAGCTTCATAAAGTTTTTATGTTTATGGTAGCAAAACAGGCACAACACTTCCTCTATCAATATTTTCAAAAAAAAATTTCGCAAAGAAAGTCCCCTCTTACGATTTTCCAAAGAACTTCGAAACCTTACCTCCTTGATCGAACGCAGCTGCTCCAAGAGATACCCATTCCAGACGAATCTCGGGTCAGCCTAAAGGCTAAAATAGAAAAAATGATTTTTAATCTACCCTCTCGATCAGGGACAGCTCGCGGAAAGCCTCCGTCGAATTCTCGTTCAACCATTGAAGGGAGCGCGTCAAATCAATGTTGTAGCCGAAATAGAACCCGGGGCTCGACAGCACAAGGGCCAGAAGCTCTTGGAAATGCCGCTCATACCATGCCTAAAAATCCCTAATTTCTAAGCTCAATTCGATGAATTCACCTGTTTCTCCGTCAAATGAGCCGTCGTCCGGCGGTACGAAAAGACCTCGGCGGCTTCCATTTGCCATATCTGCTGGCCGAGCAGGTTCCCGACCTGGCGCGCCCGAGTGATGACGATCAGGACAGGGCCTGAAACGAAAAGAATAAGATTGAGAGGTGAAAACAACCTGCCACCAGCTGCACGGTGCCAATGACTCCAAAAATTACGCGAATCTCCGCCTCGGCCATGCGTATCCGCTCTTCATTTTGGTCTAAAAGAAAGAGGTGATATTCAGCTTATAATACTGCACTTATTATACCATGCTTAGATGACCTTTTTATCGATCTATTCAGGTTATACGAAGTGCTTTACCCATATTGACCCTTAGCGGCCCATTCCTAGGCTTAGTTTATGCGTAGCTTCATTTGAAGCTTTTTGTAAGCTCTGTATTGTCTCTGATAATTAAGTTTGCACGTTTCTACGCAGTTTTTAGGCTTTGTTTTTGGCGCAGGTTCCGCGTAGACTCCATATAAGCTTATTTTTAGTCATGTGTCACTCCTTAGAAGTAGGTTTTTCGGCTTAGTATATGCGCTGATTGTGTCTAGCTTGTCTTCACGTTATTGTTAGCCTACATCAGTCCCTAGAAATAAGTTTCCACCGTTCGGCAACGTTTTTGAGTGCTGAATTTCTGCGTAAATTCCGTTTAGATTGATTTCCAGCTGATTTTTAACTTATGCATATCCTTAGTCTTCTTGCCAGCGCAGCCCTAATCCTTTCCCGGCCCTAGAACACAAACGGATCCCTCCCAACTTGAATATCAATAAATAAACTAATAAATCAAATACCTCTAATTCGGATATTCCCCGAAATGCGGTCGATCTCAATGTACTTCGACGAGGCCAGCCCGCCATCCCGGTCTCGCGGTTCGATGAAAAACTTTTCCGGCAGAATATACCTAGATAATTAATGAAATAGAAGACGCTATTCACTTACAAGTTATGGCGTTCAAAGGCTGGCGGATTCTGCATAATTTTTAGAGATAGAGATCCGAAGAAGCAATCTTTTCAGATCTTCGTGACGTGAGTTGTTTCTGGGGAGCGCACACGGGCCGTATGTAATGTGGATTGAAACGGAATTTGGCCGCAGATAGAAGTTATATTCATAAAATTAAAGTATTAATACTTTAAAACGTCTATTTGAACGTTTTGTTTCGTAAAAACGATTGCGAGGTTTTTTGGTACGTTTTTTTTTTGGATATTCAAGTCCCTGGACGCTAAATAAAAAGCAGGAGGCATGGCATCTCTCTCACGCTCTCTCTCTCTCTCTCTCTCTCGTTATTACGTGTCAATGCATATTTTACGTTTCTGGAACCAAAAAAAAAGTTTATTATTGATGAACGAGCCCATTAAATTGATCAAATTCCGGTAATTATAAGTAATTTTTAGGCTTAACAATCCGAAATCTTCGGGGGTTTTCTAGGCGCTTGCGTGAACTTGTTGATGACGCCGGCAAGCTTCGGTCGATTTATAATGGAGAATTAATGGGTGGAGCGGTAGTTTCCGAAAATAAAAATCAATTGATAGAACCAAAAGAAAAACACATAGAAAGTTTGTATAAAAGTGTAATAAATATGAGCCGGTGTAATGTGCGGGCGATTATTGAAGTTGATTTGAGTACACACTGGGGGTTTGGATGAGGATATAAACGTTAAAGGTATATTAAAGTCAAAAAGAGCTTACTTTAAGTCCAAAAAATTTAAGTTTAAAGTCAAGAAAAAATGAAAAATGCGGAATAATTTAATTATTAAAGAAACAAAATCAAGAATTACGGTAGGAGGCGTATAAATAAAAGGCATGTATTTTTGTTAGGGCTTTGGTGGCACGATTTCGATAATCTTTCTGGGGCGTTGGGGAGGTGGAGCTTGGGGTCTGGGCTGAGCTGATGGGTCGAAATAAACGACGGCTGTTGGCTGGCGCGGCACGTAGTTCTGAAAATGGCTTTGATTATTTTAAGGTATTTCTTAGAACTTTATCACGTTATATCTTGTTTAATTTTTAGGTTTTGAATATTTTAATATCAATTTAATTTAAGTACAAAATAGGTCTAGTAATATATTAGCAAGTATTTAGCGTAGAACCGTCGAATTAGGACGGAATTTTTCAGCTCTTAATGGTGGAGGTGTGTCTAAACGGTTTTTTGCCATTCCTAAACGTGAAAACTTTACAAATTCGATCAAAATTGTGAAAAATACCATTTTTGGCCAAAATGCCGGTTTTTTAGATAGTTATACGTAAGTTTTTAGTTGAAATATATTTATACCAGTGGAAAAAGACCGCTTCGCGGCCCTTTTCCACTGGACCCCGTCTAGGAATCATGAATTCGCTTTCCTTTTATTGAAGCCTGCGGCGCTAGCTACTGATTTTTCGCTCGGATTTAGCCTGCGGCGCGCAAGCGTAAGTCAAGGACCTTCTCTTTGGCCTGCGGCGCCAGAGCCAGCATTGCGTTAGAATCTTTGAGCCTGCGGCGCTAGTTACTGGTTTTTCTCCAGGATTTGGCCTGCGGCGCCAGAGCCTGGGCCAAGTACGTTTTCTTTGGGCCTGCGGCGCTAGAGCGAGGGCCAGGCCGAAACCGCGCACACCGAGGGCCTAGCAATATTGTTTTGTTGTTGAAATCTCAAAAAGCAAAAACTTAAATTCGGCGCGGATTCGAACCCCGGACCACGCGCTTGTTAGACCGGGCGCCAATCCGCTACACCACGGGGCGATGGCGATGGGTGGCGGGAAAGCCCTCTTCTGTCCTGGGGGAGGTCCTCACCCCGGTAGGAAGAACTTCTGGTAACTTTGCAAAATTTTCTTTTTGAGTCTGAATGCGGCAAAAATTTGCAAAAATAATAAGATGCGCGTGATCCCCACTATCGAATACATAAGTGGACCAAATTACAGACCAAAATTCCATCTGGGCTTCGAGTTATGCCCCGGACACCACGGCTCTTGGCCCATTTTATTAAGGACCTTCTAGTAAATTGCTCATAAAAACTTTATTTTAAGGAATTTGGCAAAATCCAGAAAATAGTATCGGGAGAATTGTTTCTTCCATTCACCCTCCAAAAATCAGCGCCCAACTCCTCTTAGCGGCCGAGAAAACCTCCGGACATACCTTTTTTTCAGCGAAATGTTAAGGATTTTTCACTATTTTGGTTGTAAAATCGTCAAATGAAGGAATTTCGCAAAACAAAAAAATGCATCACTGACAAATGTGTTTCTCCACCTCCGTGCCAAAAATCAGCTCGAAATTCGGCCTGACCGCCGAGAAATCGGCTGTACAGAAAACAGACATACTTTTCTCGCTTATAGGATAGGATTTGACTAAAAACAATATTAAAAAACTTCCTATCAAGTGACTAGGCATTTCTAGACATACAAAACTTGGGGCCGTCCCCGATGCAAAGGAACCGTTAGTTGTCGAATTTTAGCCGACCCCCGTTCGTGAAAAGTTCTGCGGTATCGATTTTGGTTGGAAGATTGGCCGACCTGATCGTCTCCGCGGTGTTGGTGTTGTGCGGAATATCGTTTCGGGGCTCCTCCCCTTCCCCCGGTCGCTGGCGGCGGCTTGGTCCGGTCGAATACTGGAACGTTTTGACGCGCATTTCCGTTGTGGGAGCTGTGCCCAGTTTCGGCTGCTGCTGCCGCTGGTTTCGAAAGTGGCGGGAAATCTGAAAAAAAATAGATTTCGTATATAATAAAGTAAGGCGTGAAAATACTTATTTTCAACTTACCACGATCATCATTGCGGAATCGCTGATCGTCTTGGTGACGAGCTGGTGGCGCTCTTTCTCCACCCGCACCTCCGCGACCGCCACGTCCACGGTAGTTTTGGTTGTGGAAGGACCTGAGAGGGGATTTAGAACTGTTTAATAAGTATTAAATAGCTGTTTTAAGCTGTGGTTCTTTCGCATTATCGGGGGGAGCACAAATTTTTAATTTTTTTGTATTAATTTAGAAATGTCTAGTAACTTAATAAGAAGTATTTTCATAATGTTTTTAGTAAAATAAACCTAGATTTTAACTAGAAAATTTCTGAAAACTTAAAAAAAAAAGAAATTTTGAGCCGAAAAATCTAGATTTTTTGCATTTTTTTCATAAAAATTGTAAAGTAAAGGTAAATCTTTAGGCCTAGTAAAAAGCCGTTTAGCAACACTTCCGCTATTTGTGTTAAAAAAATTGATTCTTAAGAAAAAAATTCTCCCCCCGATAAAGCGCAAGCTAAGCTTTTTTAATGCCTACCTCGTGGGATAACCGCCCTGTTCATACCCTTGATCCCTTCCCTCCGCTTGTCTCGGAGGCCTGGAATAGGCGTCACCACGGGCAGGGTAACGTGGTCCATAGCTAAAAGTAACGCTCGTTAAATATTCTCAATTTTTAATTTTTTAACCATTTTTGTCTGAATATTTTTGACTTACTTTCCGCCCCCTCCGCGACTCGGTGCTCCTCGCTGTCGTTGCGGGATCGGAGCGTAGCTGGTTCGTTCGTGAATCGGCGAGCGTCCATAACCACCTCTGAAAAAGAAATGAACCATATGGTATTTATATTTTAGATTTATCAAAAAATATCGCTTTCTTTACATATAAAAATAGCAGCTGGTTCTTTCGCATTATCGGGGGGGGGGGGGCTAGTTTTTTTGCATAAGTCCAGAAATGTCTAAAAACTCAATAGGAAGCGTTTTGATAGTGTTTTCAGTAAAATATAACCGTATTTCAACTAGAAGAACTACCGAAAAACTTTCAAGAATCAAATTTAGGTAAAAAATCGTTCATTTTTGGGCGAAAAATCGATATTTCGATACTTTATAAATAAAACTGGAAGTTTTCATGTTTAGGAAGCAAAAAGCCGTTTAGAAACACTTCCAGTAATTACGCTTGAAAAATCAGATTCTAAGACAAAAGTTGTTTCCCCCCCCCCCCCCGCCCGACAATGCGAAAGAACCTCAAAGAACTGGATATTTAGCTGTATCAAACACACCTCCGATATTGTGGACGTTCCCGATAATTATTCTCCTGCGGCTCATCATCCTCGTAATATTCCTCGTCTTCCTGCCGAGGGGCTCGGCGTTGCGCTACAAATCCGCCACGACCGCCCCTTCCGCGACCACCACGCGCCCTTCCATTCGAGCCGCGATAGCCCTGGTCGCCGCGCTGCTGTTCCGGCTCGTGCTCATCGTGTCGTCGTTCTTGTGGCGCCCTTCTTCTTGCCGGCTAAAGTAAGATGATTAATCTCGTGGCAACAAAAAGAGCTAAATTCCTTTCAAACTCTTAAAAATGCCAAAAAATGCGGGAACAACAAAAAGTTGCTGGCTATTTAAAATCTTAATAAACTCGGTACCATCCCGGATCACAGGTCAGGTCCACAGTTTAATTTCAAGAAAGTGTAAATAGATCACAATACAGAAATTATTTGCAAGCCGAAACCGCTAGAAACTGGATCTGTCCATTTTAATAAGATGCCAGCAACTTTTGGTTGATCCCACATTCTGTGGCATTTTTAAGAGTTTGAAAGGAATTTAGCTCTTTTTGTTCTTTGCTTTGAATTCGAAATTTCACTTTTTTTCAAATTTTAAAAGCCGATAGTATGCAAAAAGTGTCGCCGGTTCCGATGGTGTATTCAGTTTTGCGATCCGATGCTTGGTTCTTTTTAAATCCGGAAAAGGGCCCCAAAAGAGTCGTATGGCCGGGGGGTACCTCAAACCAAAAGCGGTTAGCGGGCTACGCCCGCTAACCCCGATAAAGTGAACCATTGTTTCAAATTTTTTTTTTTGGACAGACCTGAGGTGTAATTGCGCAAAAGTTCTATTTCAAATAGAGTATCAAAACCTCCGGCCATACCCCTAAAAAAACGCCGTGAAAACGAACCTGCTCGTGTCGCCGTTGTTCAACGACTTCCGCTTCTGGCCCTTCCTCATATTCGGCTTCATCATCTCCTTCATTCTGAGAGGTGCGCGCCGGCCCATTTCGATATGCACCACGCCCCCGTCCCCGGCTTCCACCGCGTGCTCCACGACCGCGCGCCTAAAGTCGTTGATTGTCCTGTTCCTTTCTTGGTTTTATCGTTTATTATATTTTATGGTTATGTTAGTTTTAGTATCTTTTGCTCTTCCACTTTTATCAGACTTACCCTAGGTTCCCCGCGGGCAGGCCGCTGCTGCTCATCACGTTCCCGTCGTTGTTCTACGACTGGCGCCTCGTCTTGAGAGTTCTCCTCAACAGCATTCCCCTCCTCAATGATTTCTCCATTCTCTCCGCGCCTAAATTTTCCTGATAAGACTTTCGTAATTGCAGCTAACCTGATATCAAAGCCATATCGTTTCATCAATTGCTTCTTAGTTTTCGGCCGTTGGTAGCGCTCATCAAAGCGATCGTGGTTCCAGCTCCCGTCGGCGCGGCTTCTGCGAATCTCTTCTACGCTTTCTCGATTAGCCTCCTCCTCCGGTTTTTCCTCGCGGCCCGCTTCCTCATCGCTGCTTGAAACGCGCGAGTCGTGCATGTAATACCTAAATCAAGATTTCATCAATGAAGGCTGTTAAACGTTTTTAAGAGCTAGCTTTATTGCTATATTGTTTTTGGCGGGGTTTTAATTGTAGCTCTGCCCACCTGGGATTACGGGGGATGTAGGCGGCATGGTCTTCTTTCTCGTCATCGTCCAGCTTTTGATCTTCCTCATTAGCGTCTCCATTATTAGAGCCCTAAACGTGCTTTTTCTATCAGGCTGTCTTCTAAAAAACCAACTTCTTCCTGAGCATCGGCTGCTTCGCCTTCAGGCTTCTCGACTTTGCCGGCTTCCGCTTCAGGGTTTTCGGCGGGTTTCAAGGGTTTATCCGTTGCCTTCTCATCGTTTGACTAAAACGGTAACGGTTAATTGAATTTGCATGCTTTGATCAACTGCTGGGTGTAATTACAAACAAACAATAATTAAAAACTGTAAATTTCTAACGAGTTGAACTTACATTTTCGTCGGCGACCACCGGATCGGTGTTAGGCGCTGGCTCGGCCATTTACCTGAAATATAACTTTATTATTAACTTTTATTGCTTTAAAATTATAAGAAAATCATAACCAAAACGTTCAACACAAATAAAAATTAGTTTGAACGCGGCCCTTTGCCGTTCGCCGACCCCGCTGGTTGCCAAGTGAACGGCGGATTCCAGTTTGTACTCTGTACACAGTGTGCGTTGCGGGACCGGGGCGCCTTTCGAATAAACTACCATAGTCGGCCCATCTGCCTCTGCCGAATTTCTCTTTTCTCTGCGTTTTCGCGAGTTTTTCGGCAAAAATCTATCATTTTTGTTCGTTTTTGGAGTCATTGTAGTTTGAAAACTTTTAAAATTCATCATGTACTACGCTGAGTACATCCGGATTGAAATGGTGTGATTTCTCGACTAGCTTCACGGCAGCTTTCCTCAAGTTTCACTATTTCCAGCCGGCATTATTTTGCGTGGCCCTTTTATTGAAAAACTTCCATTATTTTCTTTCGAAACGCTCCTCGTTCGCGCTGATTTCTAACGATTGTAGTTCTATTTAGAGATGCCCGTCTTCAAACGATTGGTTGAGGTTGGCCGCGTGGTCTTCATTGCTAAGGGCAAGGATCAAGGCAAGCTGGCCACCATTGTAAACGTCATTGACGGAAACCGGGTACGTTTTTTGAACAGTTTGGCTCATACTCTTATTTTCCTGATGATGGTGTGATTCTAGGTACTCATCGATGGACCGACAACCGGGGTCGTCCGTGGCGCAAGGAATCTGAAGGACCTCCAGCTCACGAAGTTCACCGCTGGCGTCCGTGTTGGCCAGAGGACGAAGGGAGTGCAGAAGGCTTTCTCCGAGGGCAAGATCGCCGAGAAGTTCGCCGATTCCACGTGGGCCAAGAACATCGCGCGCCGAAGCAAGGTACCCGCCAGTTATTATATCGATCTTGTGCGACTATGATGCTGCTAGTGATTCATTTATATTTCCCTTCATAATTTTTTTTCCAGGGGGCCTCCCTATCCGATTTCGAGCGATTCAAGCTCCAACGCGCCAAGACCCTCCGTAACCGCCTTGTCAGGATCGAGCTCGCCAAGTTGAAGAAGTCTGCTAAGCATTAATTTGTTTCAATAAATTGTTGATTTTGGATCTCAATTGTAAATTTGATGGTGTGGCGTTTGTAACGCACGGAACTATCTTGAGCCTTCGGCTTTTTTATGTTCGCTCCACGTCTCTTTTCTTCACGACTTTTCTATTAACTTTCGTGGCGTATTATATATAGTGGATTCTCAGGTACACACCGAGGACTCAAGGACTTCTGCAAAATGTCTGCTGAAGGAGAGGAGGTGCAAATTCCCGCCGCCGCCCCCGCGGTCCCGGCCACCCCCGCCACTATGGATGTGCAGACTGCCTTGAAGGCTGCTCTGAAATCCGCTCACTACGCCGATGGTCTTGCCCGTGGACTTCATGAGGCTGCCAAGGCCCTTGACAAGTTGGTTCATCCGTTATTTTTTACACGATTGCTATAGGCGTGAGGCTCATTTCGCCGTGCTCGCCGAGAACTGCGATGAGCCCATGTTCGTCAAGCTCGTCGAGGGACTCTGCAAGGAACACCAGATTCCTCTGATGAAGGTAGCGTTTTTTGCCTACGATTTTGCGCTTTGTCGGGAAATCTAGCCACTATTCTTTTTAGGTCGCCGACAAGAAGCTCCTCGGTGAATGGGTCGGACAGTGCAAGTACGACAAAGAAGGAAAGGCTCGCAAGGTTGTCGGTTGCTCGTGCGCCGTCGTCCGGGACTATGGCACGGAGGAGCAGGCCAAGGCTGTGCTCCAACACTACTTCGATTCCAAGAAGGCCTAATTCTTTGTTGATTTGTTTGTTTGTTGCATAAATTTTTAAGTTGAAGCCAATGGCTCATCGCAAGACACTTGCTGATCAGATATCCTCCGCAATCGTAAACAAGTCTTACGGTCGGAGTTGCCTTGTTAGCGCGCACTGAACCTGCAGCGACTTGCGTATAGCTGGCGAAATCTGCGGCTGATTTCTTCACTAGGCCGGTTTTACATTACTACCATGAAGCTGGACATGCCAGCCCTCTGCGCAGATGCCGTTTAGCGGTGCGTGCCGCGCCGTACAGTGATAGTACGCGAAAGTGAGGGGAGGCGGGAGTAGTGAAGGGGGAACGCATATCCACAGACACAATGGCTGCAATGTCGGCCAGTCTCATATAAATACTAGCAGAGATCATTTGGCACACGGCACTGGACCAGTCTTTCACACGCGCTCCCCCCTTACCCCCGGGGCACGGCTTCAAGCAGACCGGGCAATATACTCATAATATACACATAGCTACATGGCAATCAGCCAGGTATGTTTGCTGATAAGTTTATTTAGTTTATTTACCTTTCGAAAGATAAGGTCTCGAAGTATCTAGCCGCCAGCATGGTTCAATTGCGATAATTTTTAGCTCTCTGGCGCAGGATTTCTACTGTTAGCTTCGACTGTTGTTTTGGCCGAGCCCGAGAATCTGGTTGTCGATAGACCAGAGGTGTTTGTTGTGGGGTATAACTAATACATTAGCCCTAGGTCTCTTGTGGTACCGATGCCGTGACGGTCCATTTACATCTTTGGCCAGGGTTCGGCGGCAGATTGTTCGTGCTTGGCCACAGCGATGATGAGCACTGCCAACACAGGCCGACGGTACGTTTTATGACGGCTGATAGTAGTTCCGTCGTGCCCTGCGTTGAGATAATAACAATACTAAGTTTTATTTTTCAGGCGTCCCAATCAGCCGAATTCGCCCTTCCTTTTGGCGCATGTGGGATGCGCCGAATTCGCTCGTTACACCCACGCGGTGTTACTTATTCCTTCACCCTCGTCGTCTCTTCACATCCGGTATACTTTAATCAGTAGAAGCGTTTTGTAATCTCAGAAAGCGGTAAAAAGTAGATTTACCGCGACTAAAGAATTATTTCAGGTATTTGTGACGGGTGCTGACCGCGCCTTTTCCGTGAAATGCTTCTTCCGCGAAGACGTGCGAAATTTGCATAACAAGCTGGAAGTGGGGTTGGTTTTCTTTTCTTGGTACAACCTTGTTATATACAACTTTAGTGGGCTCTCGACGGAATCGCTAGAAGAGGAATTCGAGCCCCCGCGATGCACCTATGAACTCAAAGCCGAGTCGGGTAATTTGGTTTTTATTTGTACGGTGGCCATGCCTTATTTTAGGAGAGGAGCTGCAGTTTGCGCGTGTCGGCCAGCCTGTCGTTCATTCGTGGACGTGTCATCCTGGTTGGTGTAATGGCTTCACCATAATTGAAAGATGTCTGCTTGCCTGCCCTCTGCCCTTCTAGCCTGCCTTACAATTCAGCAAAGAATCTCTGTTAGCCTGCCCTCCGCTTCCTCAAAGAATCTCGACTAGCCTGCCCTCCGATTCATCAACAAATACCCGCTAGATTGCCCTCCCAAAAAACCTCTGCTAGTATACCCGCTTTTCCAAAGAATTTCCGCTACTGTGTTTTCGATTCCCAATGAATCTCTGCTAGCTTGCCCGCCCGCAAATTCTGAACTTCTAGACGTTCCCTCGGTCTTCGGCCTGTTGGTGCACAGCTGCGTGGTGGAGGACGGCGATGGGGAACGCTTCGAGCTCGTTGATTCCAGCGGGTGGGTTACGGTAACCGGGTCAGAATTTAGAGTTTAGGTGCACAACGGATCCCGGGCTACTTCCAGCTCTTGAGTATTCACCTACATCCCTTACTGCCTCCGTACACTCGCGTATCTTCAAGTTTGCGGATAGGGTAGGCGGATTTTTGGCAAAATTTATTCCTTTGTTGATAGCTTTAAAAAGGCTAGCAAGGCATCCGATTTTTGGCCAAGAATGTCGATAATCTAGCCGCGATACGCAACGCACGCGTAGCGTGACCGCATGGGTTTTTCAGTAATATCGGGGCCACCTAATTTTTTTCTTGGGCCCAAATTTTCTCAGATAAATAGCGGAGGTGTTTCTTGTTTTGTTACTATGCCTGAAAGGAAAATATTCTTCAAATTTTTTGTAAAAAATGGTTTTTCTACCAAAAACGATCAAACTTTGAACAAATCGCGACGAAAATTTTTTTCTGTGTTTTAAAAATTGGTTTTCCACTTCAAATACAGTGAAATTTGGCTGTTTTCATTTCAACGGGTTAAAATGGTTATTTGGAAGTTATAAAGCCTAAGCCTTTCAAAATCCAATCCTCCAATTTCAGGTGCAAGTCTATTTCCGGTGTTCGGTGCAGCTGTGTTTCCGGCACGACGGCGGATGCGACGGGGTGACGGTAGGTATATTATAAGGCTTTTCCCCCCACTCTCAGCCCCCACAATGCCACGGCCATCCCGGTCCGCCACCCATCGATGCACATCCACCAGGTACGAAAACGAGAATTTAATTATATTTTTTTGTCTTTATTGAAACATTTTTATTTTTTCTAGAGATCCCACATCCGGCCCCATTCTTGCTCCTCAACCACGGGTACGGTAGGATTGTACGGAACCTTACGTAGCATCATCACCATGGAAATGTCTGTTTTTTTCAGACCGAAAAGCTCGGAGTCGGACGAAATCTCAAAATCTGTCGGTAAGCTATGGGAAATGGAATTAAAGGGACGGACAAAAGATTGCTACAGATTTTTGGGTTCTAGACTGTTAGCGGGGGGGACCAAATTTTTCCCCGTGATACTCTACGGCCACTCTACTCTATTTTGTAACTTTTTGGCGAAAATTTATGAAAAGGTCCACAAAAAAACTAAAAATGTTCAAATTCAAAAATGGCGAAGGCGTCGCGGGTCGCGGTTCCTTTCAAAACAAATTTAGAAGCCGACCACCCGCTTCTCAATGGAAATCCAATTCTAAAAGGGTCAGCATTTCTAATTTTTAATTAGCGTTTAACGAAAGTTTAACTTCTATATTAATTTTTTAAAATGATGATTTCCAGAAAACCGATCCTCCTCGGAGATGTCGACGTCTTCCTCGGGAATGCTACAAACAGAACCCTTCGCCCAGAGACATCTACCGTGTCTGCGGATCGACTACTTGCTGCAAAGGTATATTTTCAATATAATGTAACAGCTTGAATTTACATAAATACCGCCACATCGATTATATTAAAATCTCTGCAGCAATTCGCACCAACTACCGCCAGAACCACCGAAACAACCCGGCACGCTAGGGCCCTGCAATCTGAGTTGTCGGTAGATGTCGTCGTGCTACCATTCGAAAAGACGCTAGGTGGGTATAATCAAAAAGAAAACAAAAGTTTTGTGCAAAAAATTCCCAAAAATGACACCTATCGTCTATTACTTCCCTTTCCTTTCTATTTCTTTTATTAGAAAGTCACCTAAAATCTTTGGCAGTTTTTGAATAAAAATTTGTAAAGTTTTAACGTCTAGGAGTAGTAAAAAGCACTTTAGAAACACTTCCGCTATTTATATTTAGTAAAATTGGATCCTGAGAAAAAAGTTGCCCCCCCGAAAATGTGAAAGAACCAAAAAAAAAGTCGCCTACCTTCAGGTCCAAACGGAACGCGAACTGAGCAGCAACTTCTGAGCCCAGGCCCCCAACAAGCTGTTGTCTGCCTATCTCGTGTGGGTACTGTGGCAGCTGGATGGGCCATCGGACTGCTCGTGTTCATCGGGGCCGGCGTTGGTCACCTACTGGGGCGCCATCTGGGCAGAAGACGATTGAATGCCGCCGCCCATCGACACTCACCCTCCTATAAAGCTTATGGAGAATAGACGACGACTAAATCGATAAGATCAGAAAGAACGAACCCCCGAAAACAACTAAAAATGCATAAACACTTTTCCTCGCTGTCAAAGGAGCAAAAAAATAGCGAAAATGGCATACAGCTAATCAGAAAAGCTTTCCAAGCCTGGAAAATGCAAAAAAAACTATCCAAAAACCTTCAAATTAACAAAAATCGGTTCTGGTCCGTTAGCGGGGGGGGGGTTTAGGTGACCTTTTGATCGAAAAATCGATTTTTGTATTTTTAATCAAAAATTTGTAAAGTTTTACGCTTAGGAATTGTGAAAACAGTTTAGAAGATTGAAGAGAAGATGAAGATTGATAGAAGATTGATGGTTTTAGGAACTTTCTATGCTTAAAAACGGCGTAAAAATCTAAAAATAGGTCTATTATTGGGATACTACGGCTCGATTGGCCAAAGTTAGCCCCCCGCTAACACACCAGTACCTAAAAATCTACATAAAAACGTTGCAAATGATTCACACCGGAAATGGCTAAAAAGCGCTCAAATTCAATTAAAACAATGCATTTTCTACCCGTTTTCAAAGCCGAACGGCTACATCTTGCTATTCATCTTCTAACCCTCCCGCATCCACGACATCATGATGGCGCCACGCGCCGGCTCGGCAATTGTAGGGATCAATAAAAAAGAAAAATACACAATAGTCTAGTTGCTAATCGCCGCCGTGTTTCTGTTCTCATTCGGTGAGCCCGCCCCACCGCCCAGCATGCGCGAACGGTTTCGCCCCGTCGAAAAGCCTGTCGATGGCCTCAGAATCGGTGATGAGAGGCCCGCGCCCCGAGAAGTTCGTCAGGTCGAAGTAAAAAGGTACGAATCAGGGGCGGAGGCATACGCGAAACTAATTTTAGTACGGCGTCAACGCCGAAGGTAGAGGACTCTGCAACGAGTTATCAGAGTCCCCTGTGAGTTTTCGGAGAAAATCATTAAAATCAACCAAAAATTGAATAAATTAAAGTAAGCGCAAGCTACAGGTTTTTAGGCAAATTTTCGCGATATTCCTAAAAAACTTCCTAAATTAGAAAATTTGTTGAAAACCGGTCTTTTGAGTTGAAAAAAATCGATATTTTTTGCATTTGGCTAAACTCCAGTTTACCCCCCCCCCAGGCGAGATAGTAGGCCTGGGGGAGAGGGCGCAGGCGAAGAGATAGTAGGCCTGGGGGAGAGGGCGCAGAGAAAAGGGGCGTCTGGGGGGTGGTAAACTAGAGTCTTACCTTGCATTTTCCTGATCAAATATGAGGCTTTTACGCCAAGGGGTAGTAAAAAAACGGCTACCGTTTACTTTACCCCCCCCCCAGCCGGAAGTTTTTGGCTATAACTTTTTTATTTTACATTATTGTAGGCTCAAATTAAAACCCTTAGTATATTTTTTGACGTTCTATCGAATGGCATTGCAAAAATCCCGACAAAATAAGCGAAAATACCGACAACTTTGAGACCCTTCAGCTGTGGGGGGTAAAGTAAACTCTTACCAAAAAAACAGTGTAGAAACGCTTCCTGGTTTCATATAACGAAAATTGGATCCTAAGAAATAAAAGTTTGTCCTCCTTGCAATACTAGAGAACCAATGCTACCTATTATAATCATACTAACCCTACTAATAAAAAAAACTAAAAGCAAAGCCTATACAATCCCACGTTTAGCGAAAAGGGCTTTGGACGGCTGTGGTGGTGGTACGTGGCGGCGCTATTTCTCGTGGTCAATCTATGCCTCTGCGATGTCGGCCTCTGCCTCCTCAAGTGGCACCGCAAAAAGATGAGGCACGAAATCGAAGGGAAATTCAGCAATGATCCAAGGGTAAGTTTATCATAGCTTTCGTTGGAAACTAAAACAATTCTAGGGCGCGGTGGTGGAAGACGAGGAATTCAGCGATGCCATCACTTACATCTATCATATCATGCCTTACGCTGAAATGCAATAAACTGTTTGCTCGTGTGTCTAGAGAAATTGCCTCCATCAAAAAGCGGAAAAAGTAAAAAAATAGCGGATAGTAAAAAGGCCATTCCGAGGTGATACTATCCGCGTATTCCGTTATTTAGTGCACGTCGTCTACCGTTCAAAGACGCACATCGTAGCGCGCAAACAGAATTTTACACATTTTCGCTTTACCTGAAAAATTAACGAAGCAACTATTTCTTCCGAAAGATTTCTTTTTTCACGTTAACCCTCATTGGTTTTCCCATTTTTATAGAAAAATCGATAAAAACATCAGTTTTTTTAGGATAACCTTGGCTTTTGCACGTCTATTCATTTTTTGCTTGCTTTTTCTTACTAACTGAGCCTGGTCATGACTGAAAATTGATTAGCTTGAATGTTTTCTCTTTGAAAAACCGGTCTCTATTGCTTGTGGATAACTTTTTGAATCCAGCGCCATGATTGGCCCGCAAATGGTGGATAAGTCTCCATCGCAGATCTCGATGAACGATGAGAGCAAGCCGGTCGTCCTGTCGCCAATACGCTTATTTGTGTCGAATTTCCCCTTCAAATGGGATAAGGAGGATCTGAGGAACTTTTTCAAAGAGTAAGGTTTTTTGATCAGCCGCATGTGGTTGTTTGTCATTGTCTAAAGCTTGGCGCTTTTTGCTTGTCTTTTGGATAGCATTTATAGAATTACCGGCTCAAATATCTTTAGTTTTCTCGTTCTCGGATGCTTGCCTCAAATTTATCTGCTTTTACAGCTATGCTCCCGTTACGGACGTGGATGTTGTTTACAATGATCGTGGCAGCAAAGGATTCGGCTTTGTTACGATTCCAGACGAGCAAAGGTTTTTCCAGTTTCAATTTTAATTAGTTTCTTTTAGGTGCGAAGCGGCTCTGTTGTCCCTGAACAAGAAAGTCGTCGAAAGTCGTGTGATTGAAGTGCGCCCTGCGCATCTCACGCGGCATGTCTTGCAACCAGCCTCGTCTTCCCCTCAGCCGTACCATCCCCGTAGTATGTCCTCTGCCTTTACCAATTTTCGCTTTGTAGAAAAACTGAAGCCAATGAAGATGATGCAGCCGATGCCTCAAAATCAAATTCCCATGGCCCCCGTGATGCAAGGATCTCCGTATCCGATCAATTACGGTGAGCATCGGCGTATTTTTTTATTTTGTTGTTGCAGGCGATTATCCGATGGGCATGCTCGGCTTCAACCCAATGATGCACCAATATGTACAGCCCGATCTCCAACAAATGGTAGAAAAGCTCTTTTTTTACGCATAGTTTCTCTTTTAGGCGCCCTTCCAGAACCCCTACTTGCCGATGACGCTACAACTCGTCCCGTCCGCATTCCTAAACCCGCTTGGCCAAGCGGCTGTGATGAACTTACAACAGGCCGCCTGCATGATGGTAATTGTTTGTACGGGTTTCTTGGGTTCTTTAGTATTTGTGCAATGATACTATTTTTACCTTTTTGAAATAGTTTTCTTTTGTTGGAGGACCTGCCAGACCACGCTCCACAACATCTTTTAATATTCCTAAACATAAAAAATATCGAAAATATCTATTTTGTTGTTGATAGGAAAATTAACAATATTCGACTCAAATGGAAAATATTTAAACGGATTCGGTTTTCCAAATAGTTTTGCTACTTCAAAGGCCTCTTTTGTCAGAACGGCTATTCAAGAATTTCTATTGAGTTACTGGAATTTCTGGGCTTATGGTGGAACTGGAAAGAACTAGGATACCTCTAAATCCTCAAAACGCTTGTTTTTCTTTTTGTTTTTTTTTTATTGCCTTTATAGCAACCGCAACTCACCCAGCCCCCGTTTTTCTACATGGGTCAACAACCATACCAGGGATGGCCCATGGTGCCCCCTGCTAATAATTCGGTATGCCCTGCCTTTTACTCCATATTTTTCATGCAGGTTTGCAGCTTGAAGCGCCGCCACGATGAGGCGAGCGAGATAGATGTCGTCCCAAGCAAAATGCCCCGTTGAGCGCCCCGTGTAATAATTAATCACATTTCTTATTTTGTGCCCTGTTCCCCCTTGTATCGCCATGTTTTCACTCTGTAAAGTTGTTGTTCTGATGGTCATAAATGTGGTTTGGCCTAATATGATGTTTGGGAAACGGGTGATCCGTATGTCGGTATACGTTTTAAAGGATTTATAGATTAGCAAAGAAGCTCTTCATCGAGTTGTTTTTTGTCTGACGGGCAGCAACAGAGAGATCTGGTTTGGCAGGCTTTTCCTACGCAAATCGATGTTTCGGGCGTTGGAAGCTTTTTGTCGACGAACATCGGCTCGATGATGATCTGAAGGGATTATGTTGTAAGTAGCAATTTACTAGTATTTTGGTTTTTAATTTGCCATGTAGTAATTTGAACGCGAAGGAAACTTATGTTACTTATAACGTCAGTTCTGTAGCCTTATAAGTCGAATTACGGTGCATTACCGCATAATTTAACAATGCTTATAATTATCAAGTGAAACCGATTGATCGATAGAAATGGCTTGCCTTGCCTGTCCCACAAGTCGACTTGAGGGCATCTTGAATGCATCGGCCGACTTCATTGTAAAGCTTAGCGCCGATCCGTCCCCATTCTCTGTCCGACTTGTCGACCTTGATGGCCACGCGAAGATGTGCTTCAGAAGCACCACGAGGCCAGATCCGGAAAACGTGGCAATGCCGAATTTCAACTGTTGGGAACTAAAAGAGTCTTTGTTTTTCTATCTTGCGTTGTTGCCGCACCCTCGCATGAACGTCCTTCTTGAGGAAGCCGAGATCGAACGCTTTGGGAGCGAAATGGAAGAGATATCCTCGGAGGTGACGGACTAGGTAAGGTTTAGAAGTCTAAGGCATAGTTACAGAACGGGAAGGCGAGTAGTATAGTGATGATCGAGAAGATGATGGTGGATAGAGGCACCAAGTGCTCCCACAGCCAATTTTCATAGTGGGCCAGATGAGAGAGGCCAGCCACTGCGCCCATCTGAATAAATATATATTTGTTTAGTTTTCTATTTATGTCAATATTTTTAATAACTTGAACTTTACAATGTAACCAGAGCCCACACTATTATTTTACCAACAGGATGGGTGGGAAATAAAAATCAGACCCCTCCCCCGTTAAACGAAAAGTTTTAGGAAACCTTGCCGGGAATCTCATACCTTCTCAGGAAAGCTAAACCCGCGGTCGGACCCGTTCTTTAACCCGCGGTCTGTCTGCAGCCGATTCCCTTCTTATCCCGCCTTCCAACCCGCGGTCGGGCCCGTTCTCAACCCGGGGTCGGACCTTTCCTGAACCCAGCTCCAGCCCGCGGTCTGATATTGCCACTAGGCAAGCCACTTCCGGCGCTTCCGCGCCCGCCTTCCGACTTAAATTTCTAATACCACGCTTCGCGTGATATTAGAAACTAATCTGATCTTCCCGAAATTAAGATTTCATTTCTACGGAACACTTATTCTTGTTTTTAGATGCTTTCATTGTTTTAAGAGTTGCCATTTCCCACAGTAATAATAGTGTTGCGCTCGCAAGCAAATATTCGGGTATTGCGATAAGCAGCGCTTGTTTTCTGGTAGATGGCCTAAGCAATACTTTAACAAGTTTCGGTTGCGAAAAAACCGAGCTACGTAAACTAAAACTTTGCTTGAAAATATTGCAAGTTGTCTCGTAGATTCTTCTGCGCATTCCGTATAAAACATAGACATCGTCCTCTATGTGTTACCAGATGGTTACAGTCGCTTCGCGACTGCAACCATCTGGCCTTCGGGCCAGGGGCTTATTTCATTAGCTTTATTTCATTCGATTTTATACGGACGGGAAATATTAAAGTATTGTGTAGGTCGTCTACAAAAAAAGTGATAATTCCAACCTACTGCAGCCTACCAACACTACAAACAATGAAAACATAAAAACACACGAGTAATTTTTCCAAATAAATCTCAGTTTCTAATCCTAAACCACTAGCATGGATGATTTCTCCGAAATTTGTCAAAAGAAGTAGCTAACACTCAAAGGCACCGATTTTACGTTATTATAGTTTTATTAGGACGAAAATTAAACAAAAAGAAACATACGCTCCTTAGATCGAACCGGGATTTCAACTGGGCGCGCGCAAGTAATTTAAAAAATTTTTTGGGAGTTCGATGTCGTCATCCAACCCGCCGTTAAGCCGTCTTCGACCCGTTCACAACCCGTCCTCACCCAGCCCATAACCCGTTCCCTCTCAACCCGCGGTCGGACCCGTGGTCTAACCCGTTCTTGGGTTTCAACCCGCGGTCTAACCCGTACTCGGCTTCCGACCGCGGCCGAACCCATTCCAACGGGTCCGACCGCCGGTTTAGCTTTCCTGAGTTTAGATACTTTTATTTTCTTACTTACCACAACAGCCGGCGTGCACAACAGCCCGAATACGGGCGCCGTCCGCTGGTAGCCAAAGTGCGGAATCGTCCGCGTCACGATCAGCACGCTTTTCAACAGGAAATCCACGGCGGCGGTGACCAGGTACCCAACTAAAGTCATTTAATTTAAACTTTACGTCTTTGCGCCGTACAAGGTATCTTGCCGGTCGAGTCATGGCCGTGATGATGATCAGTGTCGGCAGCCGCGTTCACCTGCTCCGTCAACATCTCCAGCGCGTGCGTCGCGTTCACAAAAATCACGCCCACCATCGCCACGGCCGCTACGGAGCTGAATTTCACTGGGAGGTAAGTCTAGCGCTTCCGCTTCTTACCGCCAAAATAGACGTCGTGGGCCATCGGATGGGTCTCGGGGTGGAGCTAATGATAGTAGTACTAATAAGGATGTAGCTAGTGGCAAAAAGCCGAGAATTACGCCATACCAGACGAATAGGCCAGCCTGAAATTATTCGTGGCTTTTTAAGGGATTCACAGATTAATTTTTCTTTCGTTAGAGCACTGACCTGAGCGACACAAAGGAGAAGGACAGCCCAAAATGGGTAGATTGATTGCCGCATTTAGTGGATGCTACAAAATTCTAGATTTTGAGGTAAAAAAATATTTAGAGAATCGTAATAAAATGAAGAACTTTAGGAGCCGCCTTTTTTGCCGAGGGCACCGAATCGATGGAGCAGCCCAGACTGCGAGGAGATGGCCTGACGGGTTTTGATAAGGCGAGATTTGCACCCAGTTGGCACCCGCGGCATTTTTAAAGGTGCCGTAAAGTCTGGGAGGGAGCAACAGTGGAATTCAGGGGGAAAAAATTAATTTTAGCCATAACGGCGCTTTTTCAGCGCTTTTCGGATTCGAGAGTAGGCCTATATTTTGCAGAATTTTACGTTGATGTGAAGAGCATTTAGAGAAATCGATATTTTTAAAAAATTACAGGGAGTGAAGTAACCAACTTCTCTTTCGTAAGACCTAATTTGAAAGATAAATATTGAATGTCTTGCTAAATGGTTTTATTACCATGGCTAAGCGTGAAAACTTTGCAAATTTTTGTTAAAAATATCAAAATATCGATTTTCCGACCAAAAGGGCCATTTTTTACCGTAATGTCGACTTTTTCAAAAATTAACCGATAATTTTTCTATTCTAATATAGTGATTTTTTTATTAAAAACACTATTAGAACACTTGTTATTATGTTATTAGGCATTTCTATATTTATACAAAATTGCCCCCCCCCCAATGCGAAAGAGCCAAATTCTGTAAGTGATGATTTGGTCTAGAATTCCAAGACATTTCGAAAATTATCGTTTTTTAGCATCCACAAAACTTTTTAAAAACGTAAAAGAAAAGAACATAAAGGTATAAAGGGTAAAGTAGCTTAGCGATGGCCTAAATCCCCCACTTGGGGGCCTGTAAAAAGGGGCGTTGAAGGCAAGGCGGATTGCGTCTTTTCGTGCAATCCCCGAAACATCGTTTTTGCCCTCGCGGTCTACCTGACTAATTCCATGCGGCCATACAATGCTGTAAAGTCATGTCTTGGGTCAGAGATTCCCAAAAGTGACACACGTACTCAACCCGCACCCTGGCCTCGTGCACGAGGCCAGGGGCGTGGGGGCGTTTTGACGTCACCGCTGGAGATTATGCAAAAACGTGGGCGTTCAGAAAAGCACACGCTGCAAATAATAGTGTTGTGGGCGGTGTGGCTAGAGTATCGAGGTTTTTTGGTGCTTTCGCCTTATCGGGGGAGGGCAAGGTTTTTTTATAGGTAGAAATGTCTAGTAACTTAATATGAAATTTTCATAATGTTTTCAGGAAATAAAAAGGTATTCCGCCTAGTAAAACTTCAAAAAAATTTAGAAAATTCGAAATTTTGATCAAAACGCGGCCATTTTTGGTTCAGAAATCGAGATTTTTGTATTTTTTATTTATAAAAAGCTTTATAGTTTTTACGTTTAGAAATAGTGGAAAAAACAGTTTAGAAACGCTTCCGCTATTCATATTTGAAAAATGCACCCTAAGACCCCCCGATAATGCGAAAGAACCGGGTTTTTTCGATCTTTTTCGTATGGAAGCTTATCTTTTTTAAGATCATACTGTTATTTGGTTGGCATAGGAGGTTTTTAGCCTTATTCAATAGTCTTCCCTAGGCTTATTTATTTCTTTACTTTATTTTTGAAGCCTAGACAGCCAGCAATCGAAAATAATTGGTTGTTTGCTCAGGCCGCCGTCCAAAATTTGCCACATTCCATCCTGGGGTTCATCGCAAAATTCTAACTCTAATGAAAGGAACTAAATCGATCTTATACTTAACTGATTAAATATGAGTCTCGTCGAAAGTATTTTTCCGAGATGCTATTCATGTGGGGAAAGGTGTAGGTGTATTTATCTACAATTAAATTTATAGGGAATTATCGAGTTCTCCGAGCCACGGGCCTTGAATTGTTATCCTTTAAAGAGTTGCATAATCCGATGAAGCAAAAACTCGACTTTTAGCGCCGTCCATCTTCTAGATTTCTCCATTTTCAGTCGGCCAATCAGCCACCGCCAAACATGCACCTCGACTAACCCTCTGCCGCCGCACGATCTGCGCTCGATGCGCCGATCAAAAATGCGAATCCCGCGATCCATGCGATTCATGTTCGAACAACTGCTTTGCCGAGAAGCTGTACACGGCATATGGATTAATCGGTAAATCCTCCGCATCAGACCATCAATTTCAGAACTAGATTTTATGGATGAGCTGGTGGGCAAAGGAGGTGTCACTGACGTTTTGGAGGTTGGTCTCAACATGAATTGGAAAGGAAAAGCATGAATAAGAAAAGAACGGAAGGTTCCTTCGCATTATCGGGGGACGCTTTTTTGTATAAGTGTAGAAAGGCCTAGTAACTCCGTAGGAAGTATTTTAATACTATTATTTTTAATAAACTAAGATTATATTGAAAAACTACCAAAAAAATTCAAAATGTCGAAAATCGGGGTTTTTTGAATCGATTGTTCGAAAATCAATATTTTTGTATTTTTTTTAATAAGAAATCGTAGGCGCCCCTGATAATGCGAAAGAACCGAAAGGAAGAACAAAATGGAAATAATGCAAAATGATAAAATAAAAGTAAAAGTAGCTCATGAAACAATTACAATTACAGCTCCACCCCCTGGAATTTGAGGCTTTACACTGTCCGGTCTGCCTGGAATCTTGTAAGTAAGCAAAAACCTTATATAAACCTATGATCGTTAGATTCTCAAACCCCGCTGAACGTCCCCTGGGCCCTTGGTTGTGGGCATATACTATGCACTAGATGCGCACTCACCATTAGAAAAGATCGGTAAGGCTTCTTCTTTAAAGGGATAGGGGCGGCATAAGTCAATCGATTACGCGCGGGAAAGAAAATGTCTCTGCGCCTCTCCCCTGGGCGCCCTCTCTCGCCGCCGGTCGCGCTGGGACCTGTTGAACCCCCCCTCCCCAAGGGGGGTTCAACAGATGCCGTCCTCATCTCTTTAAGGTTTTTGATATCCGCAACCCGGGATTTCTAGATCCGATGCTGAACGGCAGATCCATTGCCCGGAAAAGACGATGAAGATCATCTGCTACAAGTGCCAATTGCAATCCAGCTTCACGGCCAACCGGCAAGATGCGGAGTATATCAAGGGTTGGGCATTTTTGCCTTAGAAAGAACTAATGATTTAGAATTGATGCAAAAGCTCAGAGACTTGCCCCTGACCACAAATGATTTGCTGACAGAACCGGTAGTTTTATTTTTGATTTCTAAAAAGGCAAAATTTAGCTATGTGTCAATTGTTCCTCCCCACATCCTAATACTAACGAAAAACAAATTTTGGCTGAACTGGTATGTCTAAAACCGTATAAATCAAATAGCTATTTCAGCAAAAGTCCCTCAGCGCGGCCCTGATCTATGAAATGGGGAAAAGAATTTGTTTTGATCCACCACTTGAAAATTTTGTCGAAAAAGTCATCAACGATTTCAAAACGGTCTCAATTCTAATGATTCGTATAGCTAGTTCACTTTCAGAATCATGCCAAGCTTTTGGAAGAGCTTGGATGCACCAGCCGCGCGTCTGATGCTCGCGACCTGTTTCTACGTTCCAGAGACCAAATTGAACAATTCTCCGCCCTAACCAAATCCCTATTGGAGCACATCGATTCCTACAACCTTGAAATCTCCACATTTTTGCCGAACTCTTGATAAATTAACGAATTTATTAGGTTTTCAACGAACGAAAAATCGAGACCAATTTCGTGATCACATTTTTGGCAACGAACAAACAATTGGCAGCAAAACATTAATGGGGCTATCTCATTAGTTTCAAAGATAGTTCCTTTTCGAAGGCTCAACGACGGCGGTTTCTTGGAGAGGATGAGCGCCTACTCAAATTGATACTGGATTCATACGATAAAATACCTTGAATTACGATCGCGGGAGCGAGAGCGATTCCCTCGGCTGAAGCGGCTGTTTGAATTCTAAATGGATTTCTGCGAAAAATAAAAAATCAGCATACTGAATTTTGTGGCTTCCTGTAGCGTTCCCGTGACATCGAACGGGATTTTGAACGGGAGTAAGAGCGGGAACGCGAACGGGCTGGGCCACTGCTTGACTCTTCCTTTTTCTCTGCAGTTTTAGCGAGCTCTTCATTCGCCTTCTGTGGGTCTTCTATCCCTTCCATTTCGAAGAACTTGTCGTGGGACCAGTCTCCGTCTATTCCGGTTTTTGGGCCTCCCCATGAAGAACGTTGGAAGCGGGGCCGGTCTTCGCGATTATCCTAAAAATGAAAATGACATAAAATTTCTGAAAAAAAAAATACCCGATCTTGCCAGCCGCCAAAATCACGCCTTCCACCTCTATCGCGTTGACGGTTGAAGCCAAAGTCCTTGCGAGGGTCGTAGAGCGATTTCCCGTGCCATTCGTCTTTTTCGCGACTGTCGTGCTAAAATAATTCAATTAGTAAAGAGGATATTCTTGTTCTGGTTCGTTTGCGGGGGGGACTAACTTTCTTTATTCCGCCACTGCAAAAAACATAGACCATTTTCAGTTATTAGGCCCTTTCAAAGGACTAAATTTACTTACTCTTGACCAAAACGCCAAAATTTGTCGAAAATATGATAATTTTTATAAAACATTTATATGTTAAAAAGTATTCCTACGTCAAAATAACCACGGCCGCGTGGCACCGAAGCTGGGTCGACGAGCTTCAACACGGGCTTTTCTTCTTCAACAGGATCTCGCCTCTCGCGTTCTCGCCTGTCGATGTCACCAAAGCTTCTGTCACGACGCGAGTCACTTGGCTCGAATCGGCGCCCGTGGTTTCTTTCCGGAAAATCATCCGACCGCCTAAAAAAAAGTTGTGCCAAATTCGATCCCAATTACCTTCCAGGGAAAGTGAGACGTTGGCCCAACCGTCGGTTTTCGCCGAATCCATTGCGATTGTTAGCAATATTGACCCTAAAAGGAACATAAAGGTAAGGTAAAGCTCTTGTACCTTCTGGCAGGCGGGCCTGATCCTCGTGTGTCAAGTGTGCATGTCTGCAAAATATTCTAGAAAAGCTAACGGCATAAAACTTACGATTCGCTCACGCGGTGCCGAAGACGTCTGCTTACTCCCATCATCTAAAAAAAAACATCGGAAAAAGAAATCGGCACTTATCAAGTTGGGGGGGCCACTTTGTTTTTCGACTTTTTGAGTCCTTCTAGGCTAGTTTTTCGTGCTGGTTTCTGATATAACAAAATCAGCGTAGTAAAACACAATTATCTAAACGTTTTTAAGATTTAGAAATGCTTACACCCAATTTGAGCCTAAAATTAAGGCTTCGTGCCACCCGGGGCCTAGTCGCTTCGGATTGTGTGCGAGCTCGTACAGGGTTTCGAAATCGGGGCGCCCGAGGCGCGCGAAGCGGCCAGGCGCCCCTATTTCGAAAGAGTGGAGCGGCAGCCCATCCGAAGCGACGGCTCGCCTGACAATGCGGCAAGCCTAAAATTGCGCATAAGTGCACCTTTTGTTAATAAATTTTTACACTGTTTTTCTGGATAAACTCAACCGTTTCGCATGCTGTTGCGGCTCCATTTGCACTCAGCGTAAAAAACTACCCCAGAAAGAGTCGAAAAAGCGATAAAAAAGAGTCTCCTAATATGTACCCAAAGTGCCCCCCCCCCAACTTGATAAGTACCAAGAAATCTACAATACCATGGGTCTTCTTCCCAATGCTGAGAAGGTCAAGCTCGTTCACTGCTGACGGCCGTGGCCCCGTGCTGTCGCCGAACATCCTGAAATTTATTATTTTGAAAACGTTATATACATAATAATACGCCGAAAATATAGAAAAATATGTACAGATGAATTATTCCGCTATTGAGATCCTGGGAGAAGAAACCTAAGTACATATGACACCCGAAAGTGAGCAATAGGAAGAAGAGGCAAAAATGGACGTGAAATATATATTATCCTAGCTAAAAGGAGAGATCGCGTGATCCTTTGGTTTTCGATTCTTCCCGATGGAGTCGTGATCGTCCGGGCTTTGGCAGACGTGTGATAGGCGAAATTCGGCGATAAGTGTTGATAACCATATAACGGCTGAATGCTACGTAGAGGTAACGGAACCACAGAAGCTGAGATTTGTGTTGTCGCATTGCCGCCAGGGCAGCGAAAAAGGTTCTTGGGGTCGCGAAAAAGCGATATGGGGAGCGTAGAAGTGAAAGCGGTGCATCCCATGCCCACGAATACTTTCTTAAGACATTGACGGTGTCCAGGCAAAAAACCTGAGTATTTGTGGGCAGTTCGCTGCGTGTGTACAGTTCTTGAAGGGCTTCAAAGATGGAAATGTGATTGGTATGGCCGGAAACGCCAGCTTCATCGAACGTGATCACGACGTCGGCCCTGAGAATCTTGACGTGGCGCAGAATAATCTCCCGTAACTCGAGGTGATCCCACGCGTGGCCATCCTTGAAACTGTCATAGTCGAGCACTGTTAAATCCGACTGGTTGATGCCCAAGTATTCGACGGCGTTCTTGATCTCCCGCACTCTGGTCTGGCCCTGGCCGTAGAAGCCGCCATTGGAGACACAGAGCAGGAATAGACGATGCCCTTGTTTTGCCAATGATGTGATTGTCGGGGCGAAGAACATTGTCTCGTCATCAGGATGGGCGGTGACAAAGAGTATATTTGTCGGGGTATTTTCCAACGGCAAATATCGATGGCATGATGTGATGATGAATATGTACGACGCGGAGATGAGCAACACCAGCGCCGACGTCAAGAGCTGAAGGAGCGAGAAGGGCTCCTCAAACATAAAAATTCTTCGAATTCCGGTGAGTTGTATCGATATTTGGATGATTCGGGGGCGAATTGTTTGAACCCCGGGCTACGTGACGCTCCTATCGGCGCCCTGTCCTTAGCGCACGCAGTACGAAGCAATCCAAAAAACTAAACTGTGTCGTTTTGGGTTCGTAAAGCAGCGGCCCGGAGCGCGACCGCTTGCTTTTTACAACTTTTTCGCAACTTTTTCATTAGTGCTGTAAGTTTAATCGATACTCCCAAGTAGCACCCACCTATTTTTGAACGAATCAGAGCATCGCGAATGTGAAAATGTCCAGATTTAATCCACGAAAAGTGATGCGCTGTGGCGCCAATTTCACGCATATTTTTCAAAACTTTGAAGGACTTTATCTTAGAAATCTTTATCAAGGAACTTTCGGATGAATTGCACTGACAACGAAGATGCGTTTACAGTCTAACACCTACGATTTTTCATGTTTTTGGCGCGCATGAGGTCTATTGATGCGCGCTCACTATCTGACGGGTTCTCGCCTAGGTGTTTTTCATAGGGCATCTTGTAAGACGTGGTCACTTTGTTGCTGTAAAATTCATAAGCATCATTGTTATTTCAATTTCATGCGGATGAGAGTGGGTGTTAGGGAGACTACAGACCACGAGAGACAGTCTGTCTCTAGCCCTCTCGATTTTCTGCCCTGTGCGTTGTGCGAATTTTATGAAATTGCGGGGGATTTCTGCGGCAGCTGTTAGAATTACGTTCGCTCACACTAGCTTTTCTAGATGATACCACTATTTCGAGGCGTCCTATAAACCATTGCGCAATGGATTAAAGCATCTTACGGATCTTCATCATCTTACGAGATTCGCTATTTTTGATAATTTCCGTGTTTTTATTGTCTGTTTCCAAACGCCTATGGGTTCACGAGGATTATTATTATTTTTCATTTCAGCGATGTTGGCACCGTTGCGGTCTCTGGCCAGCCAGAGTATCCGCCGCCTCGCCACCCCGACATCCACCCTCGAACTGACGGTAATCAATTATTATTAAACAACCCATTTTCTTTAGGGTGATGCACCGAAGGGGCTGAACAAAACAGGGACCCCGTTCGTGGCCCCGAGCAGCACGGCCGAATATGCCCTGGCTCGATTAGGTATTACGTTTTATTAGTTTTAAACCAGACCTAGATGACGTGATGAACATGGCGCAGCGAACGTCGCTTTGGCCACTAACATTCGGGCTGGCCTGCTGTGCCGTAGAGATGATGCATTTCGCGGCGCCACGCTACGACATGGATCGTTATGGTGTCGTGTTTCGTGCTTCTCCTCGACAGGTAATTTGAACAATTGTTTTTAACGTTCCTTATTAGTGCGATTTGATTTTCGTCGCTGGCACGGTGACGAACAAGATGGCGCCTGCCCTGCGCAGGATTTTCGATCAAATGCCAGAAGCCAAGTACGATCAATTTTTTAATATAGACATCTTTTTGTTGAGGTGGGTGATCTCGATGGGTTCGTGCGCAAATGGCGGCGGATACTACCACTACGCCTACTCCGTTCTGCGTGGATGCGATCGAGTGATCCCGGTACTTATTTACTGTTTTTTTTTCATTGTTTCCTAGGTCGACATTTACGTACCTGGTTGCCCACCAACCGCCGAGGCGCTGCTCTACGGCGTTCTCCAGCTCCAAAAGAAGATCAAGAGGAAGCGTGAGGCCCAGCTCTGGTACCGTCGTTGAGGTTAATTGGCGTTTACGATTGCTTATCGACATTTAAGCCGTTATTGTAACTAGGCGTAGATGTTTTTCTTTACTTGTACTCTTGGTGCAGCCTTTTTGCACATGTATATTGTGGCCTAAATAAAACTGGGTATTGTCTGAATAAATTTTCCCCAACCCTTTGTACTTTTTTCTCTGGTGCGGTTGCTGGAAACCCGCGTTGATTACCTGTTTTGCTTTATCCATTCTCGCCGGCCTTAGCCATAGGGCGCCTAGGAAGTGTTTTGTTTTGTCTGACGTAGCGGAAATCGAACCGCCAAAATATGTCAACAGCGCGAAAAATTCCCTGACTGAGAGGAATTGGCAAGGACGGCGGGAATAATTGGTGTCTCCACTGATTTCCGGCCGCTATCCCCTCCCAGGCAACCAGATTCGAAGGCCAGGCCGAAATGGAAGGAATAGCGGCCACAACCATACGTAATGTTTTATTTAGGCATGGCGCTCCTCGGTCGCCTCGAGCTCGACCAGATTGAGGTTGTCAGCTAGTTTAGAATTGACGGATTTTCAGCAACAATTGAACAGCTTCAAGTTGACGGAACTGCAGCCTCTGATTGCCGAATTGGGCGGTGCGAAGTTTGGAAAAAAAGGCGAGCTGATCACGCGGATCATGGCCTTCGTAAGGGATCCGGTGCGGCAGCAGCGTTCTATGCAATTGGTTTGTTGACGTGCCAAATTTGTTTATTGTACTAAAATTTAGGTCAGAAGCTACCAGAACAGGTCGATGCGCCCGGGGCCGCCGGTAGCTATGTATGCTTCCTTGTGTGTAAATACGTGTTTTATTTTAGGGGTAATCGATACGGTGGCTATAGCATGCCTGGATTTTCCGGCGGCGCCTACCAAGGTTATGCGGGGCACGCTGCGATGCAACGAGCCGGAGGGACGGTGAAGGTAATTGCCTGGCATGACCATATGTCTATATTCGCGTTTCAGTACCTCCAAAACTTTCAAGCCGTGTCATTGCCGTTCTTCGATGTCGTGGAGCGTCTTCTGCCTGCCGTCGAATTGTCTGCATGCTCGCCTGTTCACCAGAAAATCAGCACAACGGTTGGAACTTTCACGATAAATTGGACCCATATTTAGCAAGCCGCGGCATTCACCATCCCTCAAAATTACGCTCAATCGCTCTCGTACAGAGGAATCGATACATATCCGCTGCCTCGTCATGAAGTCCAAATGAGGTTTTGTCTGGCGACCGATTCTCTTTAACCGTTTTTAGGTTTTTCCTGCTCAATGAAAACTGGCAGAACAACCCTCAAAACGACGAGTTTCCACTGAATTGCTCTGTTCGCGTCAACGACTTCAACGTTCCTCTTCCGGTAAGGCATCATTGCTGTTGCTCAGCGGTTGTTTTTTTAGCCCATCATTCCGAGCAACCGGCAGAATCAAGAGCCAAAACGTCCATCGCGGCCACTCAACATTACACCGGCAATCCAGGTAAACATTTTTTGACATGGTTGTTCTTAACCTTATTATTTTCTTCAGAACTAAAAATTCTTTGACCCGCATTGTACTGGTTTTTTATAACCAACTTTAGCAAACCGGTCACATCCATCAAACACCATATCAAGTAAGGGTGGAATGGCTGGCCGATAAGCGCGTCTGGGCCTTTGAGGTCAATTTGGTAAGTGATAATGTCTTTCCTAGTGATTTTTTGCTTTAGGTGTATCGTGTAAATTCAAAGATTTTGATCGAGCGCTTGACGAATGACTCGGCACGCTTGCAGGCCGCTGAATCTACTAAACAGGTATTTCTTTCTTAGTGGTTCCAATCGAGATAACTTTTGAGGTGATCATCCGGCGTCTGTCCAACGGTGACGACGATGTTTGTCTGACTACCATGAAGGCCAGCATCAAGTGTCCGGTAATTTATCGTGTTTCCGGCCGAAGATTCAGTTTAGCTAACGCGTACAAGATTGAGGACGCCAGTGCGTTGCCGCGACTGCGATCATCTTCAGTGCTTTGACCTGGAGAATTACATCCAGATGAACGAGAAGAAGCCGACGTGGAAATGTCCGGTCTGCCCGCGCCTGGCTCCCTTTTCACGGCTCATTGTGGATGGGTGAGACAAAAAATGCCTTTCAAGCTCCTTCTATAGTTATTTCGTGGATGTGTTGAAGGAGACTAGGAACGAGGTGGAAGAGGTAGAGTTGCTGAGTGACGGTGGCTGGAAAGTGCTTAGCGAGAGCGTGGTAAGATTATTCTAACATTTTCTGAAGATGTTTGCAGGCCGAGGAATTGTCGGACGACGATGATGATGACAGCTTTCACCTCGCCAGCAATTCCGAAGCTAAAACCGTGCGGGATTCGACGGACTCGGCGCCGCCGCCAAATAAGAAGGCTGTTAGTAGAAATTTGTTGCATTGAATTCCTTTTAGAAAGCTATGGACGAAATCATCACCTTGGAAGATTCGGATGAAGATGACGATCTTGTGCGTGCCACTCAAGCGTCGCTTGAAACGGCTACTGCTGCCCCTCGCGTCGAGAAGCCGGCAGCCGCGCCGGTTTCTGCGTCGCCGAGCGTATCATCTCCAAGCGAACCTACCTCGTCGTCTTCGGTGATAGCTGCTGCACCGCCACCCACCACGCCAACTCGCAAGGAGATTGAGGTATCTTCTCCTCTTTTTTGCTTTCTGTGGTGGTGAAATTGGGTACTAGTGTATGTGTGGGGGCGGTCTGGACTTTAGAATAGGAGGTTTCGACACGCTCCGTTGAGGTTATTTGGTTTTTAGCTTACGACCATGCCCGAAACTTAAAAACATAGTTTGGAGCCTCCTGTAGTCAAAGTCCCGACCGGCTGCCCAGATTCACTGGCACCTAAATTGCTATTGTATGGTATTCTTTCATGCACCTTGTCCTTAAGATCATCACCCTCGACGACACCCCGCCAAGGTCTGCAGCCAATCGGGTTTCCCCGGGCCTTCGTTCACAGAGCACAGGTGCGAACGCATGATACTTTTTCGTGGCGCATTGTCTTTTCTCCTCTATCTCTCGGTTTTTAGATCACTCCGCCGCCGGCTCCTCCAACCCTCAGACCCCGGCCACAAACGACATCAAGGGGGCACCGGCCTCTGTCAGCACAAGCTCACCGGTGACTATTACTTTATATTAGCCTTCTATTAGTGATCTATTTGTATTTGTCCAGCATGTGTTGTAAGCCCGTCATTCGCATGATCGTTCTTCTCTACCGATTTGGCTTTAATTTCGTTCCTCCGTTAGCCATTCATTTCAGTATTCCCCAGCGGCAGGAACTCCCAACCCACCCGGGGCTTTTTTCGCGCCATATCAACCGTTCGCGGTGAGCAATCCAGTCAGACCCCGTGACCCCCTGATTCTACTCTCTTTGAGCAAATACCCATTCATAGGTCCAGGGTTTTCAGGATAACGTCTACGACGAGCGGGTGCAGCTAGCAAATGTACGCAGGATCATGAGCGGCGGCGAGCCGTCGATGTACAACGCGGGTGGCCCGGCACTGCATGATCCCAATCAGGCTGCCTAGTAAGGAGTGTGTTCCTTGCTCTGTATCTTCCTTTAGTTACAGCGCACAAGCAATGGCTCAAATGAGCAACAACCGCCCGCCAGCCATGGGTCCGATGGCGCACTGGGCTCAATTCTACTCGACGGGTAATGGGCGTGGGCAGCTGCCGAATGGAACCCATCCCCCAATCGGTCCCCCCTACCCTGGATACCACGGCTACAACAACGGGTTGGTGGCTTTGTCTCGTTTCCAATTATTTCTTTTAGATTCCGGTGAATGGAATGATGACGGGCATCGACGCGTAACTGATCTCATAATACTAATAGCCCGATTTTCCTTGCTTGGCTGTTCTTATCGTTTTTGAGTTTTGCGTCCAAATATTTGTTGGATTTTACTTTCGTCCCGTTTTCCCTGTTAGCGTTAAATAAATAAAGATTATGTGTTTTCGCGTGCTATTCTTCATTGATGGTGGCAGAATTGTCGCACTGGATACCGACGCAACTTTGGTTAGCGCAACTTTACAATCGCAGGCAGCAGCGGTTTTGGGGACAAGCTGCCCATGTCCGGAAAATCACGCGGTCCAGCCTTGGGATTTTTCGAAGAGTAGCCTTCGTGATTTGACTAGGCTTTTGTACATATGATGGTTGTCTCGTCGAGTAGCCGCCGTGGCTTCCCTCATCGATCGTGGTTCTTTCGGCTTCCCGGGGACGGGGGATTCATTTTTTTTCGGCGTAAGACTAGACTGTAGGCGGGCCCGAAGAGAGTGAAAGCTCCCGAATTGGTTCTAAAAAGAGTCAAGCTCCCGAAATTGACCTTTGGCACGACTGCCTGAATTTGACTTTTGGCACGACTGCTTGGCTTTTGGCACGACTGCTTGGCTTTTGGCACGACTGCTTGGCTTTTGGCACGACTGCTTGGCTTTTGGCACGACTGCTTGGCTTTTGGCACGACTGCTTGGCTTTTGGCACGACTGCTTGGCTTTTGGCACGACTGCTTGGCTTTTGGCACGACTGCCTGGCTTTTGGCACGACATCGCGTAATGCATTGATAAAGCAAATGGGCCAAAATTTTTCATTTTCAACTTGCTGTAACTTCTTTCTCCAGAGGTTTAAGATACGATATATTTATTCTTGCTTGCCGGAAACAGCGTGTTTTTTTGGGGGATTGGGGACTAGAGTTGGGTGTTTGGGGGAGTGGGCTAGAGTTCGTATAATTGACAGATTTGGGGTGCGGACTAGAAAAACCGCTGATGAACCGGGTCAGACAGAAACAGTGGTGCGCGTGAAGGAAAAGGAGGAAAAGAACAATTCACACATTCACAATACGGCGTAGAATCGCTGGGGGACACGTTGCGACGGGGGGAAAATACGATTTATAGGATTGGTAGGGGGGAAATTAGCAGCTAGGGGTATTAGATGAACACCGGCCGATTCCCAGTGAAAAAATGGCTGCCTAACAAAATTTGGAGCTTTGCTTAGATGGCCCATATCGGGGGGAAATGAAGGGAAATACATGGCTGTTAGGGTTCTGGTCTCTTACCGGGGGGGATACACCGATTTTCTCAATATAACGGTCTGCATAATATCATATAACGTATTTATTTTATGTATTTTTGAATGTGAAAAACCATAAGAGCTGTAATTTTGGTTCCAAAACATAGGAAAAAATTCTGAGAAATTTAAACTACAAAAAATTTCCAATTGTTAAGGTTTTAGAAAACTTTTCGTGATCAGAAAATGCCGAATTTTTTAGGGACTTTAGATTTCCATCCGAAATTCCGGTTTTTAGCTTTTTAGAAGCACAAAAAAGTCCATAAAATTTAAACTTTATTATTTTTACTGATTTTGATACTTTTTCGTGATCGTAAGCTATTAAAAAAACACTATAATATACGCCATATTTTACCAACAAACAAAATAAGATATCTGTCCCCCGGCTAAGAGTCCAGACCCGATTCTAGATAGAAAAAAAGGGGATGAAAAAGCCGCAGAGCCTTTCCAAAAAAAGTTGCCATGCGAAAAAGGGGGGTAAAATTGTCCCGAAAAATCGATAAAACCATTGGAAAATAAAAGAATAAAAGAAGAAACGAACAATTAGCAAAGAATGTGTATTAGGGGGTAAATTTTAATCCTGGCTACCGGGGGTTGGAGAGAAAATTCAATCAATAGTCACCGGAATACTATCATAGATGGGGGGAGGAAATCTGGGAAAACGAGGGGGGTCGGCAGGTTTTTGAGGGTTTTCATATTTAATAAACTTTTCGTGGTAATTTTGAATCATTTTAAGGCCCTCAAAAACCTGCGCCAATCTGAGGGTTCTGGTGCGTTAGCGGGGGGGTTTGCAGTTTTTATTCTCTTATTCCGGTACCCTCAATTGCAAAAATAAAAAGCAAGAGCAATAAAATATAAAATATATTTTTTATCGTGTTTTGAACAGTTTATGATTACATTTTTATAGATTAAAAAAGTCTAAAAACGTTTAAAAAAAATTGAATAGCAGATTTTTATAATTTTTTTGCCGTTATTTTTATATATTTTCCACAAAATGTCAATTTTGCTAAAATGAATGAGTTTTATAAACTTTTTTACATCACAAAATGGCGTAAACTCCTATTAAAACACTTTATCCTTCATTATTAAGGACCCACCGGAGCATAAAAAGTTCGTTGCCTTCCCCCCCGCTAACGCACCAGAACCACTCTGAACATGTTGGTGATGGCCTATGGACAGTATATGAACACTCTAGGAAATCTGTTGCTGTGGCCGCCAGGCCTCGGTGATACGCGGTCGCTTGTCGGGCGGGGAGTCGGGCTCCGTTTTGACGTAGGCGGACGGCTTCAACGGCTGGTGCACCGGATTCCAGCCGCCGTCGAGGCGTGAGCCGGTGAAGCCTGAAATTCGCAAGTTGTAGCGGGTTTTTGGAGTTTATAGTATTCCCCCAAGTACCAAAACCTTAAAAAATTAAATTTGAACGTGTTTTTTGCCAATTTGAACTTGTAAAACCCGTAAATATTCAAAACTAACCTTTAGTCGCCTTAAATTTCAACCATCTCTGAAAAATAGAAAGTACGTCTTTTCTATTTTATTAATTTTTGCCCCTTGGAAATATAGGAGGGAAGCCTAAGCCAAGCTAACCTAAGCCTAAGCCTATGCCTAAGCCTAACCGTACAAATAGCTCATACCCACCAACGATATCGCATTCAGGATCGGTGAGGTGAGGCGGGAGACTGGCGGGATCGGTGTGATAATCGGGAAAAGCGGAAGATGTCGGGAAATCGAGGGGTTTAGAGACGGCAGATGGTGGAGGGCCCATACCGGGGCCAATACCACCTGGACCTCGTCCACCTCCTCCGTACGCCCCTCCGTGAGGCATTAACAGGTTCTGAAAAGGAGAAATAGGTATTGTTTTTCTTCCTAAGGTATTGTTTCGTAAAACCTTTATCTTCAAAAAGTTAAAGTTTACAGACTTATTTAAGTTTTTTAGTTTATCGCCTTTTGATGTACCTGGTAGAAAGAGTTGAAGCGGTTGAATTCGTTGGATTGGGGGGCTGGCGGTTCTGGTGGGGAAATGTTGGCTCCGGAGAGGGGCATCGACTGCAGGGAGGAGTTCGGCGAGGAGAAGCTGAACGGCTTGGTAATTTTAACGATCATTTCACCCTTCAGAAAAGCTTGATTATCATTTTCTAACGGTTATTCTCCTTGTGAACGCAGAGCAATGTTCCAGTTTCAATTTTGTTTCCTAGTATATGAATTTAACGTTTAAAAGTGAAAATCGAAGTTTTTCTGCACTGCCGATTCAATAGTGTCGGTCTAATTTTAGTTTTTCACACAATTACCTAAGTTTTAAAAGTGTAACTTTCGGTTCGTGTCGTAAAATACAAATTTTAACATTTACTAGTAGTTTTAACTTTAAAAAGCAGTAAAGATACAGGAAACGTTATAAATTTACATCACTAACCGGTTGAGGTGATGAATTCCGTTGAGCTGTTGGTTTTGCTGTTGTTGCTGCTGTTGTTGTTGGGGGAGTGATGGTGGTGGTGGATGGGGTGTTGATGGGCCGGCCGAATCGTCGTCGGAATCTCCGCCCGCGCAACCGCCCTTTTGCTCTTTTCTAAAATACAGACCATAAATCTTTATAAAACACCTTTATCTTCAGTTTTTAGCTAAATTTGGTTGCGTTTTTTGGGATTCAGCCTCAAAAACTCAGCCCCTGACGTGATTTCGATGGCCTAGTGGCTGGCGCGTTTGTCAATAGCGCGTGTGACAGGGTTCGAATCCTGCCGGTGTCAAACTTTTTGCTTTTTTACCGTTATTTTAAGAAATACCTTTGCAAAGCGTCCATGATGTCAGAATTTGTGCGCGACTCGTGGGGCTCGTTGTATTCCGTGTATTTCAGGAGCACCTTGTCCATGTCGGTGGAGGCATATCTGGAAAAAGATGATTGAACTAGGTATATTTAAGCTAATAAAGCTTAATAGTAACTTATTATTTGTTCTTATTTTTTGTTCACGCTTTTAATGCTATAATTTGATTAATTTTAGCTAAATTTAATTGAAGTATTTTTAGTGTGACGGTTTTTTGTATCATATTATATTTAGATTTATATAGCTGAATGGCACTTTAATATAACTTAATACCGTTTATTATAATAGTTAATCCTTAATTCTCAATTTAAAGCCGGATCCCTGGCTGCTTTTTGGGGGTTGCCCCTAGGGCCTCTCAGGCAATGGAACCTCCTCTCGTCCTGAGGGCAGTGACGTAGTGAGGGAGAGCGAGAGGAGAGAGAGAGAGAGAGAGAGAGAGAGCCCAGAGAGCAAGAGTGATGAGAGCCGTCCCGAGGCCCGAAAGGGGGCTGACGTGCAGCTATTTTTAGCCGAACCCCGAGTCAATTATAGCCCACGCACATTCCCTCTGCGGCAAGAGAGAGAGAGAGAGAGAGAGAGAGAGAACGCGACACACACGTGTTTATCATTTGCCACGGCTAAGAGAGTGACGAGGGGGGGGGGCAGGCTTCTTCTTGTTGAAGGGAAAGAACAAGCTCCTCCATAACCTTGTGGAATTCGTGTGTGACCCGCACAACAAATCGCCGTTCGGAGGAGTATATCGGAAAAATTGGGATAAAATTAGCTTGGAGTAAACTATTAAAAACCGCAAAGAATATCTGCTCGCCTGCCCTCCTATTCCTCAAAAATCTCTGCCAGCTTGCCTTGTTTCGCCAGGATTTTCAGAATTCCGGGGCGTTCCGCTTCCTCCCTTCCCCCCTTGAGCTCGTGCATTTTGAGATATTTTTCGGGGGGTGTGGGTGAAAAGGGCATGGGGCCCACCAGGGGCCCATCGCTATAAATAACTTTGACCGCGACCCGCTTTTCTCCACCTGAGAACCGAGAATTTTTTTTCCGTTCCCATCCAATTTCCACCTGCCATCTGCAGTGTTGCTAATCCGGGAGTTTGTGCTCAAAAATTGGGCCCAATTTTGGGCCCCACTTGGGTTGCTACAGTAACCCGATCGAGGTGTTTGTAGCAAATCGGGGGTTGTGCTTTGTAGTTTATAGGCATGACCTTGGGGGATTAAGCCCAGCCTAAGCCTAAGCCTAAGCCTAAGCCTACGCCTAAGCCTAAGCCTAACCTAAGCCTAAGCCTAAGCCTAAGCCTAAGCCTAAGCCTAAGCCTAAGCCTAACCTAAGCCTAAGCCTAAGCCTAAGCCTAAGCCTAAGCCTAAGCCTAAGCCTGAGCCTAAGCCTAGGCCTAAGCCTAAGCCTAACCTAAGCCTAAGCCTAAGCCTAACCTAAGCCTAAGCCTAAGCCTATGCCTAAGCCTAAGCCTAACCTAAGCCTAAGCCTAAGCCTAAGCCTAAGCCTAAGCCTAAGCCTAAGCCTAAACCCAGGCCGGAATGTGTTAGGGCACTCGATCCTTGGCTTCTTGAAAGATTGATGAGGTTCAGGAGGAGGAGAAGGAGGCCGTGACTTTTCAAAGATTACGCGGAATTTGAGAGGCTTGGGCTTTAAAGGGGTTGTGAAGCGAAAAGAGGGCCGAGAGCTAGCAGAGATTATTTAGGAATTGGTGGAGAAACTACGCAATTTTTGGCCTGCCACATCTGTGCGCGTAGGTTAGGTTAGGCTTAGGCCTAGGCTTACTGTAACCGTTTTTTGTTGACCGTGGGATTTCGATACGTGAGATAGCACATTTTGTGCAGAATTTTTCGCTGATTCCGAATCCGTTTTCAAAAGTTGCGGAACCCCTCTAGATAAAAAGTTACAGCCGGTTTTCTACCCCAAATGACCGAAAATTACAAACTTTAAATCCTTATAAAAAACTCGTGGAACATTTTGTGGGATAAAATACAGCACTCCTAGGGGTAAAAAAACGTGCTCTTTCGAATGGGCTACCTCACCAACCCGTAGCTCAAAATTCATGAAAAAAAGTTTTTCGGTGGACCCCTCCCTGGATGGCCAATTTTTGAAATTTTGTGAATTTTGAGCTACGGGTTCGTGAGACAGCCCATTCGAAAGAGCACGTTTTTTTACCCCTAGGAGTGCTGTATTTTATCCCACAAAATGTTCCACGAGTTTTTTATAAGGCTTTAAAGTTTGTAATTTTCGATCATTTGGGGTAGAAAACCGGCTGTAACTTTTTATCTAGAGGGGTTCCGCAACTTTTGAAAACGCATTCGGAATCAGCGAAAAATTCTGCACAAAATGTGCTATCTCACGCATCGAAATCCCACGGTCAACAAAAAACGGTTACAGTTAGGATACGGGCGTACCGCCGGTATGGACATCAGGAGGAGACTGTAGTAACGATATCGAGTCACGCAGCCCATTTAAAGGATCCTAGAAGGCTAAATCCACACCCCAATCGATAGATATCACGGCTATAATTACCCGCTGACCCCCTCTATATTTGGTAGTTTGGGGGGAATTCCCGATACAATCGGGTGAGAAAGGAGGGAGAAACTCGCTGCGTGCCGATAAGGAATTTTTCAGTCGGCGAGATGGGCGCCAGGGATCGTGGAGTACACGTGAGTACTATTGTCGCTCCCCGTAGCGTAGTGTAGGGTGCTTTTAAAGGGATGGTGACAGCTGATCTGACCCCTATTTTGGACGCTTGAGTACCATCGACGATTATCGTGGCGTACTGTAGCGAAATTTAAAGGGATAGTGACAGGTCTGTAGTTCCCCTTGTGCACAAGTGAGTACTTAGACGGTTACCGTAGCGTAACGTATCGAACCGTATTTTTTATAGGGATGGTCAGAGGTGATTTGGGCATTAGTTTGTACACGTCAGTACTATCGACGGGTCCGGAAATGGAGTGTAGCGTCGCGTAAAGAGGTTTCGTACTTTTAAAAGGCTAATCACAGGCTATCCAATTCCGATTTTCTACGCGAAACTACTATCAACGGCTACCGTAGCGTAGCGTCGCGGAATTTTGAAGGGATGGTGAAGATCCCTTATTCCGGATTCTGACCGGAATCCTGCCCGCCAGAATATTTGATGCCCTCCCCCCATCGAGGTGTTTTTAGCGCGAAAATCCTTATTAGGGCGCACGGGGCTCATATTCTAGGAATCTCGCCCTCTTTTGGGTATGGAATATGCAATCATTTCTCTCTTTCTCGCTCTATATATCTCTCTCTCTCTCTCTCTCGCTCTCTCTCGCTCTCCCTCCTCTCCACTGTTGCCACCCCCCTAATTGGGATTGTAAATTGAGCCTTTGGACGGACACCGTGATCCCGACCCCCAGGGAAAATCTCGGTGCGCTCTAAAAATAGGTTCGTGAGGTTTGGTTCGACTCCTAAAGAAACGCTGCTAGCCTGCCCTAATCCCAAAAAAGATTTTTAATTTCCAGAAGAATCCATGCTCGGTTGCCTACCCTAAAAAAAGAGGGTCAGTGTCCTAGTGGTTAGCGCGTTTGTCTGTCAATCTGAGGATCAGGGTTCGGATCCTAGGCGCGAAAAACTTTTTGCTTTTTGGTCAAAATGGTGTCTGGAATGTGGGAAATCCCTGGAATCTCTCAAAAATCTCCAATTTGGGTCCGTATCTCCTTGTTTTGATTTCAAAAAGAAAGTTTGAACCCTGAGAGGGAGAGAGAGAGAGAGAGATAGAGAGAGAGATATAGAAAGAGAGAGATAGAGAGATCCCTTATTCCGGATTCTGACCGGAATCCTGCCCGCCAGAATATTTGATGCCCTCCCCCCATCGAGGTGTTTTTAGCGCGAAAATCCTTATTAGGGCGCACGGGGCTCATATTCTAGGAATCTCGCCCTCTTTTGGGTATGGAATATGCAATCATTTCTCTCTTTCTCGCTCTATATATCTCTCTCTCTCTCTCTCTCTTTCTCTCGCTCTCCCTACTCTCCACTGTTGCCACCCCCCTAATTGGGATTGTAAATTGAGCCTTTGGACGGACACCGAGATCCCGACCCCCAGGGAAAATCTCGGTGGGCTCTAAAAATAGGTTCGTGAGGTTTGGTTCGACTCCTAAAGAAACGCTGCTAGCCTGCCCTAATCCCAAAAAAAGATTTTTAAATTTCCAGAAGAATCCATGCTCGGTTGCCTATCCTAGAAAAAGAGGGTCAGTGTCCTAGTGGTTAGCGCGTTTGTCTGTCAATCTGAGGATCAAGGTTCGGATCCTAGGCGCGAAAAGCTTTTTGCTTTTTGGTCAGAATGGAGACTGGAATTTGAGAAATCCCTGGAATCCCTCTAAGATCTCCAGTTTTGGTCCGTATCTTCTTGTTTTGATTTCAAAAAGAAAGCTGGGTAGATAGGTTGAACCCGAGAGAGAGATAGAGAGAGATATCGGCGGATGTTTTTGCCACCCATCCACCCCATAGATATCACGTGGTTTTTCGCTCTCCTTTCCCTTTCTAGGGTTCTCCCCAGATGTCTATTTTCGTCATCCTGCTCTATAAATACCCCCTCTCATGCTCCCTCTCATGCTCAATTTCGGGTTTTCACAGCCTTTCGGTGACCGGGGGTAGGGGTTGCGTGCTTCCGGTCCGCCCGACACCACGCTTCCGGCGAATTTTGGGGAGGAGGAGCCATGAAATATTCAAAAAATGGGTTTGGAGAGAGAGAGAGAGAGAGAGAGAGAGAGAGAGAGAGAGATAGAGAGAGGAGATAGGGATGGAAAGACGGAGAGACAGCGAGAGAGAGAGGAGAGAGAAGGAGAGAGAGAGAGGGAGAGAGTTAGGGCTTCTCGCTTCTTCACAACCCCTTTAAAAAGAGTGGCTAGCAGAGATTCTGGAGGGTTCCAGTCTTAGGCAAGTTAGCAGAGACCATTTGGGAAAGTGGTCAATTCATGGGATGCTGATTTTTACCTGGTCAGGCCCTCTAAGTTATGCAACCAACCAGGAGAGTTTCTTTACGATTACCAGCAGAATTGAGGGCAATCTTGCAAAGAACATTTGAGAAACGAACTAGATTTCCTTTAGCAACCAGCAGAGACACTTTGCGGAAATTGCTAAATTTCAGGTGCAAATTCCAGCCGGCCTAATTATCGCCCCGTCTACCGTACACTTCTGCTGACTATTTTAGGGGGCCCCATTCGATGCAAAATGTTATTATGTGATGTGAGTGGGTGGCTATTTGATTGGATGGAAGGGGAATTCGACAATGGAAAGCCCGAATGTTTTCAAAAGATTCTCAATGGATTCAGGCGGAAAATTGCTTTGTGCATTCGAATTTTTGTGATTTTCGAAAATGGGGCGGGGGGGGGCCGATTTCGAAATGTATTTCAAAAATCTCTGCTAGCTTCCCCTCGAATTCCTCAGAAAATCTCTGCTAGCCGGCCCTCCGATTCCTCAAAGAATCTCTGCCAGCCGGCCTCTAAATTCCAAAATTCTCGAGGTTCCCAACAATTTGACCACACCGGTGACACACCGATAATCCCCGGTTTTGCACCCAATCTACCGTATGACTCGAAGCGAGAAAGAGAGAGAGAGCGCGAGAGAGATAGTGAGAGAGAGAGAGAGATGATCCCCTCCATCTTTATAATCACCCGATCCGGATATGAAGGACCGGATTAGGGTCCAAAGTCCGTCGATGGGAGTATTACGGAAATGGGCCCAGAAACCCACCTTTTAAAGGGAGTGGAACAGCTAAGTTCGGAGGGGCTAGAGAGGAAGCGAGAGAGAGAGAGTGAGAGAGTTGGAGAGAGAGAGAGAGAGATAGATAGATAGAGGAGAGACAGACTGAGAGACAGCGAGAGACGGAGTGACAGGGTGAACGTAGAGTGAGAGACAGAGAGAACCAAAAAAAATCGTATTTTTATACGTTTTTTTGCAGTCTCAGTCCCTTTAAAAAATTTGGCTTCGACGTCCCTTTAAAGCATATATTTTTCCCTTCCCAGCCCCTTTAAAAATTCCGCAATGCGTCCAATGACGCCACCTAATTTCCCTCGATCCCCCTGCCGTTGATGGGTGTCCCCCGCGGAATTTTTTGGCTTTTTTGGGCCCCTAGCTGGAGGCAAAGGAGGGCAGTTGGGGGCCTGGGTCGATTCCTTTTGGGCCCCTCATGGGAATGGCCCTTTTTGGCCCTCCCACGGCTTTTTTGGGAGGGCCAAACGGGCCCAAAAGGACCCAGAGGGGCCATTTTGGCCTTTTCCCGTTCCTGGGGACATGTTGCCATGCGCCCGACGGGGGTTTTAAAGGGAGAGTGACAGCTGAGGTGGATGAATTGATGCCGTAACTGGATATATTGTTTTAAAGGGAACTTGACAGCTGGATGTCAAGGAATGTGATACCGTAATCGAATCCCGGATCTTAAGATAGGTTCTAAACGGAACTTCACAGTAGAAGTATCGGATTTCATGGCGTAACTGGATAAACGGCTTTAAAGGGAGAGTGACCGTTGCGGAAATTTCTGGAGCGTAACCGAATAACGGTAAAGCGAAACTAACAAATGTGATGGCGTAATTAATTACAAGGATTCTAAAGGGACCCGAAGGTAAAATCCACGGCAGTTTAAGGGCGCAATCGAATAGACAAAGCATCCGGAGAATATGATAATCGAAAAACGGGGCATGAAAACCGAGAAAAACTAATTTAATGGCGTAACCGATTTCCGGGCGTATTTTTTAAAGGGTCAGTGAAGTGTGTTTGCTAGCGTAACCGATTACGATGTTTTCAAGGCCAAAAACGATTGATTTCACGAGTTCCAATAGCGTAATCGGTTTCGAATACTCTGCATTGAACCGAAGTTATGGGAAGCGATTAATTTGATCGCATAACCGATTACGACATTTAAAGGCCAAAGTAAGAGCGTAATTTAATGCCGTCGATCCGCTACTGTCAATAGGTATCGAAACGTACTGGAACAATTTGTTGGTCGAGTTGAAGACGATGAGGGCAATCTCGCAATCGCACAGCACCGACAGCTCGTACGCCTTCTTCATCAGCCCAAACTTGCGCTTCGTGAACGTCACCTGGAATGGAGCGTAGTTTTTCATTTTTTTTCCTTTTCTTGGCTTCCAAGTCCTTTAAAAGACGTAGTTTTAAACGATTTCTAACTTTTTTAAACCCTAAAACCTAGTTTTGTTTCCCATATCCGGCCATATGGAATGACCCCTCCTCGTGGATTTTATTTGCCCAGCTCCCCCACCCGTTATTTGCATCCAACCGGAATTTCGGGCCGCGCTGGCCGCTTAGAGGGCAATCGGGTTTAAGCCAAAATATTTGTTTGAAAACGGCATGGGACTGCTGGCACCGTCCCTTTAAAGGGATATACGTGCCGCGTACGCAACGCTGCCAGACGCTTGCTGGCACCGATCCTTAAAAACGCCGTTTTCAGCAGGTTCAGGGCTACGCTTGCGGCGCGCGTTGCGTGGTGACTCGAGAATGGAGCTATTGAGACAGCTAGATACACGCGGCGCGCACGCAACGCGTTCAGACGTTTTCAGTAGGTTCGGGGGTTTTCCTCTAATGCCCAGGTTTCCCATACAATATTTTGCATTGACCCCCCATCCCGGCGTGGAAACTGGCTGGGACTGAAGACTGAACCCCAGGCGATGACCAAATATTCAGGCGAAAGAGATAGAGGAGAGAGAGAGAGAGAGAGAGAGAGAGAGAGTGACCGGATCGTTGGGAGCTTGGTCAACAGTTCGGGTCACGAATACACACACCACCCATCCTGACAATGGAGAGAAAGAGGGGGGGGAATGGGAAAAAGCCTGAAACCGCCCGGGGCAGCTAGCAGAGATTCTTTGAGGAATCGGAGGGCAGGCTAGAAGAGATTCTTTGAGGAATCGGAGGGCAGGCTAGAAGAGATTCTTTGGGAAACGAGGGGTAAGCTAGCAGAGTATTTTAGGAATTCGAGGGCAAGCAAGCAGATATTCTTGAGCATATGTGAGACCTGGCAGAAACCCGTTAAAAAGACCCATTACCGTATCCAGATTCTTTCAGAAACCCCGGAGAAATTAATCCCGTAAGGAAACCCTATTCTCGCAACAAAAATTCCAATTTAGCCTGTCCGTCTCTCTCTCTCTCTCTCTCTCTCTCTCTCGCTCTCGTCAAAATTTGATCCCGCCAAGCCCGATAATTCGCCCTCCGGGGGTCTTTTTTCTAAAAAGTGCCCCAGGCCTCGATTTCCCAGCGCGACAAATTTCCGGCAAAAACATTGCCCCGGCGGGCTAATTAAAGGGATTGGAAAGGGCAGATTAATCGGATTGTTGCGGAAAAGCAAAAAAAAATTGGATTTAGGAATGATTTCCCACCTGGCGATTCCGTTCATCGGCGATCCGTGTAATCTGGATCTTCTTGCGGCCCATCTGTAAAGAGGAATATATGGAATTGATACCGTAGTTCGATAATTGACAAGATGAAAAATATTCCACGCCCGTACGGCGGAGTACAATAGTGTACGGAGGAGTGGACCGGAATGTTAGACAAACGTATCCATCAAATTGTCTCAAGACCCGGAAAATCAAAATCACGCTACTGTACGGAGGAGGACGATAGTGTACGGCGCTACGACGTGAAACGGAATTTAGCTTCTATTTTAAAACTTTAAAAAGCTCAAATGACAAATAGTCCATTACTGTACGATAAATACGGTAGAGTAAAATCTTGAAAACCGATAAGTATTCCATCATCGTACGCGAATGTACGGAAACGTACGGTGGAATCGTACAGCCGGATTGAAACGGAATTTCTGATAGAATCGCTTAAAAATTTCGAAAAAATTTTGGCACGTTACCAAAAGTGCGAAAAATGAATACTTTAATTTTAAAGGGATATTGAAGGCATTTGGCCGGTTGCCAAGTTGGAATTACACGATCGATAGAGTCATGGGAAAGTTTGGATAGTGTATGTGGATGTGGTGCGCGGAAAACAGGGGAGGGGGAGATCGAGAGAGTTAGAAACAGAGAGAGAGAGAGAGAGAGAGAGAGAGAGAGAGAGAGAGACAGACAGAGAGACTGAATTTAGTGGGTGATGAACTGCGGGGGCAAAATTGGGATATGTCGCCGAAAAATAGTGTCTCTCCGGGGAGTCAGCCCCTCCCCCCTTATTTCACGCCCATTTTCCGAGAGGATTTTTAGCTCTGACTGTTTGTCTAATCTAATCCGTTGTCGGTGTGTCTCTCTGCTAAAAAATCCAGGGAATTTGGGATAATTAGATTTTACGAAAAAAAACTGATGGAACTGAAACGCTGATGCTCGAGAAAAGGCCTTTAAAGGGCTATTGAAGTGAAAACTACGACATTTTTTGGCTACTTGCCAATCGCTGAATAGCCTGGAAAATCGATTTAAAGGCCCATTGAAGGCAAGGAAAATCTAGGAAAACATCGAAAAATCTATTTCCGATATTTTAAAACCTGTTTTAAAAGACTATTAAAGGAAAGGAAAGTTCCGAAAGCACGAAAAGCATTTCAATTGGCTAACAATTTTAAAAGCTCAAAATCGGTTTTCTATGGTCAGTTTCAGGTGGAAAAGGGAAATCATTTTCAGGGCAATTTCTTAAGGGCCATTAAAGGCAAAAACTGGCCAGAAACTTGGCTGGAAATCGTCTTAAGCCTATTTGGCCCGGCTTAAAAGACCAGGAACCGATTTTAAAGAACCGTTGAAGGCAAGAAAGATGAGAGAGTACTTGGCAAAATTCCAGGAAGATATAATGACCAGGTTTAAAGGACCACGAAAGGCAACAAACGAGAGAAAAAGAGAGTTTCGCGCTCCGGTTTCGCGGACCGGGTGGCTGCTGCCAGTTTTGTCTATGAAAGTGTCTGTTTGTATGTCTATGTATGTGTCTCTCTCTTTCTCTCTTTTTCTGAAAAAAGAGGGGGCAACGGCCGAATCGATGGGCCCCGGCTGGCTCTCTCGGGGGGAAGGAGGAGGAGGAGGAGGGCTGGCCGAGTCTCGAGGTCCAGCCCCTTTTCCACCGGTCTCTCTCTCTCTCTCTCTCTCTCTCGCCCTGCCGCGAGTCTTTTTCGGGAAAACGGCCGTCCGTTTCTGGCGTCACCGCCCCCCCTCCCCTTCCTCTCTGAAAGTTCAGTAAACAAATATAGAGTGCCCCCCTGGAAAAGAGGGATCTTTTTTAAGACGCGTATTTAAATTATTAGGCTTATTTTAGAGGTTGCAAACTACAAAAATACCATAACTTTTACGCTAATTTTGACGTCAAAAAAATCAGGAAGCAAGATCGGGCCCTAAAAAGTCAGCGAAAAACACCCGAAAACTTAAAAATCGGGCAACCACGAGAGGCAAGCTCAGGCTTTCGCCTCCCACCCACAGCTCCCGGGTTCGATCCCCGCGCGAGCCAAAACTTTTTGCATTTTGCTCAAAAGTACAAAAACTGGATCCGAAACCCCGCTTGGCAAGCTGCCAAACAGCACAAACAAGTGGCTGGGTCGGCTCTATTAAAATGCAAGTGGAGTTCCGATCAAAACACGATCCCGGGGGCAGACGGGGCAGTCGGGGGCAGACGATCTGATGGAAAGATAAAAGATGCGAAAGACCACAATGAATCATCGAATCTGTGGAAAAAGATAATCGAATCGTCATTTCCGGTGGATGAGGTAAAATAGATGCTCTAAAGTTAAGAGAAAGCAGGTGAAAATTGGATTTCATTAATTTGCTACTCGGCGTCGAAAAACATGGCATTTTAAAGGGCTACATTAACAAAAAAAAACTAGATAAAAATGCTTAAAACGGCCCGCGAAACGAAGATAGGTACGTTAAAGGGTTATTCAAGGCAAAACCCCGAAGTCCATAGCCGATTTTCCCGGTTTAAAGAGACTAAGAAGTGCGGGATTCACCCCTGAAGTCACCACAGTGTGTCGATAGCCATCTCGAAAGCCAAGCACATTTTTGTATGTATTCGTAAACGTATTTTAAAGAGGCGCGTCGCTGTCGAGACCCAGTCGCTAGGAGGAGTCGATTTTCGTGGTTTAACGAGACTAGAAAGTGCGAGAATCGACCCCTGAATTTGACAGACCCTCGACACCCACACGAGAGACCAATAGCTACTTTTCCTGTGCTCGCAAAAAGTCTTTTGAAGCCGCGCGTAGATGTCGAGATCCAGTCGCCGCTAGGGTTCTATTTTGACCCTTTAAAGAGACTGGAAAGCTTAGAAGCTTAGAGCTAAATTTAGAAGCAATTGGCTTACAATTCCCTTAAACACAAACTATGGCTATCGAAAAATGGTTTGGGTCAAAAGTATTTGGAGAGCCTTGCAGTGGACAGGTGAAACCATTTTCGATCCCCGCTGGCCACGCCCACCGATATTATTAGAATAACAATATTGCAGAGAAACAGGTGGAAAGAGAGAGAGAGAGAGAGAGAGAGAGAGAGCGAGAGAGAGGGCGAGAGAGAGGGGTGTTCTTGGAAAGCCCGTGCTCCTAAATTGCAGCCTGAACTTTCCGAGATTGGCCTTTTGGAGGGTGGGGAGTCAGAAGCGGTTGTGATCTGTTGAGAAAATGTGCAAAAATGGTCCCGGAGTGGAGTTGGCGTTTTGCCAAAAAGGTTTTCAGGAGAGTCTGGCGAATGCGTTGCGGTCGCGTCGCGTGAAAATTGCACCGACGCGACAGAGCAGAGAGAGAGAGAGAGAGAGAGAGATAGAGCGCGAGAGAGAAAGAGAAAGCGTGTAAGAGAGAATTAGAGCGAGAAAACGAGCGATCGAGAGAAAACCAGAGAGCGCGAAAGTGAGAATGAGAGACAGTAAGAGAGACAGAGAGAGAGAGAGAGAGAGAGAGAGAGAGAGATGCTGCGAGAAATCAAGAGAATTAGAAAGACAGAAATAGTTAGAGAGCACCAGAGAGCAGGAGATTGAGAGAGAGAGAGCGGCGTTGAGCGAAGATCCTAACATTACTTGGCTCTCGTCCAAGAGTCAAGCGGATTTCCTAATTTGTGCCTTTTTGCCTTCCACATCCCTTTAAACCCAAAAAATCCCATAAATATTAGGGATCCCCATATTAATTAGTCTAGCCCCCTCATCAGGTGGGGGGTCGAATCAATTTGGGGGGTGTGTGTGACCGATTCGGGGCGGTTGAGCGATAAATGGGGATAAGCCGCCACCCCTGAAGGGCGGATTTCTCCCCCTTTTTTGCGGTGCGAGAGAGCGAGCCAGAGAGAGCGAGAGAGAGCGAGAGAGAGAGAGAGAGAGAGAGAGAGAGAGAGAGTGGGAGGAGTCAAAAGATCTTCCCGAGAGAAACATTGCCCCCTTTTTTGTGCCCGGGCACACATTGAATCAATGAGGCGGCTGTCTTTTCTTAGGAGGAAGAGTCCGTTTTTTGCTGGTTCGAGAGAGGCTCCTCCTCTCGACGGAACATGGGTCAGATGGCATACTGGTAGCGAGAGAGAGAGCGAGAGAGAAAGAGCGAGAGAGAGAGAGAAAGAGAGAGAGAGAGACCCGCACTCGAACTGGGCCCTCTCGTCTCGAAAAGAAAACCCCCCGTAAGACCTTCTGAACTCGCTGGTCCAGGAGGGGTCAAAACTGTTTCCTGTCTTTGCTACAGGTAGATTAGAAAAAAGGGCACATCTGGAAAGTTTTTCTTCGACCTAAAAACTACAAAAATGTGCTAGGCTTTTCTCTGGAAAATGATAAGAAAATATAATTTTTCTGGGCCCGAACGGGCTTAAAATTAACTTCTGACTTCATCAATACTCTAAAGAATCCAAAAGCTATATTAGGGCAAAAAAGCAAAAAGTTTGGCCGCGGCGAGGAATCGAACCCGGGCCCTGTGGCTGGTATTCAAGAACTTAACTAATTGACCAAGATGCCAAATGGGATCGGGATCTGAAGCGCCTTTTTGAAGGCACGGCCCCGAAAGGTGATTGAGCTTGCTCGCCGAATTTTCGACCCAAAAAATTCCTAAATAATCGCTGCTAGCTGGGCATATATCGGAGTATATCGAGTACTGTAGCTATCAATTTTGATAGTTCTCTGCGCCAAAGGCAATCATTTACGCCATGAAATTCCTTAAAGGTTAGAAAGCTGAGTTTTGAAAGTCGAGAAAAACAGTCCGCGTCAATCCGTAATTACGATTAACACCCAGCCACCCAGCCCAAACAATCCAAATCCAATTTCCCAGCGATTTTAGGCGCTACGGGCGGTAAAGCCATGTTGTAAAATCCCATTAATCTTTGAGCGCGCGAACTTTAAGGGGGTTTCCGGAAAAACAAAAACCTATTTTTAAGCTTTTCTCCTTCGTTCGCTGCTATTTTTAAGTTTAACCCCAAGAGTACGCGCGACAACCTTTACGGAAAAAATTTAGGTTTTTTGAAAGCTCTTAAACCCCTAAATCCGCCAAAAACACTTAAAAACCGCGTGACCG